TAATATTAGAAAATTAGAGTTTAAATAAGATTCTATAAAATATCTAGGGTTTATTATATAAATAGGTAAGGAAATCTATATTAATTTAAAAAAGATTATAACTATCTAAAAATAAGAAATACTAAAATTAATATAAGATATATAAAGCTTCTTTAGATTTACTAACTTTTACTATTTATTTATATTTTAATTTACTAATCTCTTAGTATTTTTAATAAAATTAATAAAGAAAGATACTTAATTTATATAGGATAATAACTAATAATAAATATTTAAAGAATTAAAAAGCCTTTTTATTAATATCTTAATTCTAGTATATTTTAAAGAGAATAAGGAAACTATTATTAAAATAGATATATTAGGATAGGCTATAAGAGTTATCTTATTATAATATAGATTAGATAAGTACCTATATCTATATATCTATCTCTCTTAGAAACTATTATTAATAGAGTTAAATTATAAGATTTATAATAAAGAACTACTAATAATTATATATACTCTCTAAAAATAGAGACTAAAGTTAAAGATAGTATTTTAATTTACTATTATAATAGACTATAAAAACTTATAATACTTTAGTAAAGTATAATATCTAAATAAGATAAGTAGATATTCTTATAGAGTTTAACTATAAACTAAAGTATTATCTTAGGAAGCTTACTATAAGACTTAATATACTTTTATAGTAAAGTTAAGATACCCTATAGTATATTATAGATAAAAGACTATTAAATTAGTTCTAAACCCTACTAAAAAAGGTATAGATTAAAATAAAATAACCTAATCTACTAGTAGTAGAGGGAATTAACTTTAAGAAAGAAATATTTCTATTTAAGAAGCCTATACTATAATAAGAATAGAAGAATATAAGATCTACTAATCTAGAGTATTAGAAGATATATAAAGCCTTAGAAAAAAGAGATTAGTAAATTACTACTAAAGTGAATATAAAAATAAGCTTATTAGAGTATTATCTAGATAAATAAAGGTTATTTTATTTTAGATAGTAGATATAGATCCTAGATAATAAGATATTATATATAGGGATTATATAAAAGATCTATAACTCTTATATTATAATATACTTTAGTTAAGATACTATCTATATAATACTATTATAAAGATTCTTCTAGCTAGGAGTAGTAAAAGATATATAATACTTTTTATAAAACTATATAGTTTATAGCTATAGTATTATATAGTATAATATAAAGTATAGGCTACTAAAACTATTATTAATTCTATAGTAAATATAGATAGAATTATCTATAGATTTTATTATAGAACTACTCCTAATAGTATATATAGATATAATAAATTTAATAGTAATTATAGATTAGCTTATAAAGAGTATAATTCTTATAAATATAGTAGAGATAACTATTAAAAAAGTAGTAGATATATTTTTTATTTACTTTTATATATACTATAGACTACTATAAGTAGTTATAAGTAATTATAGATCTTAATTTATAGGTATATTCTAGTAAATAGTATATAAGAAGCTATTGATTTAATATTAACTATTAATTACTTTCTATCTATAATCTAATAGTACTATAGAGTATATAAACTAAGAAGTTAAATAGATCTTATATATATTTATAACCTATATATAGAGTAATTAGAATATACTACTTCCTATTATTATTATAATAATTAATAATTATAATATTAGTATAATAGGACTATTCCTCTTCTTCTTTATATATAATTACTATATTAATCCTATTAAGATAGAAGAGATAAAAGAACCCTATAAAACCTATATATAACTAAGAATTATAAGTAAAATATTTATAAATTAACTATAAGAAGCTACTAATTAGATCTAAATTATAATTACTTTTATATAAGCTCTATAGAAAAAGTAATTAAATAAGTAATAATAGATTATACTAGTCTATAAGAAAAATAATTAGGTATAGCTAAATTTATAGAATATATATATATAATAATAATTAAAGAAGCTAGATTAGTTATATACTTAATATTAAGTTTTAGATATTTTTATATCTTATATAGTATAATTAAAGATATTTACTAGTATTTATCTAGTATTCTATATAAAGCTAGTTAGATCTATTACTTTAGATCTATTTCTATTATAGATTATAGATAATTTATATTTTCTACTAATACTAGTTAATAGAAAACTTAAGTATAAAGTAGAAGAAATAATAGATATAAGATATAAGAAAATTAATTAAGAATACTATAATAAAGTCCTAGTAAAATAGATAGATTAGGTAGAATAGATTTAGTAAAGTCTTAGTAACATTTAAGATTACTCTATATTAGATATCTTTAAAAGATAATTTAGTCTTATTTTAACTCTATTATAAGCCTAAAGACAATTAAATATAACTATAATATATATAAGAAAGACTATCCTAAAGGGGGGATACTATTATAAGTTAATACCTAGTATAAGGTTATATAGTATATATAACTATAATAACCTAATATATAGAACACCTACTTAGTAATTCTTTCTTTAAGCTTTTTATATATAGTATATGGCCTAGCTCAATTGAATATAAATTCTGCTTTAGCCCTTTATATTAGGATATAGATAGTCTTATATAAAATAACCTTTAGCTCTATAATAAAAGTATTTACTATAGTTATAATAAATTAAGTAGTTTAAAGTTAGATTTATAGGATTAGAAGTAGATATAAGTATTAAAATAGAAGAACTATTTCTTACTATATAGAAGTCTAGGTAGTTATTTTAAATAAAGAATAAATTATAAACTTATATCTATATTAGTATTAATTATATAATAAGGGATTAGGTTACTCTATTATAGTATATATATTAGTTTTTAAGCTTCTAGAGGAAAGCTATAAACTAGTAGTATTTATAAATTAAAAGCTTATTATAAAGAAGTATTCTATAGAGTTCTTAGTTAATAACTTATTCTAATAATATAAATAAGATTTCCTTAGGTATCTCTTCTTTAAATATAAGATATTAGAATTTAATAAAGAACTAGCTAAATTCTTTATTAATCTAGTAGAGTTAGAAGAGTTTATCTTAGATATTACTTATATAATTAGAATTACTAAAAATATTTTTAAGAATATTTAGGATTTCTTTATAATTAGATAAAATATAATTTCTATTCTAGATATATAATAAGATCTAGATATATAGGATCTCTTTAAGCTAACTTATTATATATAATATTTAACTTATTAAGATTAGAAATTAATTAAGATTTATAGTTAATTTTTTTTAAATCTAAAATATAAATTAATAAAGATTCTTATAATCTCTATTAAATATATAGAGATCTAGAAGATATTTAGAAAAGATAGAGAAGTAAATAATATAGGAATTAGATAATAAAGATATTCCTAATACTAAAGTTAATAATCTTTTAATAAATACTTTAAGAACTAGATTTATATAAAAAGTATTTATAGTAAAAGTAATAATTATTAGAACTTAATTATACTTTTAGTAGATAGATTCTAATTTATAGATATATTCTAGGAGATTTTCTTAAATTTATACTAATTTTTCTTCTTAATATTTAAAAATACTATTTTTTTTAGATAGTTTATTATAGATTTATATAAATTCTTCTTTAATTTAAGTAATTTCCTAGATTAGATAAATAATCTTTTATTAAGTAATATAGTATTATTAATAGTATAGATAGATTGGTTTTCTAATCTTCTTAGGATATTTATATATTTATCTATAGTATATAAACTAGACTTTAGGATTTATATTATAGTATTTAGTATAGGTTTTAAGATTTTTAGATAAGAATAGTAATAAGGGAGTTTCTATAGACTCTAGTAGCTAGTCTATAGTTAATAGATAGTCTAACTCCTAATATAAGGATAGAAACTATATAGTATTAGAATATAGTAGATAGTTATATATTAAAAGTTAGTAGACTAGCTTATATAGTAAATAGAAGATTAGAAGTAGTTATATTATAGATAGACTATAGGATAGAAGATTAACTAAGATATAGCTTAAAGAGCTACATCAAATAGGAATAGGAAGTTCTGATAGTCTTAGGGGTCATATAATAATAGGAATAGGGATCCTCTCGTACGAGGATCCACACCGTGACAGCTAGGCTATGTACTATATATAAAATCTTAAAGAGAGAATTACTAAGTAGGTATTCTATATGTTAGGTTATTATAGTTATATATACTATATGACCTTATACCAGGCACTAGCCTGTGATAAAGGAATACTCCTAGGAGAAATTAATAGAGAAATAAAATAAAGACTTAATCAAATTTTATTATACTAATTTTATACAAAAGGATTAGTAATTAAGGGGTATTTAGGGATAGATTAAAGATATAATCTAAGAAATATATAGTTATATATAAATCGACTTAGCGTATCGTGTTTTATTGAATTAGCTTATATAACTTACTTTTCGTCTGAAGCTTAGTATATTAAATCCCTAGTTAGTAGTGATCAAATCAGGTTAGGCTTAGTGATCAAGTTAGGGTGTTCAGTAATCAAATCAGGGTGCTCAGATTAGGCTCAGTGAGTGGATCAGGTTCACGCCAGTATAATCACTGACCAGCTCAGGCCGCTCAGGGGTGTACTCAATTCTACTCAGTGGTCATAAAGTAGCGAGGGGTAAGCACTAGAACGGAATAGGAACGCCAAGCGTTGCCAGACATTATCCGGTGTATATGGAGCCGCATCGTTTCCTTGGTCGCTGGTTTGGCTCTTTAGGCCGCACGCGGACACAGTGTTCACGATTTAATGACCCCCGTAGCATACCCACCAGACAGAACGATGAAACCGTTCTTGGCTCTATGGCTGATCCCGGCCGGACAAATAGTACCCACAGTCATCATATCTCATCTAGCAGCGGCACGGATGAATACCGAACGGCCACTCCGAGTGAGAGATGAAATACCATTTACCTAGGCATCTTCTCGGTCGCATTCAAGTTTTTGTCGCATGACCTTGCTTATCTTGGTGTTCTGATCAATTAACGAGAATGCGTTCCCAGAGTTACTACCGCTCAAACAGTCCAGCCACTTCGGACCATGAAAAATCACCTGTGGTGACACCTGACCAGGCGGTGATTTATGAGGAAGATGACCTCTATACTCGCTTCTCACCTAGACGAAAGCAATTGATCACTGGCGTTGTCACCTATTGTGCCTTCCTATCCCCAATTGGGTCTACCATGATAACTTCCACTATCCCGGAAGTGGCACAATATTTCAAGACCTCTGGTTCTATTATCAATGCTAGCAATGCAATTTATATGCTGGCAGCGGGAATGAGTCCCTTCCTTGTTGGACAGGCAAGCCAAGTATACGGGCGGCGATGGGTATGACATGACTACTATGAAGGGCCCTTGTCGGTTATGGATATTGATGTGGTGGCATTTCTAGATCCTTATCATCGCATCATCACTTTTCTTTGCATTCTCCATTGGCACTGCTCTATCGCCAAACCTGGAGAGCTTTTTTATTTTCCGTATGTTGACAGCATACCACGGCACAGCCTTTCTTGTCGTTGGAAATAGCTGTTTGGGCGATATCTACACACCCACAAAGCGTGCTACTGGGGTTGGCTGGTTTATGCTGGGTTTCGAGCTTGGACCGATTCTGGGTCGTAAGATCTACCACTCCGTTTTTTTAATATCAAATTCACTGACAAAGTGATTCTGTAGCTTTATTTGGAGGTATTATCGTCACATATTGCAGCTGGCGTGATATCTTCTGGCTCCAATCAGGTCTTGCAGGTCTAGGAGTAGCATTGATTATTCTCTTTCTGCCCGAAACCCTTAACCAACCCCAATGCACCCAAATGGCTCACTTATCTCGAGGAGACTATATACGCGAGTTAGCCCGACGAACAAGCCCGCTTCGAATGTTGAAGCATTTTCGATACCCAAACATTTTATTCGCAGGACTAGGTTCATCTGCCCTGGCGTTCAACATGTACTCCTTTCTGACTCCAATAACTTACGTGCTCAACCCCCGCTTCGGGTTGACAACGCCTCTGCAATCTGCGCTATTCTATTTGGCTCCAGGCGCCGGTAATCTCGCAGGGACTTTCTTGGGTGGCCGTTGGGCTGATAAGGTAGTACGCCGCTGCATTGTCAAACGCCATGGTGTGCGGGTCCCGGAAGACCGTCTGAAATCATGTCTTCCTTTCTTCGGCATTTTACTCCCTGTGTCTATGCTCATATATGGTTGGTCTGTCCAGGAATCTGTTGGGGGTATAGCTTTGCCAGTTATTATGATGTTTTCACAGGGCTTTGCTCAGTTGTTCGTTTACCCGAGTTTGAATACCTATTGTTTGGATGTTATGCAGACTCAGGGGTATGGATCGGAGATTGTGGCAGGCAATTACTTCATTAGATATATGTTCGCGGCTGCAGGAAGTGCTGCATGCCTCCCTGCTATTGAGAAGTTTGGAGTCGGGTGGTTTACCACAATCTCAGTGGGATTTCTAACGACAAGTGCATCTCTAATTTGGGCTACTACGATCTGGGGTGCACAGTGGAGAAAGGCAATCGAAGAAAACAAAGGCCGACCTGACTATTGAGAGGCTATTTACCAATCTATTGTTTATTGTGTTTTGTTGTTTGTAATATGCATAGCGAAAAAAATAGAGCCTAGAAGCCCTCTTGCTTATTTTCAACTACTCCAAGGCTATTGACCACTAGACATTGATAGCAAGGCCCATAATTGAGATATCCATAGACTGAGCCAGCATATGTGTCATTTTATCAACGCGCATACTACCGGGAAGTATGTTTTTGATGCGTTGAAAATGGTGGGGAATCTCGTAGTCGGCATATTTGAGGTCATTCCACTGCTTCGTCGGGTATCCGTTTCCGGTTCACGGTACTTGAACCACGCGGACAACATTCTTACAATTGAGTATCTTTAAAAGTCCTGGCACACAGAAATGTTTTCGAATACCAGTTTCGTCATCATGATTTAGGGATGGCAGAAATTATCTCTTGTAGGTAAGTCCGTGAGCGGAATTCACCACCATGTCTATTTTTGCTGCCTGATTAATGGTTCGAAATTCACAGTCTTACCGTTCCAAAGGCATTGATTCCTTCGAAATTGTCTTTTTTTCAGTTTCAAAAAAAAAAACCCAAAAGTTAAATTATAACGATATATGCCATAATTTGAGAATCAGCCCCTTTTCATCGGGAGAGATGAGTGGCTCAGTCCAAGAGGTATACACGGCAATTGCTGAGGAAGTCAACCAAACTCCTCTTCTATCCGCACCGGAAATCTTTCGAGTATCGTCACTTTCGGACAATGCTCCATCGATCGAACTTTTTCTAAAATGCGAAGGCCTGCAAAAGACCGGTTCTTTCAAATATCGAGGAGCATGGTATGCTCTTTCCTCCTTAAAGACGTCAACACTGGCCAAGGGGCTTGTAACGACCAGTTCCGGTATTAAATACTCTTATGAAACTTTTTGGGGTTCTGTTTTTTTAATTTTTATCGAACACAGGAAACTTTGGTAAGGCATTGGCAAGTGCTGCCCATGATCTGGGCATTCGCCTGGGAATCAAAATACCTCTTACTATTGTCATGCCTTCAACATCGCGCTCCTCAAAGGTTATGGCAACGAAGGCCATGGGCGCAAATGTTTATATTTCGGGACCCTCATGGACTGAGAGAGAAGCTGCGGTGCAAGCTTTGCAGAGACAGTTGGGAGCAAGTAACCTCTCAACAGTTAACAATCCAAATATTCTGCTGGGACAAGGGGTGCGTATCAATCTCTGGGAGCTTTTGTGATTTCTAGACTCTGACACTCAGTCTATTCTCGACTATAGACGGTTGGTGTTGAGATAATGGAACAGATGCGACGTATCTATCGCAGTGAGCTAGATGCAGTTATCGTTCCCTGTGGCAGCGGCGGCTTGCTAGCTGGAACCGCCCTCTTCTTTCATGGAACCCGCACAAAGGTATTTGGATCAGAGCCATCTGAAGGTGGCGCTGATGATGCTCGGCGAGGTAGATTGCAGAAATCGCGCATTGATCGCGTCGACTCAAGCACGATTGCGGATGGACTGCGATGCCCTGTTGGTGAGACTGCCTGGGAAATCATTCAGCGCCCTGACTATGTCGAAGATGTATATGCGGTAGGTGAGAAGGAAATTAAGATGGCAATGAAGACGCTGCTAAAGCACAAGGGTTTGGTGGTGGAGCCAAGTGCTGCCGTGGCACTGGCTGCTGCTTTGTTCAGCGCTTCTTTCCATGAGCGCGCTGAGGAATATGGAAAAAGGCCATATCGTGTCGGTGTGGTACTGACAGGATGTAACATTGATGTAGAGGATTTTGCCATGTTACTTTCCTCCAAATGAAAAACGGACCTTAGTCTAGTTAGCGTGTGTGGTGATGAAAGAGAAAGAAAGCTGCACCGTGACATGAGCTCGGCTACGGATGAAAGGATGATAGGATAAGTGATGCCCAACTTGAGGGGATGGTCATCAACATATTAATGACTGTTCTGTTCTGGCTTATTTGCATACCCCACCTAAACTCTCTCTTTTCAATTTTCTTTCTCTAGAAAATTGCCAAGAATATATCAAGCTTCAGAAAAATCAAAGTTCTGGATTAATGTAGATGGATTTGAGGTTCAGTAATACAGAACGTTAAATCTATAAATGAGTGAAGAATAAGAAGTGATAAACTTGAATGTGGTCCGTTCTGTGTGGATCCTCAAGAAGTCTTTCAAATCCACCTAAGCCAAAAAGAGCGCCTTATTCTCACTTAACCACTGCTCAAATGTGACTGGCTCTTTATTATACTTCCAAATATTTTCCACGGCCTTCGCATAATCAGGGGAGTTGGAAATATCCGAGCTATCCCCCGTGATATTCGTAACAAACCACTCAGCGAAATGTCTGGGAACATGAAGTTTATCGGACATGACCTGCACGGCCTCTTCACCCGAAACCTTCGTGATCCTAAGCTCCTTTCCAATAACACGACCAATTTCAGCCACGACTTCATGATATGACAACTTATGCGGTCCAACAACAGGCACCACACGTTCTTCAGTTCCATGGGCCAGAATACTCCCACAAACACGGCCAATATCACCTGGCGCTATCCAATCAAAAAGGGCATCGGGGTTCGGCAATTTCACTTCTCCAGCTAAGCAATCACTCTTCATCTGGAGTGAGTTACTAGCAAAGTAGCCAGGTCGAACAGCGACACCATTCTCTGCGAATATGTCGTCCAGCGATATCTCGACTTGAGCGTGTATGTACGGGACCAGTTCGGTGGGAGGTACGGCGCGAATGTCATGCTTAATGGTGAAACTGCTGAGAAAGACAACCGATTCAATACCGGCATTTTTCAGAGCTGTTATTGAGCCTCGCATCCCATCATTGCCGCCGTGAGCTATGTAAATGAATGCGTGTTTGGCACCTGTCTGGCGCACGGCGGTTGATATGGTCTCCGGCTTTGTGAGGTCGGCTTGAACACGTTCAATACAGAGACCGTCGAGGATCGGAATAGATTTAGATGGGTCGCGCATTGCAAGAATGACTTTCGCACCCTCTTCGTGGGCTGTAAGGGCGGCAACGGAGCCAACTTTTCCAGTCGGCCCAAAGACAATAACCGTCCTGGGAGAAGACATTTTGTATCTCGTTTTCCAAGGTTATGTGAACGGTGCACGAGGAACTCTTCAGAGATGTAGGAAAGCTTAAAATATTGAGATACTAATATTTTGAAGGGTGTAATATTGAGGCTCTTGAACGTTGACGCTTATGGTCTTTTATAAGGACGGGTCTCGGGCACTCGGCGCTCTTAACGCCGACATCAAGTCTGGGACTGAGATAAAGTTCGAACAGTATTAGCTATTTATATTAGGTATACACGCTAGTTAAACTTTATGACACTGATGATTGGCTAAGAATACGAGAATATTGGACCGGGGTACCGGAGTTTCATCGCCGTGCCGCCGTCCTCAGGCCCCCCAAAGTGGATAGATACATGCTGTCATGCCACGGAATGTAAACATATGTTATCGACGGTGAATATCAATGACCAATACCGACCCAAGCTAATGCTTGAAGCAATATAACCACGCTCGAAGCTCTCCCGCCCTTGTTCTTTTCGATTGCTTGATATGATCCTGGCGGAGCGAGACTCGGAGGGCGTTAGTTCAGTAGTACCACCTCAGTACTTCGTCCCGCAGTCCAGCCTGTGATAGGTCTGGAGAAGACAGCCTGAAGTCGCATCCTGTCATATATCTGTAAATATGAATTGAGGGCAATCATGTCCTTTTCTGACTTCAAGCGCAATGCATGCACATATCGAATTCAATCCCAGCCTTTCGACACCCAATATTGAAGTGCAGCGGCATAGACACTTCAAGAGTGGAGCTTCTTTTCAGCTCATTCAATCTCGGCCTTCGCCTCTCTGTCAAGTCTCTTTTGTCGCCATTTCATCCCATGCGTCATCATTATCCAAAAACACGGGGACGCCGCGGCCGCAATCAAAGCCAAGGTTGTAAATGCCCATCCCGATCCCATCGCCTCGCTCATTGGACTGATTGCAGCCGCCGCCGCCGCACCAAGCTCACAACGAAATAAATTAACCGCTGCCGTTGCAGATGCAGATCTCCCAGGCCATAAATCAACCATCAATGCATTTAAAACTTGGGAAGTGGAAGTCAATGCCCAACCAGAAATTAACAAGAGAATGATGGAAGCTGCGATGTTCATTTTGCGCCCCAGAATCCATCCATATGCAACTACTGACGCAATGCCCACGTAGTATAACGGGAGAGCGACCTCCAATCTTACTTTTTCTATGTTAAAATTGCGAAGGTCCTGTCGAACATTCTTCAGCACAGGAAGCCCGGCACGTTTCGCATGTCGTCGATAGTTCCAATCCACAATACGACCAGTCGTGAAAGCTGATATAATGCCACCTCCACCTATGGGAAGGTACATCAAGCCAGTTTGAATATTGTTGAAATGGTATACCTCGTGAAATGATGTTGTTGCCCCGGTCATAATAGCATAAAAACAAGCAAACATGAGCCCCGTAGCGATTAAAATCAATGCCGTCTCGAGATCGAAGCAGATTTTCAGGGTTGGTATAGGCGACGGAATCTGGAGCTTATAATTCTTGCGAACTTCAGCAACATGCTCAGGATCTGGATTGATGCATTCCTTTACGCGCCGCTTTTGTCGAATGATATCGGTCACGGACGTATTCAAAAGAGGTGGTGGAACTGATCCATCACCAACAACCTTTCGGCATGTCTCTGGAAGGAAAAGTACCAGGCAAGTGAAAAATACTCCGCCGAATATGAGGAGAAACCAGAATATCCAATGCCAATCGAGATATTGACTTATTAGGCCCCCGAGCACTGGTGATAATGAAGGTCCCAGTATGCTTCCAAGTGAAGCAAAAGCGACGTAGTTACCTCGCTCTGCGGAGGTGATCATATCACCTACCAGTCCGTTAGCCAGTGCTACAGTGCCGCTGCTACCTGCGCTTTGGAGCATTCGCAGCACTAGCAAGGCAACATAGCTATTTTGTAGACCAAGTCCAAGATTAGCAGCAAGATAGATTGTGAAACATATCATATATGCTGGGCGTCTTCCTGCCGTGTCGGAGAATCCAGCGACAAACATTGGTGCAATACCTTGCAAGATCTATTCCAGCGATGAATGCGGTTAGTAGGAGAATTATCTGCCTTCTTGGATGGTGTGGAACTTACAAGGTAAGTAGTCACCGTCACATCTATGCGCGATGTTGATTCATTAAGAGCGTTTGCTATCGTGTCGAGCGCGGGAAAGTAGATGCTCGATGAGAGTGGCGAGAAGAATGCAGCTAAAGAGCCTACACTGACTATCGCTCTTTTCTGATTAACAGTGAAAGTAGAGTAGAACTTATACTCAGGCACCACATTTTTGGTAATTTGCTTTTCGGGATCTGGACTTGGTTCTTGTTCTGTAGGCACGATTGCGGAGTCTGCGGGATGTTCCTTGCTTTGGTCGATTGCCGACATCATTTCGAACTTGCAGAAAGAACTTCTGCGGAGTATATCGATACTGATGCTTAAATCCGCAAGATTAAAGTAGTGTACAGCCCGGTAGCCCAGTATTTATATCCGAAAAGATAAAGAGAAAATTCGACTTCAGTTATATGTGGAAAGAATTGAAGCCGTTACCGGTCCGGTCCAAGATCCGCGTTGTCACCACACGCCTGATGGCGTGAACAATAACTTCTGAATGGTCAAAATTGAAAAAAGAGAATAGAATCAAAGCATTTAAGAGAATAATTTCCTTCTCCCCGTGGTGCTATTGATATAGCTTTGCCAACTTCCCGTATCACAGACCTCGACCTCGGAGCAGCACAACGCTAGTAGTCTAAGCCGAAAAAGTGACATTCCCGGTCCCGGCATATGTGCATGAATCCTGCAGGCTGGCTTAGTGTTGGATTCCACCAATTACGTCTCAACATTATAATTACGCATCGTTAGCATGATTCATGTAAATGAATCCTTTGGAATTCAAAGCAATAAAAGACCAATCAATGCCAAGATAATTTCAGAAATTCCCCTGAAGAATGTAACGTCCACCTCAACTTCTCCTATCAAACTACTTTATTTCATGTAGGTTAAATTATCTTTGACCAGAAAATCAAGAAAATTATCCGTCCGGATTCTTCTTTCCAATGATAGCTATCTTTCACGATAACACTATCTCTATACAGTACTTGCTACGCTAGCTGCGAAATTGGCACTTTTGACCACCAAAATTCCGTTTCTTCCTTCGCCCAATCATCCTCAGCAAGTTTCGCAGGAGGGCCAAAAGAGCCACCGATAAGTTCCTCATTGTCTACTCCAAACTTCATCACATTTGCAGAATTTGGCGCATATTTTTTCCATTGCGGTCGCTGAGCATATCGTCCTGAAATGGCATTTGGATCACCCTTCGTAATGAAGCTAGTCAAATAGGCATGAAGCGTACCCGACAACTCTTTCTGAGACTCCGATAACCCAGTAATGTCGCTGTTAAATGTTTCATAAAACATGTTATCGCCATGGTTTGCTCGTCCAATTACAGTTCGGGGTAAAGCCCAATTATACAAGTATACTGGGACGCCTTGCTGTGAGGCAAAACTGGCTGTTTGTCGTACCGGAGCAACATAGGCATAGTGACCATACGCCGCTTCGATGCGCTTATATTGTGAGCCAAGACCTTGACCCTTTCTGGTTTCCAGGTATTGAGACTCGTGGCTCGAGCTCGGGTCAGAATAAAGATGATCGATTCTATCCAGATCGGCTTCTGATAGCTCGGGTACGAGGTTCTTCCAGAAATTGCGGAACTGGGCTGGGTCGGACATTTGCTTATCCACGTACATGGTGCCCTCGTTGCTGTTGTATCCGGTCATTATTGGAACCTTGTTCCACAGCTCGGAGTTCCAGGCTTCTAGTGGCTTTCGAGCAATTACATCCCCGTCAATTACGGGTTGGAATGCCCACCGAAGAGACGGGTTCGACTTGTCGAATACAGTCGTTTGCGCATCTATGATTATCGAGCTTGGGAGGGATCGAAGGAATGAGAAAATCTCATTTTCATGTAGGTCTGACGGGCAACCGACTTCTTTGAGGAAGTCTTGGAATTGCTCTTCGTGGACTTTCGCATTGTAGGGACGAACGGCGCGTGATGTCGGGGAACCGGATTCCAGAATCGCACGATGGAAGAGTTGTGGTGAGTCGGGCTTGTAGTTCAGGATATGATGCCCGATCTATATTGAGTCAGATGATAGTATTCCACGATGTCGATCAAACAAGATGACTTACCGAGTGTGCACCCGCTGATAGACCGAACAGAGTGACATTGCCAGAATCACCACCAAATTTCGCAATATTCTCCTGTACCCATTCAAACAGAATGATTTGATCCCGAAGACCTAGGTTGAGGATTCCCTCTTTCTTCGACAAACTGGATGGCAGGAATCCCAAAGCGCCAATACGATACCCGAAGCTCACAGCAATAAACGGTTCCTCGGACCAAGCCAGCATAGATGCAGTATTGTGTCCCGTCGCTGAGCCACGATTATAAGCTCCGCCGTATATGTATATTGCCACAGGTAACTTATCAGACTCGGTAGTCCCAGCAGGTCGAAAAACATTGACCGTCAAACAGTCTTCGCTTTGCTCTAGCTTTGGACCGCTGACTATCAGGGCCTTGCCGGGCGGCGCGAATCCGTACTTAGAGGCATCGATCGTGTCATTGGAGGGAATGATCTTCTCTGCAGGCTTGAATCGTCTTCCTCCGATGGGAGGGAGGGCATATCGAACTCCAAGAAAACCTTCGACGGACTGCGGGGCTGTTTCTTCAAGGTGGGTTCCAATCAATTTGCCTTGGGTGAGGGTCACGGACGGGCGTTTAGACTCAGACATGATTATAAGGTACAATTGAGTGTCAAAATTGAAATGTCCACTGAACGAGAAGTGAACGAGACTTTGCTAAATGGCGTGATATCTTGCGCATTTCTCGCCGGGTGTCAAAAGTAGTTCCGTGCGGGGATGACTCCGATAAGGGTGGAGATGCTGGATTGTCTCAAACAGCAATTGATCATCTTCCTCGGAGGTATTGTGGTTTTAGTTGGCCATACGATAGTGCCTTGGAGAGGAACTAGTGTTAGATTTGGAAATTCATACGACGGTTAAGCTTCGCCTTTGACCTGAGCATGATGTAACCATGATCATCAACCAACCTTCCCCCAATGTCTAAAGACCTGATACACTTCTCAACTTCTCAATTGAAGCATAAGTCAGAGACTAATCATGACTGGCATGATAACATGAAAGGACGGTTTCCCATTGCTCTTTTTGAGCTATCATTTGTGTCTTTTATCCAGCTAGTTCTATTTCATACGCTTTAGCGGCACCAAGTCAAGTTCCTGACTAGACCAATCTTCCCTATGATATAGTCCTTATTCCTCCTCTGTTCATCTGAATTCTGACAATATCTTTGCGCCAAAAGAATTCTCTCAAGCATCAATTATACAGCAGTCATGGCTGGTAGAATCCATCCTGCCGATGACAGGCCCACTCGCTCATCCTCCGTGATAACAAATCCCCACTTACGCCGAAATGTCGGCATCTACTCCAAATCCCAATTTCACCTACATCCATTCAAATTACTTTGACCAAATATCCTCAACACCCAAAATGAATACGACCTTCGCGCCTCCCTACCAGGCAAATGGCCCAATTGAGCCTATTACCTGCGTGGAAATGCATACAGCAGGAGAACCAACTCGAATTCTTCGGTCCGGCTTCCCAGAACTTACAGGCACATTGCTTGAGCAACGCGATCAAGCAAAAGCAAACTCGGATCACTTCCGTCGCCTGCTCATGCTCGAACCAAGAGGACATTATGATATGTACGGCGCGATTCTACGACCTGAAACCGAACTAGTTCATGCAGGTGATGCCGATATCGGTGTTTTGTTCATGCATAACGAAGGCTTCTCAACTATGTGCGGACATGCAACAATTGCATTGGGTCGATTCCTGGTTGATTCCGATGAGAGTGTTTTTCCCCGTCGGGGGCAGTTGAAGTATGACGCAGAATCAGGTGCTACGCAGCTTAATCTCCATGTTCCGTGTGGTTTGGTTAAGGTGACTGTTCCTACTTTGTCGACGGGGAAGTCGGATCCCGCAAGGCCTGTGTCGTTTATTTCGGTTCCTTCGTTTGCGACTGCTATTTCTTTGGAGGTGCCGGTGCCTGAGCCTTATCGGTGGCCTGAACTTCAGGAGAGATGCTCGGTCACGGCGGACTTCTCGTATGGTGGTGCATACTATTGTTTGATTAGTGCTGAGGAGCTGGGCTTCACTGGGGGTCTTGCGGAGTTTGATCTTCAGAAGATGGATCGTGCTACGGGACTGCTGAAGAAAGCAATTACGACCAATCCGGACTTGAAATATCTGACAAGAAATACAATTACGGGTGAGCAGGGATTCTTGTATAGTGTCATGATCACGGATAAGGGGTTGGGTCATGTTGCTGCATCTGAGGGCACGGCTGGCTTCCGAGCTCAGCAGGGTGTGGATACGGAAGAAACAGGTCTTTGCTTCTTTGCGAATCAGCAGATTGATCGTTCTCCTACTGGAGGGTGTGTTGCTGCTCGAGTGGCTTTAGCTCATGCTAAGGGTGAATTGTCGACCGGTGAGAAGCGATTGTACAATTCGTTAGTGACTCGATCGCGCAAGGCTCTGGCAGGATTTGGTGGGTCGGTTTTTGAAATCGCTCAACGATCAGTGGATGTGAAAGTTGAAGGATATGCTTATTATACCGGATATCACACATTCGTGGTTGAGAATGAAGACGGACTCGGAGTGAATGGATTTTCAATGAAGGATCTTGTTGTATAGACGAAGCCGCATTCCTATTTGACAAGGAACGGAAATGTATTTTTGAGGGTGAAAGCCTAAAGGCTGTAAGAGTACATAAATTAACCCAAAGACTCATGTAGCGCATTACGATGAAGAAACGAGTTGAACAAAAGAAAACCAGGCTGTTCTTGAAGGAAAACTGAGACGAAGTATTGTACATCGGGTTGGAGGGATGAACAAGGTCTTTAAACAATAATCTAAGGGTTATCTCTATTATCCTCCCGCGACCAGAGCAAATTGGTCCTCTATTTGCCAATCTCAACACCGCCAGTGGCACCGAGCATACGCTTGATGTCACCGTAGATGGCGAACTGACCGGCAGTGATACCACCAACCATGAAGAGACGGGCGCCGATACCGCCGTAAGAGCCACGGATACCAAGCTCTTTTCCGATCTTAATAAGACGAGAGATAGTGCCCTCACCGGGGAGACCCTGGGTCTTGTTGATCTTGGAGAGCATAGTGTCAGCGGGCTGGGAGACAGCGGCAGCGGCGAGACCGGCAATAAGACCGGAACCAAGGTTGATACCGGTCTTGGTACCGTTGGAAGCGGACTCCTTGTCGATGGAGTTGTAGATGGCCTCGGAAACCTTCTCGAAGACGACGAACTTGGCCATAGTGTAAGGAACCCTGTTAAGATATAATGTCAGACTCGCGAAACGCGACGAAAATTGTGGAGAACCCCTGGAGAGTTCGTTATGACGACTTACTGCTTGAACAGAATGGGTCCGAATCCGGAGTAGAAAGCAGCAACACCCTCCTCCTTAAGGATACGGCTGAAACCGCTCATCAGACCGGTGGCGAAGGTAGGCTGAGATACCAGACGGATACGGGTGGCCTCAAGGGGGCAGAGACCGATGTCAGCGACGAACTCAGCGGCGGCGGAGGAAGCGAGGTAGACAGCGGTGCGGTTGTTGGTAGCAGACTCCAGACCGAGAACGTTGATGGACTGCTGCTTGAAGAACTCGTAACCACCGAACTTCAGGGAACCCTGGATGAAGTAACCAGCGGCGGTAGGACCGAAACCAGTCAGGAGAGCACCAGCTCCCTCGTTCTGGATGACCTGGCGGAAACCACCGATCATACCACGGTTGTAGGTGGCAGGGTCAAGCTGAATACGGGTCTTGACGCTATAATCGATGCGACGTCAGTCAAAAAGTTCAAGCCGGGGTCGATTCGAGATGTGTTGTTATTTTTTCGGCAGACTTACACATCAAGGGGAGTGGCAGCTCCGTGGGTGATGGCACAGCAGCAAGCACCTGTAATGAATGAGTAAATGCGCTCGGAAGATTGGATGATATCAATCGATCGTTAATGGATACTAACCAGCGAAGGCGAAGCGAGAGCTGTTGCAACTTGTTAGCACCATAGGTCATACAAGGGAGATAGGTTTGAACATACTAGAGGTCCAAGCCAGTAGGGCCGGCAGGGGCAGCGGGGGTAGGAGCGGCCATTTTGATGTGACAGGGTCCCTGAAAATAATGGGAATGAGAGGAGAATGGTCAATTGAGGCTGTAGGGAAGAGAAGAGGAAAGGAGGAAAAGGATTTGAAAGGGATGGGTCCGAACCCGCAGACTTTTCGGACCAATCCGGGACTCGCGCTCGGCAGGAGACGGGCACCGCCTTAAGTCCGGCCCCCATACAATAATATTGCCCGGTCAACCACAGAGACTTTGGGCCTTTTCCACTGTACAACTCACAAGTCTACAGGATTGATACCTTGCGGTGAAGCTGTCTTTCAAATTTTGTTATGTCTGTTTCAAGTTGCGCGATATATACAGCTTAGATCAGACGCACCCTTCAATAACACCATCGTACCGCATACAACCCATCGGGAAGACTCGGTACCAAAATACCTATAAACTCATTCCAATGCACAGGTAGCACTATATTCAAGGCTATTATTTGTTGCACTATGTAGCATGTGCATTTACGAGGGAACTCAGGCTTTTTTTCCCAAGGTTCCGCGAACGCCATCAAAAAGGATCTTTCTACGTCACAGTGGACACTTGGCGGCAACGATGGGGCATAATTCCGTTGCGCCCTGTTTTTGACCAAATCTGCTATGTGAAGGGCCCATGTCGTGCTCCACTTATCATGGATTGTTCCACGAATAGTGCCCGTGGATTCGCCACTCCCGTCTCTGCCGAGGCCATGATTGGCCAATTCACAGCGGTCGGCTCACAGTATCCGAGAATGCATTTCCCAGGCATATTGGATAAGATTGTGTGGACTGGAGAACTATAGGAAATCACCCTGGGCATAGAAACATCGCGGTTTTTGTTGTAACACCCTCGTGGTAAATTCTCCCATCATCACGTGAATAGATGAGTAATAAAACGCTTTGTTGATGCTATGTATGGCCTTACCCATTCGAGACCCTCGAAGACCTATCTCCTTCTGGCGACTGAATGACCACAGCACCCTCAGTATCTCCAGCTCGGACTCTCGCTCTAGATAGTCTTGCGACATAAGGACACGGAGGTATAGCAAAAGATAAATTGGAATTACAGAAAACGATTGGGATGTTGCTTTACGGTGTGGAGCGGCTCCTCAAGTTCAAAGATGAGCGATCTGAACACTATCTAGATGGGTATATCCGGTGATTGTCCTTTATGAATGAACCCATATTCACGTATTAGCTAAGTATCCGGATAAAACGTAAAGTGGGATCTTTTTTTCTACAGAGGAAACAAGCGTAAAGTAGATAGGATAGTAATGTCCTAGTATCAAGCGCAACGTTAGGAACATGAATTATCCTTGCTCGGTGTATTCTTATATTTCAACTGAGGGGGTATTATGTATAAACAACTTGAAGCAAATCTATCATGAGGACTGATAAACCTTGAAGCTATTGAACTCCCAATAGGCATTCGTGAAATTTGCCCCGTTTTCCGCAGCCCATTCGGTGCATGACGAAGGACAGTCGTAAAGCTCCTTATAGTAGGTGTTTGCACCGGCCATATCACCACAAATATCAATGTTGGCAATGATACTTTGGTTTTTGAAATGCGAACTAATATCGCAGTTCGTGCTGGGGAAGTCTGCCAACGCCTCGCCCCATGATGAAGGGTCGGGAATGCCGCTTGAGTTGGAAATATCATTAGGGATATTATCGCGGGCGAACATCCAGACTCGAATTCCAGCATCTCGCAGCTCCATCGCGTACACCTTGTTTTAAGCAGTTAGTCATGAGATAATAATAAAACTCGAGATTGGCTAGGATTGTCTACTCACTCCACCGCCATTATTGTTGAACTCTTCTCCATATGATGCCTTCTTTCCTTCAACGCTACAACCGGTCTCATCGTTTGCGCTATACAAGCAGTTTGAGTGCTGTGCACTTCCGGTCTCTTTGCGCTTGACGTTCATTTTGCAGCTTTGGGAGGTGTGTAGCGTCATCGCATTTCCGTGGGTGCCTTTGTTATTTGACTCCATTACATCGATTTCACCATTCTCTGGCCAATTGTCCGGATCAGTCAGCCATAGAGCTGGCCATGTTGCACATCCATACGGTGTGTGAACCACATCGAAGATAAAAAGCCCGTCATCGTACTGATTGTTTGATGTTAAACGCACAGACATGCGACCATTCGTTTGATTTTGAGTATCGGTATCGACTCTGATTACAGCTGAATCTTCAGAGGCATATGTTAAATTCATGGATGACGCTGTCGATGAATCCACGTATCTGGCAGTTGTTCATGTTAGCCTAATACAGTATTCGAAGCCGGGTCAACTCACTGTACGAAGCCATCTGTTGGATCAGTCGATGTGTAATATGCGAAGTTATCAAAAAAGTTGGTTCCTGAGTATGTGTCTTTCAAAGTATAATTAAGTTTCGAATAGTCCGGGTATGCATTGCGCTTAACGCCTTCAACAGCTCCGACAACCACTGCAACAATCACAACCACGACGCAGCCCGCGACGATTAATTTCTTCCTTAATGACCAGCCTCGCGGATTGTACCATGCTCGATTAGCATCAAGCCCTTCCTTTGTCCCGACGACAGTCGAATAGCGCGGTGGTAATTGATATTGCGCTGCTGGCTGAGCGTACTCTGAGTAACCACCCTGTCCCGCGGTGTGAGAACCAGCGTTGTGGGCATCGAACTGAGGTAAAGTTGAGGTAGCACCCCCAAAACGACTGTAATCGTCCATATTTGTACCGTATGGATCTTGGAACCTCATCTTTTCTTACTAAGAATTCCAAGCGACCTTAAAAAGACTGGTTTCGGCGGTGTTAGGCGAAGAAAAACAAGGGAGATAATTGAAAGAGCGAACTTTGTCAGAAGTAAAAATCCAAGAAGGCGAGAACATCACAAATAGTAAATACCCAAAGTAATAATAAATCAGCACGCCACTAGATCAGAAAATCTCGTTGAAACGCGGCAAACCACACCGAAAAGATCCCTGATCCAGTATCAACGTCTGCCGCGCCGCGTAAGTCACTGTGAATGCCAAGCTCTCCACATCTAGACCCTGCGTAGGTGCTTCCTTTGAGTGAGAAAAAAAAGTTCGATCAGGATTCTTTATGCTTATGCCTGATGGGCTTTGCGCTTTGCGATAAGGCAAGGCTTGCAGCGGGGTTTGACCAAACATAATGAGTTATGACACATTTTGTCTCGGAATTCTGCGGCATTTACCTATCTAGATAATTATTGGTTAAACTGGAGAAAATTGGGTCATGTCAATCTGGGGGGAACACAGGGATGGCTTCTACTTGTGCGGTGCCATGTCAGATGTGAGGGGACCTGGATTGAGGCACGGAATAAGCCCTGGAGCCGGTGTCCATCATTTGCCACGCAACGGACGCGTAAGGCGTTTTCCCGGCAGTTACTGTAGATCAAGCACCCACCTATGGCAAAAAGGATCCTTATAATTACCCCGTCTCATATTGGATGCTTTGAATAATGATTCGATGTTGAAATGTACAATCAATTTCATTTCGCCTGTTCAATTTCGTCGTTATGGTTTTGCGCTCGGTGCTTGCGACTTTCTTGCTATAGCCGGTTGGCGATCTGCAACATACGTCAACCTGCAGATATGCTCGCTCCAGTGTCGAATGCCTCATTGTGAGTAGATAAAAACTTGTATGTTTGTTTATATTGGGTGATTTTCATAATGTTTTCAATGATTGTTTCAAGTTCCTCAAGAGCTAGTATAAATAGACATCTGGAATCCGAGTCGTCCAGAGCCCACTCAACCACTGGCAGTTTCTACTTTGTACTGGTAAAAATTGGAACTAAAACTTGAAGTCCCTGCATCGTGGTCGCAGAGCCGGCTTCCCTACTGCTTCTGTTCCCTCGATTGCCCCAGATCCCCGAAATTGAGCTCGCGGGGCTCAATTCGATCGGATATCGACGCGTAAAGTGATCGGTCCTCTTTGAATTCTTGTCTACATAGGAATGCACGTACTAAATGTGGGTCTGATTTGAAATATGAATAGTTTGCTGGTCACGTGATTGTGATCAATCCCGGGCAGCTGTCGATACTTTGTCACCTAACAACCCTAGTTGAAAGTCAGTAGTACCAGGGATATGTAATAAAGTACCTCCCTTCTTGCTTCGCCTCCGCAATTCCTTGCTACATTCTATCCATAATATCGAATAAGGCGATCTGTCCTTACTATGGCTACAAGTGATTTCGAATACTCTGCTGACCAAGAAATTGCTGATTTTTTCGAGAAGACTACAGCAACCCGCACAGCCTATGATACTTTTGCAAAGTAGCATCTAGGGGGGAATATCATTCAGGTAGCTGTGCAAGGTGTATGCAGCTATACCGTCTACGTAGGACCCAATACCGAATTCGTTGTCTAGTTTCGCCTTGCGTCCCTTTAATTGAATATAGAGACTGCAAATCTCGCTAGAAGCATCTACGGTCACTTTGTATTGTGTGTGAACTTTTTGGGGCAGGTTGGAGAAGTAATCAGGGGTAAGGAATCTCTTTATATCTACGTTATGAGCCGAGTAAAAGGTATTAGTTACTAATTACAAATCTATTAGGTTTTTTCTCTTTCACGAAAAGGCCTTTAAACCGTTGATCAAATGTACCGCGATAACTTGTATTATCGATATAAAGAAGATCTTGATTTACTACATGTTCCCCTTTTAGGTCGCTTCTAACTTTCAATTTAAGAGTCTCTTAATCTATTACCGACTATTTCTTCTCTTTCTATGGTGCTACACCACAAAGACTTTGGTGTCTGCAACATTATTGTGAATGAAATGTCTTGCAATCTAGTCGGGGTGATTAATTGGGTTGAAGTAGATATTGGGCTATTTGGTTTGAACCTATTTTCTCACCAAAGACTGATAAGTAAGGTCTATCTTGAGACTGGTTGGACGCGATTTGATGATTATGTTGCTTTGGAGGAGATATTCTGGAGCACATTCACCAAGGAAGTTGAAGTATTGAGTAGTGATACTATCAGAGCTATCAAGGCAGCAAGTATTGTAGGACTCTTATTTTCTCGTGGCTTTATAAGTCGTCTTGCAGAGATGCCTGAGCCAGTACCTAATTGGGATGATGAAAACAGAGTATGTAACATGCGTGATCTAGTTGGGCTTTTAATAAACCCAGCTACAAGGCTTACGGATTTAGAATAGACGATGGACACTGAATGTAAGATGGAAGAATGTGAAAAGAGTATTGGTCTCGTTATAATTCCGGTATTAGACCTTCACAGCTAGGTGGGTATAAGATAGTGATAGTGCTGGGTGGTGGGCGATGAAGCGCCCGCTCGCCGTCCAAAGTTACGGGTGGAAAGGCAGCCGTTTCTTCGGCGTCAATTTCACAGGTCCTCAGATTCTACTTATAAACTTGAATATTGTAGTATGCTATTCTTTATCTTTACTACGCTTGTATTTGACAAAGCAAACCGCATGTTTCTCCTCCTCTCCCGATGCAAAATAATGCAATGATAGAGTTTGGTAGTACGTTATATCAAACTATACTATACATAGTTGCTAGTCCACTAAGGAGCTAGGCTTTGTAGTAACTTAAGGGAACCCCTCCCTCTAAGATGGTATTCGAGAAGCTTCAATATTTCGGGGAATTTATCGGAGGGTGCGATATCATGTATGTGCATTCGTGTAACCAGTATAAACGAGAAGAAATAGGCTAAAAACAAAATGGGTATTTCCATAAATTCACAGGTACCTCCCAAAATATGACGAAAGCCTTGGTTGAGAAAAACATATGGGGTAGGTGGCGACAATATCAGAAAGAAAGAAATCGTGAGTTGAGAAGCTCAGAAAGGAGTTGATCCTCAAATAAGGCTTGCAATATCCATGCGGGAATGGGTTGAGCTTGAACGACCATCTTCCGAAGCAGCAGACTCAGGGTTCAACATGGAAGAATTAGTTTCCTGCTGTGGTGTCTGTACCTGTATCGAATCCCGCATTTGAATCTCCTGTTCTCGTCGCTGCTTCTCGACTAAGAGTTCTTGGACCGTACTCTCGATCCATGGCCATAGCTTCTCTGTATCTTCAGGGCTCTCCCCTGCTTCTGGTTCTGGGGGTACCGACGAATTTCGGGTTGTGGTAATGGCTTCCAGGCGTGATCCTGTTTCGCTACCTTGCCAAACCCAGCTTCCGTCGCTGGTTCCCTGCATGTCTCCGGAGACATAGGCCATCATCTCCTCGTCGTGGTCGAGGGAGTCCATGTCGCCCTGCCGGAAGCGGTCAATAAGGGCCCGAAGGAAGAAGGCGAGGTACCGGGCGCAGGCGACGTTAATGGCGCGACCGTCGCCGACTGCGGCGCTTGCTTGTATGCAGACTAGAGCCGAGGCGAATTCTTGGCGGAAAATAAGGAAGAGCGTACAGCGCCAGATATGTGTACATAGAAGGGTTCCGGCGGAGGAGGCTAGCAGGGTTCTCCAATCTGTGGGGCCGGGGTTGGGGCACATGCAGCGGGTGAGGATGGTGGCAGTGTCAGCTGCGGTCAAGACGCAGTAGTCCATTGCAGTTGAGCGAATGATGTCTTGACAGTAGGGAGTGATGTTGTGGCGGTGGAGTAGGAGACGGGCATTCTGGAGATAAACTATTGGTGCTAGGGACCGAGGGTCGAGATCTTGTTCTGATTTCGGATGGAGATGAGGAGGGAATGTTGCTAGACATGTATTGAAGTGTCTTTCGAAGGTCTCGAGTGTTGCCTCGCTGATTGTGGTTGATCGTAGAGTGCGAGTGAGTTGACCGATGGAACGAACGACGTGGATGGTTGCTAGCATGGGTGTGGTTTGTTGGCTTTCTGGGATGCGGCCACCTTCTATGATGTACTGGTCTTCCACTGGACAAGGAAGATCGATGTCACAATCTTGATCATTGATCAATACTGGTTTGCCCATCTCGAGAGCAATTAATCTATGAATGGTAAGCAAAATTCATAATACCCAGGCTCTAGCTTGGTCCATACCTATCCCATGTATACAGGCCCCACCACAGGCGCTTCCGCATTTCGCCCTCTAGTGCAGGCCAAGGTCCAGATTCAATATGCAAGCCGATTTCTTGTGCTACACGTACAGCAGAACCAATCCAAACCCAGGATGCCGATTTCGAGTTCACCTCATAGAGAAACATACTGGCAAGTAAGGCTGCTCGTACCCGGTCCAGGTTGAAGCTGTCTTGCCATACATCAATTATACCACAGGAGATGCGAACAAATTCCTTGCCCTGTTCCTCGCGATTTGCCTCCACTGTATGGATTGCACCACATGCAAAAACACCAAACAAGACCGCAGCCCATTCACTCGAGACACCAGATATGGATCCTGCCCGATAGACGCGCTCATACTCTCCAATGAATGTTGGCCAATGGAGGACTGGCAGGATAGAATGAATGCAATTGAAATACTGAGCCACGAGATGGTCGCCGATGTCCTTTGATGGAAGTGGTGGCACTTCGCCATTTACGACTGATTTCGCGCCCGTTTCTTGATAGGGCGTAGGAACTTTCAAGATACCACGGCCATGCTGACGTATATTCCTACGCGCATCCGAGAGGTCCTCCGTTAGAGAAATCTTCGGTCGTCGTGTTGGCTTGTACTCAATCTCCGGAAGCTGAACCAATGGCTGTGCCGCGTATTCGTCAACATCCATCACATTATCGGGGCGCATCCTTCCCGATCTTATTTGGTGCAATTGCTGTCTAGCAAATGAGAGCTGCTTCTCTAGATCTTGGACCTGCTTAATAGACGACATGCGCCGATTGGTCTCTTTAGTAAATTGACATCGAACTCGTCGGTTATTGCACTCGGTGCAGCTGCTAGACTCCGATGCATCGCATTTAACTTTGCGTTCGCGACAGGCATCGCAACTCGGATCCTTTCTGCGCTGTCGATAGGCTCTCTTTTGTTGCAATTGAGCTTGTGTATGACTTGAGTGGCCGATCGGGCTTGTTTGGAATAGACTCGGATTTCCCGGATGAGTCGATCCCATATCGCTAGCGTCGGGCAGCCCTCCGCTTTCTGCCGGAGATCCCGAGGCCGTATCATAGAAGCGAGAATAAGGTGAAGTTGATGGACGTGGTGCCGGACCTAGTTGATGAGGTGGTGGACCTTGAGGCATGATCTGCTGTCCCGATACCTGTGGCATGGGTTGTAGTAGATGGGCCATTCGCATCCCGCTGTCAGGTCTACTGGGCGGGGCGGAAAGCATTGCGCCCGGGGCCGGAGGGAATGCGCCCGACGTCACAGCCTGTACAGGAGGCAGCTCATAAGGGCTGTTCGGGTTTTGTACACCCGCACGATAGGGAAGAGGATTCATCTTGTAATGATAAGATGGAAAGTCCAATTACCCGCTTTGGTTCACCCCCGCAATATTGGTGGAATGCCGTTAAGAAGAGGGAATGTATATTTTCTTTACTCTTTTCTTTCCCAAGTGGGAAAAGAGAGGTGGATATGCAACGGGGGTCAGAAAACCATGCAATGGCAAGAGTTCAATCCCGAGGGTCTAGGAGAATCGCTCGTAGAATAGGCAATATGCCGCGAGAGAATCCTAGTGGTCAAAAGTTGGAGGTATCGCCACAGAAAAGTCCAGGACCATACAATCGTTGAGGAACTTGGCCGTGCGGCAGTAATAGCGGACGGTTTCAGCACGGGTCATTCACGCGGCAATTCCCATGAAGCCATTCTCAGAGTGACTGTTTATGGATGTGTATGGGCAAAAGGATAATGGGCAGGGGCGAAAAGGGAACCAACGGCGAATAAACGGATAAACGAATGGAAGAAGAGTAGAAAAGCCAATAAAGAAATACAAGACCAAAATAGAAAAGTCCAGATCCAAGAGATAAACAGAGATAAAAAAAAAGACGGGAAAAAAAGAAATAGAGAATAATAAAAACCAGTAATAACTCAAAATAAAAAGAGAATCAAGAATAAAGATCCCAACTGCAAGTCAAATCGGAATCGTGGAGACGCAAATGCCGAGGTTGGGGGCAACTTTGCGGCGAATTAAGACGAATGAAGATCCAAGAATCTTGTGAAGAAGTCAAGGGAGAAAGAAGAGAGAAAAGGGAAATATGAGACCCTCCCTTTCTCTCCAGATTTTAATTTGTATTTTGGAGGGTCTTTTCTGTCCTTTTCTTCCCTTTGCTTTCTTCTTTTCTTCTTTGCCTTGTCAATTCAGAAGAGGAGAAAAAGAGACCAAAAAGCAAAAATGGAGGACCCAGGGCCCAACAGAAGGAGGCGAGCCGAAGGGAACCAGATCGACAAGTCCAAGAGAAAAAGACTGATGGTATTACGATCACCGTTCTGCTAGGCTCCATCAGGGTCCCGTATTAGATGACCCAAAGGAGCCCAGATCGTGGAGATGGCAAAGGAACCGCACCGTGGATTAAGGAATCTTCATCCGAAATTGACACTCCTACGTGATAACCCGGTCCAAGCCCGGCAGTCTGGGTCAGGAATGTGAACTAGGAGTACATATAACTCGGGGCTATTTGCTATTTGTGTCAATGTATTTTATTTTGTTTTAGTTCCATTTTCTTTGAATCTTTGAGGGGGTGTATCCTCTGCTCCTTCTAAGCCTCCTGCTCCTTTGTAATTTCATATGTTTGCAATATTTCATCATTGGCTGGTGGCTCTTCCCTTCTACTCATGACCAAACTACCACCTAGGCATCACTCATGCACGTTGGAGATCAGACCTCCCGGGTCAACCCAGGCATCCCGAGATCGGCAGATAGGCGTGTCGACGGATACCTGAAGCAGTTGAAAGGCGTCTTTGGAGGTTTTCTGGGTGAGCCACTCACGGGAGCTGGAGTCGAGCGACCGATGTCCACACGGGCCCCACTCGTCGGGAGCCTGGTATTTGATGAACCTTGTCCGTTGATTTTTCTCGATCCGGACTTGGACTTGCTACCAGGTATGAGAGTCGGTAAACTCGCCCTAGATTACAAGTCGGCAGAGTTGGCGGGTTCCACTTGGCTCCATTGACAGTGCACAATCCCCTTTGAAAAAATAATGATAATAACGATGTCCGTGACAGTGGACTAGATCGTCCATGAAATCGCAAGAAGAGGCTGGTGCGTAACGACGATCATTACGGTGGAAATTGACGTTGAAAATTTTTTAATCAAATCAAGATTAAAACGAGGCCAGATTTTAACTAGTGAACGATATTGGTCAAAGTATGGTTACACCGGTTAAACTGTAAATTAGAGTTATATTTTTCTTTTCTTTCATCTCAATGTTCGGTTAAGGGAACCGGGGAGGTTATACTCGACACGAAGGAAGAAACAAAGAAGCAAGTACATTACTTTGACGTTGAAGGCAACCCCAGCACGAGCATGTCTCCATACTTGGGCAATGGTCCTGCGTATTGGTCTCGTAAATGTGTGGGATGAAGATCTCGGCGCCCGCCGTGCCGTGCCTTTTTTCTAAACGAGACCCATTATTGACTGCGCCCACCTCCCGTTTCATATTCTGCACGGTAGGACTCCGTACGGCGTATTGAAAAAAAGGATGAAATAAAATTAAACACAAGAAAACAGCCCTGATGATCGACTCGGAAGCAATGCACCGGACCACATGGAAGCCCAGACCGGATGCTGACCCGGACAGTGGGACCTGGTGGCAAAGGCCGGCTCTTGATCAGTAATTCGCAGGAGAAAAAAAAGATAAAGAAACGCTTATCCAGGGGGAGTTGAAAGAAAAGGCCTGATGTTGTGAAGAGCCAATCCAATCCTTCTCCGAGTCAGTACAATGATGATGTTTGGTAATCATCTGTAATCAATAGATCGTCTATACTACTGGACACTTATCAGGGGGCCAATTGTTCGATATAGTAAGGTGTCGTTTCTGTATGGATACGCACATGTACGACTTCCTCTCTTTATAACCTGAACATTCAATAATTTTGGCATTAACGGCCCCCTTAGCTTGTTGGCCCGAATTTTATCCGAATAACGTTGAATCCTGGCCCCAGGTCTGGGCTCCGCAAAAGGAGAGATCTTCTGAGGCAGCGTAACCTGTAAGATGCTCCGTGCGCAAGCAGCTGAATTGAGCTGCTCCTCCCGGTCGCAATTGGCCATCTTTCCTTTAGGGACACTTTGCCGTTGGAAAGGAGGCTAGTAGATGATCGATTATATCACAAAGCAATCCAATCATTTTTATCATTTTCGCCGCAGCTGAAGGATGGTCCCACTTCAGACAGGGTTCTGTGCCGACGGGTCATCAATACTAGACTCGGAGAATGTCTCCAGGGCCATAGAAGTGGAATTCATCTATCCCACGGGTTTGGGACATGCCAGACTGATCACAGGACCTGCGGCACAGTAACCGACCGTGCATGCTGTGCATGAAGCACGGGGCACTAACAACACCCTGTTAGGCGAGACCTCCGTGAATCCTGCCAGGTCACCGGTGCCCTCGGGCTGGAATCTAAACTAAAAATGATGTCCCTGCGGCCAACGCCCGTCGCCAATAAGACGAACATACTGTACAAATAAATTACCAGGAAACCAACACCATAACACCATGCACTGACCCATGTCAGGTCCAGGTAATCAGGTTTTTACACACACTGAGACTGTGGCTGCCCTTGTCGCGCGGGTCAATTTCCAATCTCGCTATCCAAAGCACCTGCGATGGCGCTGAAATACGACTTCCCCGCACCCTTCGGCTAGGCGACCCATCCCATAAGCTTTCTACGGAGTACATACGGGTTGATTGAAGCCGGCCGTGCCAACTGGTCCATCCTCCGCGCCAGTGGTTGCGCTATGGCATAGTGGGAATTGCGCCATTTGTCTCCACCCTTCTTATCCTCCTGCTGTGTTGAGTTTTTTGTGTTGAGTTGTACAGTACGGAGTACAGACTGCATGCGGGAGTCAAGTACTCCGACCAACAACGCGGCCCCTCGAACTATTTACTACTTGTACTTTAGCGTCAGGATTTCCCGAGGAATTAGTGCAACTAAATCATAGCTCGTAGCCCTAATGTACCTGCACCCATTTGTACGGACCGAAAATCTAAAATTTGAAAAGGCAAATCAATTTACTTTACATAGTTGACGCATAAGAACCCTTGGTCGAAGCGGCTGGGCTGGGCCTTCGGTTCGTGCCGTGCTGCCGTCAGAAATAATCCTCCTACTCGTTCCATTAGACTTGGCATATATTATTCTTGGCAAGCCATTTCCAAATTCTCAGCTTCATTGGTCTCGGTGTACACACCAAATTAGCGTGATTCGCGAAAATTTAGCCAAGAGATTAACAGCGAGATAGATTACAGTCATCAAAGAAAAATCACGGCTGACCTGACCTTAGCTTGGGGGCAAAATATTAGTCCCGGGGGCCGTGGACAACACAGCATGAACACTTTGAACCTTGACTATTGTAGTACTCGAATTAGCTCGATGATCGACAGTTATGGTCTAGAGTTCGCCGGCCGAAATATGCCTCTCCGGCTCCGTAGATTATTGAAGGAACGAGGCCTAAGGAGCCCGCGGCAGGGTTCTCCGTCAAAGTATACTTGTTTGCTATTCGTTCTTTTGGGAGCTAGCTATCTAGTCCAGCCGATCCATGGCACGAGCCAGGATCGTTGAGTAAATACACTTCTTTCGGACTGGCGATGGTAACTCCGTAGTGCCCCTCAGTTATGCCCGAGCGATCCCTTCCGTCTAGGTAGGAAATCCCCCACTTCTAAGAATAGCGAGTTTGGATATTATTTTTTTAGGTGAGAGAGAGAGCGGCGATCATTGGAATTGACATGGCTGGTTCTCTTTTCTCTTCTCCACTATTCTTGCTACTGTATATGATATCTGTTTTCTCTTCCTAATAGATTAATCAATGATGCTGCCATCTATTCCCTAAACTTGATTTTACCTACTTTCATAATCGAACAAAGTCAGAGTGCTTCACTACGTCCGTCTCCGTATAGATAACCCAAATAGTCATTGTTGTCGAGTCTATTTGCTTCGCCCCACAGCGGGAACAACGATCCGAGCAGATGAAACACAACCGAGGAGCAGCCGAGTCATTCCGATTTGCCCTGTCCTAGCATTTTAAGACCTAACATTCTCTTTTCTACCTGAGACCGGAGGCCTCCGTATGCTAAATAGCGGGAGTCTCAGTTTAATTGATTGCTTGGCCCATTCAATGACGTATGAAGTGCAGCTCATCGGAATGCGCCGATTCAAGATATGCCGATTTCGTTTGCAAATCAGCATTACTGATGATAAATAAAGGGCATGATATGATGCATCTAATCCAATTCTTCATTTTGAATCCTTTGAACCTATTCACTGTATCACAGCAGTGGGATTGCCCGAGTCCACCCTCTCTACGGAGTGCTATGCAGTCTTCTCGCTTGCAACGTAACCGAGGTTCTAACTTCAAGCCTTCCTGCTCATATTCTCGCCTCCCACATCCATCTGCCCCATCCCTGCTAGCGTCTAAATATCCGCCCCAACCCATCAAACCTAACATAAATGTAAGGAACCCGCTGTTGCATTCTGTTGCATCGCCACACTCCATGGTTACAATGCAATCTATTAATCTTTGATGGCGTACGTGCGTCGAAATTGTTCATCCACATGCGTGAGATAATATGTCCCGCGTGTAAGCGTGTAGAGATTTCCCTCGGGCGTGTAGTTCTTCTGCTGGTATGCCTGTTCACGCAAAACACACATCTGCCCCCAATTTGTTAGCCGCTAGCCCCCGGATCTGGTATCAGGTTTTTATTTTTTCTCTTTTCTCTTACCTCGTTGTAGAATTCGGGGGATACTTTCTCCCGTCGGGCGAGACGATCAAGTAGATCAATTTTTGTCGCTATGTTATTGGTATCTCCGACTACGCGTAAAGTGAACAGTGTGCTTGCGAGACCGCTGCCGAAGCTGTAAATGCCTATTCGTCTATTCAATAGGTCTGAGCTTTTTGTGTTGCTGAGTAGACTGATTAGTCCTGAATATACACCTGCTGTGTACATGTTGCCGCAGTTTGTCGGTGCTGTGAGGCTTGGTTTGACGCGTTGGGCGAAACTTTCAGACGTTAAACCCATGAATAACTTCTCGGTCTCCTTGTTGGTTAGCGATTCTTCGTAGCTTTGCTCTCTGATGGCAGATGGGATGGCATGTGAATCAAACAAAGGATTACTTGGGTCAGCGACGAAATCATTGTAAAGAAGTCGGCCGTAAGACTTCGCGACCAGCTTGCAATTCGGAGCATGAAAGACAAAGTAATCGAACTCAACGATGGGCGAAGAACTTCTCGAGTTGGTACTCGCCTCGTTCGGATCTTCCCTGCTGGCCATTTTGCTGTGATATCGTCTGTAGCAGCCATCTAACGCTCTTATGTAGCATGTCGAGGAGTAATGTCCATCCACAATCGGGTACTCGGACTTGAGATTTGCCTTGTAGAAGTCATATGTATGCTGCATGTACGATGCCCTCAAAGGCTCTAGGACAAGCGGTGCATCGGCTCCAACTAGCATGGCAACGCACCCCGCTCCACCGGTTGGACGTGAAGAAACCTGATCGTAGATAGCAATGTCAGAAGCAACGACGATAGCGTCTCTTCCATCCCAGGCAGAGGACTCGACCCAGTTCACGGCATTGAGAAGCGCGCTTGTACCGCCGTAGCATGCATTGTAAGTATCTGCGCCCTCGATGTCGGTGTTGGAACCGAAGAGTTGCATTAAGACGGATTTGCAAGACTTTGACTTGTCAAGCATGGATTCAGTTCCAACTTCTAAGCGCCCAATTGAATTCGTGTCGATGTTGTACTTTTGGAGAAGGGAGGAGACGGCTGTAAGGGCGAGGGAGTATACATCTGTGAGTGGAGGGATGATAGTTAGTAACTGAATCTTGAACTTGGGATAGAAAACTTGCCTTCGCGGTCATCGCAGAAGCTCATGTTTGTTTGTCCAAGACCAATTGTGTACTTTCCTGTACTGGCGCCAAGGTACTTTTCCAAGTCCGATTGAGCCACGTACTGCCATTACCTGTTAGTGATGAACTTCATGAAGCGGATATGTTAAATGGGTAACTCACTCTACTGGGAAAGTAGATATCCATAGCCTTAATGCCAACATTTTTGAGAGCCATGTTGAACAAGTTGAGAGTTGAGGGCTGTTGGTGCTTAGTACTAGGTATTGATGCTGCAAACTTCAAGTTGAATACAAATGAGGATCATGTCAAAAAAACCAAGAATCTGGAGAGGGAATCACCCACTATTTATATTCCACCTCAGAACATGAGAGTCATCAGCATCTTCTGCCTAGCGCTGCTTGAAATACCGCTCTTAGTAAATGTTAGCAATTTCAAGTGCTACATAATGGGCCTCGCAAAGGATATCCTTGTGCCATCTTTCACTTGCAAGGCACTTCACCCAATCCTTTCAACCTGCTAGGCGCAAACAGGAAACTTCCGTTCAGCCGAGCACAAGTCGGTGTACAATAATAGTAGAAATATCTTTGATGCCTTGTTCATCGGTATGTGATGTTGTCATGTGCATGGATATACACCGTAGATCAGGTCCCGGTAGGATTTCGGGACATGGCCGGCATTATAACTCTTGAGGGGCTCCGAAATCCGGAGGAATCAGAATTATAATTTGGCGAGCATTTGGGATAAATGGGGATGATTGTTTGTCGTTGGGGTCTATTGAAGAGGAATTTGAACTTGAAGTAAGAAGTGTAGGTTGTGCGTTCAGTGTCAATTGTGGCTTTCTCAGGCTGCCCGGATGCCTACCTAAGCTACTATATTATGTAGCTTGTTTAACTTATTCAAGGCTGAATAAGTTCGACATGCGCACTGCATAAGATACTGCCGACTAAAATGTAAGATAATCCATTTAGTTTTGATTGATTTCCCAGATAGTATGTAGACGTCCACTCATTTGAATTCCCATGCAAACTATTCCTTCTGCTGCTCCGCGACCTTTTTTGCAATGAAATTAACAATATGAGTTAAGCCCTCCATTTCCTCCTCGACTGTCAGTCCAAGTCCATTGGGATCAATGCTGCAGCCAACATAGATTGGCTTGTGGGTCCGTCGGGCAAGAATCTTAGCCACACGTGTTGTGTACTCAATGCTCGAGGCTGTTGTGTATAGTGTCGTCGAGATTGTTGAGTTTGGAGATGTACGCTTTAGCCAGTCAGTGATTGCTGAGACATTGATGCAAATAATAATTTCGAGTCAAGGGTTAAGAGGGAGGTGTTTATCGAAAGGGTGGGGGATGGACAATTCCAATGTTGAGAACACCAAATTTGGCATATCAGAGCAAATCAGGAGGGGGCTAGGCAATAAACGATGGGAATCAAACATAATTGCCATCACGAGGGCTCGGCAGTGATATGTTAAACAGATTGATCATATGAACTTACATCTGGCATGGCATACACAAAGCTACCCAACGGCTTAATTGAACCTGCCGAATCACCAGGAGTTGAAGTCGTGATAAAGACCGTAGTACAGTTCCCCAGCACGGTCAAATGAACATGAGCTGTAGTATGTAATGCTCTAGGAAGCGGGAAAGAAAGTTGTTGTGGCTTGAGATTGGGTTCAACCCGTTCCGTCTGAGGGACACTCATTGTATCTGTAGTTCCCGAGAAGAGCGTTGAATATTGAAAATAGAATTAAAATAATCTGGTTGCAGAGAATTGTTGTCGTGGACTGGAGATTAACTGGTTGGAGTGAGGATGTGAAGATGTGAAGATGCAGTCCCCGCCAGCCGGCAAAACACAAGCGGGTCCACCAATCGCATTCGTCTCTGGTCCGCACCGCACACATCTCCACAGAGGAGTGTTGTCAACTTCCAAGGTTCAGCCCTGTTATTTCAAGACAGAACAAAAAAGTCCCCTAAATATGGAGGACATTCATAAATCAGATGATGGAGAGGAGGTCCGTAGCTGGGGAGGTGACTTTGATCCTTTTGCTGACCCCGAAGAACGTCGGGTGCTCTTTGCTGCGTTTGACTCGTTTAGGTGAGTGAGGGACTGGGATGTGGATTAAGCAGTGTGTTTATCGATTTCTTTTTCTTTCTTTCCTTCTTTATCTACTATATCTACTTGTGTATATAACAAATATTACGTGTCCTGGTCTCAACTAATAGGATGACAGACAATATCGACGAACAGCGCATCAGAACACGACACATCGTCGACGACAGGCTTTCTACGCCTTACCCTCAGAGCATTGGCAAATGCTTTCAGAGCGCCCCTTCTCCATTCTAGACCAATTCAACAAAGTGGATGATGCCATCGACACTAATGCTGAGATCGCCGATGCCATCCTGACCGTTGGTCTAGAGTCTTTCGGCCTATCCGCCACTCCAGACAAAGACGATCCGACCCAGAACTGGCACGGGGTAGCGACTTCATCAGACGTGAGCAAAGCGCACTCGACCATCCGGCAATTTTATCGAGACTGGAGTGCCGAGGGGCGCGTCGAGCGTGAAGTCTGCTACGACCCTGTCCTCCAGGATCTACGTACTGAGTTTCAAGCTCGTCGCGATGCAGGCGAGGAAATTCGTGTCCTAGTCCCTGGTGCTGGATTAGGTCGATTAGTCTTTGAAGTTTGCATGGCTGGATTCGCGGCGGAAGGCAATGAGATCTCATATCACCAGCTATTAGCTAGTAGTTGGGTTCTCAATCACACTGCCGGAGCCGAGATGCATACTCTTCACCCATTCGCGTTGCATTTTTCCAATTTGAAATCTCGCACACAGCAATTGCGCCAGGTCATGATCCCAGATGTTCACCCCAGCACGGCGATTGGGCAAGCCGTGGCGGACGAAAGCAAAAACCAATCGCTTGGATCGATGTCCATGTCCGCGGCTGACTTTGTGGTTCTCTACAATCAGCCTGATAATCGGGAAGCGTTCGATGCTGTAGCTACGGTGTTCTTTATTGATACGGCGCCTAATCTGATTCGGTATATTGAGGCGATTCGACACTGTCTGAAGCCGGGGGGTCTTTGGAGTAATGTGGGACCTTTATTGTGGCATTTTGAAGATCGGAAAGAGAAAGGGAATGGAAATGGAGATGGGGAAGCGGAGGGGATCGGCGAGCCGGGTAATGTGGAGTTGACAGAAGAGGAGGTTCTAGCTTTGATTCAGCGGATGGGATTCCGCCTTGAAGCACTGCCAGGTGATCGGCAGGCTTGCGGCTATATCCAGGACGGAGAGAGTATGCTTCAAAACTTGTATCAGCCCTCGCATTGGGTGGCTCGGAAGGTGGCTGAGGTGGCTGATGATAATCGTGGGACGCCTGAATCTGGTGTATGAAAGTCAGTCTCAGCTCCTGCTACTGCTACTCCTGGTTAAATATTCAAATTTGTCGAAACTACTACTGTATACGGAATATTGTATGAGAATGGATCTAGGCAGGACTATCTGAACGGACCACGGAATTTGGAGTTTGGGGTGGAAATCCGGAATCTCCAGTTAAATCTCCGGGACCCATATTAACCCGTATTGGCCCCCATCAATTACTGTTATTTTAAAAAAATTCTTCTTTTTTTTTCTCTCTTTGGACGTCAGACTAAAATGATGTTGGGGGCGAAATGCATTTCCGAGCGGGACAAAGGAACGCGGGCGAATCGCAGCATGGCAGCATCCGCGTTACCGTGGGTCCCTTGAAGCCTCGGGAACAAAGAGTAAACAGAGGAAATGAAAGGAGCAGATTGTACTGTAGAGTTAAGTTGAAGTCAGATTAGATTTATAGATCATGCATAGGAGTAATTAAATGTGGAATATAATTCTATAGATACTGGATCATTTATAGTGTAGTACACAGTATATAAGGCCCGTCTCAGGTACAACGCTGATATTTGGTACACAGCTACTACTACGAGGTACAATAGATCCACCGTACTTAACTTGTTGAACTCATGTTATTATAGATCAATTAGCAATTATTCTATCCTTCTACTAACTCGAATAAAGGTGGCCTTGTTATGCTGTGATTATTTGATTATTTCAATTTTTTTCTGAAATATTCAACTTCAAGATTCACCAATTCCTGTTATGTAACCTTCCCCTCGACTGCTTCTCTCTCTGTGTCTCTGTTTCTTTCTCCTCCAACATTCAATTTACGACCCCCAATTCTCTTCCTTCTTCAGCCTCAGGTCGATCCATCTTCTCAGCCCCCTCCTCTCTTCCCCCCCGATCTGGGTTACTCCCAATTCTTTCCCTTCTCCCCCGAATATCTCCCTCTCTCCTCTCTCTCTTTTTCTCTTTCCCCCTAATCCCCTTTTGCCGGGCTGACAGGCACAACACACACAAACACCAACCCACACCACCCACATCACACACTGCCACACAGTTTACAGATTACCCCCAGAACCAACAGCTACTGCTCCACCCTGGTTTGACTCGTATTCAGCCTTGTGCTTTGCCCCTCCCGCCTCCCTCTTTTTTCTTTCTTTCTTTTTTTCCCTTTCCCCTCTTCTCTTATTCATCCCTGAGCGGCAGCCGCCTATGGACCTCATGAGTTCGAGATTCAAGTTCGGCTTGAAACGTAAAGACAAGCACGCCTCTACCCCACCCCCAGCCTCCAACGCCAACCCCCTCGTCGTCACCCCCTCCAACGGAACATCTCCAACCTCTCCTCCTTCCAACCGCAGTTCCTCCACCACAAGTCTCCCCCCGGCTATGAACACTCAGGCTGGTCGCCCACCTAGTTATCGCCCAAACAGCCCCTTAGCCCCCGGTCAGCAACAACTTGCCCAACACACTACTCCTCTGAACTCTTCCACAATGCAACAATACGGTCAACCGGGTATCGCCCAGCAAATGAATGCGCCCCCAGGGTACGGCATGCAACCACAACAGCTAGGTCATGGTGTTCCTCCGGGTATGCCTCAACAGTATGCGGGGCGCAACCCCGCTGTTGATACCCAGGGAACGGACCGTAGTAAAGCCCAACTGATCGTTGGTATTGATTTTGGCACCACTTTCTCCGGTGTCGCGTTCGCTTTTGCGACAAACAATGAGGCGAGAGAAGATATCATTACAGAATGGCCCGGTGCCGGAACTCATACGAAACAAAAGGTAAGAGTACTTGCTGCCTTGACCAACTTCATTGTTTTGTTTTGGTCCCCTCCTTTCCTTTTCTTTTCCTTTCCTCCTAATATTCCCACTCACTACGTGCTCTTTATTCTAACCCTGAGATCCTCTTTTATAGATTCCAACTGTTCTCTACTATGACCAGTATCAGAAAGTCGTCGGTTGGGGTCCAGATATCGCCGAGGCGCTGGCGCCAACCGGTTACCCGAAGCCTGGCGTACAGAAAGTCGAATGGTTCAAGCTTCAGTTGATGCTTTCCGGAAACACCTACATTGACCCTATCAACCTGCCCCCTCTCCCTCCTGGAAAATCGGAAATTGACGTCGCCGCCGATTACCTCTTTAAGCTACGACAGGCCATGCGCGCCCAACTTCAGAAGACCCTCGGTGAGGTGTTTACTCGTGAAGAGCGCAATATTCGTTATTATTTGACCGTTCCAGCTATCTGGAATGATGCCGGAAAGGCAGCCACTCGTGCTGCGGCCATCCAGGCCGGATTCTTGAGGGACGAGAATGACAACCGATTGACTCTGGTCTCAGAACCAGAGGCTGCCGCTCTCTTCTGTGCGAAGACTGGACTCTTGAATTTGAAGATCGGCGATGCTATCCTCATTGTGGATTGTGGTGGTGGTACTGTCGATTTGATCGCGTACGAGGTTGAGGAAGAACAGCCATTCAGTGTGATGGAGTGTACCGCTGGTTCTGGTGATTCGTGCGGTTCTACTGCGCTGAACCGCAACTTTAGTAATATTCTGCGTGCAAAGATCCGTAAGATGAAGCTGCCTGATGGTTCTCGAACAGCTGGTAAGGTCTATGCCAAGTGTATCATGGACTTTGAGAACCGTATCAAGGCCGACTTCCGTAACAACGGACAGAAGTGGGCGGTCGACGTTGGTATTGAGGCGGACTTCCCCGATGCTGGAATTGAGGAGGGTTACATGACATTTACGAACGAGGAGATTCTTCAGTGCTTTGAGCCTGTAGTAAATCGCATTCTTGAGCTGGTTCGTAACCAGATCATTGCTATTCAAGCACAGAACCGCATGCTCCAGGTATGATTATCCCCCTGCCTTTTGGTCCCAACTCAACAAAAGTCTTATTGTACTAACTTGTGCTATAGAACGTCCTGGTTGTTGGTGGTTTCGGTGCCTCAGAATACCTATTTCAACAGATCAAGCTTCACGTGCCCCCACAATATCAGACCAAGGTTGTTCGTCCCATGGACTCAGTGGCAGCCATCGTCAAGGGTGCTGTGACTGCAGGTATCACCGAGCGTGTTATCACCCACCGTGTCGCTCGTCGTCACTACCTTATGGCTACTCTGCAGCCATTCAAGGAAGGATACCACCCTGAACAATACCGTGTACCCAGTCTTGACGGCCGAGACCGATGCAAATACACCCGCCAGATCTTCGTCCAGAAGGGCGAGCGTGTCAAGATCGGAGAGCCCGTCAAGGTCAGCTTCTTCCGTCAAGTGGCTCCTGGCGCTACTCTCATGTACGAGGATGTGCTGTATGCCTGTGACGAAGACGTGTGCCCCGAGTACACCAAGGATCCTCGTAAGTTCCGTCTGATATGATATTATATCCCATCTCGAGGATAATCACTAATCACATCGACATCTAGGCATCAAGGAGGTCGTTACTCTAACCTCTGACCTTTCTCGCAAGAACCTGGAGACCGACTTCGAGCGCATGGACACACCACAGGGTATCTTTTACCGCGTTTACTTCGATATCTACCTCACCCTTGACGGAAGTGAATTCAGCGCCGAATTAGTCTGCCAAAACGAGATCATGGGTCGTTGCCGTGCTAAGTTCCGGTAAATAACACACCACATCATCCTTATCGTACGAGGATATCAAGCATTGCCCACCAAGAAAAACAAACCCGGGCATACATAAAAAAAAGATGAACTCCCAAAATACATGATTGCAAAAGATCGGGGGTCAGACCAGGGAGTCGTAAATATGCTTCTGCTTCTCCTTCTCCTTTCTCCCGGCGAACAAAACGGCAAGAAATCTGGTCGGCAAAGTCTTTGATTTGATTTGAATACTTTTCTTTTTTGTTCATTTCCACTTCTCAACTTCTCATTTTCTCATTCGGGAATATTTCCTCCCTCTTATAAGTGGACTGGACAGGACAGCACTGCACGGAGAATGGGCGTTGTTTGGATGATTCACTTTGAACCTTTTCTCTCCCTTTATCTACCTAACCTACATACCTGCCACGCAAAGCCAAGCCAAGCCAAGCCATGCTTTATCGATTTTTATTAGCTGATGGGTAATATCTGGCGAATTGCCTATCTTGTTTTTTTTTTCTTCTTCTTTTTTCTGGTTTTCTCTCTCAATACTTTATACCTTTCTCTGGTTCTTTAGATACCTCTTATACTCTTGACTTGACTTGAATGATATTTACGAGCTGTGGTCGACAGATTGCATTGGCGTGCCTACTTACTACCTGCTGACCTTCGGTCATATCCATCCATAATTCATTGCTTGCATGTTATTGTATTGTATTGTAGGTACATTGGATTTTGGTCCTGGTCCTGGTCCTGGTTTCAGATTCTTCCAGATGGACATCTGGATATTAAGAAAAGAATTCCCGTATGTTTGATTGGTTCATACTCCTGAACCTTCTGCTATGCCACATATGGTAGGTGTATATAGCTTAAGTCTCCAGGTTAATACTGCGTCCGAACCGGGCATACAGCGAAACCTTAAGCTGTTGCAATTCCTCGTGAAGTTCACCAATTGACTCCTCGAGCTTTGAGACGTCTGTGTCGATTTGCTCGGTTGAAGTGGAAAGCATAGACTGTGCCTCTGAGAGTGGAAGCTGGAAGAATGAGTCGCCGATTTTGTATCTGATATGATGTGAGCATGTGTCTTGAGTCTTGAGTCTTGAGTACTGGGTACATGAGTTGGAATTTCTCAAGCTTCCAAGATTCCGAGATACTCACGGCACAAGTTCGTCTTCATCAGCCAATTCCAATTCCATAGAAACTTCCTCTAGATCCTCCTTGTCCTTCTGTATACTTATTAGTCTGAATTTCAATTTCACTCTCAATTTTAGATTTGAAGTTCCATTTAGATAGTAACATCAACCTTGATCATAATACATACCTGCTTCCCCTTCAACTGCTCCTCCAAAACGGTCTCCCGCTGATGCAATCGGCTAAACCGATTAATCTTCTCCTGATCCTCGCGACGGACTTCATTCTCTTCGCCACCGGAAGTCCCCTCGTCGTCCCTTGATAGCTGGAACAGGACACATTAGTACATTCATGCATAGCGGGTGGGTGGTGGTTCCCCTATCGTTATCCATTCTGCCGCTATTCTGCCGCCAAGCCATGGTGGGATGGGATGGAGGGGCAGATGACTTGACATGACATGACATGGTTTGGCTCGGGGTTATATTGGGAAGAGACGGGGGGCTGTACTTACCATGCGTGGTTGGACCATTGTGTCTTGTGGGATAGCCAGAGTATCTGGGATGGTGGTGTGTGGTTTTGTGGTGGTGATTGATGGATGGGTTTGATGGGGGGTTGGTCTGTGCGTTTCTGTTGGCTTCCGAGCTGGACTTTACTGTACTTGGTATGCTAGATTTGCGGCTTTGATGGATGGGCGTTTTCTCTTTTAGATGGATTGGAAGGGTATTAGTCAAATTTTTGGATGCTTATTTTAGAAAGAAGTATTGTTTCTGTTTATTGTATGGTTGTTCTGGTAGTAGACAGTGCTGACCTAGTGCAGGGCAAGTATATGGTTATTGTCATAGATACTAAAGCATATAATAATAAGACTTGTTGAACATCCAAGGTCTGCCTCCATAGTAGATAATTAACAGGATATATTTTTTGGTTAAACATCTTCCTGTATCTATTCAGGGACAAAGCATGCAGCTAACAATGGCTCTGTCAACTGGCGTACCCCTGGTCGGGTGACATCATCTAACAACCCTCCAGAATCACAATTTCATTTCCATTTCCATTTCCATATTTATTCTCATTCTGAATTTAACTATCACGCAAGACTAGGCTCACCAAGCCAAGCAGACAGGCAGATACATTCTTCAATATTCGGCCACAGGCGCAGTGTTGGGCTGCCAGTGCCACTCGTCACAGCCACTACTAGCACAACCCGCGTCGGAGAAACGAAACACCTCCGCAACTTTCCCAGCCATCGTCATCTTAATCAACTTGAACCTCACTCACACGACCAACTCAATCCCTAACCAAGTCACTCATTACCTTCTGTTCATTTCTCACTATCCGTGCGCAACAAACCTACACACCCTGCTCTGCTCCTCCTTTTTCGCCTGAGCTCCTAGCTCCCACGCCGCATCCTCCCGCTCTCCCTCCTGCATACGCTCCACACCGCAAGCAACCATGCGAATACAATCTAGCAGAGCTTCACTGCTCCTCTCCGCTTTCTTCTCAGGACTTGGACTCGTCTCAGCTGACGCTTTTAAATGCGATCAAATCAAGGCTGCAGACCATACGTTTGATCTTAGCGGGTTAAAGGGCGCTCATGAGGTATCTTACACATCTGAAAATCAGACGGATAACTATGTCGTCTCTACGACGTATGTTATGAATATCTGTGATGTTCTTCATAGCGCTGCGAATCGCGATGGCGAAAAATGCGGAACAGATAAGAATAGTACGTGCAATCCCAGTCCATTCCAGTCTTGAAAATTCAACATTTGCCATTCTGGTTGCATTGCCCTGCTCTGTCTGGCAGAGAAGATGCGAATGGATAATACCACATCACATTACATGTGGCTCGCCCGTGACTATAAATGTGACTATAACTAACTGCACTCATTAAAGTCTGTGGCTTCCCCAAAACACACGCAAAAGACGACCACGGCAACGAAACATTCGCATACCCCGTCGCCGACCTAGTAGGCGAAGGCGAGAAAGCACCCCTCGCTACACCCCTAAAAGAAATCGACGAGAAGAAAGAAGGTCTCCGATTGAAGATGTTCGGTGGAGAGTACCGCGCTCATGTGGAGGGGGAAACGAAGCCCGCCGCAGCGATTATTGATTTTCAATGTGATCCGGATCGATCGGGGTTGGAAGGGATCGTTAGCACGGAGGATATTCTAGAGAAAGGGGATGCGAAGGAGAAGGACAATGCGAATGCTAAACGGGCGGAGGATAAGTCGGAGTCTGAGAAGGATCCCAGTTTAAAGATTGTGAGCTTTGGACCTGATAAGGACAATACTTATATTCTGAAATTGGATTGGAAGACCCGGTATGCGTGTTATGATTACAAGGGTGGGAATGCGGGGAATACGGATCCCTCGAAGCATTGGGGTTTCTTTACTTGGATGATTATTATGTGAGTGCTTTTCTTCCTTTCTGTGGTGTGGTGTGGTGTGATTTGTTATGCCAAGTTGAGATAGATGCTGACTTTCTGCTATACTAGTCTCTTCCTTGCTATTGCTGCGTACCTTATCTTCGGCTCGTGGCTTAACTACAACCGGTTTGGTGCGAGAGGATGGGATCTTCTGCCTCACGGAGATACTCTTCGTGATGTTCCGTATATCTTCCAGGATTGGTTCCGTCGTGTGGTTAATACACTACAAGGAGGCGGGTCTAGGGGCGGATACAGTGCTGTATGAGAGAACTGATCACTTCCGTGTGGTTCTCTAGCAGTGTATTTGGAAGAAGTCTGTTGTTTACTTTACACCTTTTTCTGCTGTTGTTTTCTTTTCTTTCCTTGTCTTCTTCATATTCAGGCCTGCTTATGGTGGACTGTCTTGTAACTTGCTGGTTGGAGCAAGGGTTTGTTGTTTATGGCGCTAGATGCGAAGTTGGGATTATAGGTCCGATTGATTGATTGCATGATGGACAGTGATATATTCTTCCATTTAGTCCAAATAAGAGATTGCATTTATACTTCAACTTAAAGGGAACTTAGGTTGAATCTCTGTGCGGAAGGGTGTTCCTTGCTTGGCAGTCGTAAGCATAGTATAGCCTCGGGAGAACTAACTTCGTCCATGCGCAGGTTACCCTTTCAGAAGGGAACAGGGAACCAGGAACCGGGAACCTTGCAAGAACATAAATAGATCTAACTAGGCAAAGTACCTCATAAATTTGTTCTTATACGTTCGTAGAATCTTGAAACAGATGGGGGTCAATTTCATAGTCATATTCCGCCAATAGGATCGATATCATGATAATCTCCCTACACACAAATAACAATGCAAATCATAGCTAGGCAAGGCAAATCAGATGCAACAATAAACGCAACACAAAGTCGGTGTAGAATAAACCAAACAGAAACAAGATCATCACGATGTCCACCGATCCCCGCAAATTCCCCGAGGAATCGAGGAACCAGAACGGCTCGGGATGGCGCCATCGGAACTAAATCGTTCTCATAACAGAAACAACAGCTAACTGGGTGTAATGGGGGTTCATGGGGATTTCGTTAAAGTCTCCGGTCACACAGCGTCAGAGTCCAGGGGATTTCGGTTTCCTATTCAAAAGCTGGGGCCCCGTCTTCCCTGTTTTCCTTTTTTTCTTCTCTTTTCTGGAGTTTTTGTCTCTTCTTGTTGCTTTCCGACGATACTTCGTTCTTATACTATACGATCTTCCACTTCAGACAACTTCCAGTACAGAACGAACATGGATTCTCTAGAATGGCATGTCGGTCTCTTTACTTGTTCAATGCTGTTTAGACCTTCATGGCAAACTGCTTGAGGTACAGGTAGTCGTCGAAGGTCTCGTTGACTGTCTGGCGGATCAGAGCAGCACCCTTGGGACCGTACTTGGCAAGCCAGTCTGCATCCCACTGCTCCTCGGTCTTGGGAGCATGTTTCTATAAGAAGATGTTAGTATGTGTCCTCATTACTGACATATCCACCCCATGTCGTTGAACATAGATGAATCCATGTATACATTGTATACAATACCCAAAGGAGAAGAAACCTACATGAGCTCTCGCAACCAGACCCTTCGACTCAATCGCATCATTATGGAACCCTCTCCACTTCTCAAAGTTCTCACACGCAAACGCATAATCCTCCTCCGTATCCCAACACAACATATCAGGCGTATACGGCACACCAGTCGTACGACAGAACGCCTCAATCATCGGCGCCGGCGAATCAAGCATATCATCCGCATCAATCATACAGATCTCATGCACAGTCTTCTGATCTTCCTCAGAACCAGCCTCAGGCGAAAGATCAGGCCGGGTAGCAACACGCGGTCCGACAAGTCCCGATTCAACAAGATACTCGAAGTGGCGACGAAGTTCATTATACCCCGCCTCCTTTGGGTCGAAGTTATGGAATCCAGTCAACTGGTCTAGAGGTGGGATTGTGCATCGGTAATATGATGGGATGCTGTGGTGGGGATCACGGATAAGGAAGGCCCAGTGGAACTTCTCTTGGAGTTCGCGGGGCATCACGGTCGGGTTGCCTGGTTCCTTGGGGGTGTCGTATGGGTATGGACTGGAACCATTGACTCCGTTTCCGTTGGTGTGGACGTGGGCGTCAGCGTCACTGTTGCTGTGCCCGTTTACATGGACACCGTTGCCGTTGGTGGAGTGTCCGTTGGTGGCGTGTCCATTTACGCCGTTTACCGCCCCGTTGGTGGTGCCGTTGACACCGTTCGAGTGGCCGTTGATGCCGTTCAAAGTCGAAGTGCCGTTGACACCGTTGACGGGTGCGGTGGTGTGGCCGTTGGCGTGGACGCCGTTGGCCGAGTGGGGTTCCTCAGCGGGAGAGTCGGTGCCTACGCCGCGCTTGATGCGTCTTAAAGATGGAGCAATGCTTGCTGGCTTCCCGTTTTGTGGGAGCAAATAGGCGTCAATGTCCTTGATGAAGACTCTCTTTCCCTGTTTCACGGTAAGTTTCTCCCCGAGATAAAAACATGATTCATGGTGAAAACAAGGAAAGATCGATTTCTCGATCCTTGCTCTTCGTTTTCGAGGCTCTCCGTATATGGATGGGATATTGAAGGGGAGTGTTGTTTGGGGATTGTGGGAGTTGCTTTTTGCTATTCTCGGACGAGAACGCAATATGCGATTTGGGTAGGTGAAGTCCCTCGCACTGCAGTCTTGTCTATACAGACAGAGACTTGGCAGTGCTTTACAAAACGTAGAGATCACAGAACGCAATCAAGAAAAGCAAACGGGTTTAAAGATATCGCGGGAAATCGGACCTCTGAGCCTTCACGTTCCAATCTATCCATCACAGTGCGATATGTCGATTTGCTGAATCCACTGTCCAAACGACCTTGTTCATCATTTTCAAACCGGTCGGCTAGACGCTCTGGACCGTAGTACCAAGCATCACCGAAGGGTTCGTGAACGCATTGAATAGTAGCGCGTTGGGTCATAAAAACCTGTAGACACAAATTTTAGCCATTTTTTTTCTCTCTTTTCAAACAACCAACCAAATCATAGGAAATTCAAATCAATTAAAAACTCAATTTTTAGCACATACTCGTTCAAAAGCAGTAGAACAAGCGCGCGGATGCGCAGCCACATAGATAGGTTTGATAGACATGATGATCGATATTGCTCGCGTGCTGGATTACCAGGATTCAAACAAACAGAGTTCTCAAAGTTAGGAACAGGTAATAAAGCCCTTGACAGTGAAAATCCTTTCTCGATAATAGAAAAAAAATTAAATAACCTCGTGGAGTTTCCGAACTGAGCCGAAATAGGTTGCAGGGCTGATGCAGTGGCAATATTGCCGTATAGAATTTATGTAACTGCCGGGTTAGCCTTAAGGGACAGACCCCGGGCAGTGAAAATCAGCAAATGCGAGGGCTTGTAGATGAGTTCAGAGAAGGGTGCGATGGCGCAAGAAGGATGATGCAAGAAGTAGGCTGGAAGTCTTTTATAGGGCAGGTTGGATGGGGGTGATTTCCGGCAAAACCTTGGAACCGAAGCAGCTAAAAAAGTATTTATTAGATTTAAAAAAGAAACAAGAAAGTAACAAATATCATGAGGGGCAAAGTTTTTTAATTCTTTTTTTTTATTTTTTATTACCCTATTGTACATGCGGAGATTTCCTCAGCCGTCGACCGTGGATACAGGCCTCGGGAGCTTTGGGAGAGGAGCTGTTCTGATAGATACGGATATTCTATCATGCTCCTAACTAAGAAGGCTGCGAGTACAATAGGCTACTATCATACAAAGTCCTTGATTTCTACTAGCTACAGATCACGCCATAGAATAATTCTAGACTCGTATCAATGCTTCGGATTAGTTCCCACCATCTAGGTACTGTATGTACCTTGCCCAGGAGGTCAATTCGTATACGAAGATCTGCATAGACGTCAAGACTAGGTATCCTGCACCCGCATATTGTCGCAGCGCAGGTGTACAACATACCAGTATGTGCTTCGTACTCCGTACATAACATCCATACATATAAAGAGATTTAAATGCCGCATGGCCAGTTTCACCAACGTGGAGTCCGTCCAGGATCTAGACTAGCTGAACAAGCTCTTCCGGGAGAGGAGGGGTCGTCCAAGAACACCTTACACAAATCAGAAAGCTGCTACTGTTCAAGGTCTCTCTGTTCATCTCCGCTGCCCCGCTGACAAGCACAGGTTAGGTTCCGCTTCTATTTTTTGCGTATCCGCCCCGTGCGATAGGGAGGGGGTCAACTCGGGTACCACCACCCAACAGAAACTCTAGAAAAAAAAAATTTAAATAAATCGAAACTCTAGACACCACTTTACCCATTTACTACATGTACTATGCACCAATTGAGAATGCTGGAGTGGGCAGTTGGAGGAATGCATCTCCGTGGCTGGATGTCTGGACACGCCCACTTGGATCCAAGTGTCCACCAAGAGCAAGTTCGTGATACTCGGGTTGATCTAGTTGGCTCGGTGGAATGTGGTCATGTCTTGGAGATTTTAAAACCTTTTTTTTTTTTTTTTTTTTTTTACACTCTCTTCCCCTCTTCGAGAGAAATCTCCGATGACCAGCTTTAGCACTTTGGCGCCTTTGCGCTTGGGTACTTTTTTTCTTTTCTTTTTTCTCGTGTCTTTTAACTACATTGCTTTTTGCCTCGGCCGAGACTATACGATAAACACCTCTCGATCGGACGAGGTCTGATCCCGAGTCGTTGAAGATCAGATCCCACCTTTTTTTCTGCGGCTTGGCCGGTCGCGCTTTGACGTCATGGGTGATTTTGGCTCGGTTATTGACCGGAGGGCGAACATGAAGAGGGGCTACATTAGCTAGCGGATTCAAGCGTAGAAGAAAGCGTTTGTTTTTTTGCCTCTTCAAGCTGAGAGACGGCGAAAATAAAATTCAATTGCCTGGAATTTCCCAGGTGTAAAACCGGTATGGGATGCGGAGGTGAGATCAGATCAGTTCCAATTCAAGGCCTCCGCGCCTTGGTTCTCTATGGAGGAGAGTGGACCGAGGCCTCGTAGTGGGTTCAAATGTTGTTGGTCCCGCATTCCGTTACCAGGAACACGCGCGAGCCATTTGAGATCCCGCCAATGACGGGTGGCTTTTAGAAGAGGGGAAAATGGACGGATAGACGTTGTCTGTTCAACGTGGGGCGAAGTAACTTTGTTGCGTTGCTTTTTTTTTTGCTGTTGATCAAATGAGATGAGTCAGCGACACATGGTTGACAGATTGACCAGATGGCTGTTGATACATACATGGTGGCTGCAGTGGCACCTCAGGCAGGAACTGCTGACTTGGCTGTGCAACTCTTGATCATATCTTCATCGATCAATTTATAGGGATTCATAGGTCGATATTAGAAATTATCGGCGATTGAACGCCCCTGCAGTTTCGAGCATGCGAATCGTACATGAAGGAAGTATTCTCTTTCGCGTATCTATGCACCTAGGCAACGAATCTAGAAAAAAGAGGCTTCATGAGTATATGGGCTGATCTTCTTTAGAAGAGGCAAGACACCATCATGATCCATGTTTCTGTGTTGGGCCCACAGGTGAACTTGTCTCTCTTACTATACCAACGTAACGTTTTTAGCTACAACCCATTCATTCTTCGAGACCAAATGCTGGGTCTTGCCCATATGGCCCATCTTACGGACTGCTGATGCTGGCAATGCCCAGATACACTCGCCCCTCGTGCTGTAGTCTGATTACTGAACAACTCTTTTGTCCGCCTTTTCCTGTCGTTGGATTGTTGTAACGGCTTGGATGCTTTCGTTTTCTGATTCGCGTCTTCAGACCTTGTGAGATTGACTTATCATGGATCCAGAGGGCTGATAGATAACATGCTCTATTAATTCCTACCACCGAAAGCAAGTACAGGCCACAATCACTTGGTAAATGGGTCGTCTGATAAATCAATAGTCAAATTTCAGGTATCGGTTCATTGATTAGATGGCCAAATCCCATTCAAATAATCATTAGAAGTGTTTCTGGTCGTGTCTTATAGTTCGTTATATGATCCTGGCTCATTTGTAATACATGCAGAAATATTCACTTACCTATTAATTGCAGGTAAGTGTAGTGATATCCCCACTCTTGAAACCCCGGGGGTTGTCACGGTCCTACCAAGTCTCTTTCTCGAACTCCACGCACTCGTGTGATCTCATGCATTCAATCTAGCCCCTTTAGTAAACCAACATTTAAATTACTCTCTGTTTGGCCAGCATGCACTTTCATGCTTGACAAATACTGTCAGATATTTGTGACCCACCTATAGTGTACATCTCGATGCACCTATTTTATTTTTACTAAATTCACCCGGGTTGTTAGGCAAGACAAACATTTTGTTTCTTTTGGGTAGCTACAGGGGTATACACACACTTTTCTGGGTAAATATTGACCAGTCGTTCTACATGTCTGTAAGCACTAAAGCCAAGCTGCGTTCTCTACCTGATTGTATTCGTGGATTAGATCGAGATCAGCATTCCCTTTTCCGAGATTCTGCCAAAGAAAATTACTGGGCCTGCAGACGATTGATATGAAAAGGAGAGTGTTTTTTTTTTCTATACATACCATGCATCGGCCTAGGCAATAAACTCGATGGGGCTGAACACCGGATATTTCATTGTCAAGTAAACAAAAGTGAACGTATTTGGAAGCTCTAGATAAATCTACTGTTAGAGAAAATATTCGAATAGTTTGTCGCGGCATGACGAATTCAACTTCGCCATGACATGCAGCACGGCCCCGCTCTGAACTATACATCCAGTAGATCATCTAATCTGTAGATCGACAAGTACTCTTAATAGGAATCAAAAGCGATGTGAATATCAATATTCTCTATCGTTCCTTCGGTATCTATTTTTAATGATATAGGCCCAAAATGTAGACAAACTTCTCGTGCATTGAAGGTATACCCGAGGACATGAACGACGTGTCGGGCTGACATTGATGTTGGTATGGCTGTCCATGTTAGCCTGAAGGAAATTTGCTCAGCTTCAGCCGTGAAGAGTTTTCCAGTACACAGTTCATAGTACCCTGACAGCCATACTTTGCAAACAATGCGTTGTTCTCAAACACCACGAGGCCAATGTCACATACGCCACTCCTTGTTCTGGATTCCTCATCCATCTCCTCATTACCGCTATTCATCCATGTCTGGTTTATTCATTTCGAATAGTTACTTCTAACGCAGGTCTATTTTGATTTTGAGTATATGCTTACATTATTTCCTCATGCGAAGCCTTCTTATCTTGTTATAAAGTATCAAACGCCCCCGTTCTATCCCCTCTTTTTAAGAGTAAAGGATCATTCTCACCCGGGCTTTCGGGTGGAAACAACGAGCATGGACTCACTGGCTTTCCGCCCCTGCAGGCAGATGGCTTCCATTGTTTTCTGGGCAGCCAACTCATAAGTACATTGGAGAATAGAAAGTATGTAACATACCAAAGAATAGGGTTACACGGGCCAGAACTACATGAACTTGCTATCTAGATCAAGATCTGCGATCCTTTGGGTAGCAAACATGCTCGTTCACTATTAGCGACTTGTAGTATAGGACAAGGGCTGGGTTTCTGATAGCCAGGTGGCAGCAAATGGGCTTACACTGTTCACACCGATCAATCAGAAAAACCCTTAGGCCACATATGAAGAGGCATACGACTTGAAAAATTTTCTCTCTATACCGCTTTTTTGATGTACTCAGAGATTATGAATGAATACTAACCATTTGTTCATGCCCAGGCGTTCTTGTTGGTTGGGCTCTTGTGACCCCGGTGGACATGATTAGAGGCTGAATTTTGAAAGCCTACGAAGATATAAATACTCTCAAATGGTCTATGGCTGTTTATGATTTCATACCCATTGAAATTTTATCATTTTCAAAATAGTCTGTGGATTACACCTCTGAGAGCCGAGTTAGACTTGGACCTTAACCTTTTTACATCTGTTCAACTTGCGATTTTCCTCCATCTCGCCGCATACCACCAATATGAGTACCAAAGTGAGCGACTCTCTGGTTCCAGCATTTGTACAGAAATATTGCACGCATTATAAGCATGAATATAATGGTGCGGCCAATGCAGTCGCGACTACATGCAGTCAAGTTTTTTCGAACAGTGGAATATATCATGCTGTGAAGTTTCGTGCCAAGCACCCCAAGAGTCTGGAAACTAAGATCTTGAACCTCGAATTTCGTCAAGGTCATGCATACAAATCCTTTGAAGACATACGAGAAGAGATCAAAGATTTCGCTGGTGTCCGCATTTTGGTCGATTTTCCGAAAGACATGGATAAAGTTGGAACCCTCATAAAGCAATCATTCATGGTTTTTCAAGAGGTCTCGCATCCAAAGGAAAATAATTCCAAGAACTATCATGCAGATCACTATCATGTCCGTCTTCATGGCTCTCAGGGAGAGGTGGTAGTTGAGATTCAAGTTTCACCTACCGTGCGCGCTCCTTACCATAACATGGAACATGAAATAATATACAAGGCGAAAAAAACACCAACACGCGCACAGTGTCAAGGACTAGAGATTCAAGGTGGTCTAGCCGATATGTCTGAGATGAATCTTAGACATTTTGCTGAGAATGAAGCTCACCAGGCAGGGAAGAAGGCTAGACCTTTAGAAGGTCTTAATGATGTCGGTCATCACTCGCAAAAGTGGATTCGCCAGCGGCCCAATGAGTGGTTCCACTCCAAGGAATTAGGACTTTGCACATCTATCAGAGCATTTTTAGAGAAACAAGACAAGGCTACTGTTGGCAATTTGCTTGAAATTCTAGAGATGACTCTGGGACCTGATTCTGAGTCGCAATATTTAGAGGTTGCGTGCCAGTACCCAAACCACAATCCAGACCTTGTGGTATTTATCATGGATCGTATGTTGCTTACTGATAAAGTTCAATATCCGGATTTCGAAAGTTGGAACAATGCCCACGAGGCTCATGTCTACAAGATCAAAACTTTGACAAGTACCATCGGATGGCTTTCAAGAATCTGGAAGGTGTCATTGGAATGGCGGAAAATCTTTGCTAGAGCTCATGACAAATCGTCTTTGCGGGAAGGATTGAGTTGGCTTGGTAGTACCAAGCAATTTTCCTTTCTCGATGATAAGATATTATCGGAATTAGACGCAAATGACGTCGATATCCTTGACGGGCTTTGGACCTGGTTTGAGGAACAGAATGACAGGCCATTCATGTTAGCTTTCGCAATATCCAAATTTGAACTTTGGAAGGACAGACGTGTTGCCTTGCCTCATATTCATGATTTGGTGGCAGCATTGGGCCCTTTGATGAAGCCAAAGCAGTAAAATGAACGATAAGTCGAGAATGAGGCCGAAAAGTCGTGTTTATGTTTCGTATGATGCTCTCTCTGTTTCTTGTCGTTCTTATGTTTCAATGAAAAAGACATTGTTAAATGAGGAAAATAAATTGCGCACAAATTTCCTTCTTACATATCCCCCCCCCCCCCATCATGCTGAATTGGCCTCGCTGTCTTGCGGGTACCTATAATGTCTGTGCACGGTTGCTCCCCACAACCTGTCGTTCCATAATTAAGTGTGGTCTAGCAGTAGTCTGTGGGGCCTGGCCCATTCCGTATGCCTTAATTGCAGGGTAACTATGTCATCCGTACTCTGTACAGAGGTAGCTACCGCGAAAAGTAAGTTCAAATCGTTAGTGTCGTTATCTTTGATGTGTCCATATCAAGCTCGTTAGCGGGATGATTATGACCTAAGCCAATAAATTGAGAGATGATGCATCACATCGGGAGTTGATTGCTCCTTGATTTCAAAAATACTCCCCTGAGTCACCCTAGTCTGAGCGAATCATAGACCAGCGGTAGAGAAAGCCCGAAAAAGCAAAGAGAAGACCTCGCCGCCACGGAAATGAAGCTCTACCGACCGAGCAAGCCTCGAGGAAGTTGTAAATTTTCAACTGTAACGCCTATGGAATTCGGCAATCCCATGTACATGGTAGCAATAAGAGCTTTTGGTGAGATCCAACTTAGACCATCTGTAGCCGCCACTCACAGTTCAGGGAGCTTATGCGACCGGAGCTGAAGAACTCCGTACATTTGCCGTACCTCAACAAAGAACACAGAAATTAGCCCCTGGTCCAAATCTTAGTCAAGAGATCCACTTCGATAGCTAGAGCTTTTGATTACTAGGGTTGATTAGTCCATTCTTTGTCGGTGCGTTGGAAACCCCCCAAGGCGCTTACCGACACCCACAAATCCTTTTTTCGGCCAGGGTTTCTAAGACCACCACGCAAGCCTTAATTGTCTTTTTCATTGTCCAGAAGAGCTTCAGGTGCTTGTGACCAGGAAAAAGAGGTCGAATAGAAGAGAGTATCTGACAACAATGGACCTTCAGCCCCGTCGAAGTCAGCTGCCCCCCTCCCTGTCCGTTGGTGACGCTTGTCTGATTTGTGCTAACTTCTCTTGTTGTTTAGACGTAAACACGTCTAAACTCTGGCTAGATGCCGACTGTATCCTCAAAAGTGACGAAATTCCCATGAGTTTCACAATACAACAAGTGATAAGATGTAGAAACATCGGGGTCATGGCAGAGAAGGATGGTTGGACAGATCGATCTAGGACGGACAGGGTCTGTGAATTTTTGACATGGCTTTGCTTCATCGATGGATGGGAGGATGAGCGAGACGATCTCCTTTGGGGACGATTCAGAGCGTCGGATCTATATAAATCCATGAGTGAGTACTACATCATAGTTCACCCCCGCTTAATCTAGTGTCCAACCTCGTTAGCATTGGGGTCGAAATCTTGGTGATTGGCCTACGAAATATTGGAGGATTGGCCCACTAATTGGAGTTTGGTTCCCGCTGCTAACGGCCCAATAGACTGCCCCGAGGCCTCGAGCGGAGAACCCCTTGATATTTTGCAGTGAATTGCGTCCATCGTCGTAGGTCTAGCGCCTGATAATAAGCTGGACGAGCGACGAGCACTTCAATGGCTTGCAACGCGTGGCCGAAAATTGCACTGCGTTCTGCTTTTCCCAAGATGCAGACACTCAGGCAAAGGTGAATCAGGTGTGAATTTGAAAGCGGGGGAAATGGCAAAAGGGGTGCAAGGGTCAAATGCAAGCTGATAAAGCAGGTTTGAGAAAAAGTAAACCTTGCACTATATTTTATGGTGCTCGAATTTCGAAAGAAAACTGGTTGGCTGATCATGAGCCACCATGTTGCATGCATTGCTGCTGCTGCATAATGAGCTGGGCGCTATCGGAGTTCCTTGGAGTACCCAGGCCAGCGAAGTCAAAGTCACGCTGTGCCTGGGTGCCATCATCTATCTGTTAATTTCGATGGCTTTAAAAAAGTTTCAAGATAGATTGTTTATCACAAAAAATTTGCCTTTGTTCTACTTTCTTTCCAATGTCTTTTTGCTACTATAGCCACCGCTTCACATTCTGGGGGCAACATCAGAGTACCCAGCTCGGTATGCACGTATACTTTCCAATACTTCCCATGGCCGCCACTGAAGGATGCGTTAGCCAGTGGCGCAGATCATACCGCAACCGGTCTTAAATCGGTTTTAGTCCCATCCAAAATGACAAATGTGTGAGATCAGCATGCGCCGTGAGTCTTGGGTCACTGGATACAACGAAAGTGTCAAGACATTCAATACCCAACGATCAGCCCCTATTGCTTAAGACCAGGGCTCGACATGACAAACTAGTACAGCGCTGTCTAATGAATATATCCCCTAGCCAATTGAAATTAGCAGTCAAGTTCCTTCGCATGGACTCTCCTAGGCGTACTATTCTGACCTGTCCATTTTTGACTCGGAATAAGACTCCACTCTAGAGACAAACAACAGTGTATCAAGTTCTATCAATTTCACCTAAAAGATGCCTTGAGATGAAGATGGAGCCGGCTATATGCTTTTATAAGCAAGCGCTGTGAAACAACAAACAACGCCCGTGGAAGCTAAGATATTCTCAATGCGGACGCGTACAGGGTTTACGCGAAAGCCGACATGACATCGGGTAAACACATGCTTCATTCAGCTCATTCAAGAATTACTAAACCAAAGTCGAGTCGTCCTTCTGACTAGAACCTAATGCTTCATCCGGTAGGAGCTTGTTGCTGCTGAATAGATATAGGCGATTGGGGAGTTCATGATAGCAAATCAAGATGGAATGAGATACACCCATGAAGGGCCCCGATGATTGGGACACATAATACAAGAGAGGACTGTGCGAGGGTTGATATAGCAGCCACTGCGTCTCGCATCGGGTGACAAGATCAGGACAGGAGCTCATGGTGGAGCTCTGTGTTGAGATTTAACAAATTAGTGTAGCAATGTGCTCCCTGACAAGGACCTGATAGAATTATTAAATCGTCTTCTTGTTTTTGTATTATCATTTCTTTCTTTTAACATACTGGGTACTTCTTGCTCTGAAAATTGGACTGGCAGTATCCTTGTAACCTTTTTTATCATCTCCGCAGGATGAAAGACACATTTTCACCCTCATTATTCAGTTCATAAGAACGGACCTAAAAATGGCGAAGTCCTCTTTTTAGCCATCCACTTGTCCCCCGCTTGTTCACAGTTACAATAAAAATTCCAAAAAAAATTCACAGCCTCTTCTAAGCACCTATGCCGGTTCGCCTTTCTGACCCAGTCAGCTGCTCCACTTGCGCGCATCGCCTCCCACAGCACATGGGTAAAATTGCGACGTTGTTTGCTCGCCTCAACTTTAATATATAACAGTGGGAAATTCAAGTGCCAGAGTCGTTTAACTGCCAATGTCAAGGCACGGGCCATCTAAATTTCGTTCAGGGCAAGAGACGCCTATAATTACTTGCATGGGCTGCAGTTGGCCCTCATCACAATACCAACTGTCCAAACAAGATGTCAATTCATCTAAGGATCTGGTACGAATCGTCCCTGTCATATAATTACTCTCTTTTGTCTCTTTAAACACAAGTGTAGCAAGATAGAAAGAAATGTTATCCGTGAGGCGGTTAACGGCTGAACAAGCCCCGAGACAATTGACTCCCCGATAGTGGCGAGAAAACTGACACATAGATTTACGGAGTACAGTCCCCATGAGATACTGGAAAGAGACTTGGATGACATTCTGACGTTGCCGTCGAAGACTTTAGTGACCTCAAAGATGGTTCCAGGGTGCTTTTATACTTTTATGCTTTCATCTACAGTGATTATGGCCCCACCTAACTAGCAGTCAAGCGCACACCACTAATATTTGGCCGCTCATCTTCTTTTCCATTCCCCTTGACGCTGTCACTATTTTCAATTTAAGTGAGGTACTTCATAGATCGACATATAGTTGGAATGGTTGTCATAGTATATAAAGCTTACGATCTTTCTATGCGGTTGGCTTCTTTATTGTCTGAAATTTGATACCTCAAGACTGGAAGCAAAATTCCGAAAACCTGTTTAGAATGTTGGTATCGGCAGGAAGACTCTCAATGTCTAGGGATAGACCGTGCGCCACCGAATTATACTGGGTATCAAAATTAATAACATCGAGTGATTAAAGAATAATCAACATACAATCGGCTGCCATGATTACGTATATCTCAACAATTTCCGTCCGACAAATCGAATCCCACGAAACATAACCAATACTAAAAGACCCTACACTCCAGACCGAATCAGAACTGCACTTACCCGCCAAAGACTCCACCCGAAGGTTTCTCCACGGGCATTCTTTCGTTCCTCCAAAATTAGCTCACTGGTTAATGTCACAAAGCATATTAAGAAAGCGATCATTGCCACAAAGACGCGCCCTAATGATGGTCGTGGGCATGGGATTGCGCATGTTACGTATCGGGTGGAGCTGGTATGAATTCCTCGTAAATCTTTAACTGACAAGAGCAATCGTTCGCGCGATATCGATACATGAGACAATTTGTGTTGAAAGATCTATGATTTAGGTAGGATCGAGAGAATTTAGAGAGCTCTGTAATTCGATTATTTGAACCAAGAGTAGAGGAAGAGAAGAAAATGGGAATCTTGGAAGGACGAGGCTATATTTCAAGAGATGGGCGGGATAAAAATGCTCGAGTCAGGCAGGAGTGGGGGCCACGCGAAGTGAAGTCTGTTTGAATCACGCATACGAGCTACATGATCAAAAAAGAGGAAGTTGGGAAACAGAAGCCACAAAGTCCACTATATTTATTTTGTAGAATAAATTGTAACTACTCATATTACAATAGGCGGTAGTTTTTTAATTCCACTAACTAAAAATAAATGTCGAAATCCACCAGAGTAAATCAATGATTAACTTTGCTCTTAGGCTCTGTATACAACATCGGTTTCTACCAATGGAAGGGGTTACCGAAGAGATTGATGTTTTTATTGAAGAGAAAGGCTAGTATTGATCATTTAGCCTGATATCCAATCAAAAATAACACAAGAAGAGCTCGCAAAATGTACCCAGGCGTCAACATGTGATTTCAATGGCCCACGGAATGTATTGGGCCTCGTCGAAGAGAATGTTTGGTTATGAAAGGCAATAGCTATAGTTTTTTTAATATCCCCCGTGACAATGCTGTCCATTTTTTTTATTTTTTTATTTACTCCATGGTTTTTACAATTGTGTTGGTGAGGTTATACGCATGCGTAGCGTTATTTAGAAAATTTTGCATTGGCATACATGCTCTCAAAATAAGCTTGCTACGCGGATCAGTGCGATGTCCCCATCACAGTCAAAATTGGATCACATCAACGGATAGATGGTTTAAGATCCCCATCAGCCCTGGAGGTGGAGACCCCTAGCGATGCTTGATAATTGCCTGTGCATGTAGGTAGGCAGAGGTAGATAGATCCAGGCCATAAATAGCACAGAAATCCTTCGTACCAGGCATTTCGGAGCCCAGAAGACTCAAATTTGGGGTTAGTTCCACTGGCTCTGTTTTGAATAGCGAAGTAGCATTAGAAAGGGCGAGTATATGTACTCTTTCTATGCCAGATGATCAATCATGCCTGAAAGATGATGATCGACAAGGCTCGCTGAAGATTCATGACGGGGAGAAGGATTTTGTACGTTTCATGCTGGTCTAAACCTCTTGGGGAAATTGGTCTTAGTGGGAATTCCAGGGTGCTGATGGAGATCCCCCGAATTCCTTTCCACTCCTTAGACTCTGCTTCTAATAACCTATGGGTAGTCTTCCATAGGTTTTTGGCTTTACCGATATTTCGGGCCTTTTCATCCTTTGGCGGGAAAGAACCCTCTACCGTACCCGACAGACTGGTCAACGACAATAATCACCAGCTTGGTCCCGCTTTTTGCGGCCTCGTGCGGAGAATCGCCTTTGGGATCTGAATCCACTGGCACGCAGTTTTTTTCTTTTCTCCTTCGCGTATTTTTCTCTTCTTCTTTGCTTTTCTCTTTACTGGCTCGACCTTATCGTGACACCGCTCTCGTCGTTGTGTGGCCTCCATGCTGGTGGCTCTCAGTTTGCACGCGTCGACACACGATGTGGTCATCCGACCGTCCACACCGCCCGCTGCGCTCAGGCCCTAGCGAGATTGAAGTCGATGCTGATGTCAGCGTAAGTTCCCCCGCGATGGGCATTAGATGAATTTACCCGGCTGCTTTGATTGCTCAATGAAATTAACCTATATCGACAGTCGTCAAGTGAATACGATAGTGAAAGAAGTGATCTAACTTCACTGGATTCGTCTGTCTTCAATTATATCTATGAAAACGGTCGCACATACCATTCTTATAGATCGGGAACTTATGTACGTCTTTCCCTTACCCGACTTGGATGCCCAAGGACTTATTCAAGTTATGTTAGGTCCTCCCCAATGATGAAAAGGAACAAGGTATGTAGTCATTTGATTGCTTTTTTCTACCAGTTTATGCCATATTCTCCCTATCTCCAATAATAAAAACCCCGATAATTAACCACCCATCAGATCGACTTGACTTATGTCACCATGTTTTTCGAGTCTCTATGCATGGAAACTTATGCCTCACCCAACTTTCAAATCCTCAAAAAATCCTTGATATCGGAACTGGGACAGGAATATGGGCTATTGACAGTAAGCCTACGCAACTCACTCAAGATCGCAAAGAATATTTGACTAATAAACCTAAAGTGGCAGATGAATACCCTTCCGCTGAGGTTATCGGCGTAGACCTCTCTCCTATTCAGCCGGGATGGTTAGTTTTTTTTTGCCTCTATTGATGTCACACTTTCTGCAAGGCTAATAATTTTTATCAACAGGCTTCCACCTAATTTGAAATTCATCATTGATGACGCGAACCAAGAATGGGATTTCCCCGAAGAGTCTTTCGACTTCATTCATATCCGGGGTCTAGCTGGATGCATAGCGGACTGGCCTACCTTTCTTCGACAGTGCTACAAGTAAGTCTTGTTGCACTACTTACAATTCCAATTTCTCAGCTTCGTGGAAATTGACATTTACTAGACATCTCAAGCCAGGTGGGCGCATCGAAATATCAGATTTAGTCTCTCGTACACATTGCGACGATGATTCATATCCTCTGAACTGCCATTATCGCATCTGGGAGGTACGTTTGATCAACTGAATTTTTCTTCTTCTTTCAGTTCCGTGAACTAACCAGGAACAGGCTGAATTCTTCCGTGTGGCTGACATCCAAGGCCGACTGTGGGATATTGTACCATACATGCACGGATTCCTGGAAAAGGCCTCATTTGAAGAGATCAAATTCGCCCGGAACCCCATTCCTATCGGGAGGTGGCCGAAAGAGCCACGGATGAAAGAGATCGGTCGCTATATTCGCGCACAGCTAGTCGATAGTGCTGCGGAGAGCTATACATTGGCTCTGTTTACTCGATTCGGGGGCTGGTCCCATGAAGAGGTACAGGTTCTGTTAGCTCACCTGAGACGGGAGCTCCTATCAAACACCATGCATATATATTCATTTTTGTAAGAGCTTTATATCCTCCCGCTCTGGACTGAAGTTGCTAACCCCTTGACAGATCTATTTTCACTGCACAGAAGCCTCTTTCTTCACGAAGGAGATCTGATGACTTTTGAAGTGCTGGAGTCGACTTGAAATACCCACATGATATACTTAGAGAGTTTGAAGTGTTAGGGAAATTAATACCATGGATTGCATTGTGAAAGGTAACCTTCAAGTTCTTTTTGATAAGATGGGCAGCACAGTAGATTCAGGACCTAACCTAGTGGGCAGCCATAGTATGTAGTGGATCCTCTTGGATTTGCGTTTGAGCATAGAGTTATTATTCATCATCAGTCAGTTGCCGAATCATAGCAAGACTCATAATCATTACCAGAATCCCAATCACTACTATACTTATAAGCGCAACACCAGCCCATCCAAATGTCATCGCCGCGGAGCCCACATGACCAGTTATTTGACCATAGCTCATTTTTTCCGCCATAGATGCCGCTGCGGCGCTATTTATATGCTGCCAGAGTACAGACACAAAGGCAAATGACAGCCCAACGCCAGACGTGATCAGAACTGCATGTGTTACTTTGCGAGCAGGAAATGGCTTGACTTCAACTTCTGATTCACCATCGTCTATCTCTTCGTGCCATCCAGGAAATGTGCTAAGCAGTATAGAAGCAAGAACAGCTGCGAATATGACGATGAACCTAAGGATTTGATAGCATAAATCAGCGATCGTTGGTCAGCTTAACCCAAAAGGTAAGAGAATACTTACAGCAGCCCATCAAACACAATATCCTCCTTGAAGGCATTGGCGATATAAATCAGATTCAGCGGGTCACGAGTACCATTTACCAAGCTGCTCGACAGTTTTATGGTATTTGCTAAGCTTTTCGCACTCGTCGAGCAAATCCATTCCCCGCCATCAAGCAGTGCGCAGAGCCCCATATACCCCGCTCGGACCTCGAGGGTCGGCTCATTGCCATTCTGCGTGATATTTTGAACTGCATGGGCAATTTCTGTGCTTACTATACTCTGGTCGGATAATAGCAGGGAGCTGGTATCTTTATACTGTAGCGACAACAAATACACATTTCTGAGGCTACTGGAACTGCAACCCCCAATCAAAAGAGCTGCCAAAGCGTGAGTTGAGGTCCGCTATTTCGAGTCTCGGTAGAACCCAAATAGTAATTGTAAACAGTCTTGATCTTACACAGGAAAAGTATCGCAATGGCTAAAATCATCATCAGAACGTGATGATACGCGATCATGGGTACAAATCTTGATGCTGCGGGGGTGCCATAGGTATTAGCAGAAAACTTTGACATCTCACAGCCCCGCTTCTTGTTAAGAGACGCCTACCCGCTGCAGCAAAGCTCGCCATGGCCGCACTTCCAGCCTGGAAAGTCTTCGTATGGATTTGAATGTATAAATTTCCAAGGTGAAGGTCTCAAGGATGATCTTGGAATAGTATAGGTGAGCTTGAGTTGACAGTAAGCTAGCTCAACGGGAGTGACCCATGGAACCTCGTGAGGCTAACCTATTGTAGATTACGTATACAGTGTGCGTTAACTAACTAACTTAGTTAACTAACTTAGTTAATCCTTCTGAGATTACTAATGAGCTGGTGTAGCCTCCAGATATCATGACGTGCTATGGGGTGCTAAACTGTTAAAAATAGGATTACAATTTACAGGGAGAAATATAAATGAAAATCAAAGCAGGCGGATGGAAATCAGTATCAATGCTCAATAGAGTTTGTTTGACTAAATCACGCTGACAATAATATTTACCGATCCAAGAAAACTGCCCAAGAAAACTGGCAGAATCGGCCAAATAAACACATTCTGAACCATTGAGAGAGAGAGGGGCTATGATTCAAACGTTTGTCACCAACTAAACTGGTGAGACGGAGGAGTCCGACGTAGATGGTTGGGTCCCTGTAGTATCTGGCACTCTAGTAAAGATCCGTGGCCACAAGCTGTCTCTATCTGGCCTATTGTCGGACATTGAGAATATGGCTGTCAAGGTAAAAACGGTTATCATGACAACGCCTAGGCTCACGGCTGTCTGGAGACTGGGGCTGAGATTTCGGATCCCCAGGATTCCGGTAGGTATCGCAACGATGAGTGCAACCAACAGGAAAAAACTGATCACGAATCCCAATTGCTTGGAGAACCAATATGAAGCTCTCCAAGCAATCCTACCAGTCCATTTTCCAATCTTCATACCCAATTTTCCGGTCTTCAAGGTATTCACAGTCAATACGCTAATTCCCCATTGAAGAATAAGACTACTGGAAAGCGATCGGAGCTGAACGGATTTCCCGTTTTTTTCCGCATACTTTCTAATATCGGCCTTCATATCTGTTTTCATATCTGCAAACCATTGACTGCGCATAACGAGGCGCATTGTATATGCAAAACTTGTTGCTCCTGCGGCCACAGCAAAGAAATTCCCAATGGGGACGTGATTGGCAAATTGTTCAATCTGCATCCCAAAAACGGAAGTTGAAAAGGAGAGAGGTATGAAAATGAAGGCTAGCTCAGTAAGTCTTGCCACGGCATGTGCCTCATCGATGGATTTTCGACTTTCAAGTAGCGCCATGTTAGATGTCAGCGAGGCTGAGGTCACCCGCAATCGCTCCGTGACCTTCTCCACGTCTTTAAGGAGTTTATCCAAGTCAATTTCAATATCTGAGCCACTCTCAGAGCTCTCCTCATCTGTAACGTCAGAATCGATTCGTGTTATGAAAGAATCAAATGATCTGATAGAAGCAGCAAACTCCGGGAGTTCCCTCTGCGCACGACTAATTAGTTGACGCCATAGAGGAAGTCGTTCTTCCATTATTGCATCATCGGGTATCTTTTCATCGATTTCATCAAGAATAAGGCGTAATTGCTTGAGAAGGGCAGATGTGTCGCGGCAAATTATTTGGAGTAATGGAAAACCCAGGCTAATATGTCCCTTTTCTGGTTTCAGTGCATCACAGAACTCATTCATGGTAGCTTGAGTCTCAGACAATGATGCACTAAATTCCAAGGCAGGGCCTTCTTTTTGAAATATCCTATCTAAATCAACTTTCACTTCCTTGCGAGGAGTCATCTGCTCGATGATACACCTAGATATTGGGTCATTGTCGACTGGTTTCCTCGCCATGTCTCGCATTATATAACGTGTCCAAAAGATCGGAACCATGCCCCTTTCGTTCATACGCCGTGGGGGATCCTCTTCGCTTCTTCCTATGATTCCAAAAATGCCTCCAACGCCACCATCATTTGATACGCTTGAATGAAGATGCAGTATCCCTTCGGTGTCGTGTGTTTCGTGGAGAATGCGGTTCGCAAAATGTCGCTGCTGCTCACTTACTTGTGGTAAAGGATCAAGAAGGACAACCACTTGAGTCTTGATTAGCACTAACCGGCACAAACATCCCGGTGCTAGAAAGGCTCACCAATCTGACAATCTTGATTAGGAAGACTTCCACTCCAAATTGATATTTTCTCTTCCCACCCACACTCTCTGTTAACCCGTGTCGTCTTCGCTGGGTCTGTCCACAGTTCCCACTCCGAGCGAAAGATGTTTGTTTCGGCTCTGGTAGTGAATGCCCCATGGCGAGTAAAATGTTCTGTCTTGTCTTCGAGAAGGTCGTTGAGATCTCGATTGGAGAAGTATGTCGGCATTCGCCAAACGGGTCGAAACCACTTCATGCAAACATAGGACTTTTTCAACGAGGCTGTGCTCCATGTCTTGGATGGCGACTGGTCGAAGTGAGCTCCAGAATATCCAGAATTGAGTAGGTGCTCCTCGAAAAATTCTGGATTAATTCTGTATCTTATTCCTAAGCCATCTATAGTTCTTTTAGAAAGGTCCTCTACTACAATCAGGCGTTGGCGTATATATTTAGATCCATTTCCCAAACCTGGGAGTTTCCGAACATCTTCCGCAGACCCTGAGTCGACAGATCCGTCATGAAGAAAGTCGTAATAAACGATGGAAGTCCTCTCATGACGGGAATCGTTCTGCAAATTCCCCTTCTCGATATGCTTTAGTGCCTTGCTCGCATTTTGAATAATATCATCGTATGTAAGTGGTATACGTCGCTTTGTCTTCTTATTCTTCTTCCTATTGTCCCCTCGTTGGTCAAAGTCCAAGCCCTGGGACAATGCTAAGTTGGCAGCCCGGGAAGCTGGAGGCGTACCAAACTGATCAATTGCATCCAGTGAGCGCCCGGTCTCCTGATCACTGATCGCTTTTTCAGTGGCCGAATAGCCAGAGTGTGACTCGGGTAGGCGAATTGCCTCAGGTGCGTAAGGCTCGAGTCGTAAGATATTATGTAGAGATCCCCTGCGCTCTGACTTCGGGTAAGAGCTCTCGAGATCCACTGCGGCACCCGTGCCCTCATTTTGATTGCGGGGCTGATCTTGTGCGTCTCTGGTCTCGCCCTCGAAACCTGCAAGATCCAACCACTCACGGACCCGCCAGGCTGATTGGTCGTCGGCCATAGTGGAAGCTCCCTAAATGAGAAGGAATGAAAAGGAATGAAAAGGAAATATTATGGATGGTTTGACATGACTCTGCATAGTAAGACGAGGGCGACGGTACGAGTGCAAGGTCAGCTCTGCACATATGTCGGCCCAAGCGCTATACTAGCTTAGGTTTAGTTGATAAGATAACGATGCGACGATGGTGTATGTCACAGCCTGATTTATAAGGCTGAAATGGGTGAAGACTCATCATTTCTCTAAGTAAAATATCCTTGTTTAGAAAGATCAAAAGAACGAAACTCTCGTTTATGCTTATTTCGCTTTATCATTCAACATTTTCTCTTTCCACCACCGAGAAATCTCACCAGTTTGCAAAAATTCCACCTCACCTTCACGCTCCCATTCCTTCAACCATCCAAGCATACGCTCCAACATCCCAATAACATGAGCCATTCCACTCGTATCGGGATGCATAAGAATAGGGAAGATGGGCTCCTCTTCGTTATCGCGAATCCACAAGAATCGATCGCGCCAGAGATTCTCAATCACACGCACATCAACGTAACCATGGGAATTCTCACAATGCGGAAGGAACTGCATGGGTGTCATATCTTCCATGTAATAGTTACATGGCACGCATACAAGAGGTCTTCTGTCAGGCAGTGACGGCGATTCTTTAACGGGATGCATCCAAGTAGAAGCCGGTTTGGAAAAGTCGATAGGCTGAAGAGGGGGACGTCTCGGTGCGAAGAAAGGATGACAGTCGTGATCGGTTAAGGAGGCATCTAGATGAAGTCAGATTTTTCGATCACAGGGACTTTATTCTGGAATAATCTTGCTTACCATACTCAAATCCATGCTCTTCTAGCAAATCAAGTGTCGATTCACGAAGCTGATATAAGGGTGCACGGTAACCGACCGGCTTTTTCCCAGTTAGGTTCTGGGCTATCTCCATGCATCGCACAAGTACGTCACGCTCTTGCTCTGGTGTGAGTTGGTATGCGCCTTCGTGGGCGTAGCCATGTAACCCGACCTCGCAGCCTGATTCTACCACTTGTTTAACTTCATCGGGGAAGCTCTCTGCTGAGTGTCCAGGGATAAACCATGTGCAGCGGTTGGCGATGTCTAGCTTTTTAAGCATGCGCAGTAACCGAGGGACACCAACTCGTGCAGCGAAGAAGCCGGCGGAATAGTCGGCTAGGACATTATCGGGATGAGAATCTAAATTATTGTTCATGGTTAGTTGAGTCGATACATGACGATGCATTGATGCATGAATGGCGAAACTTACTTGTGCCCAGCCACCCGGAAACCGCGTCAAGGTCGATTGAAACTGCGACTCGAATTTTGTTGCGCCTGGGTTTTGCAAGTGTTCGAGGAATCGATTGCGCGGGCTGAACAACTGCAGTATTCTTGACGACCTCTGCGCTTTTGGGTGATTCCTTGCCTTGGACCTGGATGCATTGCCCAGTGATATGTCCGGCAGCACGACTCGAGGCCAAGAAGGCCATGGTTCGAGCTACATCAGTCGGGGTGACACCATTGTCCTTGGCAGTCTCATCGATACCAGATGCGACAGCGTTGATTCGTCCCTCGCTATTCAGCTCCAATATTTCGTTTCGTACGGTGTTGAGGAGACCATAATGAAGACCAGCTTTTCCAGCGGCCAATCCATTGCTGGTTTCAGTTTCTGTCACAACAATAGAAGGACTTGCAAGCTCGCTCCCGGAGTGCTGTTGGTACTTTTGCACTTGGCGCAAAAAATGCTTGATTGCTAGAAAAGAGCCGCAAACGTTTGCCTGGTAGGTCTGGTTCCAGTCATCAAGTGAGAGCTCCCAAATTGGCCGCTGACGTGTGACATCTCCTTGGGTGGAAATGATTACTAGGATATTGGCTGGTCCAAATCTTTCTTGGGCTTGAGTAAATCCAGTTTTTATCGACTCTTCAGTTGTGACGTCGCCATTTAGGATATGGAGTCGAGAGAACCGCTCTGCATCAATCCCAGAAAGTTGCAAAGGCTTGTTATCAAAAGCTGTAACACGACTTCCGTGATCTATAAGTTCCCGCAGTCAGAATAAGTGTTGAGAGAGAAGGCGCGCCACGTCGTTATGACAACAATCTTCATTGCTCACTATGAATCTTGTCCCACCGTCAGGCAATCCATTTTCGCATGACTACAAGCTTTAACGGTGCCTAGTGACTCCATTTGAAACGGACCTAGATCCAAGCAATTCATTTTTCAAGATGGATTCGAGAAGCTTGTCTCCTTGATCTATTCCAAGGGAAATAAAAGGAAAATAAACAACCAAAAGACTACAGGTCAAAAAGCCTACCTAGAAATTCTCGAACTGCCTCGCCCCCAGTGGCACTCGCGGCCCCTGTAATGAAGATGTGCTGGTCCTCTAGTCCCAAAACGGAACGTTGAGAAAGTGACTCGATCGACATCGTAATTTTTGCGAATCAAATCTCACTTCTAACTTCACTTCCAATGTTGAGCCAGGTCTACAGATGGAGATGATGCTGAAATTACTTCCCCCTCTCAGCTTTGCCACGCCGAGGATTGAAAACTCTTGTCTTCTTCAATGTGCAAGTCCTTTCCGAAGAAGACTTGGCGTATGGAGTAATCAAGCTCCACGTGGATCTAGGGGTCTCTCAGTCAACATCTCAACACTCGCCATATTATGACAATTGCTTCCGTTCCCCCAAGAAAAGCAGAATGAAGGAAAGTCGTATTAGAGCTTACTAGTAAAGCTGGAAAGATATTCCCGTTCTAAGTACCTCCAAGTGCTGTTGACGCTCTTGACAGGGCGGCTTCCCACGGGGTTTGCTGTGGGTTCTTGGAGATGTCTGTTCGTGCGTCTGTGCGCCACGAATTGGCCAGGCCTTGAATTCAATGGGGCCGAACAAGCTTTGCAGAGCTTCGCAATCTTGCCTCGATCTGATCGATGGAGGGAATGGGGTTAGTTTTGGCGAGAAATCAATTAAGATTCAATAGCCGGAGCGTGTGAAGTTGCCGCGAGGGGTATCACGTGGGGCTGCTGTCTTCTCTAGTACTGGGTTCGACAACTTGCAAATCTACTACATTGAGTTTTATTTTCCCTATTATTTTAAAGAATTTCCTCTCAGATTAGAGCATATACGGGTAGTCATCCTCGTATTTACTGGAGTTCTTCTTTCGGTGACTTTATAGACATACTGTGGACATGCTGCAGTGCTAAACGCTAAAATCTATATACCTTTATATCCGATCTTCGGGTTTATTAGCTAGGCTCAGTCAAGTTCCGGCGTATACACCCGATCAATACAAGCGCCGATGATCTAAAGCTGGAAGTAAGGTTCTTGCTGGGGCCAGCTAGGAGCATTGTCGTATTCGGGAGCGCATTCCGCAGCCACCAAAAAGCACTGCCAGCACAGACCTACATCAGGGTGGACCAGGGACCACAATGCACACAGAGCAAGATCGTAAACATCTCGGGGATCAAGAATAATGCATTGTCGATTTCAGGACTAGGAAGCCCCGCTGCTGGATTCAATTATGAGTAGTATACAGTAGGTAATGTACCTGACTTTCAACTTACATTTCGTATATCGTATAGCGGCGATTTTGTCCATATCCACTTTACGAAGTATAAGCGCTTTCATTCACCAAAATGAGCGGCGATCGATAGTAATTTGCGCATTCCTGTTATGCAATATCATGTTTTTTCTCCAATCACCAAGCATTGTAGAAAGATTTCGAGTTTCTGTTGTATTTTTAATTCGCCTCGGCTGTTGGATCTCCACCATTGAGAACAGTGTGAACATTATGGTGGGATGCTATACTTGCTCTCTACTAATTTTCTAGAAAAATAAACAAACACACTTTCCAAAACCATCATATCAATATAGCCAGCAGCTTTCCACTCTGGCAAAGGACTATTCCGTGAGGAAACCACAATTTCGAGGCCATGCGTCGACTTCCAAGAATTGGAGGCTTGATGGCCCGGCGGACCGCGCTGGCGATGTCGTGGGTCACCGAAACTCAACTTCGAACTCTGTTTTGCGTAGGAATTGCAGAGACCAGCAGTGGCGTTGCTATGACTTAAAGTTAAAATTGGGTTTTCTGCAAACCTTTCTGGAAGGTCCTCAGCTGCAAATTAGTGTGATTTTTATATTTTATTTCACTTAAGTTTTGAAGTGGCACTGGGTTTCAGTCTACTATAATTACCTCCCAATTGAACGGGCGGTTCTCGGCCGATGACTACTTGGAATTGACAATAATCTGTCTCCGGACGGCTTATCGCTCTCCGCAAGACAAGTCGATCCCGCAGCCATTTTTCTGGTTACGGTGGAAGAAGTGGGAGCATCCCCAGCACCCGGAAAATCAATATCCACACGTGTTACCATGGTTAGGTCTTTGAAGCTGGACGTATCCTTGGTTCAAGAGAATAATGATAGACAGACTGGAGGAGCCCGGCAGCCAATGCGAATGCATGGCGGCGGTGGCCGGGATTAGAGTGGAGCCCGCTGTTCTCTGTGGCAGGCTAAACCGGCGGTATCGCCAATATGGAACAAATTGGAAGACCAGTTGTCTCTTCTGGAAAGCGGTTGCGCTGCTATCTTAGATTAAGTTGGCCTGTTTTGTGTAAATGTTGTCTCCTTTTTGGGTGAGACATTAGTATCCTTCGCGGATAATTGAGATCTTGAACATGGAGCAGATCGTGCATAGAACATTCTGAAGCAATCCCTAGCGTCGCAGTATTCGCTCAACCCTAATGTTCCTTAGGCCCGTCTCGCCATATTTATGGTCTGTGTTTTTGAATACAAGGAGTAACTGTAGTATCACGATTACCTTTTTTCCACTGTCCATTGGATCTGGCCGTGGCTGATACATTGTACGCAGGACTACGAGGCTGTTTCCACTTCAACTCGCGCGATTGGCGAATGAGCGGTCAGGACACGCTGAATTGTGAGAGAATCAGCTGGGTAGACGCAAGGAGTCGGGAGATCACCGGGTAAAAGTGGATTGGCACTTATCCTACAGTGGAATAGATTAACTTCGTTGGTGCAGTTTTCATACCGCGGGTTACTTACAAGGTAGGAAAAGTCGAGTAAAGCCAAGACGCTCTAGGAAATGTACTACTGTAATCGTAAATAAATTATTTGCGGAATACATGAAGTCTATTTGTCCGGAAATTCCGATGAAGCCCAATTAAACCAGTGTACACGTAACCATCTATAATACCGAGGTCCCAATACACATTCCAGGGTCCCCAGCAAACGAAATGAGGCTCGCAATATGTACAGTCAAGACAAAAAAAATTAACAAGAAATCTAAATATGAACATTCAATGATAAACTGGGTATCAGGTTCACAGTGGCTCCGTATATTCGTAACAGGAAAATGTGAAAAAGGGAAATAGAAAATAAACGCAAATAATTCGCAGGGTTTTTAGAGCCAATCGCGAAGGAGTCCATAGTCTAGACTGCCTCATGCCCACGGGTGATATGGGAACTATTGGTCTCATAGTCGTTTGGCCTTGAATCGTGTTGTACCGTAACTGTGATATCTTGTCGGATCCGCAAGGCGCGCGCAGACCCATCATCACTGCTCATATCCCGATCTTCACTAGGCCCCAGACTGATATCTGAAACGGCTGGTCCGGCCTTCGTTGGTGTCACGGAAGCTGCGTGGAAATCGTTCATATGGAAATCATCCCCCGAGCGAATCTGACTGTGGGGCCCATATGGTCGAGAATTCTTGCTGTTTGTCCAGGGTTGAGATTTGTAACGATCGGTACCTCTCTTCGATCCTCCAGTCCAGCTCTTGAGGGCGGGGAACACATCTCGTAGAAGCGACCATACAAGTGGCAAGTTGGTGACCAGGATCGCCACGGTGGCTTCACGGAAGTACCAGTTCATGTATACGTAGGAAATAAGTGAAGGAACCAGACAGTATATCTTGTTCAAGACAGCGGCGACAATAACGAAGATACCCATACCGAACAGAAGGATCAGAATCACCTTCTGCTTGGTTGGAACGCGGACTTGGACAAGCATAGGAATGGCGACAATGAGCATGAAAACATCGGCGGAAATCGAAAGAGCGCCTTGGACGATTTCATAGTGTTGATAAGATGAGCATTGGTCTGGTGAAGTTCGTTAGCCAGGAGTATCATAGAGACGATGTGAAGATGTGGTTTCATACAGTTATCAGTAGGAACCGCCCAGTATTGTGTTAATGGCCTGCAGATGAGGAATAGAGAAAGCTCCGTGGCGATGAAACCGAGTACCACATATATGGCGATATAGTTGATCCATTTTCGTTGGCGCAACCCCTCACTAACAGCATTGTTAGTAAAATCTTCATGACAAACACCATTTGCATCCAGACATACGTTATGCGAGCATAGATTATCAGCATACATGCTTTCAAGCTCCAAACACAGAGGATGAAAGCATGCTCCGATACAAACACCCATTTACTACCCCGTTCTCGCTCGTCGTGTATAGCCGGCGTCATTGAAGCCTTTTCCTCTGCCGTCATCAAATTTGACCCTCCACCTGAGGCCACTTGGTTGAGAGCGACGCATAGAATCGTATACCAAAGAACGGCATTGCACATTAAATAATCATCGGCTTGGAGATTTCGAATACCTAAACGCCTGACACGGGCCGTACTATGTTATAACATTCATTAGTCAAGGGCTCTTGAAGTAACGGTGCGTGCGCATATAAGGTACTCACTATCTCAGGACTGCGCCCAATACACCAACAGCATAGAGCGCCCATGTCTCTCGCGCAAAGCGCTCAGCAAAGCCACCACCTAAACCTGACATGAGAGGCCTGTAGTGTGTAAGGTCAATAGGGGATCAACCAGGAGAGGAATGAACAAGAGATTAAAAAGATAGCACCCACATCTCTTTTAAGAAAGAATTGCTGGAATTAAATCTAATATACAAAGTTTCCAATGGCGAATAGCCTTCGCATTAGCCGGGCGATCGCGTCTCCAGTGGGCTGGATAAACGGAGAGTTCGCCGATTCGTTTGGATAGGTATTGTTAGGAAGATAGCTGTATGACTACAGACGAAAAAGTGCTTAAAGTATTGTCATGGGCGAAAGATAGATCGTCAGTGACAGGCGAGAGCCAACCATAGAATGAGTTGGGGGATCCGATGAAAAGGTAGAACGGTTCCATGGGTTCAATGGAGTATGCAACCTTGGAATTAATTTTTTTGGTAAATTAATCACATTGCACAATCTGAATTACGATTTGGTGCCTGGCAGTGCTTGCTGACTAGGACTCCACACTCTCAGCCCTCCTTGTCATCGGGCTTCGGGGATTAGCATGTAGACCTGCCATTTTAGGGAGCGCACTGAGCGTAGGTTCGCAGGGTACATCGCATAGTTTTGCGCAAATCAATCTATCCGTACTCCGTACATCCAACTGAATTTTCTCAAGGGAGTTTTCTTTTCAACTTGGCGAGCAATTGATGTGGGCCTACAAGGTGTACTGTGGAATTCTGTTTCAGAAACAGGACTTTTTCATGTGTATCTTTATGAGAGTATGCTAATCTAGCCGACCCAAATATGTAAGAGGGCACGCGAGTTTTTTGGCCTTCCGAGAAGGGTTAGATGGCCGTCTCAATACAATGTGTTATTATGGCCTCATGTAAATCTATACTTTAGATGAGATGTGTGTCCCATACGGCAAGAAAACCTGGAAGGCATAATGCATCATATCTTGTTATAATCATTGTCTATGGATGCCAGTCCCACCACAGAGGCAACGAATAGAAAGTGTTAATTGCCAAGTGCATGAATCGGAAACCGAGGACGGCATTAAAGTTTACGGTCATCGTCCGTCGCCTATACTCGATGCGGGCAGAATACCTGAGCTCCGCATCCAGAAATCTGATAGAGTTTACCACTAACCCCATAGAGAAATGGAGTAAGTGGGGCCTCGAGAGAAAATGACTCCAGGCGCAGTACCTGGTCGATTGAGGGATTTTGCTGGTGGATACGGGGATGAGGATCCTTACTCCGTACGGGGAAATCCGTAAGTTGTTCTGTGGAGTCAGGAATTGCCTCGATCGATACAACTTTCAGCGTGGCAAAGATGGCCACTTTGTAATTGCTGTTCTACTGTACTGTCTTGGTGGGGGGTTCAACTGCCGAGCTATAGATTTGGCCGGCGCCGATCGGGGGATTAGTCAATTGATCCTGCAAGACACTAGAATGACTCTTTTTTCTGCATGGAAAACACAATGGCTTATAGAGCCCTGGTCCGTTAGCGCTAGTGTGGTGAACGAATCACGGTCAGAGTTTTACCAGAAGGTTTTCTAGTCTCTTATCCCAAACCCAGTACCTGAACCCGATTTATGTCTGTTTCCACTATAATAAAAATTAATCGATGGCTTGGTCAGGGACCAATCTAGATCAGCAATGCACATGCCACCTATATTTTCACCTAGACTAAATCTAAAAGTGTGTCTCATTCTCTGATGCCGAATGAAATCATACCGTGCTTGAAATTGTGTTTCTCCCCGAGGTGTATGCAAACTATGCAAGTCTCCGGCGAGCGCTCCGATAGCGCTGGGGAATGGTTGGGGGGGAAATCCCTTCCTGTCGATCCCGCGGACCACAAACGATCCGTGGTTTGGGAAATGGCTGGTTGTTATGCTTGACAGGGTATATTGATTAAATGTGGGCATCTGGAAGCATTCTACGTAAGCTTGTCGGATCAAACAAGTTCATGCTGTATATTGCTGTGGATCAATGTACAGAATGGAGCTTAGAGGATGGAGTACAATATACACAATTACTATTAGCCTGAGACGGCGGATAAATCATCTAGCAATCCCTGCATTTTGTTACTCGCTGTTCACGCTAGTGTAAACAAGATGCCATCGAATCATGTCACTAGCCGCAGTGTTTCACCGTAGAAACCCCGCCGATGTTAGTGCTCATTTTTAAGACAAAGTAAACTTCCTGGCTCATGTATAAAGCCCATTAAGGGGAAATGGCCGTTCCTATTCGGGGGAACTGGCTTCTAGAAGATTATCAAGCTTGGGGAGAGAAGGCGCAAAACCACATGTGCAGAGCGTGATACGTCACCAACTCCTGAATTTAAGGCCTTGGTGGGCTGCAGTGGTGGGCTGCTGCGTGGTCATGCATAACATACAGTAGGACACACACAAAAGCCAGCATGGTTGATGCATAAGGCGAAGATAATCTATCCATCTGCCTTATCATATACATCTAAAACGTTTGAAAATAGACAACTGGAGATAATGGACCCAATTTCTCCACTACCCGGTGAATCATGTAGCAAATAGATCAATTCTACGGAGTATAGACCCCCAGGAATGCTTGTGGTGTGAGACTTGTTGCGGCGCGAGAAACTTGCGCCAAGGATCGATGCAGCATGGAAAAATTCTTTCTGCTGAAGCTCCCCTTCTAGGTAAAGCGTACTGCATGATCCTCCGCGTCCTGGCTTTCTTCTCGTTGGAGTTTGGTTGTTTCGCCGCCGGCTGTGTCCAATGACGCGCGCCCGTAACCCCACTTAGCTCTCAAGTGGCCACCGGGAATGCAACCCCGGTAGAATGATTGGTTCAAGATTGGGGTATTGCACGATAAGAGTGGCTAGTGGTGTGGAGTCGGGGAAGACTGGATTCACGGTTGAGGTTACTGAACAAGCCGAGCTGATGGGGTTGTCCGTGTTCACGCCTCTCTGGGGCATTCGGATCGCCCGCGATGGTTGTACGACGACTCCACCCTTAATCATAATATAGCCTTGCCTTGCTCCCCTTTTCTCATAGCTCGACTCTTCTGGCCCTTTCATTCTTTCTGGCCTGGTCATATATTCGAAGGAGACAGACTGATTCTTGAAGGCCCCTTGCCTTACCCAGCCTCACGAGCGAGTTCCCTGTCATCCCTCGACCGTCATACTGTCGGTCCGCTCGATCGCTCGGGTCGCATTTTCTTTTAGGACTGCATAGAAACTTTCTGAGAAGTCAGTTCCCACGTGGAATTCCAAAAATTCAATATGTCGAACGAGTTGCCTAAGAAGACCGAGGTCAATGAGCCGGTCGCGGAGGAACAGCACCAGGGAGAGGTGATCAACGCCTCTGGTCATCGTCAAGAGGTGGACCGGAACTTCAGCCTTATCAGTTTGTGTGCTATCGCCGTCACTACTGGTAACACTTGGATTGCCCAGGGTGGAAGTGTTGTGACTGCTTTGAGTAATGGTGGTCTGGCCGGATGTATCTATGAATTGTATGGACCTCCTCTCATGCACCAAGTACCATTCCCATGATGGTTCTGATATGCTAATGTTTGATAATAGCATCGCGGTTTCAATTTGCTACTGGATGGTCGCCGCCTCCCTGGCTGAGCTAGCATCCGGCATGCCGTCGGCTAGTGGTGTGTACCACTGGGCTTCTATCACCGCCGGCAAATACGGTCGTGTCTGTGGATTCTTCGCTGGATGGTGGAACTGCCTGGCTTGGATTTTAGGTGCCGCCTCTATGTCTCTCATTATGGCGCAGCAAACCGTTTCGATGTATGCTCTGATGAACCCCAACTTCACTGTGCAGCCCTGGAACACCTTCATCAGCTTCCTCCTCTGCACCTGGGTGTGCTGCTGTATCGTCCTTTTCATGAACCGCATGTTGCCTTACATTGGTAACCTTGGAATGTTTTTCATTCTTGCCGGTGTGTTCGTCACGATTCTCGTGTGTGCTATCATGCCTCATGTCAATGGCGTTGGGTACAAGTCCAGTCATGATATCTGGGAGAATTGGACCAACGGAACCAGCTACAAGCAGGAGGGTTTCGTGTTTGTGATGGGTATGCTTAACGGCGCTTACAGTGTCGGTACCCCTGATTGCTCTTCTCACTTGGCTGAAGAGATTCCTCACCCCAGCCGCAACATCCCCAAGGCTATCTTGGCTCAAATGGGCGTGGGTTTTATCACCGGTATCCTTTACATGATTGCCATTTTCTACTCCATCCAAGACCTTTATTTGGTTTCCCACAGCGCATACAACTTCCCCCTTGCGGAGATCTACTACCAGGCTACCGGAACTCGAGGCGGTGCTCTGGGTCTTTTGATTGTCGCCTTCATTCCAACTTTGATCACCGCAACTGGTTGTTACATCACTGCTGGTCGCACTCTTTGGACCCTTGCCCGCGATCGTGCCACTCCTTTCCCCAACTGGTTGGGTCATATTAACACCAGCTTCAACAACCCGTTCAACGCTACCCTCGTTTGCGGCTGCTCCGTCACCGTCCTTGCTTGCATCTACCTAGGTTCCTCCACTGCCTTCAACGCCTTCGTTGGATGCTTTGTTCAGCTGTCCAGTCTTTCATACTTCATGGCCATCTTCCCTCACGTGCTGAGCAAGCGCAACTCCTTCGTTCCCGGCTTCTTCTTCATGAACAACAAGATCGGCTACGTCATCAACTCTCTCGCATGCGTGTACATCATCACTTTCGTTGTTATCTTCTGCTTCCCTTACACTCTTCCCACCACTGCTAGCACCATGAACTACGCCTCTCTGATGACAGGTGGTTTGACCATTTTCGTCACTGTCTGGTGGTTCGTTCGCCAGGGCTCTTACGAAGGTCCTAAGAATGTGCCATTGACCGACAAGGCTCTCGCAGAGGATGCTCAGTAAAAAGGTGTTGTGAAGGATCAGATCAAATAAATACCTAATGAAGGGGTGCTTCTACTTTTGCATATACCATGTTCAACTTACCCTGTCACTATACTTCTTCTCACTGATGATCTTTGATGACTGTCAGATGCATTTTTATACCTATACCTTTCTTTCTTTGTCTTTGACGTGACCTTGACACGATATCCCTTTACATGTATCATCTTAATTGTTATGGGATCTTTCAACACTTTTTTCTCATTGAATGAGTACATAACTAGCATTCGATGGGACTCGATCCCAAATCTAAATACTATTATTGAAGCTAAATTCTTGATTATTCTTCACATACTGTGTTCAATGTCTTTAGCGATGTCTCTGTACATAATCACGTTGGTTCAATACCCGTTTCATGACCTATAGTAACCGGTTTATGTGAACCAAATCCTCTCATATCTCTGGATAATTTTATGCTATCCAGGCAGGCCCATGGCTATCAGTTCCCTCATTTGCTCTTCCTGGAAGTCATGATAAAGGGTGATCAACTCAATGGATTCGTTCAGGCTTTCTTGCTCCTTTGCTTTTTCTGTCTCTAGGGAATACAGGCAAGGCTTTCCAAAATCTCACCACTTTTCAGACTTGTATCTACACGAAGGTTGTACCTGGTGATGGTTGCTGAGCTCTTGCCAAAGAAATCGCTTTTTTCCAATTTTTTAAGGTTATGCTAGTAAGTTCATTTAGAAAGAAAGAAAGATGAAATCTCGAAGCTATATCTTACGATTCATAGCATTAGGGTTGAAGCTCAACTTCAACTTGCCGATATCGTGATTTTCTACCGGTCGAAAATAAGCAAAATGGGTATTTTCCCGATGACTTGGATCGCTATTGTCCCCCATGGATGTCTGAACTAGCCTTATCTACGACTACAAGATAATAATATAATATAAGAAGAGTGTCCTTTCATATCATGATTGATTAGACCTTTGTCTAAGGTTATGTACTAAGTCTTTCAAAATGCCCTTCAATATATACAAACATCTGGGCGCCGCTATAGCTATGTGCGGGTGTATCTAAATACAATGAATATAAACATAGTATCTATGGTCATGAAACAAACAAAATGTCATGCTATCATGAGTTCCCAACTGACGGGATATTGCAAGTCGACGAATGTTTCCAAAGAAACTAGGATTTGACAAAATCTCGCCTACTTCAACGTTCGATTCAAATAGCGCGTCTTAATCAAGGCTCAAATGAGGGCTTGCTAACACGTCGACCACCATTCTCCTTACGATCGGCAGCAAGAGACTTGGCGAACTTGCTCCTGTCACGGATCTGAGGTCCATACCAGTAGAAGACATAGATAGGAGCCACAACCAAGCAGGAAAGACAACCTAAGATAGTACTGGCATACTGGACATGCCATTTATCTCCAATGTTGCTGTACATTGGTGTCGCGTACATTGCAGAGATACCGGCAAGCAGATCACGAGCAAATGCGTTACCACCACACGCAGAAGCAGAGTATACACCATAAGAGGCGATCATGTAGTCGACCGATGAGAGGTAAATCGCATAGTTGGCGATACCGACCATTGTCGAGAAAATCATAGATGCGATCCATGGAATGTTACGCTTTTTTCCGAAAGATGTCCAGGCGAAACCGAACAAACCGATAGGCTCGAATGGAGCCAGCCACAGAAGCCATTTAAGGCGGCGCTCGGGTGACAAAGCATCGCTTCCATGCTTCTTGCGGATGAAATTGTCTCTCCAGAACCAGGGGAAGTAGGAGATGTACGTAAGGAGGTAGGCAAGGTTAATGGGGATGATGGCCCATGCAACCGCAAGAGTGCCGAAACCCCAACCTTGCTCGTAGACAGTTGTGAAACTCTCCAGGAAGGTGAAGATCAGAGCATCAGAGAAACCAGATAGAAGAGAAAGGCAGAAAACAATAGGCTCGCGGAGCAGCATGTGGAAGGGACGCATCCAAATCTTGCCAGCCTCCTTGAGAGAAACGCGAGGCTTCTTGAGCTCATTGGGTCCGTAAACGTTGGGGTCTTCTCCGGTCTTTCGGCGGCGCTTAGCCTCACGGTCGATAAGAATTGTTGAACGGGACTCGGGCATGAAGAAGATGATAGCCTGTGTTGCGGCTCCGAAGATAAGCTGGATCCAGAAGAACCATTGCCAGCTAAGGACTATAATAGAATTCTGTCAGCATTCCATGTGTATATTAAATTCATGAAAGAATCGAAGACTTACATCGTTGAATTGGACCACCGATAACACCACCAATACTGGTACCAATGCAAGAAGAGAAAACGATGAATGCCAAGGGAAATTGTTGCTCATCGGGTTCGTAGACGTCGGCAATCAAACCAAGGGTAACACTACCGCCAGCAGTGGAGATTCCACCCAAGGCACGCGCAACAACTATGGTACCCCAGTTAGGAGCCCAGGCTGCAGGAAATTGCCAAATGTTGATGAGAAACATGGAGAGCTGGAGAATAGGCCAGCGACCGAACTCCTCACTCCAGGGTGCCCAAAGCTCGCATCCAATAGAATAGGTCACGAGATAGGCCATCTGGCCAGTACGAGCATGTTGTTGGCTAATGTCGAACGCTTCGGATAAGGGAATGACTGCATTGGGGAAAACCGAGGTGTTGAAATTCATGGACACCTGCACGCAGGCGACAGCCATGAGGTAGGTCCATTTCTTCCAACGTGGCCATGAGTAGGCCAGCTTATCGTAACACTCGTTTTCTTTTAGTTCACGAGGACCGTCAGCTGCAATTCCACCGTTTTCGGATTTTTCTACTGCAGGAACGAGGCTGTCAGAGAATGGTTCGCTAGATTGAGAACCATTCTCAGAGTGCCTTTCTGGAGGGCTTTCCACCACGGGCTTGGGATCAGACATTATCAGATAGCGTCTATCTGATGTAATCTGACACGACAGGTCTGGAGAAGTAAAATACTTGTTCTACGTAGGACAAATTCTCCATTTAATAGAGCTTGACGAAAATTCTGCGTCAGCGCAAAATTGGTCTGGGTGACCGGCGTCATAGTTCTTAAACCGGTTTATCAGAAAACAAGAAATGTCTTAATGGAGTGGAGACTCGGTAGATCACCCGCTTTCAATCCTATAAAATGGTGCATAAAAGATGGCCCTAGCTTAACACCGCGTCTGTGTGTAGAGCCTTGTCTCTGAAAGCATGAAAACCATGGCTCTACTGAATGCAAAAACTGCAACTTGAAGAAGCGACTTATCATGCCATATGCCAAAAATGGTCTTTGAGGAGCAGATACGTCGGGTCCGAGGGATACCGACCGGGTCAGACTTTTTGCAGCGTGATATCGGTAATCGGTAAAATTCAACTCGGCCAAGGGGCCAAGAAGGTACGTACCAATAAACACCCGTGGGTCATGCATTTGTAAGATCGAGGCTCGTGTACATATGTACATGTACAATATTCTTTTTAAATTCTCCACCCTGATGCCATTGATCACTGCACCACATGCACTGTCATCGTTTTTAATATGGGGAGATGCGGGGACGATGTTGAATCTGTTCAATGTGGGTGTATAATTGATATCGGCTGAGTTTCCCCCATATTGCGTTCAGTATCGCCATGCAGATCGTTCAATGGTCGTGCTTTAAGGGTTCAGCATTGACGTCACTCTCTCAAATTTCAACATGTCTCTGCCAGGTTTGTATCACCGAAAGCCTCCCTTTGGGCCCACATTAGACCCACTAATGTGGATACGAAGGGGTCAATTCAAAAGTCCTCGGCCTGACGTCAGTCTGGGCAGGTTTGGGTTCGGGAGGTTTCGGTCGCGTATGGATGGAGCAGGTTAAGCGGCTCTGCTCTATCAAGTTGTCGGCAAATGAGTTCAAATGTCTCATAAAACAGGCAAATCCCTAAACATGGGGTTGGGATTACATTCTGCTGTGTTTTCGGATCGCGAGAGCGGATCACCTAATGATACCATCTTGGGTTGCGTGCGGAAGGAAAAGTATGAAGCCAATGAAACCCTCGGGATGGGCGGCTTTAGTGGATAGAGGTCGAAAAACGATGGATCTGCACCTTACTCCGTAATAAGTTCTTGTAACCGTACCAAAGCCCAAGGGAAGAAGGTCAGCCGAGTTTGCTGACAACTGGTCACAACCTTAATTCAGCGCCCTGTCATGTGACCGCGCGTGGTTACGCGTGACACAGTCGCGTCTCTTGGCGACTCTCGGTCTGCTTTACGACGACGGTATAACTCACCATGGTATTTAAGCCCTTCAAACCTCCTTTGATAAGGAAGCCTCAAGCAGAAGGTGCTACCGAAGATCAGGATTCATCAACACTCAAGCCCAATTCCCAGAAGGAGGAGCAGACGTCCACATCTGGAACAGGAACGACACCAGCACTTGGAGCACGGAAGCCTCTGCTTCAAGTCAGAAACGTGGGGAAAGATTCCGGGGCGCAGGCCACGCCTGGATCCCAGCCTATCAGGTTGGTAGGTGATGAGAGGTTTTACAATGTTCTCTGGTACGTATCTTGAAAATTCTGTGATGGCCAATCCCGACGCCCCATCGCCGGTCTGGCGTTAATTGTTTTATTCATATTAGGAGAAAGCCCACCACTAAGAAGAACAAGACCTGGGATGGCGACGGTATACTTACAGCCCGTGCGGGGAGTGTCTTATTGCGAGATGTTGGTGGAAAAGACATGGGCCGGGCGGCGTTTGAATCCGAACTCGAGCCCGGGAAGATGCTTTATGTGAGCGGCAAAGAGGTCGAGATTGAACACGAAATTCCTCGCAGAGAGTATCTAGCTGGGAAGAACTTTCTACAAGTTGGGAAACCAACCTCCACCCGGCCGAAGCTCCCAACAAAATCATTGGCCATGCTACAAAGAAATGGTGAAAGCAACTCCTTAGGTCGCACTGGATCATTGAAAAGAGGCTCATCAGCCATGGACGGCGAATCCAAAGATCACTCCGGGTTTGGTGCCTATAAGAAGCCTTACGTTGATGATAAAATCATGCCAAGCAATCCAGCTAAGATTGTTCCTCGCCATGATCCAAACGCACCAGGAGCTTTGGTTATGCCACGACCAACATCCGTTCCCAATGGAAAGCATATCGTCGATGTAGTTGTTGATCCACTTTTAACGAAGTCATTGCGACAACATCAACGGGAAGGTGTACAGTTTTTGTATGAATGCGTCATGGGAATGCGGTCGTTTAACGGAGAAGGAGCGATTTTGGCCGACGACATGGGACTGGGCAAAACATTACAAACTATTGCTTTGTTGTGGACCCTTCTCAAGCAAAACCCGATCTATGGGGATCCTCCCGTGATCAAGAAGGCCTTGATCGTCTGTCCAGTCACTCTTATCAATAACTGGCGAAAGGAATTTCGCAAGTGGCTCGGTAACGAGCGTATAGGCGTATTCGTCCTTGATAATAACCAGAGGCGTCTTACCGATTTTACTAAAGGGCGATCCTACAACATTATGATCGTTGGCTATGAGAAGTTGAGGACCGTTCAAGAAGGCTTGACAAAAGGTGCTGGCGTAGACATTATCATAGCAGACGAAGGTCATCGACTCAAAACACTGCAAAACAAAAGTGGACAGGCTATTCAAAACCTGAACGCTGCAAAGAGAGTCATTCTCTCTGGTACTCCGATTCAAAACGACCTGAAAGAATTCTTTGCTGCGGTTGATCTCGTAAATCCTGGAATCCTTGGTACATTCAAAGGATTCATCCGAGAGTTCGAAACGCCCATTGTGCGTAGCAGACAACCAGAAGCGACAAGAAAGGACATCGAGAAAGGAGAATCCCGAAATGAAGAGCTCCGAGAGCTCACATCCAAATTCATTTTACGACGAACAGCAGATATTCTAGCCAAATATCTGCCCCCAAAGACAGAATATGTCCTCTTCTGCAACCCAACTCGCCCGCAAGCAAACATCTATCAGGCTGTCCTCGCATCACCCATATTCCAATCAGCAATGGGCAACGCCGAAAGTGCTCTCCAACTCATCACTATATTGAAGAAACTCTGCAACAGCCCCTCGCTCCTAACAGCAAAAAACAACGACAACTCACCCAACGAAACAATTGCCGCCCTCCTCTCCTCCATCCCACAGAATCTCATGCGCAATTTCTCCCCTTCCGCAAGCGCAAAAGTCCGAGTCCTCGATCAAATCCTCGATAACATGCGAAACAACACTACAGAGAAAATCGTCCTCGTCTCAAATTACACATCGACCCTCAATCTCCTCGCATCCCTTCTATCATCCCTCGGTCTTTCCTTCCTCCGTCTAGACGGAAGCACTCCCGCCCAAAAACGGCAACCCCTCGTCGACGAATTCAACCGCCAACCCGCAGATAAATGCTTTGCCTTCTTACTTTCCGCCAAAGCAGGCGGAACAGGTCTCAACCTTATCGGCGCAAGTCGGCTCATTCTTTTCGACGTGGACTGGAATCCCGCGACAGATATGCAAGCTATGGCTCGTATCCATCGCGACGGACAAAAACACCATTGTCGCATTTACCGTGTCATTTTGAAGGGTAGTCTTGAAGAAAAGATCTGGCAGCGACAGGTTACCAAGCTTGGTCTTGCAGATAGTGTAATGGAGCACAAGGATAGTGTTTCGCAGTTTTCATCTGCCGAGTTACGAGATCTCTTCCGTCTTGACGAGGAAAGTAGTTGCCAAACTCATGACCTGTCAGGCTGTGACTGTGGAGGAAGGGGGTTTACTGCCTCGACCTTCTCATCGTCTTCAGCTCCTGCAACGCCTAATCCGAAGGATGGGAATGCAAATGGAGATGATGACTCTGAGCTTTCGGAACTAAGTGATGCCCCCTCTGACGATGAGGAAGAGGATGTCAAATTCCCAAAACTAATGAAAGCATCCGAAGTCGACATGGACGCCCAAGAACGCTCTATCCACGAATCTTCGCGAAGAGGCCGGAAACAGAAAGAATCAATGCATCAGTCTTTAGCACAATATGCGCACATTGACCCCTCGCTTCTTTCTAATGCCGATGATGAAGAAGAGATTGCTTCAGCCGTTGATGACGATGTACTCCTTTCTTTATTGAAAGATGAATGTAATCGGATCGGGTATATTTTCAAAAAGGCCAGCAGGGCTGAAGTTGAAGTTAAAGTTGGATTGAAGGAAAATGATGAGATTGTTAACTCTGAAAATTGATATATGGAATACATACAATACATGCATGAGACTAGGGATATGAAAGAACTTTACTTGAACCTTTCACGGTTTCCCTTGACAGCTACGAGTTTCAGACTAGGGATATCCTCTGTCCAATCATCTTCCTACTTAATTTTCAACCTATGTAGAGCTTCCGGTACAGATAGCCATGTACCAGACGGTAAACGTTAATATAGGGCCAAGAGAGTTTCTTCCGATGAACATTATCGGCCGCCCAAGATATGAGATGACACTATCAAAATTGTATTCAACTCATGATATACTATAGCATTAAAGAAATCCTTGCCTGTTCAAATGTCTGAAATAGAAAAGTGGACATTCCTTCCAACTATACTACCTAACTAATGTATGTAATGCATGAAAATCGTACATATTGGATATTCCAGTAAAATGATCAATTGGGGGAAAAAATTGATAAATGAAAAAGGGATAGGTAGAACCTTGATGGAAGACATGACCAAAAGCCAGGATCACAGATGGCCAGAAAAAAAGCTGTCTAAATATACAAAAGAAAAGACACGAAGGTCGGAAAAGATAGACAAGATCTAAAGTAATCATGGACGCAAAATAAACGAGAAAAAGAAATGGGAAAAGGAAAGGAAGGAAAAGAAAGAACTGTAACCAAAAAGCCTCTGTCACCATGCACCAACCAACCCAAATGCTGATATCTTCCATCCATTCCACCACATAAGAATAGATCCGGGTATTTAATTCGATCCGATTCAACAGTCACAGATCAATATCTGCAATGGGCTGATATTAATTACAATATTAATATCGTAGCTTGCCCACAATTCCAAATGTATAAGTTGCTTCAGCCTCGCTCTTCATTTGAATCATGTAAATCCGTTGCGTGCTTGTAGTAACACCACCCTGCTTAGCGACACTACCGTTATTATCTTCATACACAGAAACAGCAATGCCAGTACGTGCAACGCGCTCAAAGGCACTCTCAGGTAAACAGACATCCAAGAGAACCTCACCGCGGGTCTTTCCACGGATAACGATACGTTTCTCTGGATCTGCGCGGGGTGTCGCTGCACCAGAACTAGGTGGTGAAATATCACCATATGCACCGCTACCATCGCTGCGGCCGCTGCCACTAACTGCTGTACCAGGGCGAGATGGGTTCTTCGGCGTAGCAGGCATGATTGTTAACCGGGCAGCACCCATATCGCGCCATTTAGAGGCTGATTCCCGAAGATACATTCGAATTTTAGCGTTTGAGAGACCGATTCCGTCTGCGCCTTTGATGGCCGCGGCGATACGACCGATGCCGGATGATGGGGAGGGGGCGTCTCCTGAGTCTCCTGAGCCGGAGTATAGACTTTCTTCGCGGCCGTTGCGAGATGTTACTGTTGATCGGGAGATGTTGAACATCTTGCTTCCTGCACCGAAGCGCTTAAGGGCTGAGAACGCGCTGCTCATTGTTCCGACACTGCTTTCGGAGCCTTCGGCGAGGGAGCGGGGAGAGCTGTTTGAGGCGCGGTAGCTCTTTCTACGGCGGGGGAAGCCAAACCAGTTTCCACCGGACTTTTCGGTGGTGGGTTCAAATGTTGGCATTGTGTCGTTGAAGGGCCCACGGGCGTTTTGGAGAGCGATGTAGGTTGGGTTGTTGATGCGTGCTTGGTTGATGAGACTGTAGAGGCTGTCGCATTCGTCGGGGTTTCGAGAGCGGAACATGATGTTGTTGCTGGATGTTATCTTAGAACGCTGAGTGGGGGGAGATCGGATACTGATATCAATGGCTGTGCCTCGACGGATGGGGACCAATGGGGTAAGCTCCATGGAGATGAGTGGCTTTGATCGAGGGTCGGCATTCATCTTGAATGCTTCGATAAGACCAGGGCTGACAGCGATGGCTAATTCATCGGGAATTAAAGTTTCCCAGTTTCCTTTATCAGTCCATGCAAAAAGGGTTGCGACCGCCTTCGATGATTTGGCTGGCTGGAGTGGCACAGTTCTATAACCGCTTTGAGATGCAGAATTAGAAGGAGACAATGAGCTCGTCTCAGACGTTGCTGTGTCAACACGCTTTGGCTTAGGCAACTCGCTTAGCTCGCTTGCATCCTCGTCGTCCGATGCAGAAGCCTCGGAGTACGAGTCTGAATCAGAGTCTGACCTTGAGTATTCTGAAGAGGAATAGCTATAATGGCGGACGGTCGATGCATCTGAGTCCGATTCCGTGTATGAATCAGAAGCTGTGGATGGCTCATATTCATGTTTCAAAGGAGAAGAGCCCCTTCGCTTAAGCCCATTGCTTGATGGGCTAAGAACTGGAGAGTTGGAATGCTTTCTCCCAGCAGCAGAGCTTGGAGAGCGATGAGGTGGCGGAGGTGGAGGCGCCTCCTCGTGTTTTGACTTGCGACGAGACTTTCTTCTAGACTTTGTCGGGGTCTCTGGAGCTTCTTGATCCGGCAATGAATCCAGAGGAGGGTAATCTTCTTCTTCATCGTCAAACTCGGTTCTAGCGAGATCTGACAAATGGGTTTGACTGCTGGTGGTTCTGATCTTAGGAATCTGTGGCAAGTGCGCCGAAGGCACTGAAGAGACTCGCGGAGATTCAGGCTCAGGAGACTGCTGTTTACGAGGAGTCTTGGGCTGTGGGATCCGTGAAGCAGACTTGGGTTTGGGAGGGCTTGTTGCTTGACTGGTCTCACTACCTTCGCCGCCGTAGTATCTGATTTTAGTCGGTGTTGTTTCCACAGCCTTCTCCTCCACAATGGGCTCAGGAGGAACCACTTCAGAGGCCGGGCTATCGCCGTAGCGGGAGTGTCGTTTAGCCTTTGACCTTTTAAGTCCGTTTGGAGACCGTTCGGGGCTTGTCTGAGACGGTAGAGATGTAAAACCGGAGCGTGCTTGTTTTGCCGAGATTTCAGATCCTCCTGTAGTGTAATCTGTCTCGCGAGTCACGGAGGAATACAGAGAGCTTCTAGCCTCCGTGGCAGAGGAGCTGACGGTGCTCGGCTCTGAGTAATGCTCCTTGGGTGTAAAAGACCGTCGTTTCTCGCCAATAGGAATATCAATATCACTTGGGTTTGCTCGAGGTGGCGAGTCGCTAACAGAAGACTTCCGTGCTCTATGCTGCTTTGCGCGACTCATGAAGCTTTGGCTGCGGAAGATTGTCGGTGGAATAGGGTCTGAGCCCAATAGCGAGACCCATTCGACACCAATCTCGAAGTCGTCAATTCGAAGGGAGATCAATTCTTGCCAGTACTTCTCATCTCCGGGGGCACTGCGCAGCATAAGTACAATCTCACCAGTTTCACCACTGCGCGCCGAAACGCATCGAAGATCCATAGGCGGGAACAGCAGCCAGCGATCAGAGTGGTCGATCTCGCAAATCATCAGGTCACCACCAGATTCACTTCCAGAAGGGTTGTCTCGGTAAAGCAATTCAGCTCGACAATCGACCAATTGGCCACTTGAGTGGTAAAGAGAGAAGTTGAAGAAGTCACGGGCTCGGACACGGCGAGTTTGGTCGACAACCACATTTCGGGCAACTGCCAGAGTCATAGGGTCTCTAGCACGAGTTGAATCTATCCTAGCAGCAGATTCGTCTTCGAGTCTTGCTCTCTCATCCCGGGCGCGCTTTCGGGCATCTAGCACGAGGCCTTGGTAGGCTGTGGCGATTTCCTCGGCCTTAGGCGATGGCTGCAAGATGTTGATACCCTTGAAGCTCTTGGCTAGGTACTTCAATCGCACCAAAGGTCTCTTTAACAAATAGGCCACATCTACCTTCTCTCCATCAGCATCCACCACGTCGCCGTTCTCGTCTCTCTCCATGCCTTCATCCAAACTCTTCGTATCGTCATTGCCGTCCGCTTCACCCTCTTCTAGGGGAGCAAGATTCACGATGACATCCTTGAAGCCAAGTCTCCACGCTTTCAGGTACTCGCGATAGACTCTCTGCGCACCTTGGGCCCAGTTCAACAAGGCATCTGTGTCGTTTTGTGGGATGCGCTTGTGCAGTGTCTTCAGTCGTTCAATCGCAACACCCATGTTGACTATGGGCTTAGAGAAGTTAAGGTCATCTTTCGGATCTAGCGATGGCTGGAACAAACCAGCGGCGATGGCTGAATCAGATCGGGAGAGGACACAGGTCAATAACACCGGGATGACGCCACCAACAAGCGTCTTCAGCTCTCGCATATATTTGGTCTCATCGGCAGACAACTCGGCCAGGAGATCAGGGACGGTGGCACTAGCCAGCCGACTCTTATTAGTCCGAATGCTTCGTGCAGATCGGATACTCCTGCTTCTGGAAGCGGGGACAGAAAGAACAGACATAAGGTCGTTATGGGTCGTTAGTCGACGTTTCAGCTGTGATGAGACCGCAGGAAGCGAATCCGGATCGAACTGATCCTTCTGTTCGTCGGCCTCTTCCGGATCCTCTGCCAACGTGGGTTCGGCCTTCGCGGTGGCGGTGGCTGCAGCCTTCTCAGGCGCAGATGGCGCAGATAATGTTGACCCCTCTGGACGAGTACTCAGCGTATCGGATGAGGCAATAGTGGATAGTCGATGGTACCCTGTGCTTGGGAATGGTTTCTTGCGGCCAAGCGGAACAGGCGCATTATTTCCTGATACCTCCGAGATTTCTGAACCTAACTGTATCTCGGATTCAGATGGCGCGAGGCTGTCTTCATACACGGAATCCTGTATTTCGTGCGTGGCCCTCTCGGCTTTAGATCTTGGCGGCGATTTGCGAGATCTATCAGCACTCACTCGCTTAGTATCCGACACAGGCTCGCCATGATGAGACTTTCGTGGTCTGTCACTTGACGAAGTGCGATCTTTATCCTTGGACTGTCGACTGTGGGAGCTCTTTGGGCGTAACTCGCTTTCAGGTAGCGTATCAGATGTCAAGCTGCTCACTGTGTCGGTATCAACCAACCTCTTGGATCGTCTTTCTCGTGCGGACTTGATATCAAGGGGACCAGGCATATCACGCTTGCCATCGTCGAGAAAAGGGTCCGGCGTCTCCGATAACCAAGCCTCGATCTTCGTTCCTCGGTTTGCGACGGGCGGAGCAGGTCTGGGAGGTTCTGGCTTGGGCAATGAGAACATCTTTCTAGACTCATCGAGCATTTGTGTGAATATGCCACCCTTTGGTACCTGTGGGCCTCTGGCGCGTCTACGCGACAACTCCGAGAAGTCGGCCTCGCTTTTCGCCCAATCTCCTGCATCTTCCGGTGGTGGAGATGCTCGCTTATGCTTGTCCGATATCTCCGATCTTATCACAGACTTGGGGCGATCTGTCTCCGTCTCCCAATCACTGTCGGCAACTGACTCCGGGCGCTTTCGAGGCGTAGACTTCCATTCCTTCGTAGGCTTCGCTCCCGATCGAGGGGTTTCACGAGTCCTGTCCGGAAGTTCCCTCTTGATATCTTTCTTCGCACGCGGGGTATCCTCTTTTTCATTTGTAGTATATTCATTGATGCGTTTCGGGGCCGGCAGATTCCGTGTAGATGTCGATCCTACCGTTGTCGTCGAGCGATTTCTTCGCCAGTGCTCATCACTGATCACTCGTTTGCGCGGTGTACTGTGACTTCGTTTCCTCGTTTGCGCCACAGGACCTTTGGCAGTTTTTTCCCTGGGCGCTCTTCCAACTTCCGACTTTGGTTTGACGGTCACCTTGGCTATCGGTGTCGATTTTGGTGTCGATTTTGCTTTCTCTTTCTCTTTCTCTTTCTCTTTCTCTTTCGCTTTATTCTCGTTGTTGGTACCTTCATCATCATAGTATACACCGTCGTCGATCGTGATTACCCCGCCTCCTTGTTGTTGCCATTTTCGCACTCTGGAGCGAACTGTGTTTGTATCGTGGGCCCCGAGCGGCTGGCCAATATCCAGTGTCTTTGCTGGGGTTGATTTGGTATTCCCTCCCGTGTTGGAGGGACGATTTGGAGTCGCAGGGGACGGCATCGATGGTCTATATGAAGATTGACATATTGATTAATATCTGGAATTCGGAAGGAGGAGGAGAACTAGTGTATCGAGTACAGTAGCTGTTGTTGCCAGCTCGGGAAGACACATGGGAGGAATGTTTGGGATGTTGAACATGCAGTCGATCAATATTGAACTTACCACTGTGGACAGACACAGATGGTCTTAATCACAGAATAAGGAGCAGCATTTGCTTCTTTTTTTCGTTCTGTCTTTTGTTGAACTGATTGACTTGCGCCAAAGAGCGAGGGGGATGTAAACAAGGGCGATTAGGCGGTGATCAGCCGATAAGCAGTCAAGCCTGGACTTCCCACACTAAGTTCGGCTGCCGGGGAAACCACGCGCTGCTGATCTGCGCGATCTAACCGATGACTGATGACTGGGTTCAGGGATTAATTATGCAAGGTTTTCCAGAAAAGAGAGACGATCTGCTGCGTGTGATTTGATCCGGTGCGGACTTTTTTTTATTTCTTCTTTTTTAGTGCCTTCAGAAGTACAGTAGCGTACACTGTCAAGGCCTCGGTGGGCTTGGCATCGCCAGTTTTGACCCTTTACGCAGCTGAGAGAGAAATGTGGGGAGTGGTATATGTTAAGTGTAGACTAAGAGGGGAATAAAAGGGTTCAAATAAGAATAACTGGGACTAGGGAAGTTTTTATTGCCGGTTGCGCGGCCTATCGTGGTGCATTGGGCGTCATAGCTGTCTGATTATGGAGTTGGACAAAGTTGACCCTCTTTAACGCATACATACTCGCTTGTCTTGTTTTGTGCATAAATAGTGCAAGTTCAAGTTATTTGCTGAGAATCAATCTCGATCTATTCAAGTTCTTTTACTACTCTCCAATCCCCCTCCATCTATACTGACTCTCCTCCTTATGAAGTCATGATCGGGCCTCCTCTTCCCCGATCTCGATTTTGACCGAGACAAGCACTATTCGTGCCATCCCAGTTTGAGATTGAAAATCTTCCCCACCATGTCCACTCACATGCGGCTATGACGGAGGTGTGCTACTCCGCCTTCTGCCTATCGGCTGACTCGTGCTGTCGCTTTATGGCGGTCGAGAGGATAGTCATACTCTGGTAAAGATAGTCTAAACGGAGGGAAAAAAAGAGAGAAAAAACAAATCAGCTAATACTCTCCCAATCTAGTGGTAAAAACTTACAAAATGGAATTACAATCCAGATAAAATTCATCAGGAAGTAATAGATCCAGAAATAGTACCCCTCCGGTCGGCTATAGGGCCGATCGTGAACATAGTGGTCAAACAAGCTGGTAGCATAGTACAGTGTATCGCCGTAGAGATGGCTCATACACACAACGATTTGGAACGGGTGGCGCAAGGAATGCCGCGTTGCGGTCAGATATGCAACCACGAAGCACAGTGGGCCCCACAAGAGCTGAATGACCCAGTGTCAGCAGTTGATACAGTTCTAGTCGGAAGGACCGGTCTGGACTGGATCTAGGTCTAGTCTTCCTTAGGGCTCTTGCGGATATGTACTTACCACCGTGATAGTCTCCATACACAGGACCAGGGTGTCCGAAGTCATGTATCGAGAATCCGACAGTGCATATTCTTTCCATAGCTGCCCGAAGAGATCCTGAGCTGAAGCCATGTGCTTATGGTTCAGCATAAAATACCCCTCGAAGAAACAGTGCAAAGTTCCAGCTATTGAAATAATTCATGTTAGTTCAATTATTCTTCTTGTTTTTCTTATTCAGGAAGCTCCATTCTTTCTGTGTTGAGCATTGTCTTCCTAGCACACTTAGATAGGACAGGTCATACAGAGCACAAACCACAGAATGGCAATCCGATCCGCCATGCGAAGCGCTGGTCGCACATGACTGGCCACTGCAAAGGTCAAGCCGAGAAGGAGCGTACATCCTCCACTTGCCAATGCTAACAGCTCAAGAACGGGGCTTTGGTTGGGTGCATAGCCGACGATGTTGACCCCCAGAGGATAATAAGGATGGGACTCGGAGCCAGCTGGCATTGTGGACCAATTGTGATTTCACCAAAAATCTATGATGTTTTGTGCGCGACTTGATTTATGGAGCTTCCAACTCAATTCATATGGACGCGTGATCAAGATCTGGGAAGGAACACAGTTAGTAAACTGCGCATTTCCAAGTATAGCGGCAATTATCAAGCGCGTACTAACTTCAATGTTGGATGCTCAACTTGAGACACTTGAAGTTCAGCTTCTCCTTACGCTCGCATCGATGTACTTGCCCAACTGGAAATGGTGGATCTACGGTCCTGCACAGCTAAGCCAATCGGAGGTTACCTGCAAGCCGATAGCTTCTAGAATAAAGAGATGTCTAGTCCTTGGGATAATTATATTCAATTTGAATTAATTAAAAGCTATTTTCCTAATTACAACTAACTTGAAGTAAGGACACCTGTTACTAGTCCTAACATTGAAGTAGGTAATTAAGCTTGTGTAGGTACTGTACTATGCTCCGTGACATATACTGGGATTCGCCTGTAACATCCCCCACCTTGAAAGCGTTTGAGTAACCCAGGGCTGAACATGCAAAAAACCTGTATCTATAATCCAGAAAGATTAATCTCATTTTTATAATGAAGAACTTCAGATCAACTCAAGACTCAAGAGATGGGGTAAGATGCTGCCTCAGGCCGATATCAGCTATCAGCCGACGCGGCTATTCATGGCTCCACGGAATCTCCAAGTTCCTCGATCCCCCCAGCTTCGTACCGTGATTCCCCGATTGTTTAAATGGCGTCCTGGTGTCTGCCACTCCGCAATTAAGGCTTCCGATACTAATAGCAGATCCCTGGGTATTGACCCTTCACGATCCCCAATGGAATCACCACCGGGCATCGCCGCCCTGTTCGTCATTACATTCGATATCAGGACCGGGTAAGTAATCGTCCCCCTAGAAGCTCCGAGGGCGAAGGAGGGGCACATCACTGATGTCTTGTGCAGATATGTGGTTTCATGGAAACGAACTGCACCAGGAGGTAAGAACATATCTATTATCTAGCAGCCTATTCACCAACCAAATCAAGATTACCCCTCTGCTGGCGCAAAGCTGTCCTAACACGATCCCATAGTTGACATCGAAGGGGTGGTGGAATACAAATCACTTCCCTCGGGATTACACAATGTGAGAGAGGACCTGGTGTAAGTTATATAATTATATCTTAAGCTTACCCAGTTTCAACTTTAACTAATCGTTGTTCTTTTTCTAGGTACTTCGTCGACGGGCAGTATGCAGGCATCAGCGCGTTCGTGAACCTCCCCGCCGCCGAAGAAGAGCGCAATGCTCGAATGTTCGCGATCGGAGTCTTAGTTCCTCTAAGCTCTGGAAGACTCGGAAAAAGTTGGAGACATGCTCCGAAGCTAAAGGAGCTGACACTGTATGTTGCACTTAACGTGCAAGAACAATGGCAACACTCGACTAACCTAAATCGCGACCGATAGTAAATACGCCGCGGACAGGAACGATCTACAAACACTTTCCGATTACTGGGACGCATTTAAGATTGGAGGCACTGAGTCCTCAGCGAACGAGTCTCCTGTCGAGTCACCTTTGAGCCTTCGATTCCGACCGGGCGATAGGCCACCAGCGAGCAGTCGCAATCGAACATTCAGCGACGCAATGGTGTTAGAGACGTTTAGGCCGGCCTTGACGCCCTTTCACCCTGCTTCATCACTTCCGGACTTTCTCGACTGCTTCGGTCCTCTCATATTCCCCCTGTACAGGGCAGCTCTGTTAAGGAAGCGTATTCTCTTCATGACTGAAGCACCAGTACATACGCCATGCAACTATGGTAATTTGACCTATTTGGAAAACATCTTACTATTCGCTCTCCTTGCTAATATGATCTAATAACAGTGTATGACCTCTCGCTACTCGCATCTCTACCAAATTCCCTTCTCCAAACATTACCAACAGATCGCACCCCGCCCCTACGACCCCGCCCACTATTCAACATCGGCATTCACGACATCCCCTTCCTCTCTACATTCGACCCCTCGCGAACAAACTTCGACACAGAGACAGACCCAAGCTGGATCGCATGCTCAACAGACAGCGTCCTAACCATGAAACCCGATCTCTACGATGCCCTCGTCACTCTCCCCCCTACATACTCCCAACAAGCCTCCGAACGAGTATTCCCAACAATAAACCTAGTAGACCACTCAAGCACAAAGCACAACTCGAACCAAAGAGTCCAACTCAAAGCAACTCAACGCGACGCACGTCGTTACGCAATGCTCCGAAAAGGTCTCCGCCAATTCACATCCACCCAAGAAAGAACATCAGATACAGACGACTCCGACACCGAATCAACATACTCCGCAAGTTCGATTGTTGAAACAGTCTCTTGGACAAGATTAGCATATACATCATTTATATGGTGGGCGTCTGCAGGTGAAAACCGCGACGGACTCTCACAAGAAGAAGAGGAACAACAAATAGAACAAGACGCCCGACTTCTGGCAAGCGTGGAAAGTCTCGCTTATTCTGCTCCTGCTCCTGCTTCTCTTCCTAATTCTACTACTCGGAGGGGCCCGAATCATATCGATGGCTCGGCACAGGAACCCCCCGAAGTTGCACTGGTAGCTTACTTCCGTCGTCTTACTACTCAGATCTTTTATACGCTTGCTGGTGCCATTGCGAGACATGATAATGATGGTGAAATGGAGTATAATGAGGTCCCTTATCTTGATGATACTGCCGAGGAGGAGATGGATATGTCTCTTTCTAATTCGAGACAGTCTATTACCGGTGATGATGGAGAGACACCTTTATTGCGGCAACGGTCGAGGGGTGGTTCATCTCGAAGGCATTCTGGATCAGAGTCAAATGGTCATGATCATGATCATGATGGTGAAGATCCGATTACAATTACTGTTGCTGATATGGCTGAGATGGGTCTTGATGTGTGGAGCGCTACTGATAGGATTTTTGTCGAGGAGCTTGTCTCGCTTTGGTGGGGACGCTCGGCGTATGTTGATAGCGCTCGCATACGGTGCTGCGGTATCTCCATATTGTAGACTTGTCCACAGCTTCTTTCATGGCCCTCATCTTTTTCCCATTTTCCTTTTTCATTCTTGACTCTTTGTCATGATACTCATCTGCGCTTATCTGGTTGTCTTGATTTATCATTTATGTACAGGATAGTCGGTCTATGTATGGTGGCTATGTGTTTTTACTTTCTGTACATTGTATATACCGGATAATGTCTGGCAAAGTTTTGGTTTTCCTTTCCGCTTTGGTGCTCTCCCCTTGCCGCTTTCTGCTCACTGAGTAAAACTGAGCACGCCCTGAGCAAAGTGCGGGAGCAGCCAAGTCAGCAGCTCGCCTCAATAAAATGCACTACGCTAGCCCTAATCAAATGTAATCGTTCACATAGCACTCTTGACTGTTCTCCCCTCAACGAAAGGCTGGCGTCATCAATGTGACGGTTAATCTTGTTTTTTTTTCACCTCTAGCTGGGAGGCAAATGTATAGTGGAGCCAACTTTATTGACATTACTATTCTACAGTATTCCACTCGCCGTGTCTTGTATCCGCGATGCTGTCTCCTTATAGCTGCGGAATAGAGCTAGTACCTATTAGCATGGTCGGTTGGATAGATATCAACTGATGCACTGCCGGGTATTAAGGGGGAATCTTCCTATAGGATGAAATCTGCTGTGGTTACTGTCTCATTTTGCGATATAGGAGTAGCCACTTAAGAGATTGGGCTCCTTAAATATTTTTGTTTGCACAACTATAAGGCAATTGAAGATCATAAGTAGATTGCGGCGCCCCCTTACCCTGATATCATCGAAATTAACACTGTCACAGCATGCCGGTGAGACAATTTCATCTATATTTATTCAACTACGCTTACAGGCTCTCCATACTTATCTCAGTTGATAAGTACAATTGTAAGTTAACATATGGTTCTAACTAACCGGTTTGCTCCACGCTCCGACAACGTACAGGAGTCACCTCGGTATTTAGTGAGGTATCGAGTGCAGGGGACCCCAACCACAGTTGTGTCACATCGTACCTTGCGCTCAAAACAAGACACACATTCAGTCGGCTTTGTCCCCAGTGGAGCGGTCGGTGGCATTGTAAGTACCTATAGCGGTTTTGGGGGGTACAGATAGGTAAGAGATGCAGGATAAGGAGATAAGAATGCGGGGATCCCTAGAAAGAAAAAAAGCTCTGAAGTCACAAAGCACCTTGGTAAAAGCTGCTCCAACAAGACTGATTTTGCTTCGGTACCGACACCGGGGCATTTAACCTTTTTATCATGCTGAAACGACCGGTGACCACGCCGCATATATTTCTGTCTGTACTGGCTGTGGTGATAAAATTATTGTATTCGAGTTTTGCTCTCTTCCCAAATACCTAAAGACCACAACCCTGGAGAAATATTGCTTTGCAGATGTTACAAAATATACCTGGGCGTCGGTAATTGTATTTCCGATACATCTAATTACGACCAGTGGGTCAAAGTTGTGGAATCTATATTCCCTCGCCTGATGAGTGGGTCAGCATTGAACACACTGGGCCTTGAGTTATGGAATGGAAAAAGCCGAAGGGCTTATATACCTGGTTGGTTTCCCCTCTCCTTCAACTCCTGTATACCCTCGAAATATCAAAGAATCATTGGTCAACGACAATGTCGCACATCTTGCAACCCACAACACTCGGCGATACGATTCCTTTACGCAATCGTATCTGCATGGGATCTATGACGCGCAATCGCTGCATCGATGGAAACAAGCCCACTCAGTCATCGGTGAAGCATTATGCCGAGCGAGCTCATGATGGCGTCGGGCTTATCATTGCCGAGGGCACATTTATCTCGCCTCACGGTGCAGAATGGCCGTACGCGCCGGTAATGTATGATAGCAGTCATGCGGCAGCTTGGAAGTGGTGACTGATGAGGTGCATCGCGAAGGGGGCAAGATTTTCTTCCAGCCCTGGCATCCTGGTAAGTAATGTCTGACATCGAGAACAAATCTCGAAAGAAGATCTAGCGAGGACGACAGCTCAAATAATTCCCCACAGGTCGAATTCAAAATGAAAACATGCCGATGCTCAAGGAGACCGGGTATCCGGTTCTAGCTCCATCTAAGATCAGAGCAAAGGGTGGCAAATTCCGAACACTAGAAGGGGTCCCAGTATGACTTGGCAAATCAAGGAGATTTTTTCTGATCGGCTTTTCTGATTGAATGCTTTTAACAGGGCCATACTGAGAACATTACCGAAATCGAGGATCCCAAGATCATTGTTGAGCAATTCCAGCAGTCGGTCTCTTTGGCAAAAGAGGCTGGATTTGATGGGGTTGAGCTCTTGTCGCAAGGGTAAGATCGTTGGCATGTATCGTTAATTGGCTATAGTACTAATCGACTGGTGTTATAGTGGCTATCTCTTGCACAATTTCTTGTGTTCGTGAGTAGTATCTCATCTTCTCATAGCCTGCAACCACATCACTGATATATTTTAGCCACTCCAATGCTCGGACCGACGCGTATGGAGGCTCACCGGAAAATCGGTGCAGATTCCCCCTCGAAGTCCTTGATGCGATCCTCTCTGTTTGGAGCCCGCGGTTTGTAGGCATCAAGATCTGCCCATCTGATGACTACAATGACTCTGTGGTCTCTTACGAAGAATTTACCGAGACATATACGTACTACATCAAAGAGCTGATGAAGCGTGACTTGGCGTTCATCAATCTTTCGCGGCGCGGGTGTGATGTAGGAAGAAACCAGGACGACTATTTCAAGTCTAATCCAAGGCCCGAAGGCAAGGAACTTCCGCCAAACTACGAACCTATGAAGCAATTCGCTTCTTTGATCAAATGCCCGGGCAGTAAGACTATGCTCATGGTGAACCACGAGTACACCGTCGCCGAAGCCGACGGGCTGGTCAAAACTGACCAGATTGATCTAATTACATTTGCTCGACCATTTATCTACAATCCGGTTCGTTGTGTTTTATACTTTCTATGTTATGCTATGTTATGTTGTTCTAAGACTAATTGCTATTTACCTCCCTAGGACTTGGTGACTCGTGTGAAGGCTGGTATTCCATTCGCGTCCAACGATCGTGGTGGCAAAGTCAATTATGGACCCTACCAATACCCGGATGAATACTACAATGACTGGCCTAGTGCTGTGTATTAGTTAGAAATATTAGAATTCTCTTGCAAGGCTTTAAGCTAGGTTCCCATATTAGAACTTCTCACATGTGTATGATATTAGGTCGAGAGGGTGAAGTCTTCAGGTTGCCTCGGGCATGTGGCTGTGACGGACACTGGCCGCACTGCCTGGGTTTCTCATGCTTTAAGAAAGCTCTAACATGACTTTCATTTCCAATTATGTCCATTTGCGATATAGAGCCCTGCAAGACACCCTTTCATGACATTCCACACTGTTTTCGGGCGCCGATAGATAGAAGGTCAATATTTCAATCGCTTGATGGCTCCTCTGCCAATATACGTCGATGTACATATTTCCCTCGGACCAGCCAGTCCACTGCAATGACTATAGCGACACCACCATAAGCAGCAGCGACGTAGTTTATACTTGTAAGTTGCTGGTCAATGAAAGTTCATCATGGAACAAGACTAAAGATAAAGATAAAGGAATCACTTACTACTGGGAGTTACAGGGTAGGCAGCAGGGAACGAGTACACCACAAGGGTGATAACAGTCCAGGCAAGCAAAATCCAGTTACTGATCAAACCAATGTTCCCCATCCAAAATGAACCACGAGCGAGGTTATTCCGGCCCTTGATAAGTAGACAGATGACAGGAATGGAATACGAGATATATAATAGGACAATGCAAGCAGTCACAAAGCTGTTAAACGCCTCCGAAGAGCCAAGGTATAAGGCCGAGAGGAGGGAAACAAAAAAGTGCTGACAATGTGCGCTTTCAGGGGCACTTGTAGTGTGGGATGGATCTTTCCCAGGTATTTGTGACCTGTTAGGCCTCCATCACGGGCGAAAGACCAGCAGAGACGAGACTACCAGGTCTGAGACGCTACTTGGCATCGGAAACCAGTAGCCAAAATCAGGGCACCCAGGACAGCGGCACCAATTCTGCTCTTGAGAGACTGGTAGAAGAGCTCCAGAATTGGAACGCCGGTCGATGTGGTGAGGAGGGCTTCAAGGTCGGTGATGCTGAAAAACATGACGAGACAAAATACCCAAGAAGTTATGAATCCCACGGCAACAGTGCTCATGATGGCTTTAGGAATGATCTTTTCAGGGCTTTTCACTTCTTCGGCCATATGCGTGGCCGCATCGAGGCAAACGAAAAGCCAATTTGGATTGATCAATCCCACCAGGAAGGCAAGTCTGCTGGATGACCAGCCGGTGGAGTTTGTAAAGGTAGCAAACACGAACTTGGGATCGCTGTAAGAGCCTGATGTGGCAGGCACGGTTATGAGGACCACAAGGAAGGAGACTAGCGAGATATACATGGATACCGTGGCGATGGTGGGCAACAGCTGCCCGACACAGTTGAAGAGAGAGCAGAACAGATTGGCGACGAGGTATCCCACAACGCTATGCCATGCTTGGGGGACACTATGAGAACCATCGTATCTCAGTTAGCAAACAGAAAGTGTTTGGGGAGGGGGCGAAGATAGGAAAGATGGGGGATGAGATTGAAGTGAAATGAAAAGACGAGAAACTAACAAGTCCGGGTGTGTTAACTGCCAAACTCCCACTAAGAGCGTCCCAAGTCCCAAGGCACTGCTCGCAGTGGTGAAAATCGCAGCTACCCAAGACACCCAACCACACAGGAAAGCCAGCCCATTGGCATACTTTTTCGGCGCCAATTGTGTCGTCCAGAAGTACTGACCGCCAGCATTGGGCATGGAACTGGCCAACTCGGATAGTGTAACTGCCACCGCACCGGAGATGAAGGCCATGAGCGGAATAACCCAAACACTGACAACCGTGCCTCCAGAACTCAGACCGGTAACCAGGGAGACGGAAAAGCCAAACCAGGAACTTGTGAGTGTGAAACTTATACCCAGTATTGAAAGAGTGGAGAAGTTGCGAGTCATGTCCTGTGCATATCCCATATCTGCCAAACGAAAGGCATCGATATCGACAGCTTTCATAGCCCCGATGCCCTTCTCTGGGCAGAGGGGTCCGTCTGTCTCATCCATTTTCTTTTCACTTTCTACAAGCATTATGTCCGTGGCGATGATTATGATGATGATGATTATGATGATGATGATTATGATGATGATGATGATTATGATGATGATGATGATTATGATGATGATAACAACGATAGTGCCTGGAATTCAAGGAAGGATGATGGCACGGAAGAAACTCTGCGAAGAGTGGGGTATAGTTGAGGATTCGTTTTCACTCTAGAACAGGGACAGCGTAGAATTTATATCATATGAGCATCTATTGCCCATATCGGAACCGGAACAAGCCTCTCAAAGTAATGATAACAGGAAAGATAATAAAAGAACCATTGCTTTACAGTTATACCGAACTAGTTTATCTCGGCCAAAGTGGTTGGTAATACTGGTCGAACCCCGAGATTAGGCAGGATAAGATCGGATAAAGAGTTCAGATAGCGAAAAACCACGCAAGATTTATACTTTAAATTGTTGTTAGATATCTAGATAGTGAGTGTGGAGAAATCCCCATCCTTGTACACGGGGGAGGTGCGTATAAGCTTTCTTAGTATTTTCACAAATACGAGGCATTGCGGGCGCTATGGATGTTGAAACTACTGGCATACAAGGATTACAGTTCCTTAAGCGATTAGAACATTGGAATGCGTTGCTTGACACTTTCTGGTCAAGTTTGAGCGACTTGTTAGTGTACTGTATCCATCTCGGAATGTATAGATGAAAACAAGCATCGGCTAATTGAGACGGGCGATCTACTGTATATTATTTGAAACTTCAAGGCCGAGCCAATCAGCATGCCAGATTAGATCGATACTATACACAAGGCATTCTCGGATGCAAAGACTAAATTTGGTTGGTGGTTATATCCGCAGGTTCTGGGGTCCGCCTCCACTTCGGAACTTATTTATGCCATTTGATTGGCTAATAATATCCGGGCCATCGCCGCCGTCGTAAATGATACTAAAAATTACGCGGTTTGGATAAGAAGATTCTAGGTGGTATTATTAAGTCAATGATTGAGTAATATCAACGATGAGGTGATATCAAGTCAGGTTCCAGGCAAAATCCACGAGGCATATAAAGCTCATATCCGGGAAGCACTATCTCAATCATCCCCAATCAACTCTGTAGCTTTCTCCAGCTACAATCGCATCTTTCAACTTTTAGCTTCCAACTATTATCATTGTCATTTCAAAACAATACCCCAGTCAAAATGTCTCACTTGACCTACTACGCATACAAAGGTGTTGGCGAGCGCAACCAGAAGCAGTACCAGTACAGCCAGGCTGTGCGCATTGGTGACCGCATTGAATGCGCCGGTCAGGGTGAGAACAGCCCCAAACCCTAAATATACTATGGTTCACTTGCTAATGTTTACATAGGAGGCTGGAACCCGGAGACTGGCGTCATCCACCGCGAAATCAACGCCCAGATTGACCAAGCCTTCGAAAATGTTGAGCTGAACTTGAAAGACGCCGGCGGCAAGGGTTGGGACCAGGTTTTCCGTGTTGTCTCGTACCACGTACCTATCAACAATGAGGCTATAGATGCTATGGTGCAGAACTTCAAGAAGTGGTGTCCTAACCACAACCCCATCTGGACGGTCATCGGAGTGCCAAGACTTGGAGAGGACGATATGAGGGTGGAAATTGAGGTCGTTGCGCACATTCCAGAGGAAAGTAAATAAATTCATCCAAACACCAGATAAAAAAAAATTTTAGACGATAGATGAATGAATCTTTCTATTTTGGGGGTTTCCCTTCCAATTTTGTTTCATCATTTTAGGATCATGTTGATGTAGTTGAACTGTTAGGGTGAGTATTTCTCTGTGGGATACAATGACAGACACAGCAGCCTTCTTTTCCAGGGCACCTCACATATTGAATTGGGGTTTAGACCATATGTCCCCACATTTACAAGTTCGTGGTACCTACATGCAGCTCTTAAGGCTCGTACCGTCGAGGGGAAAAGGGGGGAAAGGTTTTCACATTAAGCCCTGTCTCATTGTGAGGTGAGAAGCAGGGATAGCAGAAAGAGATTATGGCCAGATAAGACACGACAATCAGTCAGGAATTTTATAGGCTCACGGTTTAGTGCGATGGGAGATATGTTCACCGAGTGTAAGTGGAGCATCGGCCTCAAAGCTCGGCACCGGTGGTAAATCGGGGAAATGAGGGGATACGGTCATAAAGTCCAAAGATTCGTGCAGAGCGAAGAATGCTGAGTTGAACCCATCATTATCAGCGGGCGGAAGTTCGTCGGTTATATCGTCACTATCACAGAAGTTCCAGTTAATGGAAGATCAGTTCTCATGTTTGAACACGCACTTACACAAGCCATGGGAAATCCTCGATAAAATCCACGTGGGAATCAAGATTATATCCGGCCGCCGTCCAGGCCTCTTTGGCTACTTTCATGATCTCCAGACTCACGTTTTTCCCCGTTGTTGTTCCGATGTTGACGACTTGTTCCAGACATTGAATGGCATCGTCGACGCTTCCGAACGCGTCACGGGCATATCCGATATCAGAGCCGGGTACCAAAACGTCGTATAGCAAGGTCGCACACGCGTAGACCAAGTACGTGACAATAATCCGATCCTGCTTGATGTCTGGAAAGCGATGGAAATAGACGGTATAAGCAAGCTGAATCAAATTCCGCGCTGACTGCATTGCAATGTCGATTGAACTTAAGATATCCAATGCATGAGCGGTACTCTCTTGTGCCTTTGATGGAGATTCAAAGAGACTAGAGTACACAAGACTCGGGCGATACAGTACCATTGAGATCAGATAGTAGGTGAAGCCGAGGTGTGAGCGCTGGATTTCCTGTGAGTTTGTGCCAATTGGCATCTCCGGATTGAAGAAGTGCAAGGAAGCTGGCAGACGCTCCTTCATAGCTTCCATGGCAGCTTTGCACTCATCCATAAAGTGTTGGACATGTTCAATATCGCCGGAGCTGGTGACAGTCGAGCATATGAGGGTGAGTATCTTGTCGGCAATGCGCGATAACTCTGCCATCGCTCGGATCCAAGCACAGTCAGTAGTAACCTCTGTCGATGGCAGCTGAGTCAAGATGTCTTCCGGTAGAGTGATATCAATTTGATTCTCCTGAAGACAAGAAGGCCGTCCCGTCATCAAGGCCGACATTCGCTCGTAGATATAAATCGACCAGAACAATATTTTGAGATGGTAGGTTGTTTGAGGATCCGCGTGGACAACTTGCTGTCGGTTTAGACCCAGTGCAAGGACGCTGCGGGCAGCATGGCCGACATACATAAACGCTTCATTCGCTTTCATGATTTGCAAAGCATATAGGGTCTGTTCGTGTATTGTTCAGCATAGCAAGTTAATTGGTCGAGGTAAAACCACTTACTTTAAGTACCAGAACCTGAATTCCGCCTACAGTCGGGTCTTCGAAGTATTTTACGCCAGCGTCTGCCCGCTTGGAGAGAATCTTTGACCATTTCTCTAGAAATCCTGAATCTTCGTTTTTCTGAGAACACAGCACGCATGCTCCAATAGCCAGCACCATCTGGATGATCCGCCGACCATCTGAACTCACACAGTTATCAGGATTCTTAGAGATCTCCTTCCAATCATGCAGGACGACCGAGTAATCCAGAATCGGGGCTTGAGGATGAATATATTTGAAAAAGCCTCGAATCAGCTCCTCTCCCAGTTCTTGGGGAAAGAAGTCCGATTCAACCACAGCGTCACGGCGACCTTCGTTTGAGAATATGAAGTTCTGCATACCCCATTTGTCCAGCCCCTCTGGTAGCACTCTTGGCTGCGTGGAGAGTAACACTCCTGGCCTGCTGTTGTTTCTCTTTTTCTTTAAACGTTGGTAAATTCTCTGTACAAAGCAAAAATGCGACGACAGGCCTGTAGTTCACGATAAGTGGCGAGGAAAATAGTGTAGATGTAGAGATGCAAGTCGGAGCATACCGTAGTATTGAAATGCGCCCGTGTTGGGGTTAGTAGCAACAATTCCTTTTCTCACTTCCATGTGTTTATTGTATAGCTCGGGTTTTTTAGGTATGATATGAGTTGAAGCAGACCTGGGCTCTGTGGCAGCCTTTCTAGGTTCCAGTATGGCATTTGGTGTGGCATAGTGGAGAGGCCGCCGTCTGGGCCGCCCGCGCGGCTTTACCGGCTCAAAAACACATTCACGACCGAGTTGATCACATCCCTGACACGGTTGATGACCACTGCATTTGGTCTTGCGCGTACGACAATTCTCGCATGCCCGTTGTATGCGCGAGGGTTTCCGTGGCCCTGTCGAATGTGCATCCGCCATGTGGAAATAATGAATCCCGATCCTGAGGCTCTTTCTGATGTCCTTTCCCATGTGTCACGTGATCAGACATTCATGACATGGTCACTAAGCCTGAGCCCGTGCTGACGTTTACTCAGTGATCCTGAGCCTAAGCACCCTCTCAAAAGCGGCGGCGGCCCAGGTAGGAAGGCCCCATTATCCTATCTGTATAGGTGCATATACCTCTTGTATAAAGCATGTGTAAGGCGACAATAGCGATCATCGTGAAAATCTCTCTGTCTATAGATACCTCTACCGCTTCTGAAACCGCTACCTGTACTGTAAGCTCTACATAGATAGAAAACTGAGTGGAAAGACAGGTAGAAAGACATTTGAAAAGACATGTTGAAAATGGGGTTTTCCCCTATGATTACTACTATCCCCCGTACATGTATGTGTCTTCGCAAATGATTGTTTACGTATCTACTAGGCATTATAGAATGCCATGCAATATAAGGCTCTAAGATATGAACTGAGTATAAGAAGTATTCAACCGAAACCAAATTGTGACTTAGAGTAGCTTCATGCGAACAAATGAAAAATTGAAAGAGTGTTGGGAGTGCTAGAGGCAAGATGACCAGAGAAAGAATAAGAAAAAGCACGCAAATATGCATAAAGCGATGCTCGAAAAAAAACGCCATGATTAAAAAACGAGCAAAATATAATTATTGCAGCGCCATGCAAAGAGAGAAGTTGCTAGATAATGATGAAAACAAATTCCAAAAAGAAAGTCAAGAAAGCCTTGAATCAATCATTAGATGCAATATGCGCCGGGGTATTTTGCAGAAGAGTAAAGACAAGAACCGGCTGAACAGGACATTAAAAAGTAAACAGAAGACATGAGAATTCATACACGCAAGACGAAAATCTTATTGGACCGAATCAGATCACCGCCGAAACATACGGATTGGAGCGCTCATGTCCCGACGCTCGCCCAAGTCATTTTCACTTCTTGAAGTGTTCGTTTGGAGGTTAGGGATGCGTCGTGGACCCCGACCAGGTGTTGTGGCGGTGCTGCCAGTTGATCCAGCAGCGCGGCCGGTCACTTCATTGGCGCTTACTGATCTCACCTTGCTACGGGCGCGGCCACGTCGGGCTCTGATCTGTGCGAGGGCCTCTTCGCGGTTGATGGGTTGATCGGGGAGAAATGAAGGCAAGCTCTGGGAGTCAATGGCCTCACGGAGAGGAACCCGCTTAGTGGTTGAGTGGGAGGGATGATCAACTCTATCACGAGTCCTTGCTGGTCGCTCTTCGATATATTCACGAGGCTGGCTTCTGGCAGCAGCAGGTTTTTCTGACTGTGATTCACGGTGGGACATTCTGGATGATCGAGGCTCTTCGGATGGGGTGAAAGACTCGCGATTCTGAGTTGAGGAAGCAGATTCTCTCCATCCGTGAAGAGAGCGAACTGATTGGTTTTTAGGCGTGGGCGACAAGAGGTTGTCGTTGTCGTCACGTCGGGGTGGAGGCGGAGGTCTAGCATTGTCGCGAATGGGCGATGGGAACGTCTTGAAGGTGCCCGTCTCTGGCGAGAATGTCACCAAGGGCTCCTCGGGAATAGGCATGCGCTCGGGAGGTTCTGTTGGCTCTGGCTTCACCTGCACTGCCATACTAAGTTCGTGTTGACGTGCGATGGTTGCCGGGGGCTCGACGGATGGTGTGTGGCTGGATTGAGGAGCAGGGTGAGAAATACGGGCTCTTCGAATGGCCTCTGCTTCCGCTTCTTCTGCTGCTCGCCTTGACTGTTCTTCTGCTTGGGCCCGCTGGGCTGCTTGCTCTGCTTCTGCATCTGCCCGCGCTTGAGCTTCTGCTTGAGCTCGTCGAGCTGCTTCCGCCTCTGCCTTTGCCCGCGCTTGGGCTTCCACCTCGGCTCGTCGAGCTGCCGCTTCCGCTGCCTCTGCCTGCGCCTGAGCTTCTGCTTGGGCGCGTCGAGTTTCCTTCGCCTCAGCTTCAGCCTGGGCTTCTGCTTGGGCCTGAGCCTCTGCTTCCACTCGTCGAGCTTCCTCTTCATCCGCCTGGGCTTGCGCAACCAATCTCGCTTGTTCCTTTGCCTCAATTTTTGCTTTTGCTTCTAATTGAGGTTTTTGAAACTTCTCGAAATATTCGGCATCGTATATATAGCGGCGGCCATCGCGCTCAGCGATTCGGCACGAACATTGCTCAAACTGGCACTCAATATTCATGTAGTGAATCATATCCTCCGCTTCAATCCGTCGGCGACGCTCAAAGTGGAGTTCATCTTTAAGATCATCAACTGTTTCATCGCCGGTTTCCGAGGCAGGAGTAATCGTTGTTGTGGGCGAATCCTTGACCGGAGAATTAACTTCGGATAGGCGTTGGCGTTTCGGGGGTGTGGCCTCTGCAACTTCTTCCAACTCTCCCTCTTGAGAAAATGATCTTATCGAGTCCGTAGCCGCTCGCTTTGGGCGACGGGGGGTTGTCAAGAACGCAAGATCACCCTCGGCCAAGGATAATCTGCCAAAGTCTTCCTTGCGGATCTCGTGGGCGCGCACCTCCAGTTTATTCGAGTGGTTGGATGCCTCCATTGATCGTAACTTTCCCTTAAGAACCTCAAGTTCTTCAGTAAGGCCGGCAAGTGCGTATGCGCGTTCGAAGGCTTCTTGTTTCGCTTTATCCTTGGATTCCCGCTCGGCAGAGACCTCATATTTCAAGGCTTTTGATTCCGACTTGGCGTGTTTTAATTCTTCTTGCAGATTGACTAGTGTAGATCCCGCTCGGAACGCTTCTTTCCTGGCTTTCCGGATTTCTTTCTCGAAAATCGATCGTTCGTGCGCTTGGCGTTCTTTAGTGCCGTGTAGCTCTTCTAATAATGATTCGAGTCGCTCGCTGATACGGCGTTCTCGTGATTGTGCTTCAGAAAGTTCTTCTTGAACTGTCGTGAGGGCGGATTCCGCTTCCTCCCGGCCAAGGATTGCCCGTTGTAACGCGGCATGATTTGTTGCTGCTTGTGCTTGGGCACCGGGACTCCCTCGGGAGAGACTGTTGAGAAATGCCACTTTGGCTTGCACTTCTGAGACTCCCTTATTGCCTTTGTGGTGGATATTGAAGAGGTCGGAGGGGAGAGAGGGGGACGCGGAAATGTTTTGTTGATTCATACGGTCCGGCGATACTTGATTAAGGACCTTGGAAGGGCTGAGAATTGGACGCGTTGGAGAATCCATCTCGCGCGGTGTCGAAATTATGTACTGTCGGTCAGTTAGTGTCAAGCAGTCATGGGTGCTGGGCCGGCACAATGGTGGTTCACGGGAGAAAATCACCGTTGGAATTTGGGGGATGTGACGCACCCACACGACCGTTGTTTATTGCCCTTTTCGTGCGTGTCAGGTGACTGTTGCCGTGGACACGGTGCGCTTTCCCTATTACAGTTAGTACTGCCCGACTATCACGGGGCTATCATCACGTGTGGAACATGTCTAATTGGGATTAGCGGGGAGAATCACTAATCTGTGCGGCATCAGATTCCAAAACATTCGAGCGGCCCGACAGTTGTACAGGAGGATCTATCAAAAAGCTACGCCTGTCTCATTTCAGTGAGGATGCATGAGATTGTTACTTTGCAACTCGGCCAGAGGGCTAACTATCTGGCAACGCATTTCTGGAACCTCCAGGTAGGTACTTTACATTGTCTGCCATTGTACTCTATCGCCTAATATAGAAATAGGAATCATATTTCACTTACAACGAGAAGGAAGAGTCTGAAATAGATCATGATGTTCATTTCCGCCCAGGTGTTGGAGCCGATGGCTCAGAAACATACACTCCTAGAACCATCATTTATGACCTAAAAGGCGGATTTGGTACTCTTCGCAAGTACAATGCACTTTACGAGATGTCCGAAGAGGCAGCAAGCGGACAGGGTCTTTGGTAAGTCTTCACATATTTCTTCAAGACTAATGAAGGGTCACCCAACTTACAATGGTTTAGGGATGGGACTGAAATTGTTCAAAAGCAAGAACCGATTATACCGAGTGATTATCAGAAGAGCTTAGATTTGGGCACTCCTGCACCTCGCTTAACATCAGAGACAGTACGCTACTGGTCTGACTACAACAGAGTCTTCTACCATCCTCGGTCCATCGTGCAGCTGAATGAGTATGAGTTGAACTCCCAGATGATGCCTTTCGAGGACTGGAATGTTGGCGAAGAACTGTTCGCAGATCTCGATAAAGAACACGACCTGCTGGACCGGGACGTGAGACCCTTTCTTGAAGAATGCGATCAATTGCGAGCACTTCAGATCTTCACGGGGGCTGACGATGCCTGGGGCGGCTTTGCAGGTCGGTATATTGAACGACTAAGAGATGAGTATGGCAAGAAGAGTATCTGGGTGTGGGCCATTGAGGACGGCCAAAGGGTTCAACGGGTATATTTTGCCAGCCCTTTTCGAAAGAATTGATGAAGAGCTAACACTATATGAAGCACAAACAATTGAAGAAAGATGTTAACAAGGCCAAATCTTTGTACACCATCTCGCCACAGTCTACTCTATACGTACCTATCATCGATATTCCCCAGAGACTTCCAAGCTATATCAATCTGGATCGCCAGTCCCATTGGCAGACCACTGCTTTAATCAGCTCTGCCCTGGAGACGGTGACGTTGCCATCACGAATACGTCCTTACCACGACTTTGAAGCCTCATTGTCTGGTGATGATGGCAGACACACTATCTTCGAGCTACAATCGACTTTTAGTTACCAAGATAACAAGAATGAGCAGAAACCCACGGAAGATAATCAAAGGCCTAAGCCGGAAACCGAGTTTGACATCGATTTCACTTACGGGGATGGGAAAAGTGACAATGCGCATATTTTCAACCAAGTCCAGGTGACTCGAGGGGACGAGCGAGAAAGGTCTACTGATTCAACGCAAGATGATCTTGGGCACCTACGTAAACTCCGACTTTACAACTCCGAAGCAATGCTTCAAAGGTATGTTTTTCTGTCGAGGATTATTGTCTCACTTCATTGACTCATCTGGAAAATTACGCAGCTATCACACGTCACTTCGACTCCCAATTCTTGACAGTTTCCCGCACGGCCTCTACCAAATCCCCCAGGCCAACGAAGGGCTTAGCGTATTCTCCGCATTGACCGCTTCGACCCGGACAGCCGAAAGAATCAAGGCTATCGAGTCTTCCACAGCACGTCTGTTATCAGTCGAGGAACGGGAGAACATGATCAATGGGCTAGGCGAGATTAGGGAAACCTACGAGACAGGATGGGGTAGTGGCTCCGACGATGATGATGACTAGATAAGTTCCCTGTTTAAAAAAGAAAGACATGAATTTTTTTTCTTTGAAATGAAAATGACGCCTTCTTTCGGGAAGTTCGGCTAGTTAGCCGGAGAGTGATATCTCATAATGCCCCTTTGGCGTTAGAGCGCGGCGGACCTTCCGCCACGTCGTGAGGCTATATTTAGGGCGTAATCTATTCTCCCCAGCGGAGAGCTTGACTTTGAGGCTTGAGACATGTATAGTAAATCTCTACGAATACGAGTTTTATCAAGTGAGTTCCTTTATAGTCAGGTGGTTTTGGAGAGTTTGAGACCGTAGAAAGACTAGAGATGTTATTCTCTTCCCTAAATAACTAAGACCGTATCGTATACTTCCTTGGGCCTTGAAGTGACCCCTCACGCGAACCCTGGCTCTCTCTAGCCCCGATTTCCCTCTTTCCTCGCTTTCTGATGAATGAATGTTTACAGTGGCATGTACAATTGATTAATTATCCGATGCAACTAGCGTCCATAGCTGTTCCATAGGAGCAAGTAGGAAAGCCGATCTGAGATATGATGATCCAGGCAGCCCCGCCCCTCCCGCGATCAGTTTTCTGATAAATTGAAGAAACTGCTGGGTGTCACTAGTACAGTTCTCGATGCTCTCCAGTAATTTATGCCCTTGAATTGGTGAGATTCTTACCTACACGGGGGGAGGCGGGGGAGTAACCATGGATCCCCAGGTCCATTCCGAGACATGACAAGTGGTGCCAGATGGTGGCAGACCCCATAAAAGAGTAAATGAAGAGTCACAATAACAAAGGAAATAATAAATAAATAAATAAAAAAACCAAATCACGAAGATGCAGGATTCCTGTACCACTGACATCATGAGCTTTGATCCCTCTACTAGAAGACCTGGGCAGCACTATATCTCACCGCACCTATCGCACCCTATCGCACCAATAGCGGGCCCCACTCGGGAACTTCCCTGCAACGGCGTGCGTTAGCGTAGTTGAACTGGGTTAACTGGGCTGTTCCACGAAAAGATTTCCACTTTCGCGCGTCTTGGACGTCTTAGTTGTCTCTGGGCCAGGTTTTACTCTTTTGGCGAGACTGTCAGGGGATTCTGTCATGTAACGTTACCTGCATGGGCCACTTCAAGGCACTGGGTCGCTATACCCAATTGACTTCCCGGGTAAACATTGTGAGCCCTGGGTTTGCTGCAATTGACCCTGATTATTGTCAGGGCAATCGAAGAATTGCTGGGGGGCAAAAATGGAGATTACAGAAACTCGTGGCATGCATCATGGCCCACTTTCAGGACCCTGAAAAGCATACAACGTTGCTTCTGCCATGGTTCTAGTCCATTGCACGGATACCATAGTCTGTCCAGGCTATTTCGAGAAAAAAAGATGTCTCGCTCGGTGGGAAATTAGGCGTTCTGTTATTTCGCGGAAGAAAAAAGAATACCTATAGAATGTGGTGTGTCATATTACCAGTGAGAGAGTCGGGTATGAACCTAAGTACCGGGGGCGCCATTGCCGTGACGCTTTTCATTCGTGAGGTTTCCCCACAAAATACTAGTCGCCCAACAACTCATGAAACCTATCTTATCTCTGTCTGAGTTCGAATTTTACACCTTTGGTTTAGTCCCATGACGGATGTTCCTAATTGAGCTCGAATTGGATTTCATTTTCATTTTCGTTTTCATTTTCTTACCTGTTACCGAGCTGTTGCTGACGGCAGAGGCTGGTAGTGGGACTTGGAAACCAATACGGACTATACCTGGTGTCCACCCCCATAATCCATGTCATGTATCCCCCGCCTACCAGCCCCCAACATGGCTCTCCGCCGGAGGATGAGCTATCAGTGAGTCCGCTCCCGCTACGCATATTGCTGGGCCCACATCTGCACCATCGGGTCGTCTAGATCGCTGTTCCACTTAAGCGTCGGTCTTTGAACACATTGAGTTTGGTATCATGTATCCCGGTGCTTCCATCGACGAACCAGAAACTACTTTGAACCTGAAAATCCTATCATTGGCTATTACCAAGTACTCGTCGCTGAGCCAACCGGGTTTGTGCTCTGATACTAGCTTTGGCCCTACATCACGACCCATTTCTGCCCAGCTCCAGCCATCTGTTATACACGGGATGTAGAATTCTCTATTCTCTGGGTCCTGCCCATGCCAGGTCTAGTTAGCTTTCCAAGCCAAGATGCCACTCTTGAGCATGGTCTTTTGTGGGTACAACAGCGTACTCCAACGGACTGACTCTCGCACCATCCAAATCGGGACGAGCCAATTGAGCCATGAAAACAGGATATCAAGCCTCCCCCAAGGATGGAGGATCCTCTGTACCCTGGGAACTGATGTATAAAGTCATCTCTTACCCTCGTATTTCTCCCTCTTTCTAGTCCGTTTATTAATATTTATTAGGAACTCTCTCGCTACGGTTCCTGTTTGTCTTTCTTCTCCCAAGGTACACATACCAAGGGTATTCATAACTCTTATCTTAGCATCCTACCTCTCGTTTGTAAGACAGGATGCGTGGTATCTCGGTTCTTTTGCTGTGTGCCGCTAGTCTGGCCTCTGGTAGTCTGATTCCAAGACAGCCTGTTGGCCAGAATCGAGTCGTAGTTCGTGGTGGAAAGGATCACCATCATAATCCTCGGCCTCCTCCTACTACCACTCCATGTGATACTACTAGTACAACTGCTCCCCCGCCACCGCCAACTAGTACTCCATGCGAGACTGATACAACAACTGCTCCTCCACCTCCACCAACTAGCACTCCGTGTGATACTACAAGTACTACTGCTTCCCCGCCACCGCCAACTAGTACTCCGTGTGATACCGATACCACAACCGCTCCACCTCCACCAACTAGCACTCCGTGCGAGACTGATACTACAACTGTTCCTACACCAACCAGCACTCCATGTGATACTGATACTACAACTGTTCCTCCACCAACCAGCACTCCATGCGAGACTGATACTACAACTGTTCCTCCACCAACTAGCACTCCATGCGAGACTGATACTACAACTGTTCCTACACCAACCAGCACTCCATGTGATACTGATACTACAACTGTTCCTACACCAACCAGCACTCCATGTGATACTGATACTACAACTGTTCCTCGACCAACCAGCACTCCATGTGATACTGATACTACAACTGTTCCTCCACCAACTAGCACTCCATGCGAGACTGATACTACAACTGTTCCTACACCAACCAGCACTCCATGTGATACTGATACTACAACTGTTCCTCCACCAACCAGCACTCCATGTGATACTGATACTACAACTGTTCCTCCACCAACCAGCACTCCATGTGAGACAGACACCACAACTGTGGTCTCTCCTCCAGCAACCTCGACTCCGTGCACCACTGAGACCACAGCAGTCCCACCACCGCCAGCTAGCAGTTCGTCTTCGCCTCCAGTCACAATTACTACCACTTACACAACGACTACTTGCCCAGGTATGTATAAAACCTAAACCTATGTATGATCAAAGCTAACTTTTTCTCAATAGTTGAATGGACTACTATCACGAGTGGAACATCTGTCGTCAGCCAACCCGTGACTCAGACTAGCACCATCATCGTCACCTCGGTGATTACCTGCACTGAAGGATGCACTCAGCCAACCGCTCCCCCGCAGAGCACCAGCGTTGTAGTTCCTCCTCCAAGCTCAGCTCCCGAGAATACCTCGCCTGCACCTGAGAGTTCTCCAGCTCCCACTGGAGTATCTCCCGAGAACACAACCTCTCTCGCTCCCGAGGAGACCCCAGCTCCCACTGGAGTTTCACCTGAAACCACAGCTGCACCGGCTGCTACCTCTTCTACCGCACCTGCTCCAGCTTCTACTACCGCAGCTTTCAACGCTGCCTCTTCTCAGTTCCAGAGATCGATTGCTGGTCTGTTGCCAGCGGTTGTCGTTGCATGGGCTCTAATCTAATCGGCTCAAGTATTGAGAGGTAGTTGAGATTTTTCAGAGAAACAGGCGGAAAGTTGATTTACACAAAGAAAACGCAAAGTGGAAAAAGAAGTACTGTATTCTTTTTAGGTTACAGGCTTGCGTGAATGCCCCGGTGATGAAGTTTTTGTTTACCATAATCTGTTCCTAAATCCTGTACCTTGGCAGAAGAAGTGATGTCATTTGGTCTGGGTTTTGGTTATGACTGACGTTCCTTAACTTATAATCTGAGAAGCACGACTTAGTTTAATGCATAAAGTAGTCTAATGAATTTTATTTTGACTTTGGCCTCTAATTAAATCTCAGTGCCCGATCTTCCTCTCACGATCTGTAGTATAATATTATATTACAAAACAAGCCACCCTTGATTTTCGCTATCATCCTATTCGATGATTTTAGAAAAGCTAAGCCTTACGATGTATAAGCGAGTGTGGGTCAAGCCAAGACTATCAAATGTAAAGATGTCAATATAGATCAATTATCTGAAATCTCATCATTATGGATATCATATGGTTCCGTCGGTCATTGTCTCGTGAGCTGCCAATCCTGATTTTCACTCTTCACCAGCTTTACTAACACATTTCTGCTTAAATATTCCATTCTCATAGGGTCCTGTGCACGGCGAAGTTCGTCTTGGATATCGCGGTCCGACGGAAAGCAGAAAAATGGCATATTGGACAGCTTCCACGCATCCACCTTGCTATTCTTGGTTGTCACCATCGTCATGATGAGGAACCCGATGGTAGCAACTGTCAACACCGCGGGCAGTGCAATCCAGCCCCAGCGTACCTCGATCTGCGTCTCGGTCTGCCACAATGTCCCATTTGCCTGACTGGGATATGTTCCAGTGGGAAGCTCTTTCAGAATCTTATAAGAAGAATTACTCGACTCGGAGGTATCTGAATTGTTGTATTCTTTTTTTAACTCTGCCCCGAGCATCTGGTTCTATTCGCCGACTTCACGTACATATGTGGTAACACCTGTGGCAATGTTGTTGAAGAAAGTTTGTGAGGAGGTTGACTAAATCAGAAGACTGGCAAACTCGCCGGCGCTTTCGTTAAAGGTTTGAACAACCTCGCCACTGGTAGTAGTAGGACAGACCATCATGCCAAAAGTATCAATCCGGATTTTCTCCTCAAGCCACCTTTCGAAAATATTGTCCGAAACAATAGTGAACGCCTGTGTGGTTTTGTTGGGCATTTGGAGCATTAGGTAGCTGTATGGCTCAATTTCAAACTGCTCACCAGAATCCAGATGAGTTGACAGTGTTTCCTCTCTCCGTTGGTTTGTTTCCATGCTAACAGACATAGTTTTCAGGCACCAGTATAGATTGCACAGCTCCGCAACACCTTCTGATGTAGTCTGATTGGCTCCTTTCTTTATAACAGTGAAGTCCAGGAATGGACTGTTTCCAAAGTCCTTTAAGCCAGCCATTGACCTCAATTTTTCTGGGAAGCATACCCAGTATCTGTCTTGATTACCGCAGCATCTGAATTCCCATTCCCATTTTTTGTGTAATCGCCATCAAAAATTGTGGCATTAAAACCATTAGGTAGAGAGTAATAGTCGTATAAATTCGACTCTGCCGAACAGTTTACGCTAGACATTGGAAACGGTTTTCTTGATAAAACATGCGAAATATCGTCGCACGCAACACAAAGAGCCACTGTCGTAAGATCAGAAATATCGCAGTCCCCAGTTGAGCACGAAGGCTTCAGCACAGGATAAGAGACATTATACGCAACTGATGAACAGTCCGTGTCGGGGCAGGAAAAGGCAGTCCCGTAGACTGCAGCCATTAACTTGGGAGCGGGTAGAGAGCCATTTCCAACATCGGAGTCAAGAGGTGGTACATATGATTGCGCCCGAGCCACTGATGCAGGGGTGTTCGATAGAACCAAGTTATTTTGAATTGTCGGCATCTGCTGAATGAATGGCCCGACGCCAATAGCAATAATAGTAACCACAGCCCCAAGTGAAGCATATTGTCTACAGAAGTTAGGGCGAGATAAACTTTGAATACGCAGGAATCAATTAAAACCGACCTAATATGGGTACCGCTCCATAGAAACGTCATGGACCCAAGAGCGCCCCTGCTTGCAGCGTCGAACATGTTGAATTCTGATCATTTCTGCTTGTTGCGAGTAAAATTCACCCACTTCGATTGGCTAATACAGATGGCTATAGTGGCCAGTGTCAAAGCGTTGTAGATCTGGGGTAGCCATGATACGACGGAGTTGATATTGATTCCCCAAGGCCAGTCCGGCAAGGCCTTTCCATTATAAGCTCGTGGGACTCCAATAATTGCGAGTAAAGATCCTACACTGCCAATACAAGAAATAATCTCATATACCTAGTTATCATTAATCTTGCTCTGAAGTGATCTCTCGGAAATAGAAGAGGGTTTGTCTGGATTGTTGATCAGGATTTGTCCCTCTATATTGTTGTGTTTAGATTCTCGAGGCTCCTCCATTGTGAATGCCGAATTTTTGCAAAAAAAGATCATTTCGAAGGTTGGGAGGGCCCTGAGGGGAACCCTTGACCTTGTGCATTTGCACTAATCTATTTTTGGTTATAATCTGGAGTCTGAACCTTTTGTCACTTCGGCCCCAGCTACTGTATAGGCTTAATTTGGCCTCGTGCTTTAACGTGGATGAATTCATCTTCTGCTATTGTAACCTTCTCATAAGCGAGGTCGAATATCAAATTGTCCAGTATACACCCGGGACGCGCTCAGATTTTATTTACATGAATATATAGAGTAGAGTAGTCTTGTTGAGCAAAGCGGCGCTTCTGCAACAGCTCGGAGTTGGGAGGTGTCGCTTGGGCCGATATGGAGAGTAAATGAATACGAGGATGCAGATCTCCGACTTCAGTCAAGTTTCCCGAGTCCCATAGGTACGGTAACGATGTTCTCGTGGAACATGTACTCCGTGTTGTACCTGAATGGCGAGAAAAATGGCTATTTTGGCATCGTACGGAGTACAATAGAGCCTGTGTCCACTTTCAGCTTGGGGCTTGGGGTGGCTTGAGCCTCACCGACTCGAGATTGAACATTAGGGCTGATTATGTAATGTATATATTGTCAAACAGTGCAAACACCCTTGCATCGAGGGTCCTGATGCGAGCGGACCCGTGGCCTCAGATGCGGCTCCATTGTGTTTCTGTTGCCAGGTGGCCACTCTATCCCCTCGCGCCCGTATCAATTAATCGACGTGGTGCTTGTTTTGTCTAACATTAAACCTCCCATTTCTCAAAACACTCGAAATTCTTCAACAAAACGTGATTTCATAGCTACCGCAGCTCGGCGCACGGCCAGCGTTCCGCCAACATACTTCTCGACAATTCGGTGAAGAGTGTTGAATTGTACATCAGTTTGCTGTACTAATATACCTGCTGCATTCGACGTGCGTTCCAACCTAGCAACAATGCTGCAGCTTCTACAACAAATAAAGAAGAATCCTCGCTAATCTTAACTAATTTTCATAGTGAGCAGCGTCAAAACCTAGATCATGGCTCTTCCGGGCCGCCAACGGCTATCTACATCGCCGTTCCTCTCCTTCCTCGTCCTCCCGTTCCTTGTATTTCTTCTCAGTTTTGCGGGTCCAGTTTCTGCAGTTGGATCTGCAGTAATTGGTGTTGATATCGGCACAGAATACTTCAAGGCGACATTAGTGAAACCTGGCATTCCCCTCGAAATAGTGCTCAGCAAGGACTCTAAGCGCAAGGAATCGGCCGCAATCGCATTCAAACCCACACGAGACCCCTCCGCACCCTTCCCCGAACGATTTTACGGCGGTAATGCGCTTGCTCTGGCAGCTCGATACCCCGACGATGTCTACGTCAACTTGAAGACTTTGCTCGGTGTGCCTTTTAACGACGGAAACGATGAGGCGATCAAGGGTTACTGGAGCCGGTATCCAGCTTTGAATCTTGAGACCGCTCCCGATGGCCGAGGCTCCGTCGCCCTGCGCAGCAATCGACTTGGTGAAGCTGAGAAGAAGGATGCGTTCTTGGTCGAAGAGATTCTGGCCATGCAGTTGCAGCAGGTTAAGGCTAATGCCGATACCCTTGCTGGTAAGGGATCGGATGTCCGGAATGTTGTGATCACTTATCCGGCTTTTTACACCGCGGAGGAGAAGCGGAGTCTCATTTTGGCGACCGAGCTGGCAGGTCTGAAAATCGAGGCGCTGGTTAGTGATGGATTGGCTGTTGGCTTGAATTACGCCACTTCTCGACAATTCCCTAGTGTTTCCGGTGGAGAGAAGCCTGAATACCATGTTGTTTTTGATATGGGCGCTGGATCGACTACTGCGAGTGTGCTGCGCTTCCAGAGTCGCGAAATCAAGGACACCGCTCGCTACAATAAGACTATTCAGGAAATTCACGTTCTTGGAACTGGCTGGGATAAGACACTTGGAGGTGATTATTTAAATGACCTCATCGTGAATGATATGGTTGCCAAATTGGCCGAAGACAAGAAGTTGAAAGACAAGGTCACTCCTGAGCAAATTAAGGCTCATGGAAAGACCATGGCCCGTCTTTGGAAGGATGCAGAGAAGCTCCGCCAAGTTCTCAGTGCTAACACCGAGACATCTACCAGCTTCGAGGGATTGTATGACGAAGATTTGAACTTCAAATACAAGATCAGTCGTGCTGCCTTCGAGAAGATGGCTGCTGGTCATGCCGCTCGTATCGGTGCTCCCTTGGAGCAGGCCCTCGAGGCTGCTGGGTTGAAGTTCAAGGACATCGACTCCGTTGTCCTTCACGGTGGAGCTATTCGAACTCCCTTTGTCCAGAAAGAGCTCGAGAGGGCTTGTGGGTCATCTAAGAAGATTCGCACCAACGTTAACGCCGACGAGGCCGCTGTTTTCGGTGCTGCATTCAAAGGTGCCGCCCTCAGCCCTAGCTTCCGTGTCAAGGACATCCGTGCCCATGACGCGGCTACTTACCCCGTCCTTCTGAAGTGGAACTCGGATGGCAAGGAGCGAAGCCAGAAGCTTTTTATCTCTACTTCCCAGGTTGGCCCAGAGAAGCAGGTAACAGTCAAGAACCTGGATGATTTCGATTTCGGCTTCTATCAGCAAGTCGAAGAAAATGAATTGCCTGTCTTGAGTGTCCAAACCCAAAACCTGACCGCATCGGTAGCAAAATTGAAAGACACTTTCGGTTGTTCTGCCGCAAACATCACGACCAAGTTTGCCATTCGCCTCAGCCCTATCGACGGTCTGCCTGAGGTTACAGGTGGAAACGTGAGCTGCGAAGTCGAGGCAGAGAAAAAGGGCATTGTTGAAGATGTCAAGGGTTTCTTCGGTCTTGGGTCTAAGAAGGATGAGCAGCAGATTTTGGGTGAGGATGGTGAACCTGCTGAATCTATTACCTTGGAGCCTGAAGCCGAGTCTTCGACCACCACCTCTGCCAGCCAGTCTACTACCTCCGGCGCTAGCAAGGATAGCGCCAAGGGTACGGCCAAAACAAAGTTGGAGATCATTCCCATCAGCCTGAAATCCACCCAGCTCGGAACCAAGGCACCATCAGCCGCTGAGCTATCTCGCATTCACAGTCGTCTGACTGCCTTCGATTCCTCGGACCGCGACCGTATCCTGCGTGAGGAGGCATTGAATGAACTTGAAGCCTTCATCTACCGCAGCCGCGACCTGATTGAGAACGAAGACTTTGTGAAGGTGGTCAAGGAGGATCAACTAACAACCCTCCAGGAAAAGGTCTCTAAGGCCAGCGACTGGCTGTATGAAGACAGTGATAATGCGCACACCGCAGACTTCAAGGCCAAGCTGAAGGATCTGAAGACTATCGTTGACCCCGCTTTGAAGCGTATCAAGGAAGCCTCTTCCCGCCCTGCGCGTGTCGAGATGCTTCAAGAAATGCTGAAGAACGCCGAGTCCATGAAGCAGATCATTGAGAACCAGATTCAAAATGATGAAGCCACATACGAGTCTGCGCTTTCTGCCTCAAGCACCGCAACTGTCGAAGAGCCCGAAACTGACTCCGCCACCCCCACTCCGTCCCCATCTGACGAGTCCCTGGATGATCTCGACGAGGACGCATACTCATCTTCCTCCTCAAAGAAATCTACCAAGTCTTCGGCGCCAGCTAAGCCCACTGGGCCTAAGTACACCCTCTTCACTCCCGCGGAACTCACCTCCCTCAACCAGGTCTATGAATCCACCAAGCCCTGGCTTGAAACACAAATCGAGCTCCAGGAGAAGCTCACTGAGTCAGACGACCCCGCTCTGACACTCGTGGAGATTGACTCCCGTTTGCGCGAGTTCGAGCGCGTTCTGAACCGCATGTACGAGCGTATGACTGCCGCGGCCGGCAAAAAGAGCCAGAAGACCAGTGGCAGCAAGGGCAAGAAAGATAAGACTGAGTCCGAGAAGACCAAGGGCAAGAGTGGTAAGGGCAAGGACAAGGAAGAGAATAAGAAGCAGACTGGAGACGATGATCGCAAGGACGAACTGTGATCATTTCTCCCCTCCTTACTTGTCACTTTTATTTTGCATCTTTTGGCTGTTCTTTACACTTTTTAAGTACAGTGCATGATATCTCTTTTCCATATCCCCTTGTACCATGCATTCATTTATGCTTTCGATTAATAGAGAAAAGAGTTTCAATGGAGTTTCTGTTTACAAAGATGTACGATGTTTCCTATATCATATAGCACCTTGGGTGGAAGAAATGATAGTCCAGCTCTGGCTGTGGCTTATTAGCGCTATAGCTGCTTATATCACGATAAATACATGAATCTCATAAATTTCAATGCACAGAAGAAATATCGTAAAAATCCGGTTCGACTGTGACATCAAAGAGTGTAAATGCGGATAATAAAAGAGTGAAGCTGTTGGCTATGCAGGCGTTTGCGAATCGTGCTTAGAAAACATCCCATCTAGGACGCCACCATTTCGTAACGTGTTTGAGAACAAACAACATTACTTGGAGAGTGATGATCATTCCTCGTAAAACGATGTATCCCCTCCAGGAGTCTACTCGAAGTGTTCGCTGAAGGGCATTCATTATGGCGGTCGTAGCAGTCTATATCCAAGGATCGTTGTTAGACATCGCTTGAGCAGCTGAGCAGCGGGATAGCAAGATATAGAGGTCTTACCAGATAACTAATCTGACATTTGCAATCTAACAAGCGTTGACCTGCATTTATGTCTTATCTGCATCCGTCATAAGTATCTCCCTTCAAAGATTGAAAATTGTGGACTTACTCTACCCTCGAAGTCATACTATTTATCACCAAAATGAGCGTTTCTAGGGAAAGGAGTATGGTTCAGGGGGTCAGAAATCTTTTATCTACGTGAACAGCCTGTGACAGGTGACAGGTCTAAGGGAACACAAAATAAGCAAAATGCATGGTTCATCACCTATGCTGTGTGCTTTGGCTGAATCTATTGATCTTTGCTTTTTCAGCTCGGTAATCATCACCAACTTTCAGACGATAAGTGATACTTATTCAAAATTTGTGGGTAACACATAAGTTGAATATCATATGATGATTCCAATCCAGTTTTATTCTTTGAAACTACTGAATTATCCAGCAGTTTGCATGGGAGGCTATAACGTTCAGCGCGGAAAAGCCTACTTGGACATGTATAACCTTTGCCGCCTAGTATGCTTCTATCTGTCTTGTACACTCCGAATAGTAGATACACGGTATAACAAGATGTAAAAAATTTTTGAACAAGTCAAAAGATCAGTAGGAAGATAAGTAGAAGACAATAAATAAGTGAAATGGTGATTATTCTTTTACCCGCTGGACGCTACCCATACGTACGTCGTGGTATTATGTACATCAGCACCGGATTAATGCTCGGAGGTATACAAGGCGAGTAAGAAGCATAATTCGGGACAACGATCGGGTCTCCTCTTTCCGCATACCGTCTTCATGATCTGACAATTTTCGGCCCCGCATTTCTGCAGCTCGGGGGTTTCACTTCCTGCATGATCGCTGGATTTGCCTAACCAAGAATTTTCCCGGTATACGGGTCGCTGGTGACTGCTCTGCCGAAAGAAACCCCCCGAATCGATCAATTATAAATAGTATTGAGCTTTTTTTATTACGATATATGTCAAGTGCTCTTTTGTCTTTTTGCTTGTTGGATTCGCGGGGTTTTGCGTAGCCAAATACAAGATCTGGGAAGCGAGTTCCGGCGGGGCGTCGATCTATACCGGTAGTATCACGGCAATATGCATGTTTCAAGACTGAGGAACTTTCCTTTCCGCAAAGAGTTATGTTATGAGGGCCAAGCTATGCATGGAGGTAGCTCGGTTAGAAGAAAGCGTCATATTTCATAATTTAATATACTGTTTCAAAGAAAAAGGGTAACTCTTTCTAGAAAGATCGGCAAACCTCACGGGTCATAACCTTCCAGGATTTAGTAAAACGACCGATCCCAGGGGTATAAATAGAGCCAGTATGTCGGCGTTCAAGAATGAACAAAGTAAAAATCTCATTTTCTCCTAGAAACAATTTTCCCATAGCTCGCGGCCATCATGCAGTCTTCACTGCTCCTACTTGCAGCTCTCTCGCCTCTAGCCTTAGCACTTCCAGAGGCGAAGACCGGGATCGCAAAACGTGCAAGCACTCTGATCCCAACATCATGCTTTGACTCTACCTCTTCACTTACAGAGTACTTCGAGTACAACTACCCATGGGGAGACACCCACAATGGAGCCGCCATAATGAGCAGTGCTAATGCCGTCATTTCAACTGCTGGCACTTTGACTTTGAACGCAACATATACCGGTGCATCGGACTATGCATACGACTCTGGAACGGTCTATTCAAAGCAAACATTCACTGTCGAAGCCTCGGGGGGTCTGGATTTCTCAGCCGACTTCATCGCCCCAGTGGCAACGGGAACATGGCCTGCATTCTGGCTAGATGGTGCAAACTCATGGCCTCCAGAGATCGATATTGCGGAGTGGAAGGGCACCGGCGATATCAGCTTCAACACTTTCAATACTTCCAGTGAAGTTGAAGCGGATAATGTTGATTATCCTAGCCCGACCGAGTTTCATACTGTCAGGGCTGAGCTGCGCGACGAGAATGGAAGTGATATTAGCGTGAAGTTTTATCTTGATGGTGATCTTATCACTACTCAATATGCTAGTGGCTTCACGGGACAGCCATTGTACTTGATTATTGATCTTCAGATGGAGGGAAGTAGTGGGAGCCCTGGTCCAACTGGAAGTAAGTTATATTTCCTTCTATATGCATGATTATGAACTGACATTTGGTAATAATAGCTACGCTTTATGAGATCAAGAATTTGGAAGTGGTTAGCCAAAATCCTTGAAACTTTAATGATAGTCAATGTCATCGCTTCCAATATTTACCCTAACTTATAGTTCTGTTAACCAAATCATTCACGCTATGCAAAACTGAGTCACTTCCTTTTATAACTGTCCAGTGAGAAAATATTGAAAGTATTGATACTGTCTGTAGTACATTGATCAATTTTATCATACATGCATAGTACCACCGAAGCCGCTCCCACAAAATCACAGGACGGGCCCGGCTATCATCAATTGATACAACAGCAATGAAAAACCACAAAGCGAAGACAAAAAAGGTACTTTCACCCAATACTCACTTCAAAGTCTCTCCCAATCAATTCCCAAGCCTCGGGGGGAAAAATTCCAGTCCCTGAAGCAAACCTTTCTGCCAAACATTGCCGAAAAAGGCCCTGCTGTACGGAACCACCAAAATCATGCAGAATAATGTAAACCCAGCACCAAGAACAGTCCTCACTTCAGGAGTTAGGAGGCAAAAAATGACCCGTAAGGGACTTGAACCCTTGACATTAAGATTTGGAATCTTACGCTCTACCAACTGAGCTAACCGGCCGATGTGTGGATTACCCACAATTGGGGCTACGAGCCGAATCAGGACATATTTAGGGCTAAAAGCTAAAAAGGGTAATATCTCTTGTCCATATTAGGCTTGATATAGCCTCTTTAGTTGTTTTTGTCCCAAGTATCTATCAAAGTTCAGATCAAATGGAGTTCTGGTCGGACGTTTGAACATGTAATGTTAGCCACTAACACACTTGAATTGAAATAGAAAATTACTATCTAGTTGGTCATCTTGTTAATTTTCATGTCTGGACATATAAAATATATACCCATCGAGGTGGATAGGATGTATTGACTTCAAAGTTGCCATTTGTAAATGTCCATTCAATAGGGCTATAGATACATACATGAGGTCACGGCTGCTCGGAGCAGGATCAGTATTGATGCTATCTAATTGTCTGGTTTGCCAACACCCCGATCGGACTAATCGGAGTACTAGTAGGCCTCACATAATACCTGCACCTACATACCACATGCAGAGGCCTCAGTTCGCACGTCCCTTTACTTTCTTCAACATTGTTATTGTTCGTGCTATGCACATTTCTTTCTGATTCTGGTAGATCGTAGGCCGCTTGCCAAAAAAACTAAACAGCCTCTTATCAGAATTAGATTTAACTTCTCTCTGAGGTATTCAAGTTCAATATATACTACATAGTGTATATACTATGTACCTTCATACCCGGTTTCGGTCAATCACCGGTGCCATCTTTTGCGCTTGTGCTTGTGTTCCCTTCAAGCCCATCCACTCATACCTACACTTCACATATCAAAGTAGTAACGGCAAGTGAATGTACACCCACTTCGATTACAATCGCGAGCTCACGACATGCTGAACATGTCGCAGAGAGCGAAGATGAGCTGTTAGCTAGATATGCCAGTGGCACTGCGGATAGACCCCTGGGCAGTCAGAACCGTTTTCGCATGTTACTACGATTGTTGAAGTCAAACCCCTTAGCTTGGCGAGCTGACAACATCGATACCTATGTACCACCTAGGAATTTTATCCGGTTTAGGTTTGTATCTGCAATGTTGTGTAGGTGGAGGTATCTCTCCACTACGAGTGGGTGTCCAGGTGGGGGATACATCGGCTGAAGGATTTGACGTATATATCAAGTAAATCTAGATTGATAATCAAACCGAACGTTTCCCCAGCGTTGGAATGGCCTATATGTAAGAAATATAAGGGCTATATACTAAGCTTACTGTCTAGTGAAGCAGGAAGATATCTAAGTTTAGTCCCTACCATAGGAACTGCTGATTGATTGGCTGGGTTTGAATAAAATACATTTCCACTTCCCGGCGGATAATTCACACGTAGTCATACACACAAACTGAATGATACAAAGGGTATAAAGTACAAGAAAAAAGATTAAGCTCGATCCGGTGGCCACGCACGGCAGGAGAGAAATCAAAGGACATAACATAACAAGAGAGAGATAGAACCATACCATCCACTCGTAGTAAAGAAAAAAGACGGGTGAAAAAAAAGCCATCGAAGGCAATTAAGCACAATCCATCTGGTAATCAGCATCGACCTCCTCCCGTCGACGAAGGAAAGAGGCTTCTTCGAAGTCATCCAAGTCCATGGTTGCGGGCTCATTAAAGGAGGACTTCTGACGGGCAGCAAGAGCGCGACGTCTCTGCTGTCCCAGACTCGGGGATAGGATTGTGCGTCCAAGAGGAGCAGTTCGCCAGGATTGAATTTCTTCGTCCTCCAAGTCTGAATCTTCGTCGGCAAAGATACTATTCTCCCCATCCAATCGTCTCTTTTGGCCATTTAGTGTGATCGGACCGGAAATGGAAGATGCGACAGATTCTTGACTGCTTGGTGGTAGAGAGAATGCATCGTCATCAGTGACCAGGCTGTGAGAGGGCCCTACGAGACCCGAGAAAGGAGCTAGTTCAGAATAAGATGGTTGAGCGTATGGCTGAGTTGTTGTAGCCATGTTAGATGTGACTTTCGCCTTCTCTTTCTCTATCGCGATCTGAGTCTTGTATCCGTCGGCGACGGATTTCCGGACCCGCATTCCGACGGAGAGGAGAGATGACTGGACCTTATCAGGCAGAACTGGTGTTGCTGAGAATGTGGCCGCGGAGTAATGATTGTGTGATAGTGAAGAGTTCGAGTCGGTCGAGTCGGAAGATGTGAAGTAGGTGGTGATTGAGGATTGGAAGCGTCGACGCTTAGATAAGGTACTGTCGGTGCTTTGCATGGTGGAATGTGGAATGTGGGATGCGTGATGATATTGAGTGTGTGGAATGTGAGATTGATATGGCAGTAAGGGTTTTGCAGATAAGAGAAGTTGATGATATCAGAGAATTGTGTAAGCACAAAAGAGGGGCGAGAGGCGAAAATCATGCACAATGACAAAATGATGCGGCTGGGGAAAAAGCGACGCGCTCGACGCGACGCGGCACAAATTCAATTAAACCTAGTCATGTGACAATCGTGGGTTCTCCCCTCTAAGAAATATCCTCTTGGTAAACCAATTCATTAGAAACAATAAAACTTTCTAAATGACGTTAAATTGCCTTAGTTATCCAGTAATAGCTGGAGCCTGCCATATACTTTGACATATATCATTTAGGTAATTGACATCGAAATCATAAACGTATGTACTACGCAACGACACGGTACAAAATATGGCCTAAAGAAGGCTGAAGACTGAATAAGGTAGGATTGGATTGGGTGACGCGCTTCCTATCATCATATGGCCATTTATTTCGAATCGCATTTACGGGGGCCGGTTAGCTCAGTTGGTAGAGCGTAAGATTCCAAATCTTAATGTCAAGGGTTCAAGTCCCTTACGGGTCATTTTTTTCTTTTCTTTTTCTACAACTACTGAAACTCTCTGCTCTGCCCTTGGACTCGGAAAAAATAGTCTATAAGCCACTCCTGGTCACCAACCCAGCACTGGTAGGCTAACAAAACTCGGTACATGTCACCCCCAATACCAATCCATAGCCTATCCACGGCCTTGACAAAAATTATACTTTGGAAACCGGTATTTTGGCATGCTAAAGAGCTGCTACGATTCCCTACTTTGGTCCGAATTTGACCCTCCTGACCTCGTGCGTAAAGACGAAATTCGAAAATTTCGTGGCCTTGTGGCGTTACTAGTCCACGCTCCGGTATGAAAGGTAGCACCAGAAACAAGCATCGGCTTGACGCACGGATCCACTAAGTGGGACAATGTCCGGACATCGGACCTTTTTGCCCAATTGATTCTCCTTTGCCTGAATGTATGTCCGGGCTTGTAAGGCGATGATTGGATCATCAAGGAGACTACTGCTCTTAGCTCGGCCATAGATCAAAATTTCGATAAGTCCCGAGGTCCTTTCTTTCTTCGTCCTACTATGTATTTAAGCGAACGATGACTCTTACGTATATAGAATCTTGTATTCCGTGTTTGCCGCCTGTATCTTCTCTTTATAATTTTCCCTATTATTTTAAGCCTCACGGAGGTCACGGTTGTATCTGTGTTGTTTATCTCTTAGACAACTAGGACTATTTTCAAAGTCAACAATAACCACAACCACAACACCACCTACTACGTACTTTTGCATCACTTCATCATGCAGTACCAAATACTCACTCTCCTGTTTTCGGCAACAGCACTAGCTGGACCGGTCGCGCAGGTTACTACCATTACATACACCGAACCAAACGCTGCCTTGGTTTACGACTCCGAGATCGACGATATCACCGTCAGTTATCCAAGCTGGTATGAGTCGATCATGGAGACAGCTATCCCAACTACATGGGAGAATGAATTTCTGGACGATGCCACCTTTGCGGAGAGTGTTGATGAAGCGGAGCTTTTAGGTACAATGCCAGCCTGGTGGTCTAGTCTACCCAGCGACGCGAAGTATGTGTATACCAGCGAGGATGCAGTACTGGCGTCTGAGATGTCAACGGTTCCTTGGCCTTCTACTATCACTGGGACTACAGTAGTTGTTTATACCTTTACTCCGTACCCCGAGCTTGTATCTGATATTGAGGCTGCCTCCTCATCCAAAGCTAAATCAACTGCAAATGGTACATCTGCTGCTTCAGGCGCTGCTCAGACTTCTACTTCCACTGCGGGCGCTGCTGGGCCGACGGGGGCTATTGCTATGAGTATTGCTGGTGTTGTTGGTGTTTTGGGTCTTGCGATTGCGTTATAATGAGCGGTGAAATGCGGGCTTGGGGGCCGACTATGGGCGTTTTCTTAATCAATCTCAAGTATACCTGTGACATTTTGTTGACATTAAGGAGACGATAATTCTTGTACATGTGGAACATCAATGTTGAATAGCACATGATATTGGGACCAGAATGTAATATAATATATAGAGGGATTTTATGAACTGGAGAATACTTTTATTTTTGGTATTTTCGATTTTCCGACCCATAATTATGTAGCTGTGCATTTACCAGAGACGAGGATATAGAAAGAATCACGATTAGCAGGTATCAAGTAAATGTTTTTAAGGTAAGGCTAATTCATGAAATGAAATGGGAACAAAAGACATCTGGAGATATGGAGGTATTCAAAGAAGAGAAACAAAGACATGGCGAAGGTAACATGAGATGTGAGATGGGGAAAACGCTTGGAGAAGATCAAGTATGAAAAAAAGTGGACTTAAATCAATGCCACATCTGAAACAACACCAGATTCATCATGCCATCTTGCCAAATAGAACTTTACACTCTAACTGTTTTGAGCATGAAAGGAGAAGTATGTCGACATAATATGTTGGTGTCATATACACAGTATATTCGGGGTTTGGATGCTATGAGGAGGCTACAGGTAGCCTGTGCCATCGTAGCGTTGTCGTACGTTTGCGCTGTGGGCACTTGGTCGACGGGAGAAGTCCAACTCATCCTGTTCACCGAACGAAGTTTGATACATGAGAGCTTCTTGGGGCCAGTCATCGATGACCCCACTTTCCTGGGTTCCTGAGCGTGGTCGTTCATCGTAGGAGTGGCTGGCATAGTCGGCATTGCCATCGTAACCACCATGTTGTTGACTTGGTAGAGAGTCACGGCCCGTAGAAGGTCGCTCACTACCTTGGTGATAATGTTCTTGGGTCGTATTGTCGACGGGGGCGCTAACCATATCGAAGCTGAATCTGAAATCGCGAGCTCCGCCCTGGGCCGAGTTGTCTTGAAGGGGCTCCATGGAATCGAAGTGATGGTCGTCATCAGCGGACATGATTGTGGCTGACTGTGGTTCCTGGATGTGTGGCACCGCAGAAGTTGGCGCAGGAACGGGGGTTGCAGAGACTGCACGATCAGTGCGGGTGTCGAGCTCGGGCAGTGTTGCTTGGGGGTGCACATCGGGGAAGGTTGCTTGAGGAGCGATTGTTTCTTCAAGAACCACACCCCCTGGGGATATAGGCACTGCAGGAATATCGGTTTCGGGGTTCAGGGTTGACCCACGACGAGTACTATTACCCATAATGCTTCCGGGCTTAGAGTCGCGGCTAGCACGATGCTGTGGTAGCTCTGCAAATGGATTGTCATCCAGGTCGCGAATGCTGAACTGGGCGATTGTACGCAGTTTGCGGGTCACCCATGAAGCCAAGACCTTTCCGCGTTGCTTCTCGCCGAGGCGGGAACGGGGGAAGTCACCCTGAGAGACGAAGGCAACAATATCTGCTACTACCTGGTGCTCATTGAGGACTGCATCGACAATGACAGGAACAAGAGATGCCAGGAAAGCCTTCCGAGTAACCTCAACCACAACTACAATCAAGCCACCTGCTTGGAAAATTGCAGAGCCACCACTCACAATATTTCGGTGGCATGCCTCCACAGAGTTTTCGATATCCATTGGGAAATGATTAAGGCCGTTGACCTCGAAAGTCTCGCCAATATTTCCTAGAACGAAGAGAACTTGCATTTCCACAGCCTGACCCCCATGGCCAATTGGTCGAGTGACGGTATGCAGGAATCCCAAGTCACCAGTACGAACATAGGGCACACCAGGGTCTCCATCGGCAACACGACCATTCATTCGTTCAGCGTCAAACTCCTGCTTCGATCGATAGAAGCCCTTCGCACATGCATCGGACTGAACCCATATTTCACCATATTCACCGACGTGAGCTAGAGTGCATGTTTCCGGATTCACAATTGCAATCTGTGTGTTGACAGGTACCATGCCGGAATCTTGGACGAGAAGAGCGGAAGGATCAGCGTCTGGGTCGACTGGATAAATCAACCCGCGGCGGAGGCTACGAATATCCAGCCAGATCTCAATTGGCTCAATGCACATATAAGATCTTGTGACGATCATAGGGTTAAGCACATGTGAGTACGAAACGTTGATAGAGGTGCGGTCCAAGCCAGCAGAGGCGAAATGCAAGCGCGTCTTTTGATCTGTGTAAAACAATTAGCTTGGTTCAAAAGTTACGACTTCAGTGAGTATGGAGAGGCATACAGATATCCGCTCTGGGCCTAGCATCTGCCGAGATCATCAAATTCTTGAGCTCTTGCAGCTGGAATCCCTTTGCAGCCATAGCACTGGTAGCGTAATCTAGCATCTGAGCAGTTGCATATGTGTCTTTAATCTTGTATCGTGAAAGTGTCAAAAACAAAGTCATAGGGTTTTGAGCAAAGTCCACAGGCGAGACAAGGTATGTGGGGGCGCCTATTCGATGAATAATAAGTATAAATGCAGCCTCATAAGACAAGGGTTTACCTAGGAATTAACTCACCGACATAGATACCCAACAGCAAAGTGTGAAGAAATCCAAGACCTAAAGTACTACGCACACTGCCAAGTACCGGTCTCATACTTGTCATTTGACAAGTCTCTTTTTGCACTTTACACATTCCCATGATTGTATCATGACCAATGTGAACGGAAATTCGCCGTTGGTCTGGCGTCCAGTAAGTCCAAACTAATGCCGGCTGTTTGCCCTGCAGCCAGGTATCCTTGACGGTGTATCCAAGCTCTCGGCAACTGTGCGACTGCTTTGATGGTTTGGTCGTGTTGTAAATTGCCGGAACACCGATTCGAAGGACTTGAGCAGACTGTTTAATGTGCTGGGAGACAAGCTTTTGTCTCATGACATGGTCCACTTCAGTGTTGACAATAATCGCCTTGACGCTGAAGTCGCTAATCACATGAAGAAATGCGGGAGCATCCTCCGACAACCGATTTTGATCGAGTGGAGCCATGGGAATAACTACGACGCCGAGGCAGAAACAGGCGTGAACAGCATAAACGTACTCCTCGGAGTGAGTGTACATCAATACTAAGTGATCGCCTGGTCGTACCTTGACCTTATTTTTGAGGTATGTGGCTACCGCTGATACCTTGAGATCAAACTTCTTCCAAGTGATACCCTTGCCCTCCTTACCTCGGCTATCAATAGAACAATAAGCTAGTTCTTCAGCCTGGCGTGAAACACGCCATTGGAGAAGATCAGTGATGGTCTTGAAATTATTGAGAGGTGTAGAGGTTCGGTCATCCATAACAACGTCCCGGTAGTCCACGCCTGAATACTGCTTCTCTTGATAGGCAAGAACGTCTTGTCTCGAAGCCAGTGAGAGTGGGGACCAAATTCCGCCTTCAGGGTCAACTCCCATGGGTAGATTCATCACAGATCGCTCCACGCCAAACTTCACATGTACAGCCTGCAGGATACCAGCTTCGAATTCTTTCCGACAGAGCATGTTACCGATTTCCCGTCTACCGCTCTTGGTGACACGAGGGAGGCTGTTCGGGGCCGTAAGAAGAATACAGTAGACGCGAAGATGATGTTCGTGATAAAGGACTTCCATACACCTCTCCGCTAGCGAATCAAGAAGCACGGAGTCCAATTGCCGAGGAGGACCACCATTGGTCGTGGGTGCTGTTGAGGCAGCATAAGACTCCAGTACAATAACCGGTAAATGTTCATCATTGACAAAAACATCGAATGCAGTACAGTCATGGATTTTAGGTACTTTCTTGAGGAGGCTCACGACGAGATGCTGAACAAAGAAATAACGATGTTCAACCACCTCTTGGCCATGCTCAACCCACTCTACCTTTTGGCGAAGTCGATCTTCGTACAAACCGAGGACAAATATCCTACCTTCGATAACACACCCCAGCAGACCTGTACGCAAAAACTCGGGCTCAACAAGCACGGGAGTAGGGTTGGCGTCTTCAAACTTGTACGGTCTTGCGTGAAAGATTGCCTCTGTGTGCTTCGGTAGCGCCCAGAAGCCTCCGGAAAGAGAAGGCGAGTCCACCCAGATTTCTCCAACCACATTGGGTGTACACAGCAGGTTGGTTTCGGGGTCAACAACAGCAAGTGTCGCATCGGGGAGCGGGAAACCAAAAGCACCGATACGTACTGCGTGAGGCATGATACTGGCATACTTTCGGGCGTCCTCGCCCATGGCGAGAACAACAACCTCATTACTCTTAAGAGCTTCCTTGTCAAGAAGAACCTCGCTCAAGTCGTGCTTGGATTTCTGCTTAGTCGTAGGAAGACGAGAGCGAGAAGCTCCGCCAAGAAGACTACTTCCAAAGCCAGTTTTGGTACCGGACTCCTCTTCTTTGTCGTCATCTTTGGAAACGCGCTGTGCAGGATCTAGCTCATGAGTCAAGGAACAGCCCATTCGCTCTTCGCCGCCAACCCAGTCACGCATACTGATGACCATACCACCATGCTCTGGCAAGCAGAGCATTGGTGCAACAATTTCCCGCGCTCTTGGGTTTCTCATTGGCTGTAGCCATCTATCTGCCAGGATCTCGTGGAACTCGGGGTCAAGAGTCAGTGTATCGATCAGACAAAGCTTCACGCTACTGAAGTTCGGCTCAGCATTCTTTTTGTAAGATCTAGTGGCCATCGGATCTTGTTGATAGTTGTATGTGGCAATCTTCAGGCCAGAATAGTCGGCAGCCATTATTGTCGCTCGGTACTTGGTGATGATGTGAGCATATAGACCAGGTGTTTCGACAGCACGATCTTCATGCCAGACAGTGGTATGGCCACCATATACAGTCAGGAGAACTCCCAGTATCATACCAATTCCCTGTCTGGGGTCTAGATAACTGGTTATGGTTTCTCCTTTGGTTCCAAATTGCCTAGCACTAGACTCAGTAGGCACTGTCGACACAATGGCACTGAGGCAAGCCATTTGATGCATGATAGTTCGATGGCTCATCACGACGCCACGCATATCTCCGGTGGGTGCTCGTGCAAACTCGATGTATGCCAAATCGGGAACAACAAGGGGAGGCGTTTCGTCCTTCTTTTTAGGATGAAAACTCCCAAATTCATTGGTCTTCCACCATTCAACCCCACGCGGCCAGTTCAGCTTTTGCGCAGTTATATCGCGCTGGAAGCCTTTCAGATTATTTTCAGTGGTCAAGGCCAGATGGGCCTGGGTCGACGTAAGCACCAAGTTTAATGTTGTGTAGTCATCAAGGCTGTTGATGGGAACCGCTACTACCCCTGCAATAAAGCAGCCCATGAGGGCGACGGCGAACTCAATGATCTCAGCATCGCGATAGATCAAGGCGACACGATCGCCACGATATAAATTGCTCTTATCACGAATAACCTGAGCTACCTTCTCTGCCCGGCTTGCTAGCTTGTCGTAGGTTATAGAAGCGATTTCCTTTCCCTTTTGGTCCAAAACCCAATATGCTGGCTGCTTGGGATGCGCCCGGGAGCGATGACGGAGAACGGCAGGAAGATTGTCAAAAGTCGACATTGGTATGTTTTTGTCATGTGGATCGTTCACGCCGAATGGGATATCTCGAGGCTCAAGGGGCATAAGATGCTCAATGGCTGGTCCATGAGGTAATTCTGAGGGAGGGATAAATGGCGGCGCCATGTTTGCCGTTGGTGAAAATGCTTCTCCAGACTGAGAATAACGATGGTATCCGCCACCGTAGCTCTCGCGGTAGTCGTCGTGTTGACCAGCGAAATCCGAGAAGAATCCTTGTTGAGAGTCAAGCATCGTTGACTGTCGCGTGACCCCACCAGATACTGGCTCATAGCTTTCCATGCCGTCATCCACGTATTCAGGGTGAGCCACGTACTCGGGTTGAGCATTGGGGTTGAAAGCGTAGTTTTGGCTCATCAAAGTGGCTGTTCTGGAGCCATCGGGGCCGTGAGAGCCCGGGGGCATAGGCCTTGGGAGGAACAACGAATCATATGACGAGGAGGAGGGTACTCGCTCGTGAGCTTGTAACATCCCTAAGCTATCCCTATCGAAGGATCCGGGGGCTGCCGATGGCGGATTTTGCGTATTCATACTGGGGGCATGGTTGTACCCGAATGATCCGCCTTGCATACCATCGAAGCCGCCAGAATAGGTCGGAGATGAAAGGCCATGCTGCGACGAGTCTGCAGTAGGCGGCCGAACGTTCAAAATCGTGGGAGGGGCCATATGGGTGCCGTCAGATTCATTATATTGATCATATTGATCATCACGTTCGCCGTGGGCATTTATTTCGAGCGGTTTATTTGGGCCGAGGAATTGCGAGAGTAGTAGGGTGCGACGTTTTTGGTACCTATCAAAGATCAGCATGTACAATCTTTTGTGTATTGTTTACTTCCTCATTCAGCCACAGGGATCTTCTGCATGTCGAACTGCTTCTCGGTCTCGCGACACTGGCCGATTGGAGGACGTGGTCAAGGAACACAGCTTACCCTTTCTCGGTGATATCACCCTCCTGTTGAGTCGCACACCTTGTGTAAGTACAAGGATCATAGGCATGATGTGGGAAATAGAGTGCTCACCTCGAATTCTCTGTCCAACGTCCGCAAAGCGTACTGGAGGTCCGGGTTCTCGTCCGCCATTGTGGACACGGATGGTACCTCAAATTAAGAAGTGGATCAAAAGCGCGGGGGAGGGATGACAGGAGACTAGCTCAGGGACGCCTCATCGCAGTTGAGTGACCACGAGGCACAATGAGGAGGGGGTAGAGTTCAGAAGAGGACCAGGCCACGAAAAACTCCTATGACTTGTCGAAATGTACCGGGGTCGATTCCACGAACGCTTCCACGAATCGTCCTAGTCTTAAAGTGTCGGGGCTTCCGCGCCGGGTCCAACGTCACCCACCCTAAGGCGGTCAAGCGAACCGAGTGTAGTGTCCAACTGAGACACAGCGCAATTGTTTCAGTCAAGCGGTGTTTTTGCAGAGAGGAGAAGTAAGTCGGGAATTTATCGGTTTTCCGTGAGGTTGAACAATTTAATGGAGAAGTGACTGTTAATATGGCTATTTATCAATCACACTTGGCTACATATGTAGGTACATATGTGCTCGTCCCATACGTCTTCCAGTATACTAACACTGCTCGGCAATATCCTATACGAAGTATGCGATGAGATAGTATATAGCAATACTTCAAGATACTTCCATCTACATATTAGTCTATTAATGTACATAATGAGACATCCATTGATAGTAATTGTGCAGTTGCAGTCTGAATATTTGCTGGCTTTGATGTTCAATATTTCCTGAATGGCAACGATCTCGGAGTCGTGAAATAGTAAACATACGAAGTTCCTCAGGAAGAATAGACATAACAAACAGACCTAGACATTGATTGGCAATCAGTAATCATTGGTTCCATCGAACCCAAATTGCCGTTGATCTGCAACTGCGACTTTGATGCCTGAGGCATGAGGATGTAAGATATCACATGATCCAGACACTACCATTGGCGGAGTCATTCTGCCCTAATTTCATGTGACCCCCACAACAGGGCTAAGCGAGCGCACCCAATTTCCCTTGGTCACAGACAGCCTCGACTTGACGATTCAACCACCAAACGACAACCTCCCACGAAACCCTGCCAAAATGTCTGACAACGGGGAAGTTGAGGTGCCTGTTAGCGCCTCCCTGCCTAAGGAGATCGCTGCCCTCGAGGGTGAGGTCAAGCTTTTCGGCAAATGGAACTACGAGTGCGTCAAAATCCTTGATCCTAATGATTCGATCTGTCGCTAACATACCGTGCAGTGTTGAGGTCCGCGATATCTCCCTGACGTGAGTGCAAACCTTTTTCAATACAATCCACAATTTCAATCGAGCGCCGGAGGAGGAAAAAAAAGAACGAATATGCGATTCAAGAACGGGGGGTTTCATCAAATTTGCGGCATCAAATCATCAACCAACAAACCTTTCCCCCAATCGACCGACGAGCGACGGAATACACAATACAAGACGAACCGAAGAGGAAAGATGAAAGACTGACTGATTTGTTCACAGCGACTACATCCAGGTCCGCGCTCCCGTCTACACCTCCCACACTGCCGGTCGCTATGCCGCCAAGCGTTTCCGCAAGGCTCAGTGCCCCATCGTTGAGCGTCTCACCAACTCCCTCATGATGAACGGCCGTAACAACGGTAAGAAGGTCAAGGCTGTCCGCATTGTTGCCCACGCCTTCGAGATCATCGCCATCATGACCGACCAGAACCCCCTCCAGGTTCTGTGTGACGCCGTTGTCAACAGCGGTGCCCGTGAGGACTCCACCCGTATCGGTTCCCAGGGTACCGTCCGTCGCCAGGCCGTCGATGTCTCCCCCTCTCCGCCGTGTCAACCAGGCCATCGCTCTCCTGACCATTGGTGCTCGCGAGGCCTCTTTCCGCAACATCAAGTCCATCTCCGAGTGCTTGGCTGAGGAGCTGATCAACGCTGGCAAGGCAAGTTATACCGTTTCTACGACATTGGTGATTGAACATGAATTAACATTTGTTTTGTTATATAGGGTTCCAGCAACAGCTACGCCATCAAGAAGAAGGACGAGCTCGAGCGTGTTGCCAAGTCTAACCGGTAAAGGGTGTTCTGGATGCTGTTCTCCGTTTGGTCCTTGTTTGCGCAATGTCGAGTGGACGGGGGGTTTTCAACGGGATTCAGTCGTTTTGCATGGGTCTGCCCGACTGTACATTAAATTAAGACAGTTGGAAAAAAGCAGAATCCAAAAAAGGGATCGCAACGAGTTGGCTTTTTTCCATGTAGAGGCAGGGTGCGATACTGAAGACCACTGGTCATTAATGACCAAATCTCAATATGAAAACAAAATTTACGTTCACTCTCTTTGGGCTCTAGAATTAGGCCTTGATACAGGAATGTAATTTTATATTGAACTGCTACGTAGTATAACCTGCATCTTCGATATTGTAGTTAATAGTGTGCCAAACAGCGCCCTTTAATATTGGAAAATGGACTTTTACCGCCTAATGCTCCGCCAGGACTTATCACTGTGTAACTAAGTTAGAAGAGACCTGCTGGATACACCCTAACTTTGCTACTTACACCCCAATATCCCTCACCGCCGTATTTGTAATACAACCTAAGGCACAAAGACATCCGTAATTCTGCCGGCAGCATAAGTACAGTCCGGAATCAAACACACACACTTAAAATCTCCATATAAAATGCATCCATTTTATTAATAATTTAACGACATTTATTATACTAGCAAGTTGACTCATTCCAAGCTAACCCAAAGAAGAAATAGAGGCTGATTTTAAAAACACCGGCAAATACATTTTCAGCCGAATTAACTAGCAAATCTATTAATCTGCAAACACCCAGGCCTTTTATACCCCTCCACACCGCAATTTCCACATATTAGCAACCTCCTCTAAGATTACTAAGTTAGTAGCTATTATAAGCCTTATTGTAACCATTACTTATAAAACTCACAATCTACAACATCTTCAACAATATCCAACTACTCCTATAGGCTTAGGATTCGCCCCTATGACCCCCCTAAGGCTCCAGGGGCTCAAAAAGCTTACCAGAGCAAATCCAAAGCCTATAATAGTAGCTATAAGCCCTATAAGCTATATAGTACTATATATAACCCTAGCGATATCCATTTTCTCCGATTATTCTATATTCTTAGTTCCTATACAAGAAGAAGATCTAGATAGAATTACAGTGACCCAATAGCCTAAAGCTACCACTATAGATAGAAGAGATAAAAAGATAGTAGTTTTCGCTCAATATAATATTAGTTTATTTAGTAGATATATAGAATACCACTACCTTTACCACATATACAAAATATAGGAATTTAAGGTTTTTCAGTATAAAGAGGAAGATATTTTTTGATTTCTTTCTCTAGACAGCAAATGGCTAGAATTAAAACTTTCTATATAATATTTAATAGTAAAAATATATAGAATCTATAATCTATAAATCATCCAAGTATCTGATCATATAATTAATATTAAATATCAATATATTAACGCTAAATTATCCGTTCAAAGATCTCAAAAGCTCCAAGAAGCGTAGTTAAGGTTCCCTATCTAAATATTAGTAGAGAATTCCTTAATAATTATAGGAGAATTACCTATTAATCACACTTAAATACCCAATATACTAACTCATTCCGAGATATTACAACCTCACCGAGATAAAGATAATTATATATATAATAGTATAAGAACATCTTCATATTTATAGGATTAAGCCATTCCTTCTAGATATAACAAATTAGCTTAGCAAAGATCTTATAATAGTAAGTTTGCTGAAATTCCAGCCATTTTTGTTCATAATCTTAAGGAGTTAAAACAATAACAACTTTATACTAGAGCTACTTTATTTTACCCCATCGACAAAGCTTCTCCTACTATATACAACCATTTGTTAAAGGCAGAATTTCCTGTTTTTTTACAGCTTCTTTGATCTCCCATTCAAAATACTACCGAATAGGAGTACATACATAGGCAAGGAAACACTTATTAATATACCACAGACACAGCATATAGTTAAGTATAAAAACCATTTCCATCGCACTAAGAATTACAAGCTCCTTATCTATAAACACAATTAACAGCTCTAGTATTGATTCCACTACTAAAACCAATTGTAATTACTGTAATACCCAGCAAAATAATTCAGTAGTAGAGTCTACTATAAAGCAGAAACCAACAGAAAATGTCTGATTTATTAATATCATTCCCGTAATATCAAGTAATAGCATTTTAAACTTATTAGTTTTAAATATTATATCCATCCAAAGAATATATAGATAAAGACATAAGAATCCAATAGAAGTCCAGTAAATAACAAATAAAGCAAGTAAGATATAATCTTCATCACATCTATAACAGATACACTAATCCCCTAAGTTTAGGAGATCTTAGAGAAGTACTTAAATAGAAGAGCAGCTACCAAGTCATTCTTTATTAAACGCTAGCTTAATATTATAGATATCCTTTACAATAATATTATTACCTTCCTACCAGAGTCAATCTATAATCTAACAAGGCCAAAGACTATTCTAAATAGCTTATTCAATAGCTAAACATCTTTTTTTTACTACCATTTAGCAAAGATAAGGAATATTAATTACTAGTAATAGTAGATAATTATAGCCACTATTTTAAATATCCAATATCTATATATCTCCATCTAAACAAAGAACAACTTAGAAAGGACAATCATATTTCCGTATACAATATTTCCTACATTTTTCTACATCAATTCCCGGTTCCCGGTTATCACAATATTCACCACCTAACCAACATTGATAGGTAACTCAAACTTTCACCCCCCAATAGGTATTTAACCGTTTTAATATAATAGTATAGCCTTAGGTAGCTACAAATCAATTCATCTCCATTTAAGCTTCATCTAATAAAGAATACTCAAGTTTCCAAGGCAGAAATAACTAAAATAGAGGGAAACTTAGCTCAATATCTAAGAAGGTATTAACCAATACTCCTTTAAGAAATTAAGCTTCCTCGTCAGGAATTATATCAGTAGTAGTAAGAAAATCATCACAAAATATAGAAGAAGAAGTAACAGAGGGCCTAGGATTAATTACAAGAGATTCATCAATTTCAAGCAACATAATAATATCCAAATCACTTTAAACTTCCAGATATAATAGAGAAGATAGGAAATAACAATACTCTAAAAAGAAATTTATTTTAGCGAGAGGGAGATATCCAAATATATATTTAAAATAGTATTATTACTTAAAATATTAATATGGTAACGGGAGTAATAAAAATACACATTCCTAAGAGTACTATAGGGCCTCAACAGCCAATCAGCTTCTCTTAATATTTCTGTAAACGGCAGGTCACATACTCACTACACCTCACCATACTTTACCATTTCCCCGTTATTTACCTTTATATAGTAACTTTACATATTTTTACCCCTAGTTTAATTCACCACAACAATACTATTTTAGCTCATTTTTTAAAATTTTTTTGGATTAGTAAATATATACCATTTATCAATCACATATTAAGATATAATTGAAATTAATCAAAAAATGGAATTATCCAGGCGCTCCGCAATAGACGTCTTTTTTGATATGTTTTGGTGAGGTTTGGTGTGTCCGGCGTCCACCGCCTCACCTAACCGCCATTTTAAATTACACCGCCTTAATACCAACCGATAATACAAATACGGCAGAATTCCCAAAATGGATTAGCCTGGGTGTAAGTAGCAAAGTTAGGGTGTATCCAGCAGGTCTCAGTTAGAAGGTTGGTTCCTTATTTCTAAGGCCAGAGTATCCTTATCGATACCACAAGAAAAAAAAGTTTCGAAGCGGCGGACCTGATCTCCCCAACCTCGTGCAAACTTCATTTTCTCCATCTTACAGACAACCCCACAAGATGGTCAAAAGAAAGTTGGGAGCCCTGGAGAAGGTTGAGGCAGACTTGTGAGTCATTCGCCCCCCTGAATTTTGGCAATGCGTGGGAGAGTGCCTGAGTGCAATCAGGATCCAACATGGCCGCAAGTCAACATGCTAATATTAACATAATTCTAGGCCTAACCTCCAACACAAAATCCGCCGGGACCCCAAGTAAGTCAATTGAATATCTTCTGAAAAGTTATTTTTCTGCTTTTGTCCAATGCTAATCGTGGTTGCGATCGTTCAGATCATACATTGAGGATTTCCGCGCCCAGCACTACCAATATGAGTCGCATCGTGAAATTTTCATGGCTGCGCCTACATCGGCCACTGATACCGGTATCATTTCGTTGCGAGACTTGATCGATTTCATTTCCCATGTCGCCGATTGCTATCCCGAAATTCTCAAGGATTTCCCCCAGCAGTTGATTGATATGCTCATGCAGCACCACCAGGTGCTAGAGCCGGAACTGAGAGAGAAATTGGTCGGTAGTTTAGCACTGCTGAAGAAAAAAGATCTTGTGGACTCGGCAACGTATGTGTCCTTTCTATTGTGAGGGTATATTACAAACACACTAACGCTTTTAACAGATTGCTGCATACCCTGTTCCCAATTCTGATCTCGACACCTAGCAAGTCTCTTCGCGCTCTACTGTTCACAAAGATCCTTTCTGAGCTTCGAACTGCCAACTCAAAAACTGTCAACCATAAATTGAACCGTACTATGCAGACTGTCCTCTTTAACTTGGTCACATCAGACCGCACATCCTCCAAAGCCCTTTGGGCAATTAAGATCACTCGCGAGCTATGGAAGCGACAAATATGGACTGATTCTAAGGCTGTTGAGATTATGAAGGAGTCTAGTTTGTCAGAGAACGAGAAGGTTATCATTGGAGGTGTGCGCTTCTTCCTTGGTGGAGATAAGGAGCGTGAGGACATGGAGGACGAAGACAGTGATGAGGAAATCGACGTTGGCCGTATCAGACATCAACTGGGTATCAACAAAAAAACAAAGAAGAAGGCCCGCGCAGCAGAGAAGGCTGTGTCTGCTCACAAGAAGAAGGAGAAGAAGAAGAATCAGCCCCACTCCCTGAACTTCTCAGCGCTTCACCTTTTGCACGATCCCCAGGGCTTTGCAGAGCAGCTGTTTGCCAAGCATCTGCAGAACTCTAGGTCCAAGCTTAACCTCGAGCAAAAGCTTATGGTCTTACAATTAGTCTCACGACTAGTTGGTCTGCACAAGCTCCATATCATGTCGCTTTACTCGTACTTCCAGAAGTTCCTGACTCCTCGCCAACCCTCTGTTACTTCATTCTTGGCTTCTTTGGCCCAGGCCTCGCACGACTTGGTGCCCCCAGATGTTCTTGAGCCTTTGATCCAGAAGATCGCCAACGAGTTCGTCTCTGAAGCGTCTGCTGGAGAAGTGGCTACCGCTGGTCTGAACGCTATTCGAGAGATCTGTGTGCGTCAGCCTCTAGCGATGAATGAGACCTTGTTGCAGGATCTTGTCATGTACAAGAAGAGTAAGGACAAGGGTGTTATGATGGCATCGAAGGGTCTGTTGAGTCTTTACCGTGATGTCGGTGCATCGATGCTTAAGAAACGTGATCGCGGCAAGGAGGCCGCCATGGGACTTCGGTCCGGTGACAAGGAACAGAGACGTTTCGGTCAACAGGATATTGGAGGTATCGAAGGTCTTGAGCTCCTTGAGAACTGGAAGGAAGAGGAACGCCGCAGGAAGCGACGTGATAAGGGACTGCCATCTGACGGCGAAGATGACGAAGATGACGAGGGAGACGACTGGGATGCTTGGAATGTCGAGGATGATAACGACAGTGACGATTCGGGCGAGTGGATCAACGTCCAGGATGATGCTGATATCAGTATCAGTGACTCAGAGGACGAGGACAAGGATCGCCCATCCAAGAAAGCCAAGCAGGAGGAGGATGAAAAGGCCAAGGCAAATGGAGAGGAAGCCAAGACTAAGGAGTCTGCATTCTCCAAGCTGGCAACTACACGGATCCTGACCCCCGCCGATCTGGCCAAACTTGCCGAGCTTCGAGCTGAGGCCTCCGTCGATGCTGCAGTCAATGGTAACAAGCGTCGCCCTGCACCGACCCCTTCATCCCGTCACAACGATGACCCCTTGACCGCCGAGGAGATCGAGGGACTTGCGGCTTTGTCTGCTGCTAAGCAGACTCGCGAGGAGAGAATTGCTCATGCGAAGGAGGGCAAGGCTGACCGATCCGAGCACAGAAGTAAGGAGGCTAAGCGCAGAGAGCGCAAGGTGGAACAAGGAAAGAGTAGTACCAACAAGGAGAAGTCTCGCAAGAAGAACTTCATGATGACCCTGGGTAAGGCGAGAAGTAAGAATAAGCGCAGTCTCATCGAGACTCGTGCTGTCTTGAAGGCTCACCATGACCGCAAGAAGCGTGGTGGAAAGAGAGGTAATATGGGTAACTAGGCGCTGCCTTAACTCATCATGTCTGTGAATGTTCTTGGACTAGATTCATATATCTATTGGGCATTTGGCGTTTAAAATCTGTATTTATTTGTTTATTTTTCGCCCTGGGATAAAGTCCTAGACAAATATATCAATCGATAGATGACTATCATTTTCCTCTAGAGAATTCAATCATTCTATATCCTATAAAAAGAGGTTCCAAGGTTGTATCCTTTAAAGGCTTCGACTCGACCGGGATAGGCATCGCTGGCGATAGCTACAGTCTTTGTGTAATCAGAGTTATACACAGTCCCCCGTGTCAAAGACTGTTTCGACATTCCTGTGTAGTGACTGTGCTAATGATTCATTGGCAATGTCTAATCTCCAAGTGGTTAACTAGGACTGGGGCTTACCATTCTGAGGAACTTAAAGTATAACTAATAAAGTCTTGGTCGCCAGCCTGAAATGGTGGGCAAGCTCCGAGACACCTTTGGCATGCTTTTCGGTACTGAGTAGGTTGTTGTCCTAGCAGCTTAAGGGTTAATGTGAATGCTGAGAATCTATAACACTACTAGTGGGTAGGACTGGCTAGAAGAGGTATTACTGTAAAAGTCCTCTACAGCCAATTTATACCTAGGCTTGTTCAAGTACTGAGCGGGCCGTTAACCAGATGCAGGTATCAACCAGCTTTTACTCAATTTCGTCCGAATTTTGATGGAGACTTGGGACAAAACCAACCAAAGAAGCTATGAGTCCTAATCTGGACAAGAAATATTACCCGGTTTGGCTTTTAAATCAGAAATCTATCCCGATTCGCCTGGTAGCCCCAAATTGTGGACGATCCCTATATCGGCCGGTTAGCTCAGTTGGTAGAGCGTAAGATTCCAAATCTTAATGTCAAGGGTTCAAGTCCCTTACGGGTCATCTTTTTATTTTTATTTTTATTTTTATTTATCTTTAATGGTTCCTAGTCTTTGGCAATTTTTGGCAGGAAAGCTCGCTTTAGGGGATTGGAAATTTTTAATACTGCTTAACTGGGTAAGTAGATTACTGCCACTTCCTAAGATGGCGCCGAGAGCCGAGCCTCCAAAGCTTTCTATAGTCCATACAGAAAGCCTGTATTCATAGCAAGTTGTAGTATTGTTACACGGAAGCGTCGGGGCGATGGGCATGCAGTAGGCATCTGCCCGGCAGTTCAAATGTTCAAATATTCAATGTTCAAAATGTTCAATGTTCAACGCAATGTTCAAAAAATGTTGCCGGTTCCTGGAATGGACCAATATGATTGTCCGTTGGGGACTGGGCCTCATCTATACATATGAGCCTCACCCCGCGTCTCTCTTTGGTTCTTCAACGCTGAACTTTTTGTGTCTTGCACCTTTGTGCTTTCATAGTAATTTTTACGGCAGCTTTCTACAGAAGTGGCCACCGAAAATCAAAAGTATCAAAATTCCCAAGAATCCGCATAGTGTTCAAGAAAAGACTATTTACTATCTTCACAAGCGAAGCCGACTGTACTTTATGAACCGGTGAAGTTGTCACCATAGGGTTTCGCTTTCTTCTCGATTTCAGTAGATGTAAGTCAAGGGTGCCTTGTAAGCTCCTTAGCACCAATGGGTGCATTTATTTCCGACATCCACCGTAGCTCCCTCCCTCACACACAAGCCAAAGTTCGGTCTTTCTGCGTATCTAAAATATTTGGCATCCACTTGGGCATCTGAAGTGAGGCGAGGTTTAGAGCTTCTCCCCCTCCCACCACCTTTTTACTTTTTTTCCTTCGCCTTTCTCTTCCCCTTTCTCCTTCCCAAGTTTGAGCATTTCCACTACAGAGAGGGTTGAGTTTCTTGTTGGAAGCCGATCACAGAAGTCTTCTCACCTCTTCGCAATCTGACTTTCCAGCCTCCCTCGACCGGAGAAGCCATTGTGTCCAAAATTGTTCGGTGACGGCGAGAGCGCCTCGACATCTCAGAAGTCTGCTAAAATCTGCCAACATTGGTGAGATTTGCAAGCAAATAATGTGAGTTTCACCAAGAACACCTCTACAGCCTATGCTGGCCTGCTAATCTCTCAACAACCAGCAAGACTCTAGCCCGAATTTGACCTTCTCGAGGCGAGCTACAGAAGCATAATCAGCCTTTCATAAATTTCCTATTCCTCTCATCCTGACCAAAGCGCCCAGAGCACTTGATTATCTTCTCCTCCGTATCGGGCAGACCATTAGCCTTTCTACCCTTTCGCAGTGCAAAGCAACCAGTGGCATTGAGGAAGTGTACGACTTGGACTCCAAGGCCGATGACGCAGAAGCAGTGCAAAGCATCGTGGACTATTATACTTTGCTTGCTCTCAAAGAGTTCGATGGAAACGACCTTCCCATCACCCCAAAGGGACGAAAGGGGAAAGCGACACCAAGCGACGACCCGATTCGATTGCTTGACGACATCCTTAATTCTCTCTGGTCGGATTGGGAAGAAGGGTCCTTGATGGATGATTTCGCTTCTCTGGATGTTCCATGCCGAAACACAGAACCAAAGCATGCACAAGCAGCCCTCAAAACTCCCATTAGCTCAGGGAATCTAACACCCAAATGGTTAGAAAACCATATCCTTCTTGCCTGGGATAGAATGAAGGAAAAGCAGCGTCGAGAAGATACGCGTCAAGCTCAACGTCGAAAAAGAGGAGTATCGACCGAAGAGGTAAAGACAAAACGTGCTACTGATGCAAAGGGCTTAAAAAGCAAGAGGGTAGCCTAGTTGGTTGAGCATATCTCAAGTCTCGCTTTGCCAACGATGTTATCTGAGTCTCAAGATAAGAAAGCATCTTCCAATACGCAAAGCTCGCTTGCTTCGGTTCGATATCATGGGCAGATTCAGTGGCACGCAATTCGGCTAGATATTGTGAGTCGTTTACTGATTGCGGAACGGTGATGATGCATCTTGAAGATACGGCTAGCTTGGAGGAAGAATACATAGCTGGCGTTGTCTAGCCGCTGTTTTCATCATTTATACTCAGCCATCGAGGCGACAGCTACCAATTTTGATCAGCATCATGTATCTAAGATTGACTGCTCAGCTTCTTTAAGAATTTCAGCTAGATCAGCGATAAATAACCGGAATGATATTGGAAGGGGTCCTGGAGGTTTCTCTCCAGTGGGCAGTAAATCATTTAGTGCTCATAGTGCCTTATTAGAATGCTTGTCCAAGCATAAAGCGCAGATAGCTATTGAAGGAACATAGGGGGAGATATCCCGCACACATAAACGTACTTCGGCTTTTTTGAAAATTTAGCGTTATCTCAGTAATTCGGCATAAAATAAAATAAAAGCCTTGGCATGTGAATATCACTTCCCATCTAAATTGGTGCGTTGTTAATGACTGCACTGAATAACTAGAAGCTCGGCGCCCGAGATATGGAAATATGAGCTATGCGCGGTTAAACGCGGCGTGGACATGATAGAACTATGGTCAAGGGCAAAGAATGCTCCGAATTCGGGGGTCCATTCTATAATGAAATTGCCACTGCTAGTGCAATTGTATTACCAGTGTCATAAACACCCAATTCAATTCGATTATGATGTTTGCAACGGATATGAAATAACAAATAGGGAAACCTGGGTAGTACAAGATACAAGTCCGACCGTCAAAAAAATGCCGATCTCACGCCCTTCCAGTCAAGTTTAGTCCGAATTAGTGTAGAGACAGGCCATAAAGTCAAGGGGCGTCCACGTGACTCCGCTGTCGGCGTCATCGACGATCGCGGGTCTTTTTGAGTCACAAATTCCCTTCGGTTCATTGGCCTTTTTCCTTTCTGTGCATTTTATAAGAGGAACACTTCCATTTGATTTTTTGGGTAAAATAATTTTTTTTGTTCAGGTACACGGTTGAGTGTACTTTTACCGCATCGATCTCCTATCATCTCTTATCTTCCTTCTCCTTCTCCCCCACTATATACCCCGCCAACTGCCCGCCATGCCGATGTATGTTGATATGGTCAATTGAATGATCGCGAACACCACCCATGCACTGGGATAATTGACACTGACAATGACATCAGGCTTAAAGATCCCTCCAAAAAGTACAAGCCATTCAAACCCGTGAACTTGCCCAACCGCCAATGGCCCAACAAGACCATCGACAAGGCACCCCGATGGTTGGCCACCGATCTTCGCGATGGCAACCAAAGTCTCCCTGATCCAATGGTAAACAATTCACAACGTTTCTTGCGGATATGAAATCCGATCGAGCAATTCCTTAGCTAATGCATTGTATTTGGACTGTGTAGGACGGCGAGCAAAAACTTAAGTTCTTCAAGATGTTGGTGGATATTGGCTACAAGGAAATCGAAGTTTCATTCCCTGCCGCGTCACAAATCGATTTCGACTTCACCCGCCGCCTCGTCGAAGAGCCCGGCCTCACACCTGATGATGTCTGGCTCCAAGTCCTCGCTCCCTGCCGTGAGGATCTGATCCGCCGCACTGTCGACTCTCTCACTGGTGCCAAGAAGGCCATCCTGCACATCTACCTCGCCACAAGCCCATGTTTCCGCCAAATCGTTTTCAACATGGACAAGAAGCAAAGTTTGGAGAAGGCCGTTGAATGTGCCAAGTACGCGCGCTCAATCACTAAGGATGACCCCGCCCAAGCCGGCACAGAATGGCAATTCGAGTTCTCCCCAGAGACATTCTCCGATACCGAACCTGATTTCGCGATTGAGGTCTGCGAGGCTGTCAAGGCTGCTTGGGAACCTACCGTCGAGAATCCTATTATCTTCAACTTGCCCGCCACAGTAGAAATGTCCACACCCAATGTCTACGCTGATCAGATCGAGTACTTCTGCAATCGTATGACTGAGCGTGAGAAGTTTGTTGTTTCGCTCCACCCTCACAATGACCGTGGTTGTGCTATCGCCGCTGCTGAGTTGGCACAGATGGCTGGTGCCCAGCGTGTTGAGGGTACTCTTTTCGGTAACGGCGAGCGCACTGGAAACGTTGACTTGGTCACCCTTGCTCTTAATCTTTATACACAAGGTGTCTCGCCTAATGTCGACTTCTCCGATATTTGCTCTGTTATTCAGGTTGTGGAGGAGAGTAATAAGATTCCCGTCAACGAGCGTTGGCCATATGGAGGATTGCTCGTCACATCAGCATTCTCTGGAAGGTATGTTGAATTTTCTTCTATATCGCCAAGTCAAGAAATCTCACTAACTCTTTTCACAGTCACCAAGACGCCGTTCTCAAGGGATTCAAGCTCCGCGAGTCTTCCAATGCCACCGACGATGACGAGTGGAGAATGCCCTACCTTCCCCTCGATCCCCAAGACATCGGACGAACATACGAGGCCGTTATCCGTGTCAACTCACAAAGTGGCAAGGGTGGTGCCGCCTGGGTCATTCTGCGCAGCCTGGAGCTGGATCTCCCCCGCGCTTTGCAGATCGAGTTCAGCAAGCTCGTCCAACAAGCGACTGAGGACGCTAACCGCGAACTGCGTCCTGCCGAGGTTGTCCACCTCTTCGAAGAGTCTTACCACCTGAAGTCGAACCCCCGCTTCAACCTCATCGACTACAGCATCACCACCGATCGCTCGCAGTCACCTGCTCCCCCAGAGCCTGGCAAGGCCCTTAACACCAAGAACCTTAAGCGTCGCTTCACTGGTGTCATTGAAATCGACAATGTACAGCACGCGATTACCGGTACGGGTACTGGTGCCCTGTCATCTCTTGCTGCAGCTCTCGCTACCCTCGGCATCGACTTGGATGTCATCGATTACAAGGAGCATTCTATTGGCGGTCGTGACTCTAATGGTCTCGGTCGTGACGTGAAGGCTGCCACATATATCCACTGCTCGGCTGCCGGCAGCAAGGACAAGGTTTGGGGTGTTGGCATCCACGCTGATGTGGTTCAAGCCTCGCTCATTGCGATGCTGAGCGCTGCCAGCTCGGTATGTTGTCATAACTATTGTCTGGACCTGAACAATATACTAATTGAATTAATATAGTTCCTTGCCTCACAGTCCGGATCGCCGGCTCCGTTCCGCCCTATTCGTTCCAACACTCTCACCATCGATGATATCCAGGCTCTCGAACAGTTGACCGGCAACTCCGACGCAGTTGCTGCCACCGGTGGTCTCACCAACAAGGTTAACATCGACCTGCTCACAAAGCAAGCCGAGGCCTAAATGGCTACAAAAGTGATTGTTATTTGAATTGACTTATTTACGAGGAGCAGTTAGCAAGTAATGCATTTTCCATCTGAGTTGTACATGTGAATGGCATGCATATATCAAATTGAATTAATTCAATATTACAATGTTAAAAAAGATTGCTTATTCTCATCTTCGTTTATCAAACATACTACAGTCACCCCGATAGATAATTTCACTCCTTGCTAGAAACGGTGGTTTTGAATACGCGCTTAACATCATATTACACTATACGTCTTTCCACACGTCCTTCCAATGAGGTTTTCAATGGTTTTTCCAATCATCGGTCTAATCGTCTCTCGTAATACCTTTACTTAGATACCTCTAAAGGCTTAGATGATATTATACCTAAGCTCTAAGATGTATACTTAACACTACCATATATTATAAAGCCATCCGCGACAGGTGAGACACCGTGTTCGATGGACTTGCGGCGGACCCTGTTAGACGGCCTATTTCTGCGTGATTTAAAGGTAGAATGCACAGAAACGAAATTTCTAAACATGGAAGAAAGAGAACCTAATTACATGCGGGACGGCTGAGATGGCTTCTCAAGACGGTCGAGTGCGGGTCATGGATGTCTGACTCTCAGGCATCTATGCGGCAGAAACCTTGCAAACCCGTCTAAAGGCCCTATGTTCCGCCAGATCCCGTCATAGCTTCCATAACAGACCCTTGCAGCACGATATCTGGGCCAGTCGTAGAATTGAAAGGGGGCTCGAAGCCAGAATACGTTATACAATCTATCACCCGGTGTCACCCTGTTGCTTCCCGATCCTGATATTCTCTGTAAGCAGTGTCCTTGATTTATGTTGAAAGTGGGGGAGTCAGTGTTAGAGAAGCGCGCGCATACCCTGGAAAGGCCGGAGTCCGAGGGATTTCGGATCTGCCTGGGATGAGGCTACAAGTGTCGATCATTGCAGCATGCATGTTCCTTGTTGACTGGATGCAAACGATGCCGATAGTCAAGTACATTGCTGGTCCACTGGTGGAGTAACGTCCCGGAGATGTTTTGGGGGAAGAGAAGAGAGAGAGAGTGTGTGTGTGTGGTCAAAGGGAGAGAAAACTAATTCTCCGGTAGGTATATTATAGTAGAGGTATGATTCTATAGAAGATAATAAAGTGTCCCTGGATATTCATTATTCATCATTCATTTAATTGTGGCCATAGCCAACTTCCAAATCCACAATAAGCGTACTTGTGCATCCATCACATTTTATCTCTTCTAAAATTGAGAAACCAATACAAGTGAACCCTTACCAATCAAAGAAAGCAAACAAATCATCCGATCGCTTTTGGTTCGTCCCGCCTCCATAAACATTGAATTTTTGAACTCCCTCAGACGCCACAATGTACCCAAGCTCACAAGCAGAAAATGACACCTTAGGTTGATTGGCGTAGAAATTATCGAATCCAGTCACCAATGCTTCAGCTAACGTATTCACCTGACCCTTAGGATGCAATTGAAGCCAGGGATAACGGCACTGATCTCCCTCACAAGACTTAAGAACCATCATCAGCGCATCAAGACGACTCATGATTTGTGAAAGGTCACGATTAGCAATCTTATAGTTGGCATGTTCAGAAGGGTTCGCTGCTAGGTTGACTGTTTGGTCGGGATCGCCCTAAGATTTCATTCGACATTAGACAGATACCCAAGATTCAAAATGAGAGAGACGAGATTGAATACCTGGAGATCGTAAAACTCCTTCTCATTCGTACACCAAACAGCGTAGTATAAGCTGTAGTTTTCAGAAATGAGACGAATGCCTTTGTATGTGTTGTTCTTGTAGCTGTTGCCGACTTCATTGAGCTTGTTGCTAGCATAGCCATAGATACCCTCAGGAACAGCCTATCAATTCATATGTTAGGTTCCCTGGTAGTGTCTTAAATTGGTAAAACGTGTTAAACATACCAAGCCCCAATATTCAATTGCCACATGTTCAGACTTGTTATCCGCATTACTAGCAGCGACAGTTGTTGGGATGGCCTTTCCATCAAGGCCCTCTCTCGTGGAATTGGCAATGGACAAGAAAGTAGGCGCCAAGTCCGTGTGGCTAGTAACAGCTTCCAAGGTCTGGTTCTCAGGGATACCAGGACCTCGAACGATGAGCGGCACATTGATATCAGTTTCTATACTGTAGTCAGTACCGCCCACAAAGCCGGTGAAGTATACCCGCATTAAAGGAAAACTTACCAAATCCACAGTTCTTCCCCGGTTGTAAACGGTGTTGACCAAGATGATACCCATTATCCGTCGAAAAGAAAATATAAGTATTATCCAGCTCACCAGCCTGATCCAACTGATCAATCAAGTCCCCAATCATATCATCAACAGCCTGCAAAGCCCTCAACCGACACCTCTGAAAGACATCGATATAATTGATCTCAGTCTGATTCAGCTCCGGCACATTCTCAGTCCAACTAACAGCCCCCTGAATAAGCTTGTTAAAGCTCCCATCTCTAGGCGCCTTCAAATCCTTAAACAAATCCGCGTGTCTCGGTGCATACTCCGGCTCCCCAAACCAAGTCGCATCAAGCGTAGGGTCATTCGATCCATTCGCATGAGGCGCATTAGGAGCAACAGTAAGCATCCACGGTTTATCCTGCGCAATGGCTTCGTCTAAGAATCCCGAGGCCTTTTCAGCAATTACATCTGTAGAATAGTTCCCGTTATATTGAACTGGCGGGTTTCCGTTTCGGGTCATACGGGCATAATAGTATCTGTATGTCCATGGATCGAGGAGAAAGTCTGACCCATTAAAACCACGAGCATAGGGCTTGTTATAGTTGTCTTCTGTGTGAGAGTTCCATAGTTTGCCAACGTAGTAGGTGTTGTAGCCTGCGTCTTGCATCCAGAGGGGGAGGTAGTTGTCGTTCCAGCCTGCTTCGACTACTTTGGGGTATCCGCCGTATGGAAGCGCGACGTCTGTTACGTTTGTGTTGTGTGGCATCCGGCCTGTCCAGAGGTTTGCGCGGGAAGGACAGCAGAGAGCGACGGAGCAGTAGTGTTTTGGATAGCTGACACCCTTTTGGACAAGTTTTTCCTGCAAGTACAGTCAGTAAACTGCATTAGTTAGAAGGTTCATTTCTAGTGGTATTCACCTGAAGATTTGGCATATGTTCTAATCCACCAACATGTTTACCCTGATCATCAGTTAAGACGAAGAGTATATTCGGCTGCTTGGCCACAGCCAAACCAGCCAATAATAATAATCGGAAGATGTTCATTATAATGAAAATTTCATAAATTTGCGAAGAGTGATTTTGATCTTGATTTCAAATTATTTCTCAGAGTCGGGTTTGACCTCATATATAAGTGTTTCCGTGCTGTCAGAGCTCTCAAGAGCAAAAGCTCCAGCAACTTCCCCTCATCGTCATAGGGACAGCTCCACGAGTGTATGTACATCATGCTTGTGCCATATCTCAAGAAAATGAGCACAATTGAAAATCATCGTTGATCGTACGGTAAATCTTCCTCCACGGGGTATAGGGCAATGTGGGTGACTCCCGCCGATCGTCGTTGAAGACGGGGAGAATTGGACACCGAGGCCTTAGGGGATGATCAGGGTGAGTGACGCAGGGCATATAAGCTTCTTCGTACTCTCTTTTGCGGTGGAGAACATAGTATTGAGGTGCCAAGACATAGTCGATTACGAGCTTCGCTCATCAATGATGCGAGAGTGGATTGTATAGTGTGGAGTCGTTATCACGACATCGGCAGAGGGGAAACTTTAACGCCAGTCAACGATCAACTTTGCCGAGAAGCATGTCTTTACTAGCCAACAAGAAAAAGCCTTGTTCAATAGCGAAATTCTACTGAATTCTGAAATCGAGAAGTGGATATACCAAAGGGAAACGGCAGCACTAATAATAAGCCTATGTGGGCGGTAAATTTACAACCGAGCTGTGTAGGTCAAACAACCTGAGCTCGGCGCGATAGAAATCTCCATCTTAGAGTAATTTTAGCTCTAAAATAAAACCGTCTAAGTCCTCCCTCCTATTTTTTCTTCTTGTAATTTTCAGGGATGAATTCATTATGAGGTGGATCTTACCAACAGATCAGGATGTGATGATTTAATAAAAAGCTAAAGGATTGGAAGTACCTAAAGCCATCGCTGTGCCTGATGTCTTCCAAGCCTACCAAGAGGATTACTAGGGAAAATAAGATGCTGCAAGCAAAATTGAATTTCCGACGATTTTAGTTTGGAGCAGGAAGAAGTAGAGTACATCAGAATATCCGACTAGGCTATCGATGTTAATTTGTCCCTTTGTCTCAAGGAAAGGATAGAATATGACCTCGGACATAATAAAGCCCCAATCAAGCCACAAAGAACCCCCCAAAAAGATTGTATTAAGTCGACATGGAAAATGATGAATACTTTCACTGGATTCGAAGTGGTTCCTAGCCTTGTAGTACGGGGAGTATAGCATCCATCGGGAGAAAACCAATTGGGCATATATTAATCTTTACCGTCTAGTACTCTACTATCTGTAATGTAAACTCCGTGTAGATACCCTGTAGAATAAGAAGTAGGAGAATACGTCAAAGGATAACTAGAAAGGAAAGCCTAAAACTATCTTTGTAGATACCCAGGACACTTCTTTGTGTTCTTACTATATGGCTTTCAAACTATCTCTTTATTATTATCATATTGTAAAAGAAATTTAAACTTCGATTTCTTAACATATCGATCGACTATACCCAGAATCGAAGCCCCCCGCCACTAATCAGGTCAAAGGAAGATAACATGGTATAGTACAAAGAGTGATTCTCATCTTGCCGAGTCCCAGTATCGCACGCATTTACAAAGCTAAAATTGAAAACGTCGCTATCCTTATTATTCCCTTGTTAATAAAATGACTGCAAATGAGAGGGAGCACAAAGTCTCTCACTGGTCTGATACGATATTCGGTAGTAAGTGGTATAGGTTCTCCCCTTCATGGTATATCTTCTATAGAGGGCCCTCAAAGACAGGGCGCATTCTTGCAAGTTTTCATTCCTTCATTGCTAGTTTTGCAGATCAACTAGTACACAAGAGTGGAATGAAGATAACAAGTCGAGGGCTATCACATAATTACTCGAGCCCACCGGTGTTCGATTGCCGTGAGACTACTCCCGTGGGTAATATCGAAGCCGCAGAAGTATTTAGTAGAAACATGTTTGGTAGCAACGACTCTCTACAACGAAATTCGCTAGGAATGAGTTCATGATACAATATGAAGAAAATCAGTACTTAAATGGTATGGTTTTGGAGAGATGGAAATGAACAATTGGAGATGGAATCAATTAGCTAGGAAACTAATATTCATTAACTCCGGTGCCAAATTTTATGGGAATATAAATAAATGCAGGACATCTCTCCTCATTCTAATTATATGTAGAAGGTCTACGGAGGCCGATAGTGCCACTTCTAACTTCTGTATTATGACTAGTGGGGTCCATTACAATCACGCTAAATCAAAATGTTGCTTGAACGGACCCCGCAAGTGCCCCGGAATAGCCCCGGTACGCTTGGCATACCGAGGGACCAAATCTTGGAAAGGACAAGTGTTATAACTTATGACCATACATCTCCGTAACAACAACCCATTTCAACTTTGCACCAGCGCAACGCAATGTCTACCAAAACAGGAGTTCACGAAGGACTACACATTGAGCCTATTGATAATGCCGACGACATAATCCAGGCTTTTGATTGTGTGTGCCAAGCATTTGGTCGCCAGGTACAAGATGGCATTTTCAAGATCCTATATCCGGAATGGGAGACGCCCGAAGGACGAATGCGCGGAGCCGCCCGGATGGTCAATCGCTGGCAACGCACCACCACGAACAGCAGTGGAAATCCAAACACCGTGTTCCTCAAAGCCACATTGCCTTGCGCAGAGACACCCGATAAGCGTATTATTGCTGGGTTCGCTATTTGGGTGCAAGCCTCTAATGGAGAGGGCCACGGTGATCCAGTCACCAAAAAAGAAGATTTGGCTACTGCATTGAACCTTGAGGATCTTTTTCCCGGAAACGAACCCGAACAACGCTATATTTGTCAGACTCTTTCATCTCTACACAAGTACCGCACTGAAGTAGTGAAGGAAAAAGCAACAGCAGTGCCCCCTGCTGTTATGATCTTGGATATGTGTGCCGTTGACCCGGCACATCAGCGAAAGGGCATTGCGGGAGCATTGGTTCAATGGGGGCTTGATGAGGCTCAGAGACGAGGCAATCTTGAATTAATAACGGAGGGATCGGCCATGGGGCGACATGTTTACGGAAAAATGGGGTTTAAGCCTCAATCTGAGATTGAGTATTCGGTTGATCCTGAATTTTTAGCGCGCAGTAGGCCATCTAATGTTTTTATGCGCACCGGGGAAAGTTCTTGAAGTTTCCTGCTGCCATAGAGATAAACAATAATCGAATATGTCCTATTCAGTTTAAATTCTTTGTATCCGAGTCTGATTTCTTTCAAGTCTAACAGGAGCATGATTGAAGAATAATAACCACTGGCAGCAAGGTCACAATATAAAAGAAGCGCCAGGCCACATAAAACATATGTTTTCATTTCAATGAGCTTTGGAACTGAGGCTAATACATATCAATTTCCTAGTTGATTGATTTCAAGGTTTCATCTTCATCTGGCAATCGCATACAACTTGAAATTCTAGCAACCATGAGAGCCCTCGTCGCCGCCTCTATTAGAGGTATCAGCTTACCCCTTCCAGGATTTTTCTCAATCTAACTTTGACAGCCCTTCTTCTAGCAGTGGGAGTGTCTATGGAACCACTTAGGGCTTAGCTATTCTAAACAGCAAAATAATCATAATTCAAAAAAGTCATAAATTTGGCTCCAAAATATCTGTAACGAAGAACGGTTGAAGAAAACTGGGAAATCAAGGCAACAAACAAGAATACCATAGGAAAGTTTCGTATAATTGAGACCATGAACTTGAACTAGTATGTAGCTCTGGAGACCACTCGATTAAAACAATATAAACAATCGCACAAACTTAATTTCATCAACTCTTCCTTTTTCATAAGTATATTGTGCTGTATATTGGCATTCAGAAAAACACTTATTCAAATATACATAATATATACCGGCAGGAAAGTCATGGCAACTATCCACAAACTCACTCAGTTTTGTGATGTATTACCTTCAAGTTACAGTTGGACTTGGAGTGCGACTGTGACTGCGACTGTGACTGCGATTGCGACTGCGACCGCGCCTCGGACTAGAACGGGAAGCGCGACGGTGACGGATATAACGAGGTACTAAACCAAAACGGCTTTGATGATAACAGGGACTGCGGTTCGACATTATGCATCCCCAGCAACGGTGTATGCCTCTTCGTGCTGCTTGTTCCTGTAACAGTTCCCGGGATCTTTGCTCCCCCTGTCGAGCTGCTCGCCATTGTGCTCGCTCTTGTGCCGGAGTTGGTCAATGTCGTCCCCGTTGTTGTTGTCTTTGTTGATTTGGGTAGAACCACGGTGAGCCTCCTGTATCATTTGCTGGTGGATTCGCTGCAACTGCTGGGTCTGTTGCTGCTGCGCCTGTGTCTGCTACGCCTGTGTCTGCGCCTGTTGCTGCCGCGTCTGTTTCTTGGGCCTGCTGCTGCTGCGCCTGCAAGTATTGAGCACGTCTCGATTGGCGCAAATACCCATTATGTAGTGACGGGTATATCAATTGTATCATTTGTGGTGGTTGATAGGTCTGTTGCTGTTGCGCCTGCCTCCTATACCTGGACCGGGCTAGCATAATTGGACCTCTATTGCCTGTTGACTGGGGAACAAGATAGGGTGAAGCTCTAGTTCTACGAGACGATATGCTGCTGTCATTTCGGTTGTGTCGAATAGGTCCTATATGAGGTTGGGCCTGTTGCTCCACCACCTGTGGCGATAGTTCATAATGCTCTCGTTGTTGTTGCGCTCGCTGTAGTAGTTCCAAGCGTGCCTGTTCTAGTTGTTGGGAATTCTCTTCTTGTATCTGTTCTTGCAGAGCCTGCTGCTGTATCTGCCGTTGTAGTACGTTTGGTCGTTCCAGTTCCTGCATTTCTATCTCTTGCGTTTCTACTTCCCGCATTCCTAGTCAAGCTCGCCGTTCACCTTCCTCTCCCCTTCCCCCTCTCCTCGGCCTCCAGGCTCCCCATCCTATGAATCCCCGCCCCAAAGCTCCCAATTCACGTCCCTCTCTCGCTACCCCTCCCGCTGCTCCTCCCCCTGTCCCTCCCCCTTCTCCTCCGTCTCCCTCTCTATCCTCCTCTTCCAATTCCCCTTCCTGTTCATCCCCGGGTCCGAGTCTGAGCAGTATGAGCAGCCTTAATCGTTCTTCTTCTGCGAGTTGCTCCCCCAAATAAACAGCTCTGCGTATCATGTTGCTAGCTTCCAGTGTTCTCTCAGCTCCAGCTCCTGTTTCAGTTTCTTCCATTTCTTCGTTCTCCGGCTCCCCCATCAAGTATTCTCCCACAATAAATCGCTCCATGGGGCCCAGAGGGAGCCCGTTAAGCAATTCTTCTATCGCTGTTTCAACTTCCAATAGTTCTTCCACCGAATAGCCGAATCGCCGTAGTTCCCAATATGGAATTAGTGCGGGATCATACGTCAGGCGCCGTAGTTCCTCTAGGTACACCCTCTCTTCCTGTGACGCCTCCCGATCTCTAGTGAGCGCTTCGTTGAACAACACTGTCATGCGTTTTATAATCAAAGTCTTCAAATGATCTTTCTTTTCCATCTGACCTTGCAATGCCCCCAAATTGCATAGATATTGTGGTCGGTGTCGGGTCTGTCATACTAAAGTATGCCGTTTACTACTAAAGTATGCCGTTTACGGTGCAAGGCTCCTTTTCAGCACTTCTGACAGTCGAAAAGGCGAGTTTTTCGATCGCTTAAAGAGGAAATTTTGCCCTCATGCTTGCTGCAACACTTCCCCGGCTCCACAATGACAACCGAGTGATTTCTGACAGTTGAGAGGCCTTAACACCTCCAGGTGAGAAAAAGAAAACGGCAAACTCGTCTCTGGAGGAATTCGATCCGCGAACTTGTCCCTACAAGGCAATATGTTATCTTGGTGTTTCGTGAGGCAAATGCCAGATATGAAATATCGCCAACCCGGCAACGGGGTGAGGATCCATGGATGCAATGTTTACCCGGCGGCCAGCATCGGACAAATGTTTAGTTATGCTGTGCGGATGACTAAGTTATCCATTTTTCCTGCGGGAGCTAAGCCTAAGATAGGGGTTTATTCTGCGTAGTGAACCCCAAAAAGTGGGGTTCACTATTTTGTATCACGAGATCTACATGCAAGTATATTTACATCCTCATGTATGAATTTACTACCTATTTCTGATTCTTTGTTAAGTATTAATGGATTTGATGAGAGAAAATATATCGAAGAATAGAATGTCAAAGAATCAAGCATTGAAATACATGTCTGGGTGACAAAGATCGTGGCTGTTGCTGAATATATATATGTGAAGGCATTCACGCAATCCCTCACCACCATCTTTCCTTTTTACATCTTCCACAACCTTGGAACATATTTTTTCCCCTGTGTGTTTTTTTTTTTGCTTCCACACCCCCCTGAGACATATTACTAACATATATTCAAAATTTGGTCAATAAGGCCAACGCATTGAACCAAGGTTGCTTTCGCGACGGCTCCTATATTCGACCTCGGGAGTAAAAGCCAAAATCTACTGCAAATATGTTACCCCTTGAGTGGCTTACAATTGTTCTCAATCCCTGTTTAATGACAATTTCAATCCAAATAGACATAGGGATTATTTTCATTAGTTGGCGCTGATATGGGAACTAGTTGGCTTCAAATCTTAGCTGTGCTATCTATGTAACTTAGGGCAAAGTAGACCAAAGAATCGTCATCAGCGGAACCTTGGAATTAGACATTCTAAGGCTGAGAATGACGACTTGGGCTCAATTTGGACATGTAGATTGGGTATCTAATGCTTCCTACCCGATTACGTACATGCTTGGCAAGTTATGACTACAATTGATCTTCTACATGAAATTCGTCCTATGATGACTAGTCGATATGAATTTGAATCTTCTTGTCTGAAAAATTACCACCTTGAAAATTGTCACCCTACTGATATCTTGGGCTTCATTTTCCTACGCAGCCTATAGCTGTTTTTCAATGTGTAAAACTCACAGTAATGAAGAAGCCCCACTTGTGATAATTAGCCTTTTTATTAACCCCAAGGAGAAAGCCATCTAGCATTATAGCTAGAGCTCAGGTAGTAGTTCGGCAAAGCTTATAATAACTCTTATATAACCTTCACTTCACCGAACTTCTGATCACCGTAGGGTCAACTGGATTGATATTCCAGACTTCAAGAAAAACTTTGCATGCATCTTCTGAGACCTATAATGCAACGTAGTGTCACCAGAATCTGCCTTGACAGCCCTGAAGATCTCAATTCCGCATCTTTGATCTTCTACCAGGTAGTCACCAGATTCCCGGTGTCGGGAGTGGGTTGTATTTTATGATGTATAATATGGCCGTTGGATGCGTATATAAGCATCACTCAATGATCTCAAATTCACCACGTTCGCATAGCTCAGCTCCCAGGAAAAGTCGAAAGTCTCTGAATTGGCCTGAAATATGCGTATCATACTATGGTCTTCGTGTTCGTTTCTTGCCTGGCCACTACTCTTGGAGCACCTACAGTTCTAGAAGGAGAAAACCTTGCAGAACAGCTCAGTTCATGTACGGACATAATCCAGTCTCTTCACCCTTGCTAACTGTCAAATAGAGCAGATCTATCTTATCTGTTAATATATAATGAGGCCTCGAGCAAATGACCCTTGCTTGCAATCTTTCTGCATGTGGCTCCATTTTGGGGTCATAAACTGTATGATTCAGGCCTTTGGACCCGGGGTCCCAGTTGGCTTCGCGATTTGCATCACTAATGCACAAGCTGAAGTAAGTTTCTTCTTTTACTGAAATCTATTCTTTTTTTAAGCTTTTCACCAACAACATTTGACTTGAATTGATGTGTTGTTTTTAGATCTGCGATTGTGCGATTTGCTTCCCCACTGTATACCCCAGCCTGCAGCATCAAGGAATCTGCCCATCAAGCTAAACGAGCTCATAGTTACGCTTCGCTTGTCTATCCTCTATTCTATAGGATGGCAGTATTCTTTGGATGATTCTTCATAAGGAAAGATGTTCATTTAATTTCGCCGTTCCAGAGGACTTTCAAGATACTCTAGCTTTGCAGGGAACCCATCAAAAGTATTCTGATAATTAAAGCGTTCATTTCCAATGCAACCTCGATTATAATTATTCAAATTCTTCAATGAGTATATACATGTGCATATACAGAGATCAGGATATATAATACTACTGGTAGATAAGGAAATACTACTTCCACGTATAAAGCTTTGACATAATGAGCACCCTTCGTTTAAACAATCTTCCTTCCATCTCGATCTTTCAAAATCTCCTTCTTGAAAACGAACTTCTCACCCGGCGTCCACAAAAAGGGCTGACAGCACTGCCTAATTTGAGACACCACCAAAACCATTCCATACATCCTAGCAATCTTCTTAATCATCTCCTTCTCCAAATCCTCAAACTTATAACTATGGATAACTGACGGGATCTCCAGTTTACCATTATCACTGTCCCACACAATCATCCACTCATAAGGCATCGATCCACTTGTCAATACGACTTTATCATAAAAACAGTCCATCCTCAAAGGCTCATTCTCTTTCAAAGCTTGTGAATAAAGATCTTCAAACGATACATCAGTCTGGACCTTGTTCTGTGCATATGGCCCCGAAAAATGAGACCCACCGCGATTAGCCACAACCTTGAAAATCACAAGCTCGGCTATAGGCGGTTGTTGGACTAGCATGTGTCGCCAGCTGGCTTTTTCATACATGAAGAAGGGGTTGTTTTTAGATATTGCAAGAGGTAGATTCTCGAAATCAGCGTTTCCGCCGAATATTCCTTGAATATGGCTGCATGATTCAAGTTCTTGGCTTGCTTGATTTGACTTGGCGTCTGTAGCTGCTAGTGCGGGTGGGAACCATGGAGGAAAGAATTCTGATAACAATGGGTTTTGGGTCTTGGCCCTTTTTTCCCAGTCGGGCTGAAAGTATAGGTGCTTTTGTAGAGCGGGGGAGGTCACGACTAGATCATGCCATGAGTGGCATACCCGTTGGCCCGAGGTTAGGAGGGTCTTTATATCAAGACAGAGGAGGACGTTTTCCAGTATTTCCGTGATGGAAAATATATCTGTTGGTGTAGTTTCCATGGCTTCAAATTTTAGATTTCGTATGGAGGCAACGATTCAGGTGCTGACGAGTTGAAGTGATAATTCATGTGGACGCCTGAGGTCCGGGGGTCTTTATACCTACTGCCTACGAAGTACATAGCCCCACTGTGGCTAAATGACGGTGAGGCTCCTCAGGCCATGAATCGTGTTACCTGGAGTTGAAATACTATAAATATCATTGGAATTCTTGATTCATCATGATGATCGGCTTGGTTTCTGCATAATACTAAAGTGATGTGACGTCAGTTTTCTGCAGACTACATGGATGCAGTTCGAAGGAAAAATGATTTTATGAGAATGATGAAGAAGCCGATAAGTAGATAGCCTGGAAACCAACAGGCTCCAATAATGAATGTTGGTATATAGTATACAAGTTCGCTCAATGACTAAAATACACTCCTGGAGCAGATGCATCACAGGAAATTCTTCTCAAACTGGACCAGTAGTGGATGCACCTCATCCACCTTCAATTTAACTGCACGAGGGTTCTGTAGCGCACTTTCTCCAAGCTGGGCCTGAATTAAAGATCGGAACTGCTCCGAATCCACGTCTGTCTTGCTCTGCATCTGTCCAGTAACGTCGATCGTGATACCTCCATCGGCCAGATCCCGCGACCCCAAAATAAAGATGAAGTTATACTTCATTTGCTTGGCGCGCTGAATCTTCTTGCCTAAAGTCTGGGCACTGGTATCAACGTCTACCAGGAAAGTAGATTCAAGCGATGATAACGGACGTGGCACCTGAGCTGTGCCATCGTTCTGCAGAACCTTGAACCCGGAGAATTTAGCTGCGGCTTCTTTCGCTTGTTGCACAACTGCATCATCCTGATTGACTGTCAAGATGATTCCCTGTCGTGGGGATAACCAAAATGGCCAATGACCGCCATGTTGCTCGATCAGCAATGCTAGGAAGCGCTCAACCGAGCCGAAGATGGCGCGGTGTACGAGAACAGGGGTTGCAACGCCCGGTGTGGCTGGGTTGTAGTCTTCCTCGCCTTCTGCAACCTGGTATTCAAGCCCAAAACGTTGAGGCAAATTCATATCCAACTGAATGGTTGACAATTGATGGTATTTACCAGCCTGATCTTGAAGCTGAATATCGATCTTAGGTCCGTAGAAAGCGCCGTCTCCTTCGTTCAACGCCCACTCTTGTCCCGTGCTGTCCAATGCCTGGCGGAGCTGGTTTTCGGCATTATCCCACATCTCCATTGTTCCGATATAGTCGGTCTCTGGTCTTGTCGAAAGTACCAATCTGTATGGTCCAAGCCCGAATGTCTTCATGGCCATCTCGACGAATCCCAACGCCGACGCAATTTCGGACTTGATCTGATGTGGCCGACAGAAGATATGTCCGTCATCTTGGTGGAAGCGACGCACGCGCGTGAGCCCGGTCAATGAACCAGAGACTTCGTTTCGGTGGAGGGGACTGAAATCGGCGTAGCGCACTGGTAAGTCTCGGTAGGAGTGGTTTTGTGATTTGAAGAGCAGGCAGTGTCCGGGACAGTTCATTGGTTTGAGACCGTAGGATTCGTCTTCGCCAACTTCACCCTCGGTTTCACCGGTCGCACCGCGGCCAGTCACCTCATACATGTCATCTTTGTAGTTTTGCCAATGGCCCGATATCTCCCATAGCGATCTTTTGTAGATGCTCGGTGTTAGAACTTCGCGAAAGCCGTATTGTAGGTATTGGGCGCGGAGGAAAGCGAGAAGCTTATTGATAACGTGTGTGCCGTTTGGAAGGAAAAGAGGAGAGCCGGGGCTGTAGATGGAGGAGGCATATAGCTCTTGGGTTGTTCCTAGAGCTCGGTGGTCGGAGGGAGGTATGGCGACTGAGTCGACGTTGTTCGCAGCATCTCCGCATGAGCACCGACGAATTGCGGATGTCGATAGCCACCGGGGTCTGGATGTTTGCAGCTGGAAAGATCTGCCGACTACCGGTCGCGTGTGGAGGAGTGGCCGAAGCCGAGTAAGTGGGCGCATGGTTCGTTGCATTGAAAAAGCCGTTGCGTTTTCTTGCCGCGACTTCTTCACGTTCTCCACCGCTTTACAACCGCAGGGCGGAATCAGCGCGCTTCAATAGCACAGTTCAACAGCTTTTTCGCGACTGAATACTACTGGTTTGAGATTGGAACTCGGTAGATTCTACAGCTTGCAGCGTACAGCTTGGAGTTTGTTTATCCTGCGTTTGCGACCGATCCTCATCGATCCGACGATCTTGACTTGTTTACCCCGCTGGGCGGGTATGTTTACAGCGTCATGTCAAACCAATCTCGAATGCCAGATGGCTCAGTGCTAGGCGATTCTTGGATAATGGCTTCAACAGCTTCTATCAAGGACAAGGTTCAGAATCAATCTACCTCTCCAAGAGAGAAGGGATCATATAGTCCAGAAGAACCCGCAAGCCCAAGTCCTCAGCCGAGGTCTTCGAGGAAGAAGAACAGCGCCGAGACCACGGATTCAATATCGTCGCTGACTTCTTCGTCGTCATCTTGGACAACGTTGGGCCCGGAGCTCGTTATGCCTTCCATCTACGAAGTACCCATTTCAGAGGCATCATGGGTCGCGCCAGGCGTGCTATCCAAGGATCAAAGCACCATGAAAAAAAGACGCAAGATATCACAAACCCATGATAAACATCAGGTTACCACTGTACCTCGCAGTCAAGACGCCGGCTCGTCGATCCCAACACCTCAACCTCACACCCCAAGCTTAATCGCACGCCTCTTCATCCGCTATCGCGATCAAGTTGCCCTCCGCTCCATAATAAACGCTCTCCTCATCGCCCTCATCCTCCATCTACTCGTCCTCCCCGAAGCTGTCTACCAACTCCAAGACCTCTGCCATCTCCCGCCCGTGAAATCCATATACCCAGACAGCTGTATCCAGCTCAAACCCCAGCTACGCCCCTTCTTACCTCTATCCAACCCCATCATCTCACCCGAGCAAACCATCAGCACTGCCCAAAAAGAACTCGAATCTATCTTCGACATCACCCTCCAAACTCTGACCCCCCTCGCCCACATCCTCAAGGGAAGCGAAACAATGCTATCCGATCTCCAAGCCAAGCTTCAAGTCACCTTCCCAGATGCCCATAATGCTCTCGATCTGGAGTTCCAAGGAAGCGACCAGGCCCTTCGCGCAGCAGCATGGGAATTCGATTCGCTGCGCGCTGATCTACGCTCCGCAATCGAAAGTCTCCTCTCCTCCCCGCCAACACCAGAATCAACAGGCTCAATGTCTATCGCGCGCGACACGCGTCTAGCAGCTCAACTCCGCCGTCGCGCAGAATATCTTGATCGATTGCGCGCGCAAATTCGTTCCAAGGCCGACTCGCTAACCGCTCGGTTCAGTACATTGGACGATCACCTCGAGGCCGTGGACGGGATAGTCACACGGGAAGAGCGTAGAGGGTCCTTGTTCGCTTCCGACAGCAGACTTGACGGGGTGGGGACCACAGGAGCCAGTCTGCACGCGATGCTACACTCGTTATCTAGCTATGCCTCTTTCGGGTCGCGATGGTCGCGATCGACAGGTGACCCGTCATCTGTCGGTTCTGATGCTCACGCTCATGCTCATGCTCATGGAGATGAGCAGAGTAACGAGAATGGGAGAGACCGACCCCTCACAACCCTTGCTTTGTTGAGGCTTGCTGCGACGCACCATCGTCCCGTGGCTGATTCGGTATCCCGGCTGTCACGTCAATTACAGGGTTTGCAGCGCGGTCCCTTAGGCCCCACTTGGTGACGGGTCCACTCGTTCACTAAGTGGAGTATAAACTGGAGCTGTTATCTCGGAAGATGTTATAGGTCCGTTGGACGGCTGGCGGTGTATGGAGTAAATTGGTCAAGGTGTTATCTGAGCCGTGCTTTGGTTTTGTTTTGTTTGATGTTAAGGGGTTTGCATTGCATTTGCATGTTTAGTTTATAGTATGTAGCTTTGTACTGCTGTATTTATGTCTGTTGGCAAGTTTTGACGAGATACGAACTTATTGCATTGGGTACGCGCTTGGCGTATGGAATACGGAATACATCGAAAACATCCATTATTTCCACATAAATCACATGAAATCCTTGCTCTGCCTGCCATTATCCTTGCCCCACAACTAGGAACCATGAACTACGAGGTCAGAATATGCTCTACCATTAAGCTTGCACTCAATTACAGTATAACACCGGTTCAGTACCACCAATCGTCCAAATCAACTGTCGCTTATTTAGTCTTACTGAGATCCATATCCCCACATCAATTGATCTATCTATAGAAACTATCCAATCGAGATACATCTAAATGGTTCTATCATCCTATTCCCATGGCTCATACCTTCTAAACCACGGAACGGGATGAAATCCCTTCAAAGCCCCAGAATATTCATCAACCCAGCCAATAGCACTACAATTCCCATCCGGTTTCCCCGAAGTTTCTTGAAAATGGTCTATACGTAGAATATAAACCTGTTATTGATGCTTATGGGGCTAGGCATCATTGTCCCATGGTAAAAGCCTGATATAAACGCTATACAGTAACCTGTAAGGCATGTAGACCCGAGAATGGTTCTTAGACGTTCGAATCTATTCTTTCCGGCACCCCTGGAGGATAAGGTTGTGATCCATGGTATTTGTCTTCTTTACCAGAATCGAGCGCAAACTCAATTCCTCTTCGTCCATGAAAAAAGAGGTAAGTAGGTAGTCTGAAATATCGAGTGGCTTTAGGCTTCGAGCCCCGGACCCGAATACGTTTTGGTTACGCGGTTACGCGGTTACGCGGTTACGCGGCTGATCGTGAGGGTTGCACGGTGATGCGTGATGATGCACGATGCACAGGGCTGCAGGTGCAGAGTGCAGAGTGCAGATACGGGCTTGAAATGCGGGTGTGATAGTTTGGGATACACGATAAACAAATAAACGCATCTGGAAGGGTCGGTGTTACAGACTTCATCCCTTGCATTATTGGTGCCTAATGGTCTGAACGGTGGTCAGAACGGGTGCCTAGCAGGTTCTATGTTCTAAGTTTTATGTAGGTTCTCAAGTAGAAAGAGCATTGTGATAATGTGATTGAGGGATGGTTGGGTTACAAAACCTATACGACAGATACATGCACGGAAAAATGTTCCTAAGAAAATGAATATTATTCTAGATCAAGATCCATTCTACAATCTGATCTAATCTGTCTGATGGTGTAGATACATGAAGCGCCCAATCCGTCGGGTCACATAAACAAAAAAAAAAAATACAAATACTAAGGGGCTAAATTCGCCGAATTCCTCATAAAATTTCCCAAACAATAGGGTTCCAGCCCATTTGCTTCATCCATGAGGCGTGATTAGGAGCATAAAGACGTTGAAATCGAAGTTTTTACAGCTGAACGAAGGCTCCAACGAGAGCCAACAGGGAAAGAGGAGCGAAGTAGCTGGTTGCCAGGGTGCCGGCAGCGTTGAAGGGGGTAGCAGAGCTGGTAGACGCGGATCCAGCGGGAGTGCCGGAGGTGGAAGAGCCAGAGCCAGAGCCAGAGCCGGAGCCAGAGCCAGAGCCGGAGCCAGAGCCAGAACTAGAGGTAGGGGTGGCAGAGCCGGAGGCAACGGCGCTGCTGCTGCCGGAGCCTGAGCCGGAGCCAGAGCCGGAACCAGTGGAGGTAGCGGTGCTGCCGGAGGTAGTCTCCGAGGCGGAGATGGAGCTCTCCTCAGTGGTGCTGGTGGAAGAAGCCTTGGAAGTGGTAGAGGCAGCCTCGGTGGTGTGGGTGGTGTGGGTGGTAGAAGTAGAAGCCTCCTCAGTGGAAGTAGACTTGGAGGAAGCAGAGGTGGTGCTGGTGTGGCTCTCAGAAGAAGATGAAGAGCTGACAGCGCCAGCACCAGTGAGCTTGATGCTATCCATTGAGCCGGAGGTGTCGGAGTAGGTGTATGACTCGGCGGGGTTGGCGTTGTTGATCTCCACGTTCTTGACGTACATGGAGAAAGGAGCTTTGCTGTAGTCAGTCTCGCCGCCGGCCCACTCGATTGTGCCTTGGCCGTTGGATGGGTCACCACCAGCCCAGATACCGATGCGAACACGCATGGGGGTCTGGGGGTAACGGGTACCGTCTTGGGCATCAGCGTAGTTCAGGGTACGGACGGCAGCGCCGTCAATGTACCAGGTGGTGGCATCCTTTTGCCAGGAGACCTTGTAGGTGTGCCATGTGCCCTGAGGGTCGGAGACACCGGGCCAGGTATCGCGGTCGTAGGTGGAGGTGTCACCCTTTCCAAAGTAGTTAGTCTCGATGGTGGTAGAGTCACCGCCAAGAGCCTCCTATAGAATTGTTAGAACATGCATAGTGATGACAGAGACGGAAATAGAACATTGGAAGTGTTCGAGGAATGGAATGTGGGGAATATGTATGAGGGAGTGTATGCCTACCCAATCAATTTCATCCAAATCATCGGACTCGAAAACAATGCTGCTCACGATACCAGTGCCGGGAGCCGCCTTCATGGTAACAGAGACATCACCGAACCAGATATAGAAGTCAGTCTGAATAGTAGGAGCATCACCCTGCTTGGCGAGAGTGAAAGTAGCACCATTGGAAGAGTCGGTAGGAACAGTTCCGGCGACAGTAGACCACTGGTCCAGGTTCTGGGTGAAGTCGAAGTTCAGAGTCGACTCAGTAGAACCCTTATCAGCGGGGCAAGTCTTGTCAAGAGGGTTGCAGGAGCTGTAGGTCTGAGCCTGAGCTGAAGCAACAGCAAGAGCCGCCGTAGCGAACTTGTAGAAAGAAGGCATTGTTGGGAAGGATGGAATGTTTACGCAACCGGATGGGATGGGTATAAAATAAACAAACCAGGTGTGAGAGGAAAAGCGAGAGTGAAGATCAGAAACGAGCGATCGGGAGGGTTATAAAAACAATTAACAGCTCGCAATAGAAGATACACAAGAAAAACGAGTGGATCGAACTAGTTAATGTCCCCGGGTTCGGATTTATGGGTCCACGGTTGCGGTGGGTGATGGGTCTTCTTTTGTACCTCACCCACTTTTTATTTCATACGCTAAATATACATTACACTTTTTAAAATACATTTGAACCATCACAAGGAGTCAACTTTCCCCTGGGGCTCTCAGGGCTCCAGTATCCGAGAACTCCACCTGATTGGACCTCGGTGTGGCAAAGCCCGCCAGGGATCGTAGTGGATCCATCTCATGAGCTGCTGGGGAAACCCTGAGTGGAGGAGACCGAGGACACTTGGAGAGACGGACTCCACCAACTGAGACATTTCTCACTTCATCTTTGCTAGCTTGCGGGCATGACTCCATAAATGATCTTGTGCATGGAGGGATGGTTCGCCCTACCCTATCCTATATTGGGAAGATATTGATTATTTCCATTCACTTTCAGTCTCAACTTCACCCTTCTGCAACCCCTCACACATGAGGAGAGGGTTACTTATCAGCGTCAAGTCTAATATTTCAGGAGTAAAAAGAGGATCGCCCGGATCGGCCGATCCTGTTACAACATGACGGTCGGTGTCTCCATTTTGATTTGACATGCTTTGACATACTAAACACTGATACGCTGGGCATGACCTCCATACATCCATCCCAATCCCATAAGCGAGAGACCCTCTCCCTATTACCCACTCTTATTGGATCCCCACTACCTCGAATTACCCGATCCGAAACACTCCCAGTGAAACATATGGTATTGTGTAGTAATTCACAATCATGATTTATCCTTCAATTGTCGTGCTCTATTGCTCATCTCGTGGTCCCTGCATCTGAGCCATCAATTTGTCTTTGCGCCCTGTCTACCTGTCTTCCTGTATAATCCCTGTACTCCGCCACATTGACATTAGACATTCGGGGGAGTCAGAAACTGCATGGCGTTCAATAAATTTTCTTTCTGAGTGATACTGAGACTTCACTTAGTTAGCGCCTTTCTACTAGTACTAATGAACTCGCTTCAACTTGTCCATTTTTTGCTGTGCAGCAGGCCCGTGCCACTAGTATACGAGATATTTTGCTAGCGCTCAATGCGACCGTCCATTGCACCCCAACGCGGAGCAGCCCGAGCAGCTAGTTGTTTCTCGGACATTTGGATCCGATTAACTGTTTAGCTCCAGGAGATAAAATTACTTTTTACTTCATCTATATTAATGCTTGTTACTTGGCAGTTGGTTTCGCGTTCATAAATTTGGGAAATGCAGGAACCGATGCTTGGCTTCTTGGCTTTCAGGGTTTTCACGCTGTTAACAAAGAAAAGATGGCGTAATAGGAATATGAACATGGATTCGATCAATCTTGGAAGAATCTCCGAAGTGACTCAGGTTTTAAGCTGGGGCTCTGTTCAAAGAAAATACTAAAAAACCTTCATGTCATCTGATCCCGTACGGAGTACTCCGTACAGCGCGTGTACGGCCTAATTCTGCAATTCTGGGGACTCTAAGCCTCACCCGGCTATATTCTATGGCGCTATATCCACACCACTTAGACATCGTGCTCCATGGTTCATGTCTTACCCAGACATAAGAATAGATACAGTTATGGGGTATGCGGTATCCGTAGATGTGAAAATAATCAAAAATAGATTTTCCTTGACTTTTCATCATACTCATAGTTGTAGTGGCAAGATCAGATAGGCCCACCACCTCGTGGTCGCAGCGTGGAATGCGGAATGTGAGGTGCCCGTGGACGTTTACCCGAATGCAGACATCAACGCAAACAAACACACAGAAATAGAAAAGAGAAAAAACAAGGAAATAAACATAAATAATAAAACATACCTAGATAATAATTCCTAGCTAGAAAGTAATGACCGTTGGTGCCGTCAGCTCAATATGAACCTGTTTCTTCAATACTTGTCGGTCGGCATCAAATGAAACATCATGATCACTCGAATTCCCACGACGAACACCCCCACTAACACCTCCCTTCCTCTGCCCAAGCAATGTAACAACACCCTTAACAAGCACAGCCTCATGATACCCAAACTCCCCACGGATCCTCAACTGACCATTCCCATACTCAAAATCAACCATAGAGCTATTCGCAGGATGAATACTCTCCCCATCATCCAAATACAATTGACCCCTCGCGTAACCGTCCCTATTCGGCGCAACAACAATCTCAAATCCCTTCCGACGTAACTCACTCGTTGTACTCGCCCCTTCCGAACGAAGAGGAAGCACAAATCCCCCACGGATGTGAATCGGGATCTCGGTGATTCCAACATTACTCAACGTGATTGTTTTGCCTTCTCCATGGATTACCTGGCCAGTGTACCAGTCGTAAAAGAAGTCGGAAGGAAAGTACGCATTCACGGATGTTTGACCCTTACCCTGTACGGGAGAAATCAGAAGTGCATTGCCGTAGAAGAACTGTGCTTCGTTGGAGAAGGTGTTCATGTCATTGGGGTAGATGTAAAATAATGGCTGAAGGAAAGGTTCTCCTGTTTCTGATTGTCTATGGAACGACGTGTATAGGTAATCTAGGAGTCTGTAGCGGATGTTTAAGATCTTGCGCGCTGCGTCGGCGACTGTGGGCCATCGATAGAATTCCTGTGGTATGTTTTGGATCTCGTTGTGGTTGCGATAGAATGGGTTGAATGCGCCCAGGGTTGTCCAGCGGGCACATAGTTCTTCAGCGGCGTTTCCTCCAAAACCGCAGATATCGGATCCTACCATGGGAATTTGGAAGATGGAGGCGAACTGGAGCATTTGGCTAATTGAGATGCGGCATTGGTCCCATTGACTGCGGTTGTCGCCAAGCCTGTGAGGGTTTAGTGAGTGTCTTTGATCTTACCTTTTTTGAAGGGCTTGTATGAACTTGGATTGGAGTATGCATTATATTGCATTAATACTTACCAGTGACCTACATGGGCGCCTGCGCCTGCAAATGTACTTCGAGCTATAACTAATGGTCTGGTTTGTGGACGACGCTGAAGCATAGCCTCGCGAGACGCGGAGCTCATCACTGTTTTGTTTCGCGTTAACAGATGGGTTGAGTAAACACGGTCTTCAGAGTAAATACGCCGACTTACTCGTTCCATAAAGGTTATGAGTATCATACTCCGTATACCCCTTTCCTAAATGTACAAGATCCGTATCAATAGTCTTATTACTCAGAGATCCAGCCGCATTGGCAATCTGATATTGAGGCTCAATCAGATCACGACTGGGTAATCCGATCTTCTGACCTTTAGTATCGCGATTATCGCGAGGACCCAAGCCAGAAGACCTTCTAACATGCAAACTACCTTGAGGCTGGAAATCATTGGGAAATCCAGGTAATGGACGGGGTGGCTGGCGGGCTGGTGGAGGAACTGGCGGTAGGTTATTCTGCTGGGCGTAATCGAATGGATCTTTATATGGCCAGGCGCAGAAGTTTGAGGCTTCGTTCATGTCTATCCAGAGGCCGTCGATGTCGACGCCGTAGTCTTGTTGAAAAAGCGTTGGAACTCGTTGTTCCACCAGGTTTGGGTTTCGGGGTTGAACCAGTCTGGGTAGACTGTTACGCCGGGCCAGACAGCACCTATGAATCAATATTATATGAAAATGAGTGTTTGTTTGGTTTTGTGGGGATTATAGCTTTTCGAGTTTAAGCATACCCTCGTAGATCGTGTTCTCCTCTCGACTTAGGATGACATTGCGGACACGGCCGTGATTGTAGGCTTCATTATCTAAGACGCGTGAGCAAGTAAAATATCTTATTTATGTTCTGCTTCTCAGATCATACTTACCGATATCACTGATGGCAGGGTCCACCATCACAATATAATGCTGGTTATGTTTATGGAGATAATTCACCAGTTCTGTCATCTTCTCCAAGGGAAATCGCAGAAGATCCAGCGTAAATACCCTCCGACTAGCCATGTAGTCTATATCCGTCCACATTGTCTCAAGAGGAATATGAGCGCGACTATAGTTATAAACGACTTCAGCAACCTCATATACATCCCGATATCCATATCGGCATTGATGGAACTAAAAAGAACAATCAGTTGTGGAACATCTTTCATCTTGGAACCCAAAATCATAACATGCACCCAAGGCCCAATAGCTTTGCATGGCTGGTAAGCCCACCACCTCGGCGTACTGCATACTGACATCCTTAGGGGTAGGACCAGCCAGAAAATAAAGGTCAATGACACCACCTAATGTATTATATTCCAAGAATTGCTTTCCGTCATAAAGCGTATCGATCTTTATATCCATTCCATTGGAGTTTAAGAAGAACACACCATGGGTACCTGCATCACCACGATGATCCACATAAATAGGATGATTACCGTATAGATTTGTATTTGATGGAATACCGTACGTATCACGGCTCCAAAAAGTACGTGTATAGCTTGTCGTTGGTAGGCGTAGCGAGTCAGAATGCTCGCCTAGACCATATAGATTTGGATTATCCGGTAACCAAGCCCGAAGATTAAGAGATTGACTCTCAAAGACAATATTGGTATCTGTTGTATCAAAGAGGATTTGGTCTCCGCGTAGAACTCTAAAGCTGAATGGTTGTGGTTGATAATCGAAGCGGATAGCAGGGTTACCACGATGAGAACTTGAAGCCTTGGGAGAGGAAGATGGGCGAGGTAGAACAGTTTCAGGAACTTGATAGACCTCTTCGTTGGCATCGTGGATAATAACATGAAGCCGATTATCTAGACTCGGACAAGGCTGAGGATTAGTGGTCCTGCGTGCACATTATGATGGGGCCGGGTTATACTTACCAGTCTGGTACTCCACGAGTAACTTTAAATTTCGCAAATCCGATCCATACAAATCACAAGCGTCACCAGCCAAGACTAGATCTGCCGTTAGAGAGTGAGCATTCTCAATGATGTTTATTGAACTATAGCCTGGGCACTGGTCGGCAGTATCAGTGCGGATTCCAATGGCTGCCGCCCCGGCAAGAGAAAATTTCAGGAACAGGAAAAGCCCTCGCATGTTTAGAATCCAACTGTAAACCGTTAATGTAATGTAATGCTGAGATTCAAACAATATATCTTAGGTGGTAAATTGGTAAATTGGTCTGGATCAAATAAGAATGTTGAAAGAAGAGATGGTGAAGAAGGATAGAAGCGAGAACTTCAAGCGAGAAGCCCAGAGAGCGTAAGTGCCATCTCCGATTCTTTTACACAATTGTATGACCGCCCGTGCAAAGATCAAGTGGTCAGATTGAGCTTCCTGTTGACATGGTCTAACATCTGCACTACCCTTCTCCTGCTTGCTAGGTCGGGAAATGGTTGTTTGTGACTAATCTGCAGGGTCCATGGCTGATGTGACGTTGAACCCTCAATGTGCAAGTTTGTTGCATATTGTTTATATCTTATTTCTTCGATCTTGTGATTGTATAATTAGGAATATGAATAGATGGGAAGTTGTCAATTTGAGTGTAAGATTGAACAAGATTGGTCGCCTGGATGTTGATGGCCATCGATCCTGGGATATTTGAGGGTAATAATTGACATTTCTCACGTTAGCATAACCACTTACTATTGATTATTAGCCGATGTGGATCTCATAGCGGAACAGTTCGTGATGTAAGCTCGCGGAAGTAAGATGCGTATCTGTGATCTAATATCGTTGACTTCAGATTATTGTGTATTGGTACAAAGAATGACGGCGCTGAGTATAGTATCAAGTATGTTCTCGTCAGCAGCGATCTGAAAAGGTTTCGTTCACGAGATCGTTCTTAGATTTCCCGGTGCCATTCGCTTGAATGAGTTTTCAGTTTTCATATGTCAGTTGTTAGTGATGTCAGTGGGTAGTACAGATTGATAGATATTGATAGCTCCGTCGGCGATTAGGGCTCTGTCCAAGGTTAAAGGATAGCCATTGGAACGACCACTGCTGTCAAACTGACGAGCTGGTATTTCTATATGGATCTATGTGTCTCCGAGGAATTTTCTCACCCGTGAGAAGGACCCCGCATCGCGAATACTCCATAATCCGACTCAGTGTGAGATAAGATGATCGGAGGATTAACAAACTTTTCAAAATCCACCAAGACCTTGTCTGTCAATTACCCACATGAAAAACCCGTATTGATAATCTTGGGCATATTCAATCATGTTTCATCTTATATTTCTCAATACAAACTGTAATATCTTTCAGCACTAATTCCACCACTAGGCTTAAAGCTACACCACCCGTAACAAACCATCGAAGCTTCATCATCATCAATCCCAGAGCCTGAAAAATCAATATATCTCAAGTGATTCGATTTATCTATAATAGCGTTGTGGCAACCGATGTCCGCGTGTACGAGCCCTTTGCTGTGTATGCATACAAGGCCCTCAGCTGCTTCTTCGGCCCAATTTAGCTTGAGATGAGAGGGATGAATGTGAATGCTTCGACGTTTTGGGTTTCAAGGAGCTCTCGTGACATGTTCCGCGTTCTAATTGGAGGGTTCCTCCGTATACTTCGTGATGGGCTATTCACTCGTGGTGTCCGAGGCGTGCGTAAGCGCGAATCTCTATTTCAAAGGCTCGGCGCTCGTAATCTCCTGGGAATGGGATTTTTATGACGTGGTTCTTGTCAATGGTATATAACGCGGCCATTTTACCTGCTGCGAGGAATTAGTTGGTTTGGGTATTGGGGATAGAAGAAATTGCTAGTCTTGTACTGAAGGTAGTAGATGGAAAGGTACCAGCGGTCTAAGGCTTACGCATGGAAGATGAGATACATGGAATCACGTGTGTTTTGAAGCAGGTTGGCGAGCTGCAGGAAGTTGATGCCGAAGTTTTACACAGGGGAACTGTTTGTTTGGTCATTCACCTGGGTAAATTTTCAGCTGTTGCACATGTGGTGACATTGATTGATGGCGTCCGGGTAATTAGCTAGAGCCGACCCACAGGTCCTCAAGCCATCAAGGTACTTAAATTATACATAATCTCATTTACCTTATCTTATTCTGTTTGCTTCTTCCCCTCTTTCATCATCTTTCGTATCGGGAGAATTTAAGCCTACGCCCTCCAAATAAAATTGAACAAGGAATAGGAAATTCATTTCGTGGTCTCTCTAATGAGCCCAAATGGGCAAGTTCTAGATATCATTAAGGGGAATTCGTCAACACATCATCTCTCACAGGCTGTGTCCAGCCTCAGCAGCCTTGACATCCTCCTCCGAACTCATAATCTGCACCTTAATAGCACCAGTCTTAGGATCGGCAGCCGTCTCAAACGCCTTAAGAGCATCCTCAATGGTATAACGGTGAGTCACCAACTTCTGAAGATCAATCACACCATTCTGCACCAGGCGAATAGCACGAGGCCAGGTGTTGCTGTAACGGTACTGGTACTGCAGATCGATCTCCTGGGTACTCAAACGCATAAAGGGAATAGTCATCTCATTCTTTCCAACACCAATAACGAAAACCTTGCCACCGAACTTAACACTCCAGATAGCAGAGTTAACACTGCTCTCAACACCAGTGCACTCCAGAGCCAGCTTGGGGCGCAGCGCATTAGGGCCAGAGCCCTGTCCATCGTTCAACGCATTGATGATACCATCCGCACACTCCTCGGCGCTCTTACCACGCTCAACCTTGTAAGTGCGGACCTCTGGAGCCAAGCTCTTAGCGAATGCCAATCGACCCTCGTCGATATCGGTAATGACAATTGGACAAGCACCGGCGGCGCGTGCGCTGAGCAAGCTGATCAGACCAATTGGTCCGGCGCCGGTGATAAGGAGGGCATCGCCGAGGCGCAGCCCGCTGCGCTCAACAGCCGCGAGGGTAACGCTCAATGGCTCGAGAAGGGCTCCGTTCTCGTAGCTCATGTCGCCGATCTTGTGGCACCATGTTGCGGGGTGGTTGACGTATCGGCGCAGCAGACCGTCGACGGGTGGGGTGGAAAGAAAGTCGACTTTCTCACATCCGTTGTAGCGACCTGTTAGGCAGGGCTCGCAGGCATTGCAGATGATGTTGGGCTCGATCGCGACACGGTCGCCTAGCTTGAGGGATGTTACGTCGGACGCGACGGCGACGATCTGTCCTGCAGATTCGTGGCCCAGGACGTGGTCGCCGGTAACGATCATAGGACCAATGCAGCCTGCGTGCCAGAAGTGGACGTCGGATCTGGAAATTGGAGAAAGAAAATCTAGGTTAGATGTTTTCTTTGGTTGAGTTTCACCCCCACGTTTCACCATCATCTTTTCCCCCGCGGGGGTTGAAGGAGACAAATGATCTGTATGGAGGAGGTATTTCGAGTAGAAAGAAGGCTTACCCGCAAATTCCAGTGCTGCGCACCTCAATGGTGACCTCGCCAGGCTTCAGACCCTTGCCAGACTGAACATCCTCGACCTTGGGAGTGGTCTCCGCAATCCACAAGTCATGCTTGGGGTTGGTGTACACACCAATGTTGGTTTTGGTAACAGTTGTTGCGGAAGACATTGTGTGAAGGAGATGAAGAGGTGAAGAGGGAGAGAATGAATGAAAGATTAAGAAGAAAACCAGGAACAGCGCAAGTCTTTATTTGCAATTCGAATTTTAATCTGTTCAGGTGATCTGGTGATTTGTTACATCTCTCCCCTCCCTTTCTTTCCAATTAACCCCCCCTCCGTCATACAGACTAGAGTAACTGGAGTAAAAAAGTGGAGTTGAGGGGCACCGATTTAACCGCCGCGGGGTGAACTTGCCCGAACGCGTCTTTAGTAGGAAATCTGTTCCCGCCTTACTCCACGCTGTATCCCACTCTAGACATTGTAAGTGATGTAAGTCTGTCGGGCCGAGTCCGACGATCGGCTCTCGGTTAAAATACAATCCCAGTCAATTTGCCTGCAATCTAACGACCGTAGTGCAGTACCATTAGCAGTTGCTCCATAATCGACGCGGAAATTTTTATCTCACTCCATCCGTCCCGATGGTTTCTATCCAGCCTAATCTTAAATGCTGCTGAGTCGTGCTAGCCGTGCCACGTACACTAATCCGGCTACCCCGAATTAGTGTCCCCCACCGTAAAGGAAAATATCACCGTAAGGGAAAAAAATCACCAAATCTTCAATTTTTAACTACATAACAAAAGTATCGTGATAACTAATTACATCACCATTCGCACCAAGAATTTCTATAGATACCATACTATTTTAACCTCTAACAGGACCTTGGGAAGGTGTCTTTGCATCGCGTTTTTTAATCTCTCTTACCACTCGTCTTTCCTCTGCTGCATCTTCTTTCTTACACCACTCAGCAATAGATCGATTTGTATCTTTCACACGTAGAATACCATCATTTTTGAGGTTTAATAATTGTCTTTTAGTAGTTTTTTTAGCCCGCGGGGCTTGAATTTAGGCTATTTTTGCGATTGTAGTTGATACATTCTGGATAGCCTCAACATAAAAATTCATCTCAGTAAGGACTTACTCGAACCTCTGTTTTAATTTAGGGGTAATACCATCCAATTCCATTAGCAGAGCCAGTTTTTGTTAGCGTTTTTGAATATCTTCAATTATCTTTGAAGATATATTTTTAAGACTTAAAGATAATAGATTTTCTAGGGGTAGTAATAGTATATTCCAAAGGTTAATTGATATATTAAGAATCAGAGGAAGTATATCTTCTAGTGGCTTATAAATAATCTTAGCGTTAACTAGATAAATACCTCTTTCCCGGAAGGAATTGTAGTAAACTTACTATATTAAAGCTTTATCTCTAAAGCCTATAAGGTCTTCAAGAAATAAATTTTTATTAGCTATAATACTACTACCCTACTATAAAATAAGGTTATTTTGTTAACGAAAATAGGTCTTATAAGCCAAAAAAGGCTTACTATCTAAAGGTTAAATATAATTAATCTTATTTACTAGAAAGCAAAAAATCTTTATCCTCTTCTGTTCAGTATATATTAAGAATTCTATAGTTAAATAGAAGCTATAGCTATTAAGAAGAAGAATTCTATACTCTCTATATCTTATATAATACTATGTTTCTTAGTCAAATCTTTTAAGCTAAGATACTATAAGTTTATTAATTATATAGCCTTTTTTAGTAGTAGCTATTATTTAATTCTAAGATAAATTAGTATTATACTATAACTCTATTTAATAATATCCTTTAAAGATAATAAATAGTTCTATTCACCAGCTATTAGCTGTAATATACTCAGCGACTATCACTTACTCTCTATATTCTTCACTAGTAAGATAAGGAATTTTTAATTAATAATATATAAAGACTTTCTAGGTTTATCCTTAGCTAAGCTAGAAGCTAGTCTTATTAAAATTATAGATAAGTCTCTTAGATATACTGTTTATAATATTGGCTAATAAATCATACTAATACTATAGGATAGTGATATCTTTATTACTTATTCTCTTTAAATCAATAACTTTCTAATATCTTAGCCTAAAACTATCCTCAGAATTATTATTATCTTTAGAGAACCTTTTTATAAATCGATAGACCTAGTTTTTACTAACTATTTGATCTAGTGTTGTCGATTAAGTAAGACTTATATTTACCTACTATTCTATAATATTTGGTGTCAGTGGAATAAATACATCGTCTAATAACTTGATCTAATGTATTAAAGCAGCTTCCTGCGTATCATTTAAAGCCTTATTCGTAGGTTTTCGTTGGTTTCTAGGCGTTGAATTTTTATGGACGCGAGTCCACAAAACTTTAGGCGAAATCCTATATTCCTCAGTAATACGCGATAAATTTGGCTTTTCAAGGGTAGAGATATATCCAATAGCCTCTTCCATATAATATTCCTTATTTTCATAGAAATCGGCCATAGTTAAGGATGTGAAATTGATGGAATGGGGTGGGTGAAGAGATTTTTTCCCTTACGGTGATATTTTCCTTTACGGTGGGGGACACTAATTCGGGGTAGCCGGATTAGTGTATGTGGCACGGCTACCATTTGCGGGTTAAATTCCCCAGATGGGGAAATTTCCCGGCGGCGGTGGAAGCACTGATGGAAGCACGGATGGAATGTGTGTGGAGCTAATGGCGTTTTCTGGGGCTACTCCACATTCAAAGAAAGAGAAGCCACATACAGCACAGAGCTGGGCTCTTATTCGTATTTCAGAGCAGTTGACTCGTCACTGAGAATTGGAGGCTGTTTTAGCCATATGTACTAGGGTGTTAGAGCTTATGGAAGTTCTTTTAGTCTGTATGTGTGTATATCATATGACTTGAACCCTTCCAAAGCCAATATTTGGTGGCAGCTTCAAGTTCTGCCGGTATGAAAGTCACATGGAGGTACGAAATTACTAGTATTAACAGGCACGGGTGCGCACTGGTATGTGTCTACTGTCTTGAGCCCTGTAAACCTTCAATTTAAGGTTATACTAATACAACCCAGTTTCAACTGCTGCGACCCCTCGGAACAATCCAATTCTACTACATGGAGTTATCGCACATTAAGTCACCTGGGCAGTGGTGCCAATAAGGTATTGGTCGAGACACTAAATTTCGTGCCAAACTCTTTATGCACATATATTTTATACACTTCTCCAAAAACAAGTCGAAAATAAGTTTTTCTTACTGGTGGATTCCCAGATGATTTCCAGGCTGATCGTCGCTCACCTACGTACTAGTATTGGGTTTTACTGGTTGCATGTCATATGCAGGATAGATCTAGTACGACGATCTAGTATCTCGTACTGAAATGGAAGAGTATATGTATTTTTTATTTTTTGATCATACAAAGAATACGAATGTACGTTTTTTGGAGAAAAGCTAACTGCCTGACGTTTTTGTTTTCAAAACAATTTATAGACTAGTCGATCCGATTTAACACCAACCAAAAAATAGCAACAGTGATGCTGGCCATTTTATCACGGCATTTACCTATCCACTTACGCAACATAACCTATCAAAGATACGTATCTATAATTCCAAAATATCTCTACAACTCACACCATTAGTACTTCTTTTCCATCAAAGCAACGACTTTCGGGCGTTTCTCATCCCATTCATCCCAAACAATAGAATGAATAGCAGTATGTCTCCCCAGTAATTCCCCCGTAGTCCCATTCCGCTTCTCAAGAGCTTCAACAGGAACCCCCAGCGAGAAAGCCCGATGCCATCGTAAAGTACCCTCGAATTCGAACCCCATTCGCAATGCCGCATTACGAGACGCGATGTTCTCAGAATGACTTTTCCACTCTACGCGACGTAGACCTAGCCCACCAGCTGGGATTGGGTCAAGAGTATACTGCAGTAAAAGCCCGACGGCGTTTGTCGCGATATGTGTACGCTGGAAGGACTTGAAGATCATGATGCCTATCTCGGTGATTGAGTTGCTCTTATCGGTGTTTGTCAAGGCTATGGTCCCCGCGTATGCATTTTTCTTTTCGGGGTCTGTAGTGGAGGCTTGAATTTTGGATTTGTCTATTATGGCGTAGAGGCATTCACCTGGTGCGTTGTGGAGGGGCGTGTATATATCTTTGATGAACTGTTCTTCTGTTTCGGTTTGGGGAAAAGCGACGTATTTGATTAGGTCTGGGTTGGATTTGACTTCCTCGAAGAATTTTGCTATATGGATAGTTTGCTGCATATGTCCGGTTGAGATCAGCTCTACTTCGTTCAGCTTGTGTGATGGGGTAGAAACGTACGTCAAATGGCTCCAATGAGATGAGATCGTTCTCTAAGCGTTTCTGCTCGTAGCAAAACTGTCCTATTGCCATGATGATGTCCTGATATATAGTCGTATGTCTTCTTAGCTATTGCGAAGGTGGATGATCAATATCAAATTGTTGAGCAAGATTATATTTGTCTATGTACCCCTCTCCTCGGCTTTCCCGCCCTGCTTACTCCGAGTCTCCTTTAAGTCTAGAGTCGAGCGAGCCTACTCTTGCGACTTGATAAAGTATCTCGCTGCGCAAGCAGATCAAGTCTCAAAGTCAGAGGGCATAGATCAATGCGTGACTGAGCATCTGGACAAATTCAGCGATCCTAGAAGATTCCTCTCGTCCTCAATTGTTAATCTCAAAATATAGATCTTGGACTCCAGTTGGAGTGTAGACGGGTGCCCCACTTCAAGTTCGTCCCGCAATAACGTCCGTTTCTGTAGGCGGTGTGACCTTTTTCTTCGCGGTGAGCATCACGTGATAAATATATCCTGGTAAAAAATTCCGCGGCTCCAAATTTTTCTTACTAACCTCACTACACCCCCAAAAAATAATTTGGCCGTGATCCTTCCTATTTGGAGAGCCTTTTTAACACAATGTCATCTGAAAACGCAGGTGAGTCGACTTGATCTCCAACCGAACATATTTTGGATTCAACTGACAATCTGCTTAGCATGGCCCATGGCCGACGAGGCTCTGTCCCAGGAGATTCTGGACATCCTTCAGCAGGGTACTCACTCTCGCCAGGTCAAGAAGGGTGCTAACGAGGGTAAGCCACATATTCTCACTCTATTCTCTACCTCTCACTAACTCTGAATAGCTACCAAGGCTGTCAACCGCGGAGTGTCCGAAATTGTGATCATGGCCGGTGACACTACTCCTCTCGCTATCGTCATGCACCTTCCCCTCCTCTGTGAGGACAAGAACGTCCCCTACGTCTTCGTCCCCAGCAAGATCGCTCTCGGCCGTGCCTGCGGTGTCAGCCGCCCCATCATCGCTGCTAGCATCAACTCCAACGACGCTAGTGATCTCGCTGCCCAGATCCGCCAGCTCAAGATCAAGGTCGAGAGACTTGCTATCTAAGGCATCTAATACCGTATCTCGAATCCGATCTACTTGGTGCCTACGTTGGAACCCCTTCGGGGTTTGGTAGGCGGGAGCCTTTAGCTGCAGAATCCATATCTAGTCTGATTTGCTAGGTAGATTCACAAATTAAATCGATCGTGGTTCGTGCCCTTAGCTGGGTCCACGCCACTTTATTCAATACTTAGTCACTTTCTTGAATAAGAGTAGATATGTCAGTTAATTAGCTACATACGTAAATGATTTAAACCTCAATCTTTAAACTAAAGTGCCAAGAAAGTAGATTACAATGAATCATGCAAATTTCGATAGGAACAAAGGCTTATCGCTAGCGCAGCCTCGTGATACCGTTATCTCCCCGCACCATCTCCGCCCAACCGCATTTTCATCCTAGAGCTCAGCACTCACCATCATGCCCAAAGCTAAAAAGTCAGATCAAAAACCTCAAAAGACCTCCACAGCCGCGCCATCAGGTCCTCCCGAACCCAACTGGCCACCGCTCCGTCCCCTCCTTCCCGCCGAAGACCTCGCGCTGGAAGCGTTGGTCCCAGATCAGATTTATTTGATTCGCAATTTCTTACCCGGTTCGCTCTGTAAGAGCTATGCCTCATTCCTTGCTTCGCTCCCTCTCACAACTACGCCGGGTAAACCGAAGAAGGATGAGGCGGTACGGGTGAACGATCGGTTTCAGGTCCAAGACGCACGGTTTGCGGAGACGTTATGGAGTGGGACTGCGATGAAGGAGCTTGCGACGACGCGCTTTGGGGAACATGATGATGACGCATATACTAGTGATGGGGAGCCTTTATCTTCGAAAGAGAGGGAGGTTAAGGCGCAGAAAGTCTGGGGTGGAGAACCGCTGGGATTGAATCCTAATATTCGTATCTATCGATACTCAGCAGGGCAGTTCTTTGCACAACATTGTAAGTTTGAGAGGTCCTTATTGCGTAAACAATTATAGCCAAATTGTTAATATGTTCTCGTTCTTCTAGATGATGAATCAAATGCTTTGACCTTCCTACCCCAATCCTCTACCAAGGCTGTTCCCGCCCGAACGACTTGGACTCTTCTTATATACCTTACGGCATGTTCTGGAGGCGAGACGATCTTTTATCCCGATCCGACACGAGAAAATCGAAATCCAAAACCGATATCTGTTGCGCCAGAAGCTGGAATGGCATTATTACACCGGCATGGGGATCATTGTATGTTACATGAAGGAGCAGAGGTGACTGGTGGAGAGAAGTGGGTGTTGCGGAGTGATTTGGTTGTTGGGCGATAGCACTAGCTCAGGCTCATAACTATTAGTAGTAAGAGGAGCATTAAAAGGAGTTGGGATCTTTAATCGGAATTGACTGATTGCACTATTTTCCAATTAATTTTTTGTCGTCATTTTCAGAAGCTGCTGAATTTATCCCAAAAAGGTCATAAAATGGCCCCATTTCTTCAAATATTGGAATATCATTTTTAGACTCATCCATCTTCTATATATTGATCCGCATTTTAAACAAATTATTTGCGCCTAGATTGTCCCTCTCGAGTACTATAGATAGTACTTAAGTCTCAACGAAAACATGCGTTCTATTCTATCTTGTCTTGCATCACTGATTTCTTCGATGGCACCAATTTTTATGCTTAATGGGTATCCAAACGCTCACGTGAATATTACAGCTCTCTTTTCATATGAACATAATCCCGATCTTAGCTCGACAAGTTCCCATCAAGCAAAAACCAAGTTCGAGGTTCAAGTGACTTATTTTATATGAATTAAACTCAATCAACACTATAAGTTACTATTGAGATATTGGTATGCCAAGAATATTTGTCAATTTATCCAGCATTTATTACTATATTTGCATTGTTAACACAACACTGGAGTCCGAATAGGATTATACAGTCTAGTATCTAAGATATTTTCGTTTTTGTATAATAAAATGGTTGATCTGGATTATTCACCTGTTGCAATAGACAAATAGCCGTGTTGCCGTAGTTATGGCTCCACTACCACATAACCGGCCCCACAATTTTTCTTTCACAAAAATAATGAACCCTCGCTTACGAGGGTCCGCCACCCATATGGAACAGATCACCCAAATGGAACATTTTTGCTAAATCGTACTACAACTACTATTTACCACACCACCATATAGTTAATTAATTAACTAAAAATAATAAACAAATCAATCAGCCATTTTAATATTAGAATACAAAATCAAGTTAATTTCCCCGGCGTTTTTTGGCTCTTCCATGCTTCCTAATTTCAACCAATATCTTCTTCCACTTCCGCTTCGTCTTTTCTTGATCGGCTTTTTCAGTCAATTTATATTCTTTTAGCTTCATTTCTTTGATCTGGCTTGAATTGATAATACCAGTGATTTGCGTATAACGGCGAGAAGCATCATACCTAGCGTGACGTGCTCCCATAATAGCTTGTGTAGAATCGAATTCCCGTTGCAGTTAGACAGCCAACATTGCCTGAGTCTCAGCACCCTTTACAAGCTTTGCTAGCCCTTCTTTAAAACGTTCAGTAGTAGGATCATATTGATTAATACGATCGCTAATTCTTCGAACTCTCTCAGCGGTTTTTGGGGTGCTAAACTCAGTATTTTGTGAGTTAACTGATAGTGTATCTTCCCGGGATATATTATCATAATATGGATCGTACGAATCCAATTCATCGGTAATAAGCTTAGAATTAATTGGCCAAAGGCCAGTTAATTTAAACCCAAGCTTGATTATATGTGGCCGGAAGGTTTTGCGTCTAATTTCACTGATTAAATGTAGGAATTCATCCTTTGAAAATTTACGGCATCCAGTCATTGTAGCCGCCTCAACTGCCTCACTATACCAGTGTTTATATACACTAAACACTCCAACATCTAGAGGTTATAGTATATGGCTAGTATGTAAGAGTAAGAAGAATAGAATGATATCATTCTTCTCACAAAATTCAACAAATTAACGCGTTAAATGTGATCCAAAACGATCGCATAAAACTAGCCTCTTTTTCCCAATGGTACGAGAAATTGTCTATTTATAAAACAGCTGAATCCATTGATATGCTAATATATTATTGATATAGCCAGTATCAGTTATAGCAAGATGCTCATCGTCTTCAATTTTATCAAACCAACGTAGTAATGCTTGTTTAGCGCTTAGAATAATCAGCGGTGGGCATATAAAGCCATCAGCCGAAACAGCCTCTAAAACAGTAATAGACTCGCGATTGGTAACTAAGCCATTAAATAGCTTCTTTTTTGGATGTCTTATAATAATAAATTGATCGCGACCGACACCAATTTGGAAGCCAGTTTCGTCAAAATTGTAGATATCTTGTTGACAGATGCTATATTTAGCCACTATACGTTGATAGTCTTAAAACCATCTCTCTATAACGGATTTATCCAGTACAGTAGCTCTTTCAACATCAAGAGCTCGCCGACGTCGTATATAGTACTTAGGATACCGTTTAAGAAAACGCTTTAGCCAATGGTCGCCAATTTGTGGGGGATCTGTGGTGGTGTCGGTATGATCTTCTTCCAGAATTGAATCGGCAGCAATAGCAATTTGACGGCGATTTATTGATGCTCCGACCGCATCAAAATAATCAATATATTCACATAAAGCCTTCTCCTGTGCAATACTAAGCTTCCGGCCATTAGGTTGTCGTTGGAAAAGCGATTTTCCACCTTGCCAGCGCCGACGAAGACGGCCTTCAGGAACCGCGAATTCTCGCGCAGTCTTCCTAATATTAGGCTTAGATTGCTCAGAGAGAGACTCTATTGCCAGCTGAATCTGGTTCTCTATATCTTTATTGGTTTTAGGCATTGTTGGTGGTGTGGTAGATGATAATAGTGGTTGTGGTAAGATTTAGAAAAAATGTTCCATATGGGTGATCTGTTCCATATGGGTGGCGGACCCTCGTAAGCGAGGGTTCATTATTTTTGTGAAAGAAAAATTGTGGGGCCGGTTAGTGTCAATGCAGGAACATCAAAAGAATAACACTGTTCAACACATTTGATTCATGGATGTCTTTTCTTATCAATTAAATGCATCATTCACATCTGAACCCTGAAAGATATTCATACAGTAAAATCGAGTAGTTTTTAATTCATATCAAATTTGTTTACATTATGTCGACCCAGGCACATTTCTAGGAGGCGACCACGTGATCACCATTCCCTGAAGTTCCCGAGCCGTCAATCCGCAGATTCTGGTCTCCGTTATTGCGCCAGACTAAACCGCCATTGGACCCCCTTGTCCTTCTACCAGCGACTGCTTTGAGTGACTTGTGTCTGGATCTTGTTTTCGCTCCTTCTCTACTCCCCGCAACTCCTCCAAGATGCCTGCTGCCACTCGTGCTGTCCTGCGGCAATCGCAGTTCCTGACCCGCAGAACCGCCGTCAGACACGCCTCATCTTCCTCCGAGAAGGCCACCCAGGCTGCCTCTAAGGCTCAGGAGGGTCTCTCCAAGGCTACTGCCGCTGCTGGTCCCGCAATCTCCAATGCTGCCTCTGCCCTGCGCAAGGTTGGCGGCCCCGTCGGCAAGGTTGTTTCGTTCGTCGACTGTAAGCAACAAATCCCTCTCTTGATCTCTCAAAATTCTGCATTGAAAAAGAAAAAATGGATGTCATGGGCTTCATCTATGGAGGAATGCTGGGATTATCATTGTCACGATGAGACTTCGTGCGAGGATGGAATCCGGGGCCTCCTGGATTGACCTGGAAACCATCTAATTTGACCATTGCAAGTTTGTCTGTCGTTACATATCGCTAACATCGAATCTTTCCTTTTAGCCATGATTCCACCCACTCTCTACTACTCTCGCGTCGGTCTCGAGCTCGGCAAGCTGGTTTTCCGTGGCCAGAACATGTCTCCCCCGTATGTTCACCCCCAAGTGTCGCATCAGTCACATTTTCTCGTTTGACTCCCTTCGGTCGTACCATTCAATTCTAACTATATACCCAGTAACATGGCCACTTTCCAGTCCTACTTCCAGCCTTTGATCAACCTCTCCCGCAACCCTGCTGCCCTGAAGTCCGTCAACATCTCCCCCGCGAACTTCCTCGCCCGTGTCCGCAACGCTAGCCCTAAGGAGCTCGCTCTGGCCGGTGTCACCGCTGCTGAGGTTATTGGTTTCTTCACCATTGGCGAGATGATCGGTCGCATGAACATTGTCGGTTACCGCGGCGAGGTTGCTCACCACCACTAAATCCGAAATATATTCGTCCTTTCCCTTTTTCCTTTGTTCGCCTTCCCCCATGTGCGTTGAGCTGTGTATGATAGACGATGGAAAATAAACTGTTGTCTGAGATAGAATCATTGTTTGATAATTCATTTCTTTAAGTTTTCAAAAACAGTACAAGTTTGATGTTTAGCTGTCACTTCTTTCTTTAGCACTTGTAGTTGGTTGTGTACCACCACACCAAAGACTTTTTTCTCCTTCCTCTGTTCTTTCCCCCGCTTCGTAATCCATGATGGAAAACCACCAGCTCTTAGTTGTTATGCTTCTATGCCTCACCATTTATCACTACTGGAGTTTAACTTCTATCACTATTTCCGCCTTCATGTTCTACTGCGCCCTGTATCGCGTCTATAATCCGCGGCACTGATCGGCCTGTCCAGCCTTAAACATGATTGGCCCGGAAAGGATTGCGGTGGGTCAACTTTTTTCTCTTCCGCCAAAATATCAAAGTCCGCAGTTGCAACTTCGAAAACTACCACGAACTTCCAACATGGATGCATTCAGACTATTAACGAGGTCGACGAAATTCAGCAGGCCGACCGCTGCGTCGAATGCAGAGTCGAATTCTCGACTGCCGTCAACTGGGAAAGCAGCAAACCCGCAACTCTTCCGTACCGCGGAAGGTGAAAAGCTTGAATCCGCGCAGAATGGAAACAAGAGAAAGCGTGCAACTGGTGCTGCCGATGATGAAGAAATAGAAAATGACGCTGCTGATTTGGACTTCTTCCATTCCAACAAGCGCGCGGCGGCGCCTTCGGCTGGAGCTGCAACCCAAGCTAAGCACGACCAGGGCCAGCAAGCTGATCAAGACCAGTCTGATGAAGAGGATGGCATGGATGAAGTGCAGCGCCGCACTATTTTGAACTCGCACAAGATCAAGATTACCGATCTTCGTGACCTGAATGATATTCAGCCCCAAGCTACCCCAGCCAAGAGCTCTAAGGACTCGAAAAAGAAAAAGAAGTCCAAGAAGGAAGAAGCGCCGGTTCTTAGCAAGAAGGAGCAGAAGCGCGCGCGACGAATGTATCCCCAACCGCTTGTTTCATTCAAGGAGTTGCGTTCTAGATACAAGATCTCGTCACGACTCGCTGAGAATGTCGCTGAACAAGGATTTACTGTGCCCACTGAGGTGCAATTGGGCAGTCTTCCTATTTTACTCGGCGATTCCTCCGTTTCTACTGGCGATCAAAAGTCGGAGCCTGATTTACTAGTCGTTGCGCCTACTGGTAGCGGTAAGACTCTGTCTTTCTTAATCCCGGTGATTAACAAGATTGTCCGACACCACCACTCCTCGGAGTCAGAAGAGCATGGTATTTTGTCAATCGTTGTGGCTCCCACCAAAGAACTTGCAAGCCAGATTGTCAATGAGGGACGGAAGCTCGTGGCAGGAACTGGTGTCAAGATCACATTGATGAGAAAGGGCATGCGAGTCGTCGAGCGGGAAGACGAAGGCGAGGAAAATGTCCTTAACGAGGATAGTGAGGGGTCTGCTGAATCAGAGGCCGAGGATGAAGACGAAAGCAAACCAAAGAAAGCTCGCAACAATGCCCCTGTCACCAAAAGTGACATCTTGGTCACCACGCCTCTGATGTTGGTGAATTCCTTATCCGCGAATCAAACAAAACCCATGGCCCGCCTACCCTTAGTGCGAAGCCTAGTACTGGATGAAGCGGATGTACTATTAGACCCGTTATTCAGAGAACAGACACTGGACATCTGGCGCTCTTGCGTCCATCAAAATCTCCGTGTCAGCTTATGGTCTGCCACCATGGGCTCCAACGTCGAAGACCTCACCCAGTCCACAATCAAAGAACGTCTCGACAGCATTTCCTACTCTCCAGAGCAACCACACCCCCTTCTGCGCCTTGTCGTTGGTCTCAAAGACTCGGCAATCCCCAATATAGAGCACAAGCTTATCTACGCCGCTACGGAGCAAGGTAAACTGCTTGGGCTTCGACAACTCCTCCGCCCTGCCGCAGCCTCAGCCTCTGACGTCCGCCTTCGACCACCTTTCCTCATTTTCACACAAACTATTCCCCGAGCAATTGCTCTGCACTCCGAACTAAAATACGATATCCCAGCTGAAGCCGGTGGTTCTTCCCGCATTGCCGTCTTGCACTCCGATCTCTCTGATATCCAGCGATCAGAGATTATGCGCGACTTCCGCAAAGGCGAGATCTGGATCCTTGTAACGACCGATCTTCTCGCTCGTGGCGTGGACTTCCGCGGCATCAACGGTGTCGTTAACTACGATATTCCCAACTCTGCCGCTGTATATGTTCATCGCGTTGGACGAACGGGTCGCGCTGGTCGCGAGGGTGGTATTGCCGTGACATACTACACAAAGGAAGACATTCCCTACGTCAAGAGTATTGCCAATGTCATCGATGTTAGTGAGAAGCTTCGCGGGGGTGAGGGGGAGAAATCTATCCAGAAGTGGCTCCTCGATTCTTTACCGGATCTCAGCAAGAAGGATAAGCAGGAGCTCAAGAAGCATGGTGTCAAGGCTCGCCAGATCTCCAAGCATATTGGTGGCAAGGAGAAAGGCGATGGTAAAGAAGGAAAGGGTTCGCGCGCGGCTAGAATTAGCACTAAGAGTGGTTTTGAGCGAAAGTTGGAGAATCGCAAGAAGGGTGCGATTGCTGCTAGTCGGAATAGAAAGGCTGTAGCTACGACCGATGGGAATGAGAGTGCGGGATCTTGGAATGGGTTGGATGATTGAGGGATCGCATCCAATACAGGATGAGCTTCAAAAATAACTGGGTCGAATAAAGTTTGTACATCAATTTAATTACAAGGATAATTATCAATACATTCTTCGTCATTATCATTATGATTCTCGTTATCCTTTCTGCTCTCGACTTGTCGACCCTTTCCCTTGACTGGACTGCTTCTGTTGCTGTGGAGCAGGAAGTTCCTCTACAGGGCGCCTGACAAGATTCACTGGTACAAATGCACAATCTATCATCCCCTGTTCCTCCAAAACAGCCGCCAGTTCATCACCATCCCGATCGAAATAAAGCGCCCATTCCCCTTCCTCCTCCTCAACCGCTACAAATGCAACACTTTCCTCCAACGTAATTGTCTTTTCATCTTCTGTCCAATTCCACGGCCCAACAACATGATCCACGCTCTGCGTCCGATTCCCATACTTCAACTCATGCGTCTCGAAATCTGCATAGATCCAGTTCAAAAGCGGCGGATTCGCTGATACATAAGTTGGTAATCCTAGTCCTCGATCTAGGCCCTTTGTCTCATCGAGTTCTGGATACTCTATATAAAATGCTAGAGAAGTGAAGGCGGGATGGGTACGTTTGCGGGGATCCGGATCATCGAGATAAACCTAGTAATCATAGATTGTTATTATTGACCATGCACTGTGGCGAGTCGGGCTGCCTAATGTGATAGATATGTATTGATGCTCACCTTATCATTCCGAACAACTACTCTTCGTCCATTCACATCTCTATCGTCGTCTGTATCGCCCTCGCATACGGCGTCGATGTTGAACTTTAGCATTCGCCGCGCGTCTTCTTTGCGCTGGTTCGATTTCCGCTGCTCGCTGACTCCGAATGCGACGCCTGTGGTTGTCGGGATTGACGCGAGGGCTAATAGTCCGATGACCATTTTATTTTATTGCTTTGTGAGGCGTGGACGACTGTTTTCTGTTTTTGCGAGCTTTCTTTTCTTTGCTGTCGCAAGTTTTGGTCGACTGGGTTGAGTGGCTTGTTACGCCGATGGATTCATTAATCCTGGATATCGTACATTTCACCCAGTTGGATTTCCGGGTTGATTGTATGATATATTCGAGCACATGGGGATGGCGAATAGTTGACAGGTTTAATAAATTCAGAAACCAAGAAAATGCGTTGAGATTGATTTGGTTGAAAGTCTGGATCTATCAATGTGACACCGACGTCATCGGCGCCACGTGATGCTAGCATGGTGAATCTGCAAGAGTTGACTTTGACTGTAACATCAACTTGAATATGTTCATTATCACTCTGGAATCAATTATTCCAACTTGCTCATCTAATATGCAAAGTGTGTATTCGTCTTCTATACCTAGCCTTTAGCAGGTCTATCGTGTATCGTCTATGTCATTATATCATATGTTGCTGCGATCTAAATACCCAGGTCGCAGTCTAGTTATACCTTCTCGCTCCATCCCCAAACCGCCCACCAGCACTTGACAGCCAACGCATCTCCATCGGCACCCTGCCAGTCGTCATAACCAACCTCCTCGCCTTCTTCGATCACGCCAAGACCCAGCTGTGCCATCCGGTCGCGAAGTTCTTGGACCTGGGGCAGATACGCATCGCGCAATGGCATCTCAGTCAAGACACGAGCATCAAGACCACGACTAAGCCAGGCCCCAATTGTCTGTGCCAACCAGCCAGGGTGTTTTGGTGAATACAACGGGTCTGCGGCTAGAATCACGTCGAATCGTTCTTCGGCTGTTGGTTGCGGCTCTGGAACCTCGGACCAATCCAGGACGCCTGTTGTCACTGTCGCTTCGGTTCTGTTCATAAGCTCGATATTCAAGGCAGCGTTGTGCGCCAGGTTCGGTACAATTTCTGGTAAATCGGTCAGGTGGATTGTGGCTGATTTGCCGCGGAGAGCTGCAAATGCGAGACCAACGAGTCCTGTGCCTGAACCCAGTTCAAGGGCTCGCAGCTTGTTTGATGTGATTGAAATATCGGTTGGAGCTGAGGGCACAAGCTTTGGCGCCGAATCGAGGAGGTTGTGCAGTCGGCGTGAGAGCAGATACGAGGATACCCACGTCTTCATGCCCAGGTTGTCTGCTGTAAGGGATGGTTCGTGTAAGGTGAGGGTGTAGTCTTCGACAGAGCCTGTGGGAACATCGAAGACTCGCGACATGGCCGGCATAGCTAATCAAGGAAACATCCGTCAGCATGATATGCACTAATCAACGAGAAAACTAACGCAGTATCCAAATACTTACCGGTACGACCAGACCGCTCGCTCAACCGAGCAGCAGCAGCATCCCAAACAGCCTCTCGCAGCTCATCGGTTTGCAGCCATGATAGCGGACTGGAAATGATCTGGGTGAGGTAGCGATTGACCCCTGTCGGATGCACAGCAGGGCCTTTCACTGCCTCAGCGCTGGCTCCAAAGTTGCGAGGCTGCAAGGTCAATAGAGCTAATGCCTTTATAAGATCCGTGCCCGAGGGCGATTCGTAGACTTGGGGTAAATCAAGCACTGTTCAGAAAATACTCTTATCAGTTCCACTATCTTAGTGGGCCGAGGGAATTGTGGACTGGATGTGGATGGAGATTGGCATTTTGACTTACCGTGGAGTGGCTCGTCCTCTGTGGCACTAATCATGATTGCGAGTTTGGAGTTTATCAAATGCCCACCTAGAAGATTACTGTCTTGGTTTTGGGCTTTTATAGAAAATGGGGGGTTTTATCGGCGGAGCGCCTCCCCGATTAAAGATTGAAGGCACGCGCGAAAAAGAAAAATCCTATTGAGGAAAGGCGTGCTCCGGTTCCGCGGATCCACTTTTGCCTTATTTGTCAGGCTTCAAGGCTTCGTTAACTACCCCGTTCCGCAGTATCTCTCGCCTCGCGCGTAATACGAAAATAAGAAAGCCACGAAGGTATTCCGAATTGTTAGGCTTCAAAGCAAAGCATTAGATAGCAACGCGCGAAATGAGGCGGGTTCAGAGATCAGGATTAACCGGGAACTCAAATTCACGTCAAGGAGTAACGCACGAAGCAAGTCGGAGTATCGGCATCGAGAATTCACTTTTGTGCTGATCACTGTGGAAATGGTGTTCTTGATCAACAGGTTCCTTGGGGACCAGGGTACTCATGTATTCCTAGACTATTCCACCTATCCAGCTGGATGGGTACAGAATAGCAAGGATGAGTGCCTCCTGACCGAGATACCGCCCATCTGGTCCGGTTGCTCATTTGTTTCTTTTTGAAACACTGGTTGACGATTTGCGGTATGTTCTGTCGTAGGAAGGTTGGCAATGACATTGGGTAGAGACTCTTGCTCGGTCCACATATAATTGGGATTCCTCCAGTTGGTAAAGGAGGTCAATGTCCAGCTTGATTCGTTGAATATTTACCATGTGAGTAATCTGTAGTATTATTATTCATCCTCTGTTGAAGGCCACGTGGAAAGTGCGTAAGAATAAACATGAATGACTTTACTGGGCCACAGATGTACGCGATGTATTAATCAGTGCATCAAAGAACCTGGAAATGCGCATGATCGTTTCTGTGCTGTCGCTTGAGGGTTCCGTTTCGTAATAGCTCTTGTGGATTCTCCTGTTTATTTCATCTGTCCGCGACCCCAAAGTTTCCTTGTTTATAAATATAGATATCTCCGTGTCGTACTTATGTGTGCACTTAGCCGTGGGGCTAATATGCTTCTAAGCATTCATGATAGCAATGTTTGCTTTGCCAACACTCTTTCTTTTCAGATCTTTCATTTCAGCATCTTTGACTTGATCTGCCACTGAAGACTGTTAAGATTCGTAACTTATTGCAATTGATTTGAATTGATTGCAGGATGGCTTAAATGTAGGGTTAGGCTGACTCACTGAAAACATCTATCCATGTTTCAAATTCATACATCCTCTTGAGTAGAAACTTGTCGAATCACCATTGATTGATCCTCTGAAATGAATCAATTGGCTTTTTTTCGGACTCCTTCGAGGATGATTTGGTCTTGCCGGTAAAGGCATTGAGCTCTTCACCCAGGAGTGAATATAGAATAGGAATCAGCAGCTGACCGCACCGCCAGACTAGGTCGTAGGTGGAGAATCCTAACAAGACTGTAGAGTTGCCTGGTAAGAAGAGATAATGGGTCATAATTTGTGACATTAATAGGGACATTAAGGAAGCTGAAGAGGAAAGAGAGAAAAAGAGAAAGAGAGAGAGGAAGGAAGCGAGAAACGTATAAAGATATAGGCACCAGTGTCGTGCACGGGACTTCCACATCGGTATGTGCAAGATTGGATAACCTCATTTATGTATCATAAGGGCAGGCATTGAAATGACAGCCAACTTATAAACAGATTGGAGTATAATCACAATTGAAGAAGACTTAGGGGAAGAATATGAAGAATATCAGCTTTAAGTTAAGGATAGAGAAGTAGATGAGGACGATGGAGTTTCATCTAGTTGGATTTCTTGTTTGTGGCCTTGTGATTATCATTGTTTAGACTTCAATTTATAGTAAACAGAGTTACTTTAAACAAATTATGCAATAAAGTCGGTTGTTCTATCATCTATTCAATGCCTACCTAATATAAGGTTCAAATGTTGAATTGTTTAACGTGTTTGGGGGACAGGGGGTGAACAGATCTTACTACATGTTTTTTGAATTATCAGATTAAACCCCAGGCTTCAGCTCTCAAAATCAGCTGCTTCTAGTTATATTCAATTCAATGCAATACGTTCACCTCTCTATCTAGAATTTGCCCTTTATTTTACCTACCAGCATCCCAAAGCCTAATTCCTCAGGCTGCAGGCTGCAGGCTTGGCGGTGTCTAACTAGTTAACTGGTTACTTAGCACAATGCTAGCCGTCTGAGCACCCTTCCCCTTAAAGTTTGAAGTCAAGAACGCCCCTATCCCAGTATGGCGACGATTGCGACTGATCCTGAGCGATGGCGACTTGACGTCGACGGGGGTGTCCACCGTTGGCAATACATTGATGAGCCCTCATCCAAGCAGCATCCACAATCCGCGGCGGAGAAACACTTTCTGGGGTTACCCACAGTGCGTCCACGTGTAATACTCCACAAAATAACGATATCTACTTATCAACTTTCTAGGGATTGCCGCAACTTCCCACTGCTAGTGACTTTCGACAATCTGCTCGCAATGGATTCCAATTCTACAAAAGTCTCCAGCTGGATGATGGCCATTGGGGCTGCGCATATGGTGGCCCGAGCTTCTTACTTGCGGGCATGGTGATCGCGATGTATATCACTGAAACCGAGATTCCATTGGAATGGAAAACCGAGATTATTCACTACTTGAGTGAGACTGTCAATGGAGATGGTGGCTGGGGGTTACATTCTGCTGGTGATTCGACAGTTTTTGCAACCACTCTTTACTATATCACACTCCGGATATTAGGTCTTGAGTCGACGCATCCTTTGGCTACTAAGTCTCGCGCCCGTTTACATGCCCTAGGTAAGGCCCTTGATTTCTGCTTATGATATCAGTGCTGGACTTATCATGCTTATAGGAGGGGCAATTGGAAACCCCCAATGGGGAAAGGTCTGGCTAGCATTATTGAATCTTTACAGTTGGAGTGGAGTGAATCCAATCCCTCCTGAATTCTGGTATGATTCAATCCCAGCTTGTTCCAATCTATCCCACGAGCTTATTATAAAATTTGTCTCAATCTAGGTTACTTCCTGACTGGGTTCCATTCCATCCATGGCGTTGGTGGGTTCAATGCCGTGTCGTTTATCTACCTGTTTCGTATCTTTATGCAAACAAGGTTGTAAAACCTCTGGACTCTCTTTTGATTAATCTTCGCCAAGAAATATACACATGTCCATACGAGGAGATCAAATTCGAGCAGTGTGGGAATACTGTGGCATCTATTGACCTGAAGAAGCCATTATCTCTGCTACTTCGTATGGGCAATATTCTGCTACGTTGCTGGGAACAATACCTTCGGCCAAATTGGATTTCTCGATGGGCGGATGAGCGGGTTTGTGCGTTAATCACACGTGAGGATGAAAATACGTCTTACAACTGTCTGGCTCCGGTTAATAAGGCTTTGCATATGATTGCCGTTTGTCATTCTGATGGTCCTGACAGTTCACGTATGAAATGGCACCGTGAGAAGATTTCTCCATATATGTGGATGGGAGATAAGGGAATGACATGTAGTGGCACTAATGGTGTTCAAGCTTGGGACACGGCGTTTACTATTCAAGCTATAGTCGAAGCTGGACTCTCTGGGGACCCGGAGTTCCGTACGTCATTGGAGAATGCCCTGAAATACTTGGATATCACTCAATTAACGGAGGATTTGGATGATCCTTATCGTCAGCCTCGAAAGGGTGGCTGGCCATTTAGCACCAAAGATAATGGCTATATTGTATCCGACTGCGCCGCAGAGGGTCTCAAGGCTGTTCTATTGCTTCAAGAGCAATGGTATGTTTCGCGTTACACTTTCAAAAATCTTCATTTCTCATTTCTTCTAGTCACTTTACCAAACTCATATCCGACAGCCGTCTACAAGACTGCGTTGATACCCTACTGCTTATGCAAAACGCAGGTGGTGGATTCAGTAGCTATGAGCGCACCCGGGCAAGCACTTTACTTGAATACTTGAATGCTTCAGAGATATTCGATCGTATTATGGTCGAATACTCATACCCTGAATGTACGACAGCTGTGGTAACAGCCCTGTCACTCTTTCGCCGCCACTTTCCTACTTACCGGTCCATCGAAATCGAGAGGGCGATAAACCGCGCGATCAAGTATATTCTCAATATTCAACGGCCTGATGGAAGCTGGTATGGGTCGTGGGGAGTATGCTTCACCTATGCTTCGCTCTTTGCAATGCAGAGTCTAGAAATTACTGGACAAACGTGGCAGACCAGCGAGGCTGTTCGAAGATGCTGCAATTTTTTGACTTCCAAGCAGAAGGCCGATGGAGGCTGGGGCGAGCATTACACTTCTTGTGAGGTGGAAGAGTATGTTCAGCACGAGGAAAGCCAGGTGGTCAATACTTCTTGGGCGTGTTTGGCGCTGATGCATGCACGTTACCCCTATAAAGAGGCCATTGAGAATGGACTCAAGGTATGGTATCCCTCTGTGTGGCATTTGATCACATTTGGACTGACAATTTCTATAGTTGATTATGAGTCGGCAACAGGCCAATGGAGAATGGCTTCAGGAGGACGTAGAAGGAGTTTTTAATAACACCTGGTAAGCCTATATTTCTCCCTCTCCTTGTTCTTGTTCTTTAACATTCAGCTGTCGCTAACTGTTGATTCCTGCAATAAAGCATGATTGGATACCCGAACTACAAGTTCTATTTCACCGTATGGGCACTGGGGAGTTACAATAATCAGTACCTTCCCATGCTAAAGGAGATAGATGCCTGAAGCTGACTGGTCGCGCTCTGCACTTGAGGATCATACCCTAATAATGACACAGTGGCATGTATAAAACTATCTGTACATAAAGACTCCGGGATTAGCATCATCTATTTTGGGAATGAACATCTCACTTGATCAAGGTAAATGCTACATGGATGGAGAGGGTTATTCCAAGGGTTTCGTTATCAGTCTATTTGGTGCTCTATCTGGCATTGCTCATAATACATCTGTCCAAAGACCCGATAAATCGATACACAGTATTGAGTATTAGTACTTAAAATAATGATGGAGCCTCTATCGTTCTCACTCAAGCGTACACATGACTTCTCTACTATTTTGTGTATTAGACATCTCTAGGTGCTGTTTCCATCGAAATGCGAGTCAGCTAGTCCCTTTACCTGTCACCTGATTTGACACGTCTTCCTTCCATGCATGTAAACATTTGAGCGCTGGAACTGGAGTCAATCCACCTGATATTCATTTATCTCCGCAATGACCTCGCCTTTTTAGACAAACAAGGTCAATTCATCCCACAAGAACAGGTTCTAGGTAACGGCAACACCGCTGTCGTTCTACTTCGAGATGGCATAGCTATCAAAACCCCATTGAGGTGGCCCTGGAGCTCAGACTCCGATGTTGAAGTGAACCGTGAGAGCATCAAACGGGAGCAAAAAGTTTATCCCCGATTACAAGATTCCGATGATTACGGTTCGAGCGGTATTGTGCGTTGTATTGAATGTTCGTCCGAAAATACACAGCTTGCCTTGATGCCCAACGGGGACCTGAGGACCTATCTTTCGAAACATCAACCCTCGTGTGAACTTCAACTCTCATGGTTCTGCCAGATGGCCCAGACACTGTCATATATTCATGATAGATCTGTACTTGTTGCGGATATTGCATCCCGAAATTTACTCTTCGACTCAGATCTAAGCATGGAATTTTGTGACTTCTCTGAGGCTTCTCTTCTTCCCTTGGATTCTGACATGGAAGCTGTAGATAACCTTGGCTATACCACTCAAGTTGATATCGGCTTTCTCGGGGCGGTCTTTTATGAAGTCGTGACTGGTATAAAGTGTGACATCAATCTGTTCGAGCACAACGATCCCACCGATGGTCGAGATTACTGGCCAGATAGAAGTGGTCTTCATCCTACACAGGATATCTGGCTAGGTCGGATCATTGAAGGGTGTTGGGACGGCACATTCCGCGCTGCTCACAGTCTTCTGGAGGCTTTTAGTGCCGTTGAGTCGCCCTACATGTGAATAGGTAGAAGCGTCCTGGCTAGAGTTTCTGTCTAGTGGAATTCTTCATCAACGAATATCATGACATCTTCTGGTAGACCAAGGTATCAATCTATGCAACAAAAATTCGAAACGCTCGTTTCTGCAAAATACACGAAGTGGTATCTATCGTTAATCATACATAATCCTTACCAAAAACGCCAAACCAATGCATCTAATTCAAGGTGGCTTTGAAACCTTGATAAGCCTGCTCGATATCAAATGCCAATTCTCGCGCCTGGTCGTCGCTCAATTCTTCGGTCGCCCGCATTTGATTCAGCGCGATCAACCACTGGATAATCTTACCACGGTTCTCAAATTCCCCGTCCGTCACCTTGTTGACCGACTGAATCACTTCCGAGAGCAGTGGATGTAACGCATCCTTTGATACCATGTTCAGCTTCAACGCATCCAAGAACGTGATGAAGTTCTCTGTGGCCGCCAAGATCAGACTGCCCGACGCGCCTCCTGCACCTCCTCCTCCCGATGAAGCATTATTAGATGTAGATGTATTATGCGAGGCTTGCTCAACGGTTGCGGGGAGACCGATTCGCAGTCGTTCCGTGGCTCGGGGGCATTCTAACTGTATTGATCGGGTCGGGTTAGACAGTGCTTAGAGACAGAAGATTTTGGAATGTATATTCTCACACCCCATGTTCGCTTGAATGTTTCCAGATCCACGAATTTCTGTGCTACCGTGTCATCGCCCAGACTGGATTTGTACTGTTTTAGTAGTCGGGTGCATGTCTCTGTGTACTCGGCTTCGGTGACGACGTCTTTGATGTATGCCTTCTCGAGCCCATCGAGGGTGACAATTATGCTGTAAATTTCCGCAAGCGACTCGTATAGGTCCCGTTCCCCTGAGTTCGAAATCAATTTCACTTCCTATTAGGCTAATTAGTTTGAATGTACCCCGCGTTCTATGCACTAGATCATACTTCATCGAGATTGATGGTCGCCGACCGGGCCGGGTTTGGTGTATAGCTGTATGGGGTCGGCGCATAAGATAGCGGTCGCTGTTGAGAGTACATCTCGAGGAGCTCAATTAAAAAGAATGAGGAAATATGGTGAGGATCAGCGATCAAGGACCCCAATTCATGTGGTTCCGCGCCGCTTCTAATGATGATGGGGAAGCTCTGTCCTTATCAGCACCTGCCAAAGGCGGTCAACAAGGCGGTCACGCTATTCTCCCGAGCCAAATTTTTTTTTTCTCGGTGATGGGTCTATCTGCTCTACAAGCTAGAATTGCAGACTAATTGCCCAACATGGCCGGCTCAGCAAAGAAAGCGACCAAAAAGTTCGAGAAGAGACGTCTTCCGGCTGTTCTTGAAAACCGCAAGTCCTTCGCCAAGGTCAAGCAGCGCCACCACCTGAACGACAAGCGCAAGGAGAAGAATGCCCGCCGCGCAGCCGACGAAGAAGAGAACGAAGACGATGAGGAGAACGAGCAATCCGACAAGAAGAAGGCTAACTTCGCCGATATGAACGTTGACGATTTCTTCGCTGGCGGATTTGATATCACCGACGCAGGCAATGATAAGAAGAAGGCCAGCAAGAAGGATGTTACACCCAAGATTGGCAAGCGCAAGCGTTCCGCGGACCAAGCAAAGGATGAGGAGGCCAGCGACGATGGCTCCGGTGCCAGTGATGATGATGGCAATGCTTTCGATGAACACAACGCTCAGCTTGAGTCTTTGAAGGAGAAGGATCCTGAGTTCTACAAGTACCTGAAGGAGAATGATTCAGAGCTGCTTGACTTCGGTGACCAGGGTGATCTCTCTGAAATTGATGATTTGAGTGAGAGTGAGGCGCCTAAGGAGGATGAGGAACCCGCAAAGAAGAAGAAGAAGAAGTCCAAGAAGGATCAGGAAGAGGGGGAAGAGAAGGTGATCGACAACACTCTTACCATCGCTATGGTCAAGAGGTGGCAGACTTTGATGGAGGAGCAACAGTCAGTCCGCGCCATGCGTCAAGTTGTTCTGGCATTCCGTGCCGCAGCCAACGTCAACGAGCCCGAGGCCCCGGAACAGAAGTACACCATCTCCGATCCCAATGTCTACCACCAGGTTCTTGTGACCGCATTGAACACCGTCCCCAAGACACTGGCGCACCATCTTCCCGTCAAGGAGACCGCTGGTGGCAAGATCAAGGTCTCTCTCGACTCCAAGAAGTTCAAGACACTTACTCCTCTGATCAAGTCGCACACATCTTCGGTTCACCTGCTGCTGATGAACCTGTCGGATGCATCCACCCTTAAAATGACAATCTCCTCCATGGAACCCATGTTGCCCTACCTTCTTCAGTTCCGTAAGGTCTTGAAGACTCTGATCAAGACAGTCGTCGGCATCTGGGCAGACGTCTCCACAGCAGATGCTACAAGAATCACTGCATTCCTCTTGCTTCGCCGTCTCATGGTCCTGGGCGACGCCGGTATCAAAGAGTCTGTCCTCAAGGCCACCTACGAAGGTGTGGTCAAGGGCAGTCGCAACACCACAATTCACACTCTCGCCGGTGTCAACTTGATGAAGAACTCCGCTGCCGAAATCTGGGGCATTGACCAGAACGTTTCATACACTACCGGTTTCACTTTCATCCGCCAATTGGCCATGCACTTGCGCAGTAGTATTACCAACACCTCCAAGGAGTCCTACAAGACCATCTACAACTGGCAATACGTACACTCACTCGACTTCTGGTCCCGTGTGCTATCGCAGCATTGCGATGGTCTCGTCGAAGCCCAGGCTGGCAAGCAATCCGCCCTGCGCCCCCTTATTTACCCCGTCGTCCAACTTACCCTGGGTGCTATGCGTCTCATCCCAACTGCACAATACTTCCCCCTCCGCTTCCAGTTGACCCGCGCCTTACTGCGTATCTCCCGCGCAACAGGCACTTACATCCCGCTCGCCTCATCTCTCCTGGAAGTCCTGTCATCCGCTGAGCTGCGCAAGTCACCCCGATCAAGCACTCTCAAACCCCTTGACTTCAACACTTCCATTCGCGCCGCGAAGTCCTATCTTCGTTCTCGAATCTACCAAGACGGCATCGGCGAGCAAGTCGCTGAGCTTTTCTCTGAGTTCTTCGTCTTGTGGTGCAAGCATATTGCTTTCCCTGAACTTTCGGTTCCCATCGTTGTCTCCCTTAAGCGCTGGCTGAAGCAGGTCTCTGCCCGTAGTGGCGGCAACAAGAATGCCAAGATTAACCAGATGATTCTTCTGCTTGTGCAGAAGGTCGAGGCTAATGCTAAGTGGATCGAGGAGCGTCGTTCTCAGGTCTCATTTACCCCTCGTAACCGTACTGAGGTCGATACCTTCCTCAAGGACGTCGACTGGGAGAGTACCCCTCTCGGTGCGTTTGTGAAGACTCAGCGCAAACTTAGAGAGGAGCGTGCTGCTCTTCTTGAGGAGGGTCGTTTGGAGGAGGAGAAGCGTCGTGTTGAGGCTAGTAAGCAAGATGGCGAGGATGAGAGGATGAAGGAATTTGGAAGCGATGATGATAGTGATGATGATGAGGGTGAAGAGGAGATGGAGAGTGAAGATGAGATTGAGGAGGAAGAGGAGGATGAAGATGAGGACGAGATCGAACTCGAGGAGGATTAAATCATCTTCTAATTTTCCTTTCTCTCATGTATATCTTTTTTCATGTCGATCTACTATAACTACCAGGATATTCCGCATCAAAAGAATCTGGCGTTTTTTTTTTTCTTCAAAAAAAATTTCACTTTTACATCATTATATCCTATTTTCCAAACTTCTAGCAAATTGTACTGTAGAATAAACGAATACATCCAATATTCAAGTGATCAGGTTCATAATTCTATCGCTATGCTAAGAGGATGGGTATACTCTATATATCCACTTATGATACGCTCAAATCATCCATTGCTCATAAAAATGCCAGCAAGATCAAACGGCTTAAACCACCCCAGCAGGCATTCTCTCCTGTCCCCAGGCCCTAGTCCTCTCCCTCCTCAAAGCAGCATCCTCCTCCTCCGCCCACGCCAAAGATTCACTAGGCAACATAACCGCCTTATCAATAGCAACAGGTAATCCCCGATGTCTTCCTCTCAAAGCAACAGCCGCCAGAATCAACTTACTAATAGGATGCCACGCTCCACAGAAAGAATAATTCTTCCCAGGATACCCAACGCTAACACCTACACATCCGTACGCGGATACAACTTCGAAAATCACATTGAAGGTTGCAAATGCCACGGGCTGATTGTTGAAGTGGTCTGATTCAGCGATGGAGATGAAAAATACTGCTAGGGCTATCCACCAGAGGTCGTGGCTTAGTTGGCTTCGGAGTTGTTGGTGGACGAAGTAGCCGCGGGAACTTTCGGAGGCGTTTGGTCGGCCTAGGTGGAGGCGGATTAGGTCTACGAGGACGTTGCTTCGGCTTGTGCTTGAGGGGGAGTCGGATTCGTCGTTTGCGTAGATTCCCAGGGAGCGTTCTTCGTAGACGTTTGTGTTGCTGGTTTTGTTAGGAGAGTTCGATTTTGAGTCTAGGGTTGGAGATGTGGACGTACCGCATTGTGACTAGCACTGGGAATGCTGAGACATACTGTTATTTGTTAGTTAGGTCCTAGGTTGGTATCTGGCTGTGAGTCTTACCATCATGAGAACTAGTCTAGTTAGCAAGGATTTTTCTATTAAAAAAGATGGGTGTTGAGAACTAACCATATAAAACGAGGAGACCTTGTCTCAAATCCGAAATCGTCACGACATAGAATCCTCCAGATCGAACAGCTAAAGGATTTGTTAGTTGTTGTCAAGACGTCAAGTCAAAGTCAAATTTGATATCACGAACCCGCTGCTTGAAATAGTCCATCTAGTACTCGATACTCGGATGGAAGAGACTCGATCTCCTTGTTTCCGATAGACAAGATTTCAAAGCCAGCCCAGTCGATGGCGTTGAGAACAATGATCGTCCCTAGGAGATACCAAGTATGACGCGCTGGGAAGAGATTCGTATATACCCTTCTCGGATGATCCAAAATAAAATCAAGGGTGATTCGCCATGATGCCCACTCTGGTCGATCGGGGACTATAATTTTCAAGCTCCAAATTATGAATCGCAAGAAGCAGGGGTAGAGTGTATTTCCAGCCAGAATGAGCAATACCATAGTTAGAAGAGGGTATGCGCTGTGGAAGAAAGGTTAATCATTTTGTCATTTTGAAGTGAAAGAGGAATCAAAGATCAGAATCAGCGTAAGGAGTTATGACGTACTTTAATTGTAAGGCTGTCATGTTTTTGTCCAAGAGAGCCATGCCACTGTTCACAAATGCCGAGACAGCAAAGAAAGCACCAGTCCAGAACGGCGATAGTCCGTTCACCTCCGCCACTTCTGGATGGTTAGTATGTAGCCAACTTCCAACACCAATAATGCCAAGAAGAAGGAATAGGAAGAAATAGAGCGCAACAATGACAGAAAGGAATGAAACGGCCTTATACTCGACTCCGCCCAGTTTTTCCCGTTCAGCAGATGTCAAGCCGTAGAATTGCGAGTTGCGAGAAATTAGTCCTTTTGAAGTAAAGTATTTCTGCGTGCCACGGATCACTCCTTCGAGCTTGGATTTTGGTGATTCGGATTCATCTGAGTAGAGTGTGACTGGGGCCGCGTCGCGTGGGTGATTATTTAGATCTGGTCGGGCTCCGACGCCGGCCATAGGAAATACCCGATGATGATGGTGATGTTGTCGGACTGTATCTGCAACTGTGACTTCGTCGCCGTCGTCCCATGGACTTTGGGGATTGGTGGCCTGGACTCCGGAGACTTCTTCCACGGCCAATGCGGCTTGTTGTCTTGATGTACAAGTTTGATCCTTGAGAGCGAGACTTGTAGACTCAGCGTGACCTTTATCTAAATTGTTGGATTCTAGCATTGAATTTCGAGAAGATGCTATGCGCTCTTTTGAAACGCCTTGGAACTTTGCTTCAAAGGCTCGCTTGCGGACCATGAGGACGGCAAGAGAGACGAAAATGACAGAGCCCAGCATGAGCAGAATGAATAGAATCGCCTGTTGAACTGTGTTGAGAGTTGACAAGTCCACCTGAAAAAAAACTTAGAAATTATTCTCTTTCTCTGTCAAATAACTTTCTAGGACATTTGATTTACCGTGTTTAATCCCGCCCCAGTCATAGCGCTGACACAGAGAAAGATGGCATCGACATACGCCACGCTCTGCCATGGCGTCGATACGAGATAAAATATAATGCTGCATACCAGGCATGTCGCGATAAAATAGACATAGTGCAGAGTAAGAAAATTAGCAGGCGGGGACACGGCCATGATTGTCCGGCCCACAGGGCCTTCCCATAGCTCTGTGAGGAGGTTTAGTTGAGAGGAACCAGAACAAGAACAAGAATGCAAAGTTAAAAAGGGAGAGAGGGAATCTTACGGTTGAGCCTCTGACGGATTTTCATTCCAGTCGCAGGCTAGGTGATAAGGATCGGAAGATCGAAGAGAAAAAACAAGATGGGCAGCAATAAATAGAATTCAATTGGAAGAAGCCCCTGTTCGGTGGAATGTGGATGCAGAAGATGTCGGTGTGCAGATCTCTTTGTATGAGAAACTGCACTGAGCTGTAAGCAGGGCTCAACCACCGATCAGAGTGACGTGGATCCAATGAGTTTAACTTGAACTTCGGAGCAGTTGGAAGTTAAAAAGTCATAAGAAGAAACTTAAAAAGGACCCGATTATGCATTTCCTTGCGGTTTCAATTCCTGGTGGGCTTGAATATGAAATTTTCTTCTTCTGGTAAAGGATTGACGCCCCACTTGGGCTCGTTTTGGTGTCGGAAGAATGAATGGAATGAATAGTGGAGAATAAGTATGAGAATTTCAAGATGATGATAATTTTTAAGACATTAAAAGGGGTGTCACTTATTTAGAAATATAAAAAACCTTAGAGCGACGGTTCAAACCCATATAAGAGTTCTTCATCAGTGCATATCATGATAGGTACTAGTATCCCAGGGGTTGGTCAAAAGTCTCTATTCCTCGCGTGGCGTAGGGCTGGACCGTTTTACAATCCTCGGCACAATTAAACCCGCCACTCCCGCTAGTTATTCACCCTAATATCAACAATGTATAAGACGAAGTATATGGAGCATATACATTTTACAATGTACACTATTTAGTTAACATCTTTTGCACCCGCTTCACAAGGCTCTGTTCAAACTGCTCCACTCCGTTCGGCTGCTTGTTCATCTTGCCCGTTTTGACCACGTACACGGCTCGGCTACGAGCAGTACTTTCTTCCGTCTCCTCCTCTAACCCCTCGAAATCATCGTCGAGTTTATGGTCTGTGTCCCGTTTGCCTTCGACAACTGATCGGATCAGGAATCGATCGTGCGAGACGAGGATAATGGCTCCGTTGAAGGAGGAGAGTGCGGTGGCGAGTGCGGTGACTGTGTGGAAGTCTAGGTGAGTGGTGACTTCGTCGAGAATGAGAAGTTGAGGTGCACTCCAGACAATTCTTGCGAGAGCAAGACGGACCTATTTATTTATCAGTGGCTGGTGACATGGAATGTAGTCGGATAAACTTACTAATTGTCCACCTGACAGTTTTCCCACGGGCACATCAGACGCAATGCGACCTTGTAGACCCATTGATGATAGAAGTCCTCTCACAGCACCTTCATTGAGCGACTCGTCCGTCTCAGCCATCAAAAGGCTTAACGCTGTGAGACTGGGTTCTTCTCTTCCACGCTCTTGGAGCTCCTCAACCGAGTGTTGGCCATAGTAACCCATTTTGAGTCGAGAGTGAGTGGTCACTTTGCCCTTAGAGGGAATAAGTTGACCCGTCAAGATCCGAATCAAAGTAGTCTTTCCTGAACCATTGAGACCCATAATACCAACTCGATCACCAATATGAACAACCATATTGATATCTTCCAGAATAACAGGTTCATTCCTCTTATACTGGAATTTAATACCCTCCAGAGAAACAAGCGGCCCTGGAAATCGTAGCTCAGTCGCATCAGGTAAACTCATACTTGCCCCTCTCTCATCAGTCGGTACCTCAATCTCAGCCCGAGCCGTAAGATGATACCCCACAAGATCCCGATTCAACTTAAATCGACCCCCATTCGCACTAACCTGCAACCCCATCCGATCATCAACTTTTTTCTGCCGTGATTTCGCTTGCCGAAGCTTATTCTCGTCATTGGTCTTCTTCCCGATCTTCATGTTCTCCCGAATACTAGCTTCCATATGCGCAATCTGTCGCTCCTGGGCTTCTTTCATACGTCCAAGATACAGTTTCTGCTCTTCATGATCTTGCTCGTAGGCTGCAAGATTACCACGGAAGTAGTTCAGTTTCTGATCTCGGAGAATCACAATTTCTTCACAGACTGCATTGACGAAGTCTCTATCGTGCGAAACGAGAAGAATGGTTGTTTCTGATGTTTCGCGTAGCTGTTGGAGGTAATTTTCTAGCCAAACTACACCCAGTAGATCTAGGAAATTGGTCGGTTCATCGAGAATCATAACGTCGGGTTTCTGGACCAAGACGCTCGCAAGCATGCATCTCATTCGCCATCCTCCTGATAGTGTGCCTACTTTTCTTTGGTGGGCTTCTTCTTTGAATCCGAGACCTAGCAGGATTCGTCGCGCTTCTTTCTCTATATCTGCGAGTTTGAGCTGTCTCACTCTTAGCTGGAGTCCGCATAGTAATTGAGATAGGAATGTTTACGTCCTCAAGCTGGGCTTGTAAGTTTTGAAGCATTTCTGCGGCTTCCTGTGTATCCGTTTGGACTGCTTCGGCGTCTATGGCATCGGGTTCTTGAGCAAGCCTGGTTTAGATTAGTCATTTCCTTGTGATATTGTTTGGCTATCTTACAATTCTTGAGTTAATTCAAGTTTTGCCTCCGCGGCTTTCAAATCCTTTCGCGCTTGTAGGCCTCTAGCGCCAGACTTCAAATTGGCGTTCTTTTGCGCAAGAAATAGTTTCTTTCCTGCTTGCTCATGTCGAATTTTGCGGATGGCTTGTACAGGTTTGAATGGATCCTCCGTATCAAGACTCTTCGAAAGAACTGATAAAACGTTAATGAGGATCATATATTCGTGGAAAGGAGGTTGAAACAATACAATCTAACAAGCGAACAGCCTCATTCCTAGACTCATCACTGCCAAGTACAGACTCCAAGACTGTCTTCTCTAGATTCAATCCATAGGAACTACCAGACTCATCTTGATCTTGCGTCTGTTGCAAAATTGCAATTCGAGTCGGGTGAGGAATCCCAGGAATAAGTTTTTCAGCCATCGCCCTCAGAAGTGCTGCCAATGTCTATAAGCCAATGTCCCTGACAGAAAAAACACGTAGTTATTCATTTCTCACTTGACTTCCCGGTTCCATTCCGTCCTATTAACCCATAGTGAATACCGCCCTTGAGGCGAAGATGGCCATCTGAGATAAGTTCTCGTCCTGTTGCTTTGGCTTTGGATTTTCCTTTTCCTTTTGTTTTCGGTGCATCTTCGGCTGAATCGTGAGCTGAGGTGACCGTTATGACTAGGCCCTCTACATCTATCTTTTTGTCGGATTAGTATGTACACGCTAGCGCATGCAGTTGACGTCACTTACCTCTGGTGAGGGATTGTCATCTAGAAGATGGAATCGGGTCTGTTTGCAGGTGGCGAGGATTGTAGGAACAGATGTCATAGCTTTGTCAATTGGGGGGTTAGAGACTCAAAGTCCTGATCTTGAGGTGAGCTGAATCCCGCTAGTATGATACAGAGTATTGAAGCGAAGGGAAAGCACAAGCCTCAGGCTAGATAAAAATGAACAATGGGTAGTGTCACGTATTTGTGTCCATGCGACATTGAGATTCATATAATCCCAGCGGAAAGCCTCGGCGCAAATATGCCCATGCAATTTCTGCATAAAATTCGACTCTTGTTTGGCTCGTATAAAGAGTCATTGCCAAGCATAGGCCTGAGACTCCTTACTGTTCGTTTTTGCGTGACATTGTCAGGTCGGGCACCTGATGCGGTTTAGTCTTGCTGGCCGTGCGGCGACCCTCGAGGGTTGAGCGGGTGTTACCGACGTGGTTGATGTGGTTTTCGGTTGAGTCAACTGGCTTGTTGCTGGTTCGGGTATATGATTGGGTAATAGGAAGAAAATGAATTGAAACATTTCCTTTTTTCTCTCCTTCGTGAGTCATAATTAATTAATTATGTACAGCGAATTTATATCCAAATAAAATTAAGCTTAAATTTTGAGATGGTCCCCTTAGCGTAGGCACTAGAATAGAAATGGGTTCAAATTGCTGCCTATATCAAGTTCCGTCTAAACTCCGGAGAAAAGGTTAGCTTAAAGATGGAATATAGAAGTACCACTAATACCATATAGCCTGATATGTCCAGTGCCAGTGCTTTTGATCTTGTCAAAGGGTTCCGAAGGACCTCTCCCGCCGACTCCCCAGCAACTGTATCGTCATCATGCTTTCCAAGGGATGTTCAAACCCGGAGTCATGGCACTTACAGTTTCACAATATTTGGAGGCTGAGCAAGAGATAAGACGCCGGGCAGAGGAAAAGAACGTGCCTATCCTCTTCATCCAAGATGTAAAATCTGCATTACTTGAATTCGTGGACAGCAGTACTTTTGAGAGCATTCCACTGGAAAATCGAGAAAATGCGGCGTTGGCCGCGCAAATTACCCATAAATTCCTCCAAGACAGAGGATACTCACTCAATGGGTTGGATGTCAAAGCCGGCCTCAAGAACTGCCGTTGGCCTGGACGGTTTGATATCATTAATTCCAATGGCTTTACTTGGTATTTAGACGGAGCACACAATGAAACCAGTATAGAAGTGGTTGCGAAGTGGTACGAGCGAATGTCAGACGTTAAGTATGTTACACAAGCGAAAAGAAGAGAAAAGTCAAAGTCTAACACATGAGCAGTTTTCCTCGAATCTTGATTTTCGCTCATTTTTTCGCACCAGCGTACTCGTGATTGGTTTAAGATATTGGAGACACTGGGAAATTCTCTACACTGGAACGTTCAACATGTCATATTTAGGGAATCGATTATGATACACATTTCAGCACAACGAAAGAGCGACTCAACGAATATGCCCAACTGTGGCAGGATGATTCACCTTCATGCTCAATTCATAAAGCGAAGACTGTCGCAGAAGGAATCGATAAGGCAAGAGAATTCGGGACGGAGACGAATATATTGGTCACTGGAAGCTTATACTTGGTTGAAGCTGCGCGGAAAACCGTGTCTATGTAATCTTATTCGTTCTCACAATTAAATTAATCATCATCTTAAGCTCGCCACAGCCTTCCTTTCTCAAACTTCGCGATGACGTTTATCAGATCGACACGTTCCCCCCACTCTCGGCATGAGATAGATTTCGGGTGTTCCTACCAAACACAGGCGACGATCATCTCTACTAAAGCAACTTTAGCATCACAAAACATTAATTAACACGGAGCTCGCCGATCTCCCGATCATGAAAGAATACAATTCAGAATATAAATCAACCTCATTCCCGTAATTACTAACTAACATTGAACTCATGTGGATCAATATTTTACCCTAAGCTATCACGCCATTTCAGTCTTGGTAAAGATGGCGCTTTCACATTCTTTATACCTACGGCTCTCCACATTACTTTTAACAGGCTTCGCGGGCGCAAATCTAGCCTACAAGTCTAGACCAGATCTTGCTGTTCCTGTCTTGAATATCACTATCCCTGCTACGAATGAGACGGATCCTGGTCTTATTTTCTATACGCCTGAAAGTACCTATGCGGATAATACTGGACATGGACCTGCGCAAAGTGGTCCATACATCTACACCGACAAGGGCGAGTTAGTCTGGTCAGGCTTTGGATTTGTTGGACCTCGAAGCGAGAATTTTCAAGTCCATACCTATCGCGGAAAACAAGTGTTGAGCATTTTTGAGGGCTCGCATAATTCGCCTATGGGTCATGGACATGGCCATACGGCTATCTTTGATAATTCTTATCAACTCATTAAGGAGATTAAAGGTGGTGGACATAGACTTGCCGATCAGCATGAGTTTCTCTTTTTTGATGATCACTCTGCTCTTCATACCGTTTATGAGCCTGAAATTCGCGACTTGACTCCTTACGGCGCTACATCTGAAAATCAGTCCTGGATCCTGGATAACAAGATCCAAAAGGTTGATACGAATACCAATCGTGTGCTTTGGGAGTGGAGTTCTCTTGATCATGTTGATCCTGCAGGAACTAATTTAACGCTTCAGAGTGGTAATGCCGGACTCGGCGTGAACTCCAGCCAAGTTTGGCATTACTTCTACATGAATGCGTTTGATGTTGATGCAAAGACGAATACAAATCTTCTTTCTGCTAGAAGTATGTGTACCATTTTCAAGATGGATGGTGATACCGGCAAGATTATTTGGAGGTTAGGAGGGAAAGATTCGGATTTCGAGCTTGGGGACGGGGTCGATTTCTGTTGGCAACATGATACGAGGATGCATGAGAAATACCTTCATCATGAAAGTAAGGGATCCAAAGAAATTATTTCCTTTTTTGATAACTCTGCCCATGAGAATTTGGCGGGTGGACCTATTCTTCAGAGTCGGGGCTATAGTGCTGGGAAGGTTGTTGAGTTGGATACGAAGAAGAAGACTGCGAAGTTGATTGCTGAGTTTCGGGCACCGGGGGATCTCTCCGTTCGGTCTCAGGGGAATCTGCAGCTTTTGCCGAATGGGAATGCCTTTATCAATTGGGGGTATGATGGTATGATGTCTGAGCATGATCCGGATGGAACGACTATTTTCTATACTGGATTGGATTCTGGGAAATATGGGCCTGGTTCTGAGAATTATCGTGCTTTCAAATTTGATTGGCATGCTGTTCCGTTTGAGGAGCCAGCTTTGGTTGCTTTTAAGGAGGTGAATGGAACTTCTCTTTATGTGAGTTGGAATGGAGACACGGAGACTACGAAGTGGAAGTTCTATGATGTGCAAAGTGGTGGAAAGAGAGTTTTACTCGGTCAAGCTGCTAGAACTGGGTTTGAGACTACTTTTCACACTAAGAAAAAGGTTGTTAAGGTTTTGGCGGAGGCTTACAATGCTACTGGTCATCGACTAGTGTCTTCTCCTGCTATTGAGACTAGGGAGTACCGGGCACGGCTGTTTTACTCCTGATTCTATGTACTATTGAGCTATTGAGATAGAGATCGGCAGGAATATTCAACGTTCTTCCAATTCAATCTTCACTAGCATGAATACCGGGGCATCTATGATAAATAGTTCGTATTTGAATGGGCCGTGTGGGCGTATTGATTAGACCTACGGTAGAATGATTATCCTCGTATGAACTGCCGCATGTAGATTAGTTTCAAGGCAACAAACTCGACAATAATCGCATTCTCTCCTAGAAGCACATTCGCCGTTATTGAAATAATCGATTCTACTACAGTTTCTCACACCTGTAGGAGTTGTCTTGATTCCACGTGGCCTCTCACCCCGGGGGCTTCGGATTTTTCACCGAAGTGATTCTAGACAAAGCCTAGCAAAATATACCATTAGTTTGAGAATTAGTGGACCCATAAAACACAAGTGTCCACACCCGAAGAACATTCTATCGATCGATCTTCGTTTCTTTCTGTTTACTGGGAATGAAGATCTAGAACGGGACAGAGATCTAGACGCCGGGTACTCGATTGATATGTGGGACAAATCTGACGATTTCAAAATCTTCAAGCCCTTCCCTCGATCCAGGCACAGTCCATTTGAAGATGTCGTCAGACGACCAGAGATTTGGTGCGTCGAGACCGCCGCCGATTTCAAAGTGGACTGTATCAGGGTCTCTGGGGGTAGGGGTAGGGTAGGGGTGGAATTTTGCAAAAACCCGTCGATCAGGGCCAGGACCAGCGGGGCGTGTAGAGTCGTCGTCAGACGACCAGATATCGAGGAAGAAGCTCCGTAGGGATAGAATCAATAGAGACAGGGTTCTGGGCTCTAGGGCTGGACTGCAGAAGTCCCGCGTGGCATTGTTTGGATTCGGTCGAGTCTAGCGTGCGCAAGGCGCGTTTCAAAGCAGCCATGGAATTGCCGGTGTCCATAGATTAGGTTAGATATTTTATTCATTGCCAAATGGTATGTCTGGTTCCTTGGATGCCGGATTCATTATTGATCGAACTACTATACCGCGTATTTGGTAGTCCAGGCTGATCTGCAATATGTTTGAATGGAAACCTGAATCTGCCGGAGCTCTAACGTGCCGTACAAGCCTTGGCCATAGATTTACCGAGACTCGGCACTAGTTCCATGGGTAGGAACCCGCTCGACCCATTCAAACTTGATCCTCGTGGCTCGATCAGTTTGAAAAGTGAAGAAACTTTTCACTTTTCATATTAGAATAATTAGAGTTGTGATCGGCTGAACTATTGCTATTCATGCTTCTGCTTCACCGGGCGCGGCACAGGCTCCAATAAACACCGTTGGGCTGCTGGTTATTTTTGGGTTATGGTTTAAGGTCAGTTAGTACGACGTGTGAGGCGCAGGGGCATTTCGGTAGGGCTCAGCCTCGGGTTCACGAATGCTTTTATTTGCCCTTATGGTGGCCACAGTAGATGTCAAACGCCACGAGAGTCTCAGCCCTAGGTGGTCGTTGCTGGAAAAGGGGTTGATTCCGGGCTAGGCTTGTGAAGACTGGATGGTTCTGAAGAAACAAACTTTCTCGGTCCGTAATCCACTTCAAGGACGCGCGGCTATGATTTCACCCGCATGTGTGCTGATGAGCTTGAAGGCTGTGATACTGCAGCGGCCGCATAGACCGATTTTCAATATTGACCCATGAGTGAGTTTGGACTGTGGGAATTGCGACCAGGAAATACAATGAAAGGAAGTAAATCGGAGACTAGTGGCAAGTAGTTCTTCCCAGTCAGCGGGAATTGAAGTTCTCAGCAATTAAACCCGACTTGATCATGAGGCTCGGCCGAGCTAACCGTAAGCAGTATCGCGTTCCTATTTATGCTGAATCCACGGAAGTCGCCCGGTCCAATCAGAGACACGGAACTAGTATTCTTCGTACTTGGGTGCTCGTTTAGTTCTCCGCTCTCGCTTCTAGAAGACCTGAAAAATAGAGAGAAAAAATTGCTCAAACTTTATTGGGGAGTGTTGATTTTCTGAGACAGCATTGAGTTCGACCAAGTCCTTTGGAACGAGTGTTTGAACGGAGGATGGACGGACTGTCCGTTGCCTACCCCGAGTCCGCTGAATTCGGTCGAATTGCTGTAGTAATACTAAAATCATGTAAAAACTCGATCTTGTGGTGGTATAGTAATCTAGCTGTGCATTTTAGCTTGTCTTTAGAGAACAATGGCAAGGCCCTAGGGGTCTTGGAAAGGGGTCTCCGGGGAGGCGTCAGTCTACACAACACTATCTCAATTATACTCCATCGGTGCATTTGGTACAAAGTGGGATCATGATCCCGGCCTCCACTCGTGAAACAAACACTAAGGAGTAGTTTAAGTTTTCTATTATTTTATTATTTTATTATTTTATTATTTTATTATTTTTATGTACAGAATTTATTCAATTATGGTACGAACTGGAATCGCCTAGACCATCTCAGGAAGAGCAGTCGGGGGTTATCCGGTGATCTACTGCTAAATGTCCGCCGAAGTCCGTACCTGATCTGTTTTACAGTATGTAGGTGGCGCCCTTGGATCACCACGCTAGTTTAGTATCATCCAACTTGTAGATCCTACTTACTGTTAGTTTCTGTTTTGTGCGGTTTTGTATGAAGCTAGTAATTGCTGGTTTGAATGGTAGGAATTCTGGTGATCTCTAGAGAATCTATATCTTATCAACATTGATCAGTCACTTTATCTGGTACGCGGCGAGGACGTAAGGCACCTGGGCAGCCACTGGCGTCATACATTTCATGAGGTTCTCAACTGTGATTGGCTGAGACTGAAAGTACCCATACAGTTACCGTAATACATATTCCAAGGCGGTGAGCCAATAATAACGAGAGTTGTCCCCAATTCTTCCTGGCGGCTCCCCACTTACCCCTCGCGGAATCGAGTTCGGGGCTACAGGAGGTATCCTTTCGCAAAAACAAAACCAACAGAATGATGGGAAATAACATTTAGATCCAGATTCCGTTAATCAATAAACCCATAAAAAATAAAAATAAAAATAAAAATAAAATAAAATAAAAAAACCCGACTTCCAGCAGTGAACCATGGCTCTTTCACGACTGGATACCGGAGTAAACAACAACCGTTTCACCCGAGGATCCACAGCCAATCACAGCCCGCGGACATCACACTCCGCTGACACATCCCGAGGACGCGCAAGCCTTTTTCTTTGCTGCTATTAACGGATCCAACTGGCGTTGGTCTCCCTGTTTTTCCCCTGTTCTTCCCACTTTCTCCATCTCGACCCATCGTTATCATCTTACCCCTAAGATCAACCCCTTCTAGACTCTCTTTTTCTTTCGTTAATTTCTTTAAAATCCCCATTTCCCCCCAGACCACTTTACAACCTAATACCACCGATCGTTAACAACCCAAGGGGGAAAAGTATATTACTTGGGCCAACACCACATCTTATCATCATGGCTACCCTCACAGAACACCCTTTACCGACTATGCCCACAAGTTACGACCAAGACCTCGACTCCTTTATCAACTTCGACCCGCTTGCCTACTCTTCCGCCGAATCCGCCCGGCCCAAGGTCGCCTTGGCCAGTCAACCATCGGTCGCAAGCACTGAGTTCAGCGCTAGCGATGCCCGGAGTGCCAGTTTCGCTTCCAGTGGACAATCACCTCTCGCCTTCCAAGCCCCTAGCCATCACTACGAAGAGCACCGCCAACAGACTGGTCTGGTTCCCGGTGCCCTGTCCATGAGCTACAACCAACAGGTCGCCCCTCCCATGGGATACAACAACGGAAACCCAGGGTTCCAAGTAAATGGAGAGATGTACGCCCAAATGAAGCGAGAGGACGCCCCTTTCGACTTCAATGCCACACCCACCACAAGAAACCCATCTGAGATGGATATTGAGACCGACGGCATGAACAACAACAACAACGCTCCCTACTACTTCCCGGGCCAACCCGGCAACAAGAACCAATATGTCGATCCCAACGCTCTCGGCGGCCATGAGCTGGCTCAGGCTGGTCCGTCAACACAGGTTGGACGTATGTACCCTGGTATGCATCAGCAGCAGGCTGCGATGGCCAAGGCTGCCCAACAACAGAAGCACCAGGAGATGGTTCGTCACCAGATGCAGCAGCGCCGCGTCGAGGAGACCCCCGGTCCTGCCCTTAACCGACCCACTTCCCGTAACGACCCTGTTGTAGAGGAGCGTATCTCTCGCCTTCTCCAGCAGATGCGCCAGAACGCCGTCGCCAACGGCGAGGCTTCTCCAAGCCCCTCTCTCCTCCCCCAGATGGCCAAGGCTCGCAAGGACGAGGCCGATATGGATGAGGATGAGCGCCTCCTTGCCAGCGAGGAAGGCAAGAAGCTCAGCAGCAAGGAGCGTCGTCAACTGCGCAACAAGGTCTCTGCTCGTGCTTTCCGTTCCCGCCGAAAGGGTAAGAACATTCTAATCCACTATTCTATTCATGGAAATCGTAATAGCTAACATCATATTGCAGAGTACATTGGTCAACTTGAGAGTGAAGTCGCCGCTCGTACCAACGAGGCTCATGATATGCGTATGCAAAACCGCGCCCTGTACGAGGAGAACGCCCGTCTGAATGACCTCGCCCGTATGCTTCTGGGATCTCCACACTTCGCCAACTTCCTGAACGAGATGCCCGATACCGTGTCGGCCCAGCCTCAGCAGCAACAGGCCCAGCAGCAGGTTCAGCCTCAGCCCCAGCAAGCCCCCAAGGAAGCTCAGGCCCCCCGTCAAGAGTTCCAGATGCAGCACAACCCCCAGTCCAATATGGTGATGGTCCCCAACCAGGGCATGGACACCTCCATGATCAACAGTGGCTGGAACTCAGGTATCGACATGAACTACGGAAACACTCCCGTTTTCGCTGTTCTCGAGGTTCCTGAGGGCCCTGCTTTGGATGCCGCCGCTCTCTCCGGAAAGTCATCATCTATGGGTGCATCTGAGCCAGCCAAGGAACAGGCCCCCGTCATTGAGCGCCCGGTCGAGAGCCAGAAATCCGACATCGGTGTTGCCAACCCCGATGTTGAGATTGATGAGTCCGACCCTGCCTTTGCTCTTTTCGTTGATTCCCCCGCTGCTCCCTCTGATGACCTTGTTTTTGACGGTATGTCTTTCGAGAAGGCAGCTCCCCACTACGAGCTTGTGGTAGACAACAGTCAAGTCTCTGCCTCTGCTCATGCCCGGTTCAACGCTCTCTGTTCCAGCATGGAAGCCGCCTATGAGCGAGTCTCATCTGTCACGTCCCACCTCCAGTGATATCCCCATTAGCGTCCTCTCTTTTCGACATCTCCTTCCAACTCCTTTTCTTTGTACATCTGTCACTCGTACTAGCATTTCGTTTCCTTGTCTTGTCATAGCGTGATGGATAACACACGCTTCAATTACTAGCTATGTCACCTGCCAATCATTCTCAATTGGCCCTCGGGAGTTTTAACGGCGCTCTATCTTTTGTCATCATATATTTTGTATCTCCCGGGATGGGCTTTGGGTGGAAATTTGGTTAGCGGTTACTGGCGTACGTGAAGGATCAGCGAAGAAGCTCAAAATTGATTCTATTTACAACTAGCGATATGATTCCTTTCTTGAATGTGTAGTATAGACTCAGGTTCAAGAAGACTGTCCTTTTTATTGATACCACGAAATACATTATCGTACTTAACCTTACTTACATCTTCGTCCTATCCTTGGTACTATACATTTTCAAGGGTGAGAAACACCCCTAGCCAGTAAACTTCTAGCATTCCATGTCTCTGCCTTCCGTTGCCTATTATGTGTCAGGTGGCAGTGCCACGGTATTGATCAACATCAACACAGTATTAAACACATAGAAACCAACCAAAAGTAAGTACTGTATTATTGTTCATAGCGGGCGCCAATTCGCCATCCCTCCGTATGCAAGTTATCGCCGAAGTATCCTGGTAGGGTTTAGTGCCGTTCCCCGGGTGGATCGGGCGCCTCAATCCCCAGTCAGTCAGCATAAGCCGGGATCCGATTTTCATACCTGAAACGACACACTCTTGTCACATACGCGGCGCGTCGCCATCTGCACTGCACTTATGTTGATCTCTGACTGAAGAATATGGTTGGCGTTCCAGGTAGATCCCAGGGATGCAATACATGTATTCAACGAAAGATTAAGGTTCGGCTGTCTCGAATCAAGTACCCGACATGCACAGCATTGAGGTGTATGATGTATCGGTATCCATCCCAGCGCTAACTTCTCCACCCAGTGTGATCAAGGTCCTGTACCATGCAAGCAGTGTCAGTCCTCTAATCGGCTTTGCACGGGCTATAAACGGAAACTGGCGTATGTTTTCTCGGATGCGGTTGATTTGACCCGTTCAACTGCCTTTGATGAGGACTCCGACTCCTCTGTCACGCACCAAGGAAGATGGAGACGGTCTGAGCCACAACGCCAAATTGCGAAGCCTTCTGTTATGTGGCCTGGTAGCAACTTGAATTGTGGTAGTCGGTCTATACCGATTTCGGGAACGAGATTGGATCATCTCCCAATACCCATCTCTACTAATGTGCTCCTGCGCGAACAGTTCCAATACCTGTTCATGAGTAAACATGTCCCAACCGAGATATGGGACTCAGGACCCCATCACGATGTTACTAATTGGCTTGTACAACTTCAGGGAAACGCAATTCAATCTCCCGTTTTAGATTCTTCTCTCATGGCCTTCTTCTCTGGGAGAGTAGGTCATATGCAAGGAGACTGGGACTTGGTTGCTAGAAGCCACTCTAAATACATTGATGGTCTGGCTTATCTTCAGCGCGCTCTTAATCATTCTTCAGATCGGGTTTCTGATGAGACGCTTGCGGCTTGTATGGCGTTGAGCTTTTATGAGCTTAGTGAGGGGCCTGGTGGGGCGGATAATGCCTTTGGGGCTCATTTTAAGGGTGCTATGATGCTTTTGAAGATGCGTGGGCCTGAGGCTTGTGCGGGTTCGCCGCTTGGGCATGCTTTGTTTTTGGCTTTGAGGGTTCAAATTGTGAGTTACGGATTTTGAGTCGGTTATCTTATTCTATTGATCTTTTTGTTAGGTTGTGCTGTGCTAACTTTTGTATGGTAGATTCTACAAAGTTTTGACTATCGCTGTCCGTCATTCATTTCAGAGCCTGAATGGATGGAGAAGCCTTGGTGTGCGATATCGAAGTCTCCAGCTGATAGATTGTGGGATCTTCTTGCTGAGATAGTATTCATACACTCCAAATTCGACAATGCGGTTTCGGCATCAAACAAGGAGAGAGATACCATCCAAGAGACACTTGAAAGCGTCTTAGACGACTGCTTCAACCTTGAATCGGGTTTAAGAACCCTATACAAGGACTACGAATCAACCATCTCCGGTCCACTCTACTGGTCTGAACTCTCGACTCTAGAAACAACCGAGAATGACTACGACAAAGATAAAGATAAAGAAAAAGGAAACTTGTTCCCCGTTTCCTTCCATTTCTCCAGCTTCATCGTCGCCCGGTTCGCGCTGACCTACTGGTCCGGACTTTTGGTCCTTTATCGCCAACTCGCGATTACGTATCAGCATCTAGCGATCACGCTTGGCATACCGGATTATTTCCATCGGTGTCGCGACGCGACGAACGTCATTTACACTATGGTGATCAATATCTGCCAGTCATTTGAATATATGACAAGTCAGAGAATGAGTGGAATGGGGCTATTAGCTATCATTTCTCCGCTGCGGGCGTCGAGGAGTGCGTTGCAGAGTGTGGCTGTGCTAAGAAATGAAGATATGGATTATGAACTTGCTTGTGTTGCGGGGCTTATTGGGCAATTGTATCGACGATTCAATTTTGATATTAATTTGGTTTTGAATCAAGGGCTGTGACTATGTGGATGATATGTTCCTGGAGTTTCCATTTGTCTTTCCAATCACGCTGTACATATTCGGCTACTCTAGGGGCTTTTAATAAACAACTTTCTTGGCATTATTCCAGTGATAGACGTCCTTCAGGATAGCGTGTCCTAAATCAAACGAGAGTTGGAATCACTATGTAAATTTGAATGCCTGGATAAGCTAATTAATTACTTAAATATCCCGTAGTTACAAATACTCTCTCCTTTCTATGTACCCCGAAGTGGAGAATGAAAATCAGGATTTTCGCCAGGCGGCCAGCTTACTAGTTGAATAAGTAGTTCTAGAGTAGGGTCTAAAGAGAAGGGGCAAGATTAGAAGAGGAAGAGTAGCGAGTATTCGCAGAGGTTACTCTTTCAGCATGAAGTGGTGGATTCTTCATGTAGTATGGAGCGGACCATAAATTAGAAAAGCCTTGGCCAACCCAGTCTGGTAAGCCTTGCGAATAAAATAAAATAATTTCAAAAGTAAAATCCAACCCACTGTTAAATTGAGCTAAACTGCACTGGGTCAGATTTCGCGAATGGCTGACTCCACTTTGTCAGTAGCTCTACCAATGATGTCGCTTACATACTATATTCCCACTCAAATCTTTTACGGTCGTGGCTGAGGAAGAGTGCCTGAATTGGGTTGCTAGTCGAAGAATTTATACGAAGTGAACATATAAGAATGGGCTGGCTGCGCTTTTGAATAGTCTATTTCTCTGCAGGCTTGCATTACTATTCGATTCAAACCTTTTCAATTGCAGGCAATTTCTTGTTTATCTACCGCGGCGATGATCTTGATCTATAAGAAGGTGAAGAAACATAATGAGAAGAAGAGGTTAGAAGCTCAGCGGTTGAAGTCGGGGGCTGAGCAACAGGAAGAGTTGGCGATTATCAATCGCGAAAGTGTCGTCCCTGAACAGTCCGTTTCTGGAGCACATGTGCCTGAAGCTCCTGTCTTCGAGGCTCCAGTCTCCGAAGCTCCTGTTTCCGAAGCAACAAATGAGAAAAAGGAACTGTCACCAGAAGAGAAGGCTGAGAAGAAACGCAGGAGAACTTATCGATATAAGCTCATTCTTGGTCTATTTGGTCCTTTCCTACTCCAATCTTTGGATACCACTATCATTGCCTCTGCATTGCCATATATTGCAAAGGATTTCAGTATGTCAATCTGCCGTGTGAACTTCTCGAGAAAGAAGCACCCAAAGTAGTACTCAAACGAACATGAAGCTAATGAAATATTCTAATTTAGACCAGCTTAGCCAGTTGAACTGGATCATATCATCTTTCAATCTCACCTCCGCCGCATCACTATTCTTCTGGGCCCAACTCACAGACCTATTCGGTAGACACAATACACTTCAGTCTGCGGTAGCTACCATGGTACTTGGTTCAGCTATTTGTACCGGGTCCCCAACTTCAAAATTCAGTGTTCTTCTCCTAGGTCGAGCCCTACAAGGTGTTGGTGCAGCCGGTGTCAGCATATCCGTCCGCACAATCCTCGCAGATGGTGTCTCATTATCAGAATTCGCAACCAACTGGACCATCTTTGCTCTTGTAGCAGGTGTGGGATTCAGTATTGGTCCTGTCATAGGTGGATACCTTACATCCGCCTCATGGCGCTGGTGTTTCGCTATAAACCTACCTATCGGCATACTAGCCATGATCATAGTTGCTTTCATTCTGCGCAAAGATCTACAAGGACCATCGCCGCTTCCACAAATTGAAGGCTTAAATCTATCGACTGCGCCACGTCGATTTATTGTTCGTATTCTGACCATTGATTTTGGTGGTCAGATGTTGTTCCTTTGGGGTTTTGGTTTGCTTATTCTTGCTTTTACTTGGGCAGGTGGTAATTATTCTTGGAGCTCAGCTGCTGTCCTGGCTCCGATTATTATCGGTGCTGTCTTGGCTGTTGCGTGGGTTGTGTATGAACGACTTATGATTCCTGGTTCTTTTATGGCGAGGGCTTTACCACGTCAGAAGGCTATGATGCCTTGGGAGCTTTTTTCACAGCGAGATATTAGTTTGCTTTTCCTTATCAATTTCTCGATGGGTGTTTCCATGTTTGCGGTTATGTATTTCATGGATTTGTACTTTGATCTTGTGGAAGGGAAAAGCTCTAGCACCGCTGGAACGTCTTTGCTATATTTCCTTCCTGGGTTAGGTGGTAAGTGGATCAACATCCCCTGTCATCGCTCCTTTTTGCAACATGATACATCCGAACCAAGCTAATCGCCATCACAGTTGGCGCGTACGCGGCTATGTTTTCTTCTAACGTCTGGCCCCGCCAAACCTTTCCTACCCTTCTACTAGGCTCTATTGCTTCCGCAGTGGGGATAACTGTCTTAGCCTACGCTGTCCATGCTGCCGAAACCAACGTTATATACGGCATGATGGCAGTTGTCGGCTTTGGTGTTGGAAGCCGTATGAATCCTGCCTCGTTGCACGGACTGGCCTACTTTCCTGCCATGACGGCTCAAATAACCAGTTTGGTTTCGTTTGCGCTTCCATTTGGTGGTTTGGTGGGTTTGACTATCATGACAACGGTCTTTACGAATAAAAGTGGTTCAGGAGAAATGAATGCTAGGAGCGGGATTATGTGGGCGTTTATTGCCATGATACCGTTCATGTGGATTGCGGTAGTTTTGACTACCTTATTGGGGAATGTGTGGATATTGAAGGATGGTGGTCATGAAGTTGTTTGTGGGGCTTATCTTTGGAGTTTTGTTACTCGGAAACCACTTGTTAGAGAGAGGAGAGATCGGGGACAGAATGCAGAGTCGAATGACCAGGAGAGAGAAATTATGGATGATGTTGAGATGGGCTCTGTGACTGGTGCTGGCATCGATGCGAGAACCGAGAGGTGATCAACTATTACTTATTCTTGACTTACTTAATTACTTTCTTTCAACAGAAGGATTAAACTGAAATGATATTTTAGATTTTTATTATTGTTCATTTATCATTCTGAGGTAACATTTCATTTAGACAGGCAACACGAAGATGATACCAGATAAGTCCACTAGTAGAACAGAGAGAGACTGAACGAGAGATAAACAAAGACCGGAAAGTGTTAATACTCAAGATACCTCAAGGTATTCAAGTTGGAATCGTATAGGAATTACGAGGAGTCACCAGTCCATATAAATTCAGCGGTTTCACACTGAAAGCTCCATTGGTATCCAGTGCATAGTCGGGATCCTCGAATTCAAAGTCCACGTCCTTGACAATACTTGCAAGAACGAAAATAGACCACCGCCACGCCCACATTGTACCGTAGCATTCACGCTTGCCATTTCCAAATCCCTTTCTCGCGCCCTTGGGCAATTGGTCCCATTTTTCACCGAGGACACGCTCGGGAATGAATGCTTCTGGGTCCTCGAAGACTTTCGGGTCGCGGTTCACAGTATACAGAATCGAAATCATGCCTTGGTTGTGTGGAACCTCGTATTTTCCACCAGCAAGCAGAACAGGTTCTTTGCTTTCCGTGGAAATGGGCTCGATATTGAATCCTGGTGCCGTTGCAGAGAGGCGAAGAGACTCACGGACGATGGCCTCACAATATTGTAACTCGGAGAAATGCTCAAGTTGGATATTTCCATTAGGTCCCACTACTGTATGGATCTCGGCCCTAGCCTTTACGAGCTTCTCGGGATTCTTGACCAGATAGTAGAGGGCAAACGAAACGAGATTGGGAGCGGTAGCGGCGCCTATGAACATCGTGATAGTTTCATCGATGACTTGTGAGTGGTTGAGTTTCTCTCCGGTTTTTGGGTCTGTGTTGTTCAGCAAGGCATTGAGAAGGTCATCTCTCGATTGCGATGGATTGTCCTTTCGTGTTTTGACGATGTCCTCTGCGTAGTCACGCATCAACTTGATGTTCTTCTGGAAACCGCTCTCATAGAAAAGTTTGTTGAGGATTGCGGGACGTGTTGGACGTTTCATAGCTTCCAGTGTGATAGACTCCCAGGCGTGAATGAGAGGATGCTCTGGTCCCTCGAGAATTTCGATTCGCTGGTTGTAGAAGCATTGCATGACCGACGACATAAGTAGACGACTGAGGTCACTAGTGAACAAAACTCTTTTTTTCATTCCCGATGTCCATTTGTTCGTGAGATCGGGGATGACCTTTGCCATATCCTCGAAGACTCGATCTGTTCCCGCCTTTGTGACATATGGCGCCATGATACGGTGTGACACACCCCATATTTCTTCATTGTCATATGCAGTGAATAGACAATTATGTGCAAGCTGGCGCATTTCCACGATTGGGCCTGTGACGAGTTTGCGGAATCGTCGCTGATCGCATATTTCTTCTAGTAGTTCGACGTTACTGATGAAGACGAGCTGTTTACCCAAGACGTTGATTTTGAAGATCGGGCCTGTAGAGGTCTACTAGTTAGCTGCCATGTGGTCTGCCTGCTAATCCCCATAAGATCCAAGATTACCGTATTGCTGCGAAAGTTTGATTAGGGAATTCCATGTTTCATTTGGATTTACGTTGAAAATATTGCCAAGGATGGGAATACCCGGCGGGTTGGGGATCTTCTGGGCGATTACCGATGACATTGAGAATGGGGCTCAAACGTGATAATTCTCTCAATGATATTATTATTCAATTTTGTGATATATTTCTCCAGAGTTTGAAAAGAACAGCTGAGGAAAGCGACCCCGTACCGACCTTTTGTTTTAAGGAGCCTGAAAAGACTGCCCCCTCCACGTCACACAAAGATCATCCCAAAAGTTCAGCTGGAATATGTGGATAATTGGAAACGTTGAATGTGGATTGGCTATGTCTTCTGATTTTGAGAAGGATGAGAGGCTATAGGCTGAAACTAACGTTTCTGCGGGGATGTCTGCATACATCTGCACGACGCGAGTCCATAGCGGGCCGGAATAGGAAAGGATAAATTGCAGAGAGCTCAGTGAGACGAACTACTCAAAGTCTTGGAGACGTCGCATCCAGTAATTGGGAAGACAGCTAGTCACATTCGAGATTAGTACGCACCGTGGTGGATGGCATTGCCGTATCCGTGAATAATATGCAGGCTCTTATTGGGCTGATACTCGCGAAAAATAGCCAGGTGTGGGAAGTGGGAGGCTTGGAACCCCAACAAATAGAATATTTTGATTGACATAGGACGTAAAACTAACAGTGCACATGATGAGAAAACAGCTGAATATCAGTGGAGATTTTTCTTTCTTAATACTCCAAGTCTAAAAAACAAAGAGAACCTGGGGGCTTGACTAGTAGCATGTAGGATGGTATTTAAGACCATTGAAGTACATAAAGCGACCGAGGGTTCTTTATTCGAGAGAACTATGATAATCACCCCAGATATCAATACTCAAGCTACTTTCGTTTATCATTACATGCATTAAATCTTCATTCTACAAAGTTGAACCCTCCAACTATAACAAGATTCAAGCTTGATGAAGAGGCTCTTAAATGGCGGCATCCGATAGGCTGAACCAGCCAACGCAGCTGGAGCCGCGGGACCTGCCAACGCGGTGACGCAGAAACTAAGAGGGCAAAAAAAAGTTGCGGCTTCAACTCGCGTTTTCTTTGACCTTCAACACCAACGGATTCATTCTTCCTGCCCTCATTCTCCCCACTTGACAGTCAAGTTGGCTTCATTTTGCGCCCGTGGGACTTGGATTGCCGCAAATCCTGGCGCAATCGCCCGGTGCGCTTTTCTGCGAAGCACAAGTTCCCCGTTACTTGTTTCTGGTCTCCATGGCCGCTTCCCCGAACTTCGAACTCCCAGTTATCATCGCTCGCTTTCCGGTCTAAAGCGATTGTCTAAAGCAAGAGCAGTTATCAGCAAGACACCTCCTAGTCAAGCTCCAAATCAGACTCGCCCTGCCCCAAACACTCAACGTCCACGCAAGAGAGTCACTCCGAAGAATTTCGTCCTTCTCCCCACCACCGACCGTACCGGATCCGCGAACTACGTCCTTTGCAATCCAAAGTTCCTACAACCGTCCGAAGAAGGCCCGCCGCTCTCTGCGGCACCATCGCAACCAATGAAGGCCGAATTCCAGGTTACCACGACCCCGACTGCGGACACGCCGGGCACCGCTATCTTCTTGGCTTATCCCGACAAACGTTACTTCTTTGGCCAAATATCACCAGGCCTGCAGCGCGCATGTATTGAACGTGGCGCTAAGCTTGTTGGTTTGACCGATGTCTTCATCACGGGTCGAACAGAATGGGCCAACACTGGTGGTCTAATTGGTGTCATTTTGACCATGGCGGATGCTCTTGCATCTGCCAATGCTGCCTTGGAAGAAGAGAATCGCAAGAAGGCCATTCGAAAATCACTCGCCGAGGCTCTTCCTAAAGGGAAGCAGCCTCCTGTCGCTTTAGAGCAACACTTGTATAAAGGCCAACTCACACTTCATGGTACAGACAATCTGACTCACACCTTGGCCACTGCTCGGCGATTCGTATTCCGAAAGGGAATGCCCATTTTTACGAAAGAGTACAATACCGAAAGCATCGCTGCCCGGTGTCGCGATAGCGAGACCGAAGATCCATTTGAAAAGCCTTCGTGGTCCGATCATAACATCAAAGTATGGGCGATGCCCATCAGAGCCCCCACCTCCCCAACGACGTTGAACCCGCCCACTCAGCCGCGACCACAGAGCCCTCGAAAGCGTAGCCTAGATGAATATAGAGAAACCACTTCAGCTGGGACCATTCTCACTCAGCCTGCTAGTGACTTGCTGGTACGACAGGCTATTGTGACAGACATGTTTAACTCGACCTGGAAGATGGATGCCCTGGTAGAGACACCTATTGCAGACGTCAATATGCCCGCTGCGATGTTTGTTCGAAACCCTGAGACCAAAGATATGGAGCCTTATAATGGTCCAAAGCCAGGAGAGAGCCAGCCGTTGCCCGACATCAAAGTATTCGTTCGACAACCCTGGCCTGGCGCAAAGGTTGAAACTCTACCCCCTACGTCACCTTCAAGGGAAGCGCTTTGCTATATCGTTCGAAGCCATGATACACGTGGTAAATTCGAGCCAAAGAAGGCCAAGGAGCTGCGGGTGAAAATGGGACCCGACTTTGCTCGTCTGACAAAGGGAGAGAGCGTTCTGTCAGAAGACGGCAAGACAATTACTGCAGATATGGTGTTGGGACCAACCAGATTGGGCTCCGGGACTGCTATTATGGATGTCCCATCAGTGGAATATGTGGAGTCAGTGGTGAATCGGCCTGAATGGAAATCACCAGCTGTAACAACTGGCCTCAAGACTTTCATCTGGATTCTAGGTCCGGGGGTGGGAGATCACCCTAAGCTTCGCCAATTCGTGGCAGATATGTCTCACTGCGAGCATACAGTGTCTAGCACTGATTATTGCCCTAATTATCTGGCGCTTTCCGGCGCCGCTCAAGCTGCAATTCGACTAGCTCGACTTAAGCGTGATACCTACTCAATTCCCGTTCATAACAACGTGACCCTCCCCCAGAACAGGGCTATAATTCCTAATACTCCTTCAAATCCAGCTGCAACTAAAGACGCTCCGTTTGAGCCGCTTGAGCCGGGGCTTGTCATCGATGTGGAACCTATCTACAAAATAAACAAAGGACTGGTTGTTCCTCATTTGAATACAGCGCAAACGGTCTTCAATATCCCTAAATCAGTTGAGCAACGAATGTCAACTATTCGGGAACGTGTCGCTAAACCGCTATTCAAGGGTCAATTGGAGGAGTTTAGAAAGGATCTTCCTGGGGGAGATGCTGAAGTTATCGCCCTTGGAACAGGCTCTTCGGCCCCCTCAAAGTACCGCAATGTCTCTGCCACCTTGGTATATGCCCCCGGATCTGGCTACTATCTACTAGATTGCGGTGAGAACACTTTGGGTCAACTGGAGCGAGTGTTCGAGCCAGAGCAGCTGCGCGAGGTTCTTCGAAATCTCCGTATGATATGGATTAGCCACCTGCACGCTGATCACCATCTTGGTACGATCTCAGTCATTAAGGCCTGGTATCACGAAAATTATGGCGCTGATGCCAAACCAACAAATCCACCTGAAACGGACCTGAACAAAATTTTGCAAGAAAAGCGTCTTGTTTTGGTCTCCGATGAAATGATGGTCACATGGCTTGAAGAGTATGCATCAGTTGAAGATTTTGGCGCTGATAAGCTCATTTCTCTTTCTGCGCACCCCGAAATTTCTCAGAGCTCCATTGTTACTAAGTTCACCCACCGTCATATCAAGAATGGTGCGCCTCCGTTTGGACTGCATGCGCCAGACAGAACAATTCTTGATTTCAACGACGACTCGTCCCCTCTCACAGCGCTTCTCAAATCAGCCACAGGCCTCACAGACCTTCTTACCGCACAAGTAAAACACTGCCGTGGAGCACTCGCCGTCTCTTTTGTATTCCCAGATGGATTCAAGGTTTCTTACTCAGGTGACTGCAGACCGTCAGACAAGTTTGCAGCCATCGGTCAGGACTCCACCATCCTTATCCACGAGGCGACTTTCCAAGATGACATGATTGGCTCTGCCCTTGCAAAGCGCCACTCAACGTCCGGCGAGGCCCTGGAAGTCGGCCGTCGCATGGGAGCTCGTACTGTACTCCTAACACATTTCAGTCAGCGGTACGCCAAGATTGCTCGGTTTGAAAACAACGCCGGAGGGGGAGTTCCCGGTATCTCGCCCAAGAAGGCCGCTGCCACCATAAAGCCCGAAGATGCTGATATCCCCTTCGACGATCCGGAAGATGAGCCTGGTGTTTCGGCATCTGCCGCCAAGCTCCTGGATGACATCCGCTTCCCGTCTAGGGACCGACCTGCTCTCCCCCACAGGCCACTTCCAACTCCCAATATGGGTGCGCCTGTTGCTGCTGCTATGGATTACTTTCGTGTTAAGATTCGAGATTTTCCCTTGGCGCAGGCTTTCGCTCCAGCCTCGGAGAAGCTTATCGCGGTACTTGAACGCCACAGCGAGCAAGTATCTGCTGTCAACAAGAAAAAAGTCCAAGACGATGAAAAGGCTCAGAAGGTCAAGAAGAGTGCTAAGTTTACTGGAAAGAAAGCTGCTGCTGCTGCAGCGGCAGCTGCGGCAGTGGCTGTCACCGATAATGCACAGACTGAAGAGGAGAAGCCCGAAGAGATAATCGATCCGGAAGCTGTGTTCCTTGCCAGCGAAAGTGAAGCCGGGTGGGAAACAAGTGATGCTGAAGATTCCCATGAAGTTTAAGTACATATTGTAAATATCCATACAGTCATTTTATCCAAAAATATTAGATCTTCCGCAACTCTTCTACAGACTCTGATTCAATGTTCCAGTATCGCACCTCATTCATAGCTAAGAAGATCAATGGAACTATGATCAACGCCCTAGATATTATTAACTCATTTGCTCCTCAATCGATTCAAGATCTCTCATTCTGTCTCTCTCGCAGTTAAAGATATTTTGACAAATGAATCATCCCACTGGCTGTGTTTACAGCACTATTCCATGCCTTGTCTATACCAAGCTTTATACTTCGATTACCTCGGCAAAGACAAACACAGTGCCGCTTTATTCCTCTCTTGCTCTCTAACGTGAATTAAATATGGACTTTGTATGGATAACAATACAGTTCGCTCTAAATTGATTTGCTATTACTCCATTCCAATGCATTTTAACTATATTATTCTCAAGATATTCATGCTTGTATAGATCTCCCCCATATGACACCTGATGGCGCCACCGGCAACGGTTCCCCTCTCACCGCCCCACCCCCGAGATGTCACCTTCAACAGATGCCGACCCCGACATTTGTCCCATCGCCTATAGCCAGAAATGACGACTCTAAACCCCCGTGGGCCATACTCTCCGGAGGAGCTCGAGAAACTTTATCCAAAAGGCTTAAAGCTACAATTGGTGCAAGTGGTAAGTGCCATAGCTCACAAAGCTCAATACTCCTCAGTGGCTAACCTCCGGTAGTTCCTCCGCCATGGTAAGAGCTTAGCTCCCAGCTTGCAGTTGATATGTCGACAGGATTCTAATTCAGGCTAGGTGAACGTACACCTGTTTCATCTCGATTTCAGAACGTATGTACCTATTTCCTATGCACAGGTCTGCTGTTGGTCTTGAACGCTAATTCCTTCGAAAGGCAGGCTTGAGTCCATGTAACTTCTCCTCCCTCGCGACGAACTATACGTCTTTCCCGATCATTTCACTCACACGGCTATAGTCTGGCCTTACTGCAGCGTTGCGAAGCAGATGGTTGAGGCTGCTGCGAGTAAACAAGATCTCTCAAGCTGGGACGGATTTCAATGGCGTCGGAAGATCGAGACCTTTGGTGACAACGATGAAGCGAGGGTTGCCTCTGGACCCAATGGGTTGATTGAGGGCATTTGGTTAGTTTATAATACTTTGGGGTGGTGTGGACTCTGCTAATGAGCTCTCAAGCCAACACGGTCAGCTCACCGACAAGGGCCGTGAGACAACCTATGCTCTGGGTCAACGCCTGCGTCATCTATATGTTGACCAGCTTGGATTCATGCCTAAGATCAAGGAGGATACAGAAGATATGTACATGCGTGCTACATCTATTACTCGTGCTCTGGAGTCTATGCAGCAGGCTTTCTGGGGAATGTATCCTTCTAATGCTCGCACCCTGGACTTCCCCCCGCCAATTATTGTTGCGCGCCCTGTGAACGAGGAGACACTTTTCCCTAACGAGAGTAATTGTCGACGATTCCGACAGCTTGCTCGTCTATTTGCGGATCGCGCTGCTGTGCGCTGTAAGATTCATGCACCTCTCATTTCTATCTATGGGTCGTTTGGATGATTATGGCTAATGATGTCTCGGTACAGGGAATGACTCTGAGCAGATGGATTATCTAAACAAGGTCTGGTCCAAGTACATGCCTGCGACATCACCAAAGGTTGCTGTGGATGCTCACCCTCGTCTTTCTGGGATCATGGATACTATTAACGCCACTGATGCTCATGGGCCGGCCACAAGGCTTCCATCCGACTTTTACGACAAGAAGGCTCGCGCTATTCTTGATCGTATTGCGGTGGAGGAATGGTTTGCCGGTTATAACGAAAGCAATGAATACCGTAAATTGGGAATTGGCGCCTTAATGGGTGACGTCGTTGACCGCATGGTCAGTACCGCAGTCGATGGTGGCTGGCGCAGCGAGACTTCTGCGTCCGGATCGAATGTCCCGGGAACTGGAAAGGCTATCAAGTTCGCTTTGAGTGGATGCCACGATACTACCCTTGCGGCTATTCTGTCTAGTATCGGCGCTTTCCAGAATGGTTCATGGCCCCCTTTCACCTCGTCTATTGCCGTCGAGCTCTTCTCTCGAGCTCCTCACCAATCAGCAGATGCTGGTACAATGCTAGAGGAATTCTCTAACCCGGCAGTTTCATCTAAGAAGGGCGGAGTGTTGTCTTCGATCTTTGGTGGTGGGGACAAGTCCGCATCTCAACAACTTGCTCCCTCCGCAACTGCACGTGCACCTCTTCAATCTTTGCCTGACGAATCGCGTGATTCTCTGCGCAAGCACTATGTTCGTATTCGCTACAACGACCAGCCTGTAACCATTCCAGGCTGTGCTGCAAAGCCTGAGAACCACCTCCCTGGCGATGAGACCTTCTGCACGCTCGATGCTTTCAAGAGCATCGTCGATAAGTTTACTCCGAAGAACTGGGTTGCCGAATGTATGCAGAACCTGGGTGAAGGCATGCATGGCCCCAATGACTCGGAGCGCATCCCCGCTGATTCGTAGACTGTATGTTCTGCTTCTATTTCTGTTCTTGTCCTTTTTTTGCACAATTTCGATTCTCACATCCTTTATGATTCTATTCACGCCCCTTTTCTATGCAGATAAATTTGTGTATTTGGTTAGGTTGTAATTATAAAAACACCGAAGACCACAACTTTAGAACGTCGAACTGAATTTTATCTTTTCTTCGCCTTTTCCTCCTCTTCCTTCTTCAATTCTCTCATCTTCTTCGCCGTAATCTTCATCAACACCGACCGAGGCAGTACATCAAATATCACCCCTTGCACCGAGTGCCAGAAATACGCCCAAGCAATCACCTCACCACACCCAACACGATTCAACGCCCCCGTCGCCAGCTCCCGAGAATTAGGAACAAACAACCCAGCCTTGATATCAAATGCAGACGTCCTCGTCGGCCCAACACGTAGTCCCATCACATCCACATTCCGGCCTTCAGCAACACACTCCGCCTCCAAGGCCCGCGTCAATGTATCCACGAACCCCTTCGATGCAGAATAGACACTAATAAACGGCATTCCATACACCGCGATAGACGAGACATTGAGCACTATTCCACGCCCCCCAGCTGCTAACAGCGGCAGCAGCACGCGTGTAATCTGCAACATGAATACTGCATTTTTGTCCAATGTCTCCTGCGCTTCTTCAAACGTATAGGCCTCCAACATTGTATATGGCTTCGAGTCCCCTCCAACATTATTCACCAGCACACTTAGTTCTCCCCCGTTTCGTGCTAGAATCTCCCGAACTTGACTGCTTACTTCGTCAATGGCGTTTGTCACGCCCACAACGTCTAGAACGATGATATCGGTCTTTTGAGCTGGGAACTCGGCTTCTAGTTCCTTTGCGCGTTTTTGAAGCTTTGTTTCATTGCGCCCGTGTAGAATTACGTTGAATCCACGTGCGCATAGCTCTTGACAGAATCCGAACCCGATTCCATCTGTTGCGCCTGTTACGAGCGCCCAGTTTTTGCCTGTCGGGTTGTATTCTTTTGTCAGTGTGCTGGGGTGGAGGTAGATAGATGCTCCACGGATAAGTTTGAAGGCTGTATAGGCTACTGTTGTGAGGCCTATGTAGGCGAGTGGTTTCGTCCAATCTGTCGATGCCATTGTTGATGCCAATCTTGCGGTTGGAGTGTTTGGGAGTGAGGATTGGTTGAGTTGAGTTGAGTTCAAGTTGCTTTTGTAGATCACGTATGTGATGATATCATCGATCGGATCGGGAATTCACAGATCGAGGTTTGAAAATGTGAGTTAAGCTGGAAATATTTTCGAGGTTACATGGCCCTTTTATGGTTTTTTCTTCTATCCTAATTTAGTAGGTCTTCGTGTTTCCTGTAGTTGATTTTGACGGCGAATTGCAGTTTGTCGGCCCGCGAAGGACGCCGAGGCTCCGATCCCCGACTATTGTCCAGTTGACTGCATTTAACATACCTATGAGGGTCCGACGATAATACTGTCCAATATTATCGCTAAGCCAGAAGCTCGGCGATACAGTAGGCGATGTTACCGTACCGTCAACAGCCCTAGAGGCTGGGGGGACGAAAATGATTAGTCTGGTAGCTCAACGTTTCGACGCCGAAGACATCAAAATCTAACTGGTCTGGACAATTCGTGTCAATGAGCACTTGAGGCAAGTAGTAAAGTCCAGTAGTCAGGCGTCAACGATTCAAAATGTCTTTATTGAGCTTATTACGCTCCTGGCTTTGCAAAATCTGCAGGTGGAATCATAACCCAGACATCTCAAAGCTTTGGCTCTGGTCCCAAAGCGAATGCTTCGTTTTGTGTTGTACCTAAACATGCATTATACTTAACACTATATCCAGCGATCCGGACGTGGCACGCTAAAGCTCCTGGGGATATGAAATGTTTCTCTTTGCGAATTTTCAATTCTTTGCCAAGCCAATATACCATTGAGAGGTTGCATCAGCTGAAGAAGGGCTTTCTCGACAGCGAAATCTTCCCATCTTGCCCTAGACCCTAAAATCTGAAATTCATTTCATGCGAAGCAGGCAAGGTTCTATCGCAATAAAACCTGCCATACCAGGTCCGACCAATAAGGACTCTCATAATACATAATTACGGACCTGACGTCGCGATTTGAGGACCGTGAAGGTCAGCGTCCCCATCCAGGTACCTTGGAGACTGAACTAACCAGCCAAACAAAAGTCTCTAATTATCAGCACTATGGGGCAAGTATTATTTAATTGAGTCTTCCAAATCTCCACATTGTTTCTTTACACCTTGGAAGTCTCGTATGGGCATCTGTATCATCCAGAAACGGCAATTAGACTGCATCGAACAATGAGGAACTTGGAGACGATGCGCAAAAGAGATAAAGAGAACTGCTCGCAAGGTGCTTGGGGGCGTATACTACTCGATTCTTCCATTTTGATTTATTCCTTTTTCTTTTTCACTACTCTTTACTCACACTGTATACACAATTTGGTTAGAAAGACAACTAGCTGTCACAATGGTCATCGATTCGGGACGAGAGTCTATAGCCTATCATGTGCCGGCTCCGGTTCATGAGAATGGAAAGCCTAAAACTAAGCAGATGCCTGTTACTTTACTTTCAGGCTTCTTGGTATGATATCGATTTGTTGGATTGATAAGGTTGCCTGTCGCTAATATTCTATTTAGGGGAGTGGAAAGACTACATTGCTACAGCACATTCTCAAGTCACCGGATCATGGGCTGAAGATTGCTATCATTGTTAATGATATGAGCCAGTAAGTCTAACATGCTATATCTGATATGAATATCAGTAGTTAATTGATTCGTTTCATAGACTGAATATTGACGCTACTCTTATCCGGAACCACCAAGTTTCTCAGACTCAGGAGAAGCTCATTCAACTCCAGAACGGTTGCATCTGTTGTACTCTTCGTGGTGATCTGCTCGCAGAATTGGCACGTCTCACAAAGCAGGATGGGATTCAATATGTCATCATCGAAAGTACTGGAATTAGTGAGCCTATGCAAGTTGCTGAGACCTTCACGGCTGAGTTCAGCTCTGCCATGCTGGAGGCCGAAGATCAAATCGGAAACAATAATGATGAAGATGCAAAGAAGATCCTAAATGAGATGTAAGATTCTCCAAATGACAATGTTGAAAAAACACACATCTAACATCGATAAAGTGTTGAGTTAGGCGGATTACACACAATGGCTCGTCTCGATACAACAGTGACCGTCATCGATGCCTTCAACCTTCTATCCAACTTTGATACCGCCGAGTTCCTTTCAGACAGATACGGGCGCGAGGAGATTGTACCGGAAGATGAGCGTACTATCTCCGACCTAATGGTTGACCAGATTGAGTTCGCCGATGTGCTCATCATCAATAAGATCGAGACAATTGACGAAGCAACTCGCGAGAAGATCCTTCAGCTGATCAAGTTGCTTAACCCCGACGCCAAGGTGTTGACATCCAGCTACTCTCAAGTGGATGTGCGAGAGATTGTTGACACTGGCAAATTTGACTTTATCCGTGCTGCCTCTGGAGCCGGTTGGCTTCGTAGCTTGCATGAGATGACCATTCAAACCACCGGTCACGGGGACCGAATGGCGCCTAAGCCGGAGACTTTAGAATATGGTATCAACAACTTTGTCTATACCGCCCGTCGTCCATTTCACCCTCGTCGTATCTTCTCCCTTCTTTATGACAAGTTTATCATTCTTCAAAACAATGAGCTTGAAGAAGAAGAAGACGACGACATGGAAGATGAGGACGGAGAAAATACCGCGGATGAGATGGATACAGACACCGAATCAATTGAGGACTTCGATCATCCTGATCCAAAGGATATTCTCGATAACAAGCGCAATAATCCTGCTTTCGGCCCTGTACTTCGTTCAAAGGGATTCTTCTGGTTTGCTACTCGACCCTTCCAATTTGGTGAATGGAGTCAAGCAGGTGGTATGTTAACAGTTGGCTGTGGAGGTCCTTGGTTCGCCGAGATGCCTGATGAAACATGGCCTGAAGATCCCGACGTCCGAAAGTCCATCGTGAATGATTTCAAGGGTCCCTGGGGTGATCGACGACAAGAGCTTGTTTTCATCGGAGAAGGTGTAGATCAAGAGAAGATTTCTGCGCTTTTGGATGAATGTTTGTTGGACAATAAGGATATGAAGCAATGGGAGAAGATCATGAAGAACAAGAAACTTAGTCGAGAGGCTAAGACCGAGAAGTTGGCTAAGATTTGGGAAGATGGATGGGAAGAGTGGCCTGAATATGAGATTGAAGATGAAGAGGAAGAGCAGGTTGCACACGTGCAGGCTCTGGGCAAGCATCGTATTAGTGAGCATTTGGGTCATCAGCATGAGCGCAGGGGCCTTAAGCATAGCCATCGGTAGGATTTTGGGGTGAAGAATATAATTGGTAAAAGTGTTTGTTTTGTTGTTGAGTCAGATATGCACATCACTTTTGATGAATTTGATACTATTCGAAGATCTTTGAGATTAGCACCCTGTACTAGTTGTTAGCTTGGAGCTTGTTGAAATAGATTTGCCGTAGTCACATCAGGTCAAGAGCAATGACATGGTCTGGGAAGCAGCGACATGAAAGAAAGAGTAATCACATGACAAAGTTTATGAGTCGGTGTCAATAACTTTGAAGACCAACGTTTGAAATTCAAGTTCTTAAGTATTTTTTTCGATTCGTCTTATAGAGATTGAAAGAGTGTTATGCTGGATGTTGAATATCTGCCACCATTCAATTGGAAACTTTGGAATCGAATTTATTTTTCTTCCTTGAACTAAGCTAAAGTAATGGTATATTACCTTAAGCACTGGTTTGATCTTCCAGTTGCTCAAGTTGCTCCCAGCTGCGAGAGAAAACATCGTTAAGAGCATCTTGGAACGTGCGACAATTCATATCAATTAGGCCTCGCTTTTCTTTAGCTTCGGGGTTTCGTATGACAGAAACGAGGCAAAGGTATCTAGAGCCAATAGTCAGCAACCAACTATCGATTCTTCAAGGGGCAAGATAGTCATACTTGTTCATCTCCATTAAGTGGATCATAGTCTCATCATGTAGCACAACATGGCTTTCTGCCTCCTGAATCTGCTCACCCTTAGGTCGACGCTCGGGATGATCCCATGAATAGAGCTCGGAGATATCAACAATCACATCGATATAGTCCGAGCACATTTCATAGCAAGCCATGTCAACAGGGCGAGTATCAGAGGCAATATAGATTTTGCTGAGAACATCAAAGAGATATGTCTTTTCGAAGCCACAGTTGTTGCCAAGTGTGTTGATCAAGTTCTCAAGAGTGGAGAGATTGGGAATAAGTTTTTGGATGACCTTGCTGAAGGCCTCGAAGACTGAGTAATCGTAAATGGAGGTAAGATAGTAGTGCACAGGTGCATTTTCGTATCCAGCATCGCTAAGCTCATCTGAGATACGTTGTACAATATCCTGAAAGGTATCGGTGCGATACTCGTCTGAGAGCCCATCGACCTTGTGGATGAAGACCTCGATATTGATCCCAGGGTAATATTGCTGGACAGTTAGGATAGTACGGTTTAACCGAGCTACAGAGTCGAGGTAATCATCTTGAGCATCGATGACCCAGACTAGCGCTCCCAGGCTGCCGAAGATGTCTTCGAGATCGAATGATGGCTCAAGATATTCAAGCTGGCCTGGAAAATCCCAGACTTGAAAATCCATAAAGGAACTGTGAAGTGGGTTAACAAATAGTGGAGGTGCTGAAAGGTTTCTTTTCTCACTGAATTGAGTCTTTTTGGATTCGAGTTGTGGATTCCAAAAAGAGGGTTTCATTTGGGGGCATTTTGTGAAAGACTACGCTGGCGATAGATGATTTACCGCTCCTGAAATCAAGTTAGATTCTGTTTTTTGGTATTTCAAGAATGATGTTACACATACCGGCGTAACCCCATGAGGAGTAATCGTGGTTTAGCATCGCGAGCTTGAGTACTGGGAATAAGAGATGATCTGGGCAGTGCCGAGCCACCGGCATAATTGGTTCCCTGTAATAGAAGTTCAAGACTTAGCTGGGCACTGGTCTTATATGTTGAAGCGACATATGATAGATAATTGCTTGACAAGCAGCGGTCAACGTCAAGGTCCAAAGAGCGAGATCTTCGGACGGAGGCAAAGGGCATATTGGATTATCCACATGGAGCTCTCTAGGAAGAAGGAAGTGGGCGCAAAGATATTGGAAATTCCACACTCAGTGGGAAAAGCAAATATATCACATGCCACTTAGAGCAGGCAATCACCTTTCAAGGCCTTTTAAAAGGCTCAAAAGGGGGCTGACATGTAATACTCTCCGAAGTCCACACCGACAAGAGCTCCAGTGATATATTCAACGGGTATGATTGTGACCAGTCCGGGGCTTCTAGAAAGACATACGGCCTGTATAAAAGAAGCTATGGGCCTTCTATTGCCGCCGAAATCACACACAAAAATGCCCGGAACCAAGCATCTGTCTCACCATGGCGCCGCCCGCCGCCCGCCGCCGGGACCAGTGATGATCACCCAGGTAGATGAGACGAGACCGCAAAGATGGGAAATAGAAGAGAAGGGGGCGAAATTTATAAAAAGCAGGCATGATATGGAGCTGCACATTTCTTACCTCCATCTAATTAGAAGCTCCGCGGGTAGCTAGCTTAGCTAGTCGGAGAACGCGAACGCCTTCTGCGGGGTAGGTCAGCTTTAATGCGCATATGAAACCGGGAACTCCGCATAGTAGACATACAAGAGTCAATGATATGAAGGATAAGCAGGTGAATATTCGTAGGAAACCAGGGGCGTAATTTGATTCAATTGTATGAACATCGAATACTAGACCAGCCCAGAATAATTGTGGCACAGGGATCGGGCTGCGGCATTCACTGCGACATGCTTTCCCTAAAGAGTGCGGAGCTCAGGCAAGGAAGCACACAAGTGGATAAGCGTATTACTGGACACAGGAAGCACAATTCCAAAAGTACAGGGATCTGGTGTCGAGGGGTATGTCGCACTGTAGTGAGGTAGGAGGAAAAGGCGGAGATGCCCTTGGCGGGCACCGTTATCGCGCTTGTTATCCTCGTTATCGGGACTATCGGGCTATCGGACTTCGTGGATTCCCTGATCATTGCCCAAACTAGTCTTGTGCTGGTCTCCATACACTGACTCGCTTTCATTTTCTGAACCTTACACCTCATCTCCATACTTGAAATCCACCAATGTCGGAAATTCGTCAGCGCCAGGCTGCCTCAGCCAAGGACAATGGGCAAAAGAAGCCACAAAGCCGATCGCAAGACCGTCCGAAGTCTGGCGAAGAGCAGGGTATCAGTGTGATTGACGTGATACGTCTTATTGCCACGTTTACTATTGTCACTTTGGGCATCTCTTACTACATGACTAATGGGGAGTCGATGCTATTCGGCTACAAACCCTGGTTCTCGAGGTGGCCAGTCGTGAAGCACTACATGGTAAGCAACACAGCTAGCTCTTCTTTCTCGCTACCCACCCCACTCTACGAAGAAACGAAACATACGAAATAGCCACAGGACAGTGCTCAATATGAATGGCTCAATCATGCTGATCTGATTTACTTATCACTAGACCGGACCGGTTAAGCTTACTCCTGCTGAACTCTCCCGCTACGACGGCAATGACGAGTCCCTCCCTATCTACGTAGCTGTCAATGGCCATATCTTCGATGTCTCCGCCAACCCGGCCATGTACGGTCCAGGCGGGGGGTATCACTTTTTCGCAGGAAAAGACGCAACCCGTGCCTTTGTCACCGGTTGTTTCCAGGAGGATCTAACGGCCGACATGACTGGCGTGGAAGAAATGTTCATGCCTGTGGAGGACGTGGATGAAGGCTTGACGTCAGGAGAGAAAAAAGTGCGACGCGAACGGGAGTTGCGACACGCGCGTGCACAGGTTGAGAAGACTGTTGCGAGATGGCAGGGATTCTTCGGGAATTCTCAGAAATACTTTCAAGTTGGGCGAGTGGTTGGGTCAGAGTTGGAGAAGGATCCTGAATTTGGGAAGCGAGTGCTTTGCGATGGAGCGCAGAAGCAGCGCCCAAAGAGAAGTGAAATGGCGGAGGACTCATAGGGTCTGGATCATTGGATTATTTTACACGGGACATATAATGTCCAGGTGAAGTCGAAGCTCCCAATAATTCGTTTTGTAAATATCTTTCCAAGCTCCGTTCTAGCACTTGCCTATAGCGTTGGCCCATTACGACTTTCATAACCTTCCATTTCGTATATGGACGAAGAATATCCGAGAGCAATTTATAAGCGTTGCGAAGGAAAAATATGGAAGTTTTGTAACTTTTTGTTTCATTCGTTCTACCAGACTAGTCCAGAAGGGCGAAAGTACCACACTTCCGAAATATCAGGCGTCGAATCCATGCATCACGCCCAGCCGAAGCTTCCCATGTAAAATGATATCATTCGTAGCAAGGAGATAAAAGAACCGCGAGAAAAGTCGAGAGACGGATACGTTTACTCGGCGGTGATGGCACGGGCTAAAAAAAAGGTTAGATTTGGCTGTTGGAAATTCGATCGGAAGAGAAAAACGCACTGTAGATGTTCAGGCTGCTGTGACCAACAACCTTCTTGATCTCACCGCGCTCCTCGAGGTCAGCGAGAGCCTGGCGGGCAAGGCTGCCGTTGATCTTGAGACGATCGACGAGGGTGGCAACGGTGATCAGACGGTAGGACTGAACATCCTTGTTGAGCTTCTCGGCGGTGGTCTTGTCAAGGACAACGGAGTGCTGGGCCTTGTCCTTTACTGTATAGTTGAAGAATTATTAGTTCAACGGTTCGTTATCGACTCAGAACGGGAATGCGCGGGGGGTGGAAGCGATCGCAATAACTATTCCGGTTGCTCTCTCGTTGTTTCCGGGGGATCCGACGAAAGTTGGAACTCGTTGTCACGGTCGGGTTGCAGATGGAGTTGTGGGGGATATCGTACCCTTGCCCTTGGACCACTTCTTCTTCTTCTGTGCTGCGGGGGCCTGTTTCACGAAATCATGTTAATATCTGTCGGGGAAAGCCAGCATAGGTCTAGGGATTTGAGGTATGCGCTTACCATTTTGTCTGTTGAGGTGGATGGTTCAAGGAAAGAGTAAGGCTGGACGGGTTCTAAGTGCGAAAAGGGCGTGGGGCATGACTAAGATAGGGAAGCCCTAAGCCCCAGGTCAGGTGATAGCACTCGGTTAGTCAACGTCATTTTATTGGCCAAAGGCTTAACCATATATTATATAATCAACTAGATGGAAGAAGGAATTCATCAAATCAAGCTTTGCAGTTCACTGATGCTCGATAGTTGTAATTCAATTAAGGTCTTCATTTTAACTAATATAAGCTCAATCTAAAACCAAATACGGTCCATGGTGTATACGTTTTTGGCCGAAGAATACATCGTCAATCCAGCCAATACATGAGATCGGCAATGATGATGTCCAAGGGACAGGACACCTCCACAGTTCTAGAGCCTATAACTGGAGACACTGAGCTCCAGGCTAGTGATTGGCTACTGATACATTATACCGTACACTATGTGCCAACGTTATTCATCCCGGCATTTGAAGGGCCCAATGGTCTACCATTCGTATAGAATATGATGAACTAAAAAAATGTACTCATTTAGGCTCCCAAGTTCAAGATCATTAATTGAATGTTCACTCAGAGGACTGGAGCTTCATGCTGTATCCTATCTTGGAACTTTGGAAGGGTGTGTAACCTAGTACGCCTTCGCCATGCTTACACTACCGATATAGGCTTCCAGGATCCGAATCCATTTGTCGCAACATTCAGAAAGATAAACTGAAACTATCTGAATAAGATATGGGCTTAGCAAACATTTCCATAGAAAGCCTTCATAGGCGATCCGAAAAAGCAAAACTCAAAGGGCTCTCCTCTCACTCATCTGAAGATGAGGAACAATGCACCACCCTCACTTTCAAAGAATCACATATCCAGCCTTGATCAGTCTGTCCACCAGTTGCATATGACGTTTCGCAGCTTCCATCATCATTTCAAATCGCGGACCAGGGAAATATCCCCGCATTTGAATCCAAAAGCCCCGATCGACACAAGGTGCTACCTTAGGATTTTCTGACATGTAGAACTTGCTATACTGAAACGCTTCCTGCACACAAGCAATGAAGTCCTCCCGAGATCGAGGGTCGAGGCAAAAACGATCCATGTCCACCCCAATCCACACTTCGCTTTCCTTGATATTGGAATACTTCTCAAGGAATGCCTTGTATGGAACATACTGTCGCCGGAGTAAGTGGTGCACGCTCATCGGAATCGTCAGGCATTCTTTTTTGGGGCGATCAGGCCTCCACAGCTGAAGCGGGTATGGGTCCTGGAAGAGTGGCCTCGTTGCAATATAGCTTTGGTCTTCAGGCTCATCCAGGTACACTTTGATTTTGTTAGCAAGAGATTTCTGGGTCGGATGTATTGAGAAGACGGGATCGTTTGACCATACCTGTTGGGAATGGGCTCGGTAGTCTTTCCATGATAGTGAGAGGAAATGTCAATAGCGTGGCTTTTTGGATGATTGGCGTCCCTTTTCTGGGCGCTGACTTATCAAAGGTGATGAGGGCCAGGCCTATTGTCCTTGATAAAGAAATATTGATGGTCAGGCAAGGAGAGATGGGTGAGAGCGTTGGAGATAATAGCTTGAAGATGTGAGGAAGAACTGAAGCTGTGACTTGATGGCCTTTTTGGCGGGGAACAAAGAAACCATTGTAGGACAACAATGCCTCAGTTCACAAAACACAAAACTCAGTAGCAGAAGAGACAGAGCACATACTACTATTGAGCCTATCAGCACTTGTATAGTATGAATATGCTATCATATAATTAGCCTTACCTAGTTTCTACCTAAGGCATTTTATTATACATCAGATCAATCTCATCACATCAGTATAAAATAGACTGGGGAACACAGCCCCGTGGATGAACAAGACAAAAATGGTATGTTGCTGCGAAGCACTTCAATTTTAAAATCCATACTCTCATAATCATTATCTTATGATCTCAAAACAAGTTTTGGTCTTTGCGAGGGTATTACATATATCAAAAGCTTGTCGGGGACGTTCATTCCGTCGTTAGTTCCGACTTAGACTGCCAGAATGGTTTCCATTTCCCTGATTTGTCAAGGAGTTCAATACTTCAAATTGCACAGACTGTTCCTGGGCAGAGAGGTAGCCCACGACATATTCTTCTGATGAGCCAAACCAAAAGACCGAGTCATTATCGGATCCCGCCAACCATTTCACTTCGTATTTCCCACTTTCATTTCTGTGAGTCGGGACCCGGGCGATTACAGGGTGACTTTGCGGCGACCACCATCGCACCGAGGGCAATGTATTGGTGATTGTGTTGATGAGGAGCTGGGGCGTAGAAGAATGCCAGACCAATTGTCTTACTGGCTGTTCGTGTACCAAGACAGAGGCCAATCTCGGGCTACCGTCCAAGGCCCATATCCAAACCACATTCGATCGCATGGTGTCAACGGTACTCAGAAGATTTCCGTCGGGGCTAAATGACATGATTGCTACGCCTCGAGGCGGACCGGGTAAATCGGGGCTCATATTTAATGCCGATGAGCTTGTCGTCTCTGCATATTCTGCGTCGCCCATAGCACTTAGGTGTCGCTCGCGCCAGATGACTGGAGCGTTTTGGTCGGTAGGAAATACATGAGATAGTGTGGTGGAAGATGAGAACTATGACTTCTTAGCAGGGTGAAATTTGTATTGCAAAGGTCAAATAACCTTACGGTACGAGTTCGCAAAAGATCAATATTGCCGTTGACTTTGCCCACGGCGAGAACGTCTGAGGTCCCGTCGGGACCAGCTGCAGGGCTCCATTCAATCTGCTTGACGCCTAGATCAAACGCCTCGTCCACACCCGATGGTCCATTATAAGTCCTAAACAGCTGACCGTCTGCAGTAAGTACGATCACCTTGGTGCCCGAGCTAGCGGTATCCCATATAGCAATCCATTTCCCATCTGGGCTCCATTTCAAGCCTTGTGCGTCAATAGTCGGGAGTACTGCACGATTGAGAAGCTCGTAGGATGAAGGGTGGTGGATGGTGAGTATATCAGAAGTTTCGGGCTTTAAAAGAATCGCAAGTTGATTGGAGTCAGGGCGAAACCCAAATCCAAGAGGGTGTGCAGATTTGGGAGTTTTGATCACGGAAGTTCTGCCATCTTCTATTGAGTGAACTGCCATCTTAGTATTCCATGCATGGAAGACGATTACTTCGCTATCATTTCCACCGAACTCGATATTCAAGGCGCCAGGCTCGATATTTTCGATCTCGGCGACTAGTTGTAACGGTAGTAACTGCCAAATTGAGACGCGTGATTCGTTTGCAATTAGCAAATGACGTTTTGATCCGCTGCTGCTCAAAGATTTTGTTGAGCAGAATTTGAGAGCCTTGACATTGTTCTCTTTAATTCTTGATGTTTGGGCCTCTTTATATTCAGAAGTAACGTCCGAGTAAATTATCAGGCCTTTCGCGTTGAGATGGGCTGCAAAAAGACCGTCATCGGAAATCACCATCGAGAGGGGGCCTATGCAAGTATCAGTTTTAGTCACAATCACGAATTGGACCAAACGAACCTCCTCCTGTGGTTGAACTATCCATTGTTGACTATCAATAAGACGCGCTGATATGGGACGAGAAGCGCAAGACGAGCGTTTGTCCTCTAATTTCTGGGGTATGAAATAGTTTCAAAGCCGGTATCATCCCACCCAGCGTCATGCAACAAACTTTACTTCACTTTCGAAAAATCACAGACACTTGATTGTCTTAACTGGTTGAAGCTGTTCCGCGACTTTTCGTTCTATGTGAGCCCGATAAGACACGGATAAACATTGTTGCGCCCGCGATAAGGACGAGTTGGCGCGAGAAAAAAGTATCCAACTCCCCGCTTAAACCCCGGACAACTTGTCGTTGCAATAGCCAAAATAGGGTTCTTGAAGCGACTAGTCCCGTGGCTGGGACAATCCATCCGAAGGACGACCCAATTACCTCCCAGAATGGCGTGTGAAGCTGCACCGCAAAACAGTGCGGTCTCCGCAGCTGCTCCAACCAAGAAACTACAAGGTAGACAATTCTATGAGAGCATTGGTAGCCCCAAGTACATTGTAGCTCCGATGGTAGATCGGTCTGAGTTTGTGAGTCCTCTTTCTCATATTAAATAGTCTGTCCGCTAATTACTGACAATCCATCTCTCTTCAGGCATGGCGCATGCTTTCTCGGTCCTTTTTGCCCCCGGACGAACAAAAAGATCTGCTCGCATATTCCCCCATGTACCATGCCCGACTTTTTAAGGAGCAAGCGAGGGTGCGATCTGGACACTTTCAGCCAACCCGTGGATCGGCTGGTGATGCGACGAAGAAGAAGGACGAACTGTTCCTCGACGGAAACCCAGCGTTTGACCGGCCCCTCGTCGTACAATTCTGCGCAAACGACCCGAACGAGTTTTTAGAGGCAGCAAGACACGTTGCGCCCTTTTGCGACGCCGTGGATCTGAATCTGGGATGTCCACAAGGAATCGCTCGCAAAGGTCACTACGGTGCCTTCCTTCAAGAAGACTGGGACTTGATCTACAAGCTGATCAATAAATTGCACACCGAGCTCGATGTACCAGTAACTGCGAAGTTTCGCATCCAAGAGACCAAGGAGAAAACCCTTGAATATGCCAAGATGATACTCTCCGCAGGCGCAAACATCATCACAGTCCACGGGCGCAGACGAGAGCAGAAGGGCCACGAAACAGGCGTCGCAGACTGGACTTACATTCGCTATTTACGTGATAACTTACCGCCTGATACTGTGATCTTCGCCAATGGAAATATTCTCAACCATGACGATATCGAGACGTGTCTCAAAGAGACGGGCGCAGACGGTGTAATGAGCGCCGAAGGAAATCTTTCCGACCCAACTATATTCAGCAGACCGCCAGCGCCTGGCACTGGAACTCGAGACTACTGGCGGGATCGCCACGGCAAGGGTGGCTACAGAATCGATGCGATCCTCCGACGATACCTCGACATCATTTACAAATATGTTCTAGAGCAGCCCGTGCCTGAGAGGAAACCTCTTTTCCTCCCGTCAGACCCAGTGGATGAGAAGGAAAAATTTAATGAAAACGCCGAAGATTGCGAGAACGACGGTCCCCCGAAAAAGAAACAAAAGAGAGAAAAGACTAAGCGGCCAAACTCTGCCAGTCTGGGTGTCATGCAAGGCCACCTTTTCCAAGTCCTTAGACCCATGGTCGCTACTCACACCAATGTGCGCGATGCCCTTGCTCGGTCGAGACCTGGTGACATGCCTGCTTTTGAGAATGTCTTGAGACTCGTGGAGCAGGCCATCAAGGATGGACTGAAGGAATACGATGAGTCTCCGGAGAAGTTTGAGAAGTCCCACGATCCTACTTTAACTGGATCCAAAGCTACCATTGCAGAATATGGACGCCCGTGGTGGGTCTGCCAGCCGCATGTTCGACTCTTACCAGAAGAAGCTATGGAAACTGGAGCTTTGCAACAGAAGGGAGGTGCGAAAAACCAGAAAGATGGGAAGGTAGAGGCCAAGAAAGAGGCAGGGAAAGAATCTTTAGATGCCAAGACTCCTGTCTCTGAGGGAACCTCCACTCCTGCTGACGGTGAGACTGATACCTCGACAACCTTGACTCCTGATCGTCTTGTCAGTGGCTGAAAGCAATTGGCCCGTCATCGATGAAGACATAGAACATACCCCGGAAGCATGTATACATAGTTCCTTTTGGGACAATCCATTTGCATGGAGTTTAGCGAAATATTACTGAAACTGGTTCATTACATACCAGTCACTAAATTAGTATTGATCTTAGTATATTGAAACAACCTGGGCACTGCTAAGTTCAATGTTATATCTTTCAGTCGGGATTCTGGAAATGTCTAGTTATTCTTCTCGTCTTTCCGGGGTACTATACAGTGCTCGAGCCGGAGATATCTTCTACCCTTTTGACCTACATCTAAACCAGAAGCCCCAATAAAATGAGAAGCCAGCCATCCATGAGATATTTGCTATCGATTCCAGAGGCCTAGTATAACAAATTAGAGGCAATATTGAATAGGTAGAGCCAGGCAGAATACTTACCTCAGCTAAAAAGGCAGCCTGTCCAATCCCCATCCGTTTTCCCATCCAAGTAAGACACGTTTCAAAATACTCGCGCATGTCTAGCGGCAATATCTCCAGGCGAGAAGCAGCGTGTATGGCGTGCATAATCAATAAACCACCCGCAGGGCGTCCAGGGTTCGTGATCTTGGTATGCTTATGTCTGTCTTTTAGAAAGATCTGTAAGTCCTCTGACAAATGATATGGGAGAGATGCGATCATGTCTTCTGCCATATGAAATGCCGTCTGTTGATCGGGTTCACTGTACGAGTCATCGCTGGGCATAGTCGGAAGCCTTGCCATCAAATTTTTAAGAATGCAAAGGGCAATGCGAGAAATATTCCATAGGGTGGCAACATATAGGTCGATGTACATGTCCACCCGCCCAGGATAGTAGCCTGCCCCTGGGTTTATGGAGGGTGGTACACCCGAGTCTATTGTGACAGGTTTGAATTCTTCTTTTTGAGATTTTTGCCAGTCTTCAAGCTCACGGTCGAGGATTATTAATTCTGGCTTGATGTCGAGGGCCAGATCAAAGATATCCTGTGCATTGGGTACTCCTGCGAAGAATGCCTCCATTCGCTTCCACATGGGAGAGAACTTGATCAAGATATTCAATAACCAACGGTCGATTCCGATCTCAACTCGTGGAGAAGGAATCCCAATTTTCTATAACGTTAGAACTAGCATCATGGCTCGCAAAAAGAAGAAACTCACTTGCCTGCTACCCAGGAGAAGCGGATGCCCAGTCAAGACAGTCTGTAAAACCCGCGAGTAATTATTATCAATCTGCAAAATCGCAGCTACGCCTGCAGCATGCGCCGTATGGTGACCTGGATTATTTTCTTCAGAAATAATCATCTATCAATCGTTAGAGAGTTTTCATTTAACATGGATTTATCGAGTCAAATACCTGATATAAGCCCAGCAGCACTGCGATGGTCAAATTTTCTTTACTATTGGCCGCTGGTGTTTGTATGCGAAGAGCTAAGTGCCGGAGCAGATTCTGATGAAGTATTTCGGCCTGATAGATCAAGAACTTTCGGTGTAGTTTTATTCCATGGCTAGCAAAGGCTGCAGCCCTGCATGCGTCTGCGACAGGGGAGTCTAGCCCCAGGTTTCGAACCATAGGCTCTAATCCAGACAAAAATCCACCGGATAGGGAGGAGTGAGAAGTGGGTATGCAGTAGTCATAGAAAAAGGCCTGTAAAGCGAACTTTCTCATCTCTTCATGAGTGACCTCCTTGGGTGGGCCATCTTGATAAAGCAATCCGTTTTTCGGATCTATTTCGCGAGTTGGTAAACTGCATTTTCTTGCTGTTGGGACAGATTTCGGCTGCGGCTGACTCTGATTATTGGTGTTTGTCAGATGGGGGCGGAAGATAAGATTTCCGCTATTTTCATAGCCACGGCATGTACGACCGGCCTTGAGGCATCTCAAGCAAGACTAAATGCATGATCGTGATAGTCAGTATCTTATATTGTGGTGTGTCCGGGCCGTTCTCAACCGGGAGTAGAACAATGTGCCTCAAGGAGCTGTAACTAGCACATACTGGGCGATTCTCATCACACTATCGATGTGAATCCGCATTAGCCGTATTCATCGCATCTATCACCCAGGTACTACTAGCGGTAGTGTGGAGTGGAATAATCCTCCTGCCAGTGAGTGGGGAATGAATTTAAAGGTTTCTATTGCTTCATACCTTTTTCCTTCTCTCCTTGCATGTCTCACATCCCCTAGAGGGGCCGTGGTAAACCATAGTGCCGGTTATTACCAAGGCATTAAATGTATCTTACCCGAGGAAACAGGACCGAGACGGAGAATCGGACATAGCGCTGCTGCAAATGGCAGGATGGAGACCAGCGGAAGTTGAGGTGCGCTCAACGCTAACTCGATGGGGCTGATTTGGGGGCCGGAGTGATCGCCCCGGGCCCGGTAAAGTGGGGATTAGTTATTAGTTCTTAGAAATGATAAATTAAGCTGTATATGTAGTTGATTGGTGCTGTCCAAAACTCACTATAGTGGTTTCTAAGCATTTTAATGTTATTAGTAATGTCCTCAAAGTCTTCTCAAACGCAGTGTCTTCCATGTGCACCAATAGATGAATTGAATACAATGCTATTGGTCCCGAACTCCGACCGTATAGGTACATGATAGCGACTTATGCAATACAGTCGGCTTTCTCATGCCAATGAACCAAATAAATACTTCCGGTTATATTATGACCTTACAAATTTGCTTGCTTCATTCCATTTGTTATTCATTTTTGTTATTTGATGCCATAATCTTGGGTTCTTGATGTAGACATCTCCATTAATCCCAAAACGGTTAGCCTTGCGCTAGGCCGAACTGTCACTATGAACTAACCCCATTTGGTTAGCCTTGCGCTGTGTTTGTATGAGCGGCTCCAATAACTCCATCTTCGCCGGGCATAAGCTCGTGAATCGGACCTAAAGTTGGAGATTGTGTGCTCGGAGATAATTTATTGTGTTTATCCTAAGTTGCTCCATGGAAATAGAGCTCACGTGTATAGAAACTTTCCAAAGGTATATATAGAGAGCATAGAGCCCTCCAAGAATCATATATTCAACAACTTCAAGTTCTTCAATCTCAGTTACCAACAACCAATTGAAACTATCACAACTTATTCAAGTTTTTCCGAATACAGCCTATCTTCAAAATTTGAACCACCAAAGTTTGATCTCGCATCTTTCCACCAAATATTTCACAATGACTACCAACTCTGCTGCGTGGATCCTCGAGCCCAAAGCTCACCCGTTCGTGGTTAAGGAAGCACCGACATATACTCCCGAAGCCAACGAAATTCTTGTCAAAAATCATGCACTGGCCATTGCCCCTGTAGATGGTGGTATTCAAACCAGGGCTTGGTTCCCCATCACCTACCCAGCAATCCTTGGCCAAGATGTTGCAGGCGAAGTTGTCGCTATTGGCCCCAATGTCACCAGGTTCAAGATCGGCGATCGAGTTATTGGTCATGGAGCGGGATTTGCTACAAAGAGCATTCGGGACTTCGCTTTCCAAAACTATACCGTTATCCTGACCAACATGGCCAGTGAGCTCCCGGATAATATCTCATACGAAGAGGGCTGTGTTGTTCCTCTCGGCCTCTCGACTGCTTCTTGTGGTCTTTTTCAGGATGATCACCTGGGTCTTCAACTCCCAACAGAGCCCCGTGGTGTCAACAGTGGAGTAGTTCTCGTTTGGGGTGGTGCTAGCAGCGTGGGAAGCAATGCTATTCAGCTCGTCGTCTCTGCAGGATATGAGGTTTTCACCACCGCATCACCGAAGAATTTTGAAATAGTCAAGAAACTCGGTGCTAGCCAGGTTTTTGATTACAATAGCCCTACTGTTGTTCAGGAAATTACCGCGGCACTTCAGGGCAAGACTCTGGCTGGTGCTTTGGACTGCATTGGCTTCGTTGCTACCCCTATGACTGTTGAGGTTGTTCGCAAGTCTGAGGGAAATAAATTCGTGTCTACTGTTAAGCCTGGCTTCGAGTCTCCTGAGGGTATCACTGTCAAGCACATCTTTGGTACCACTCTCAAGGATAATCATGTCGGTAAGGCCATTTATGAGGACTTCCTACCCAAGGCGCTCAAGGTTGGCACTTTCACCCCTGCACCGAGTCCTTTGATTGCTGGACATGGATTGGAGAGTATTCAGGGTGCTGTTGATCTACAGGCTAAAGGAACATCCGCTCAGAAGATTATTGTTACTCTGTAAGCTTGAAAGGATAAAGGTGATTGTTACCTCATTTGCAAGGCAGTTGTTTTGTGAAACCCTATTTTCTGTTACTGGTCGAGTTTGCTTTCTTTATGTATTTTCTTTTTTGAGTATTGAAATCATCTGGAGCATGGAAACTGAATTTTGACACAACTATTGAAAAAGAAAAGGAAAAGGAAAATGCTTAATGTATTCAGAACTAGAGTCTTGATACAGTCTGGCCTAGGATCGCCTTTCATGACAGCAACAGAGGGATTCTCTTTCAATCCTCAGCCTCACAATACGGATAATAGCAAATTTCTAAAACTACGCGTAATGCTTCTTTGTAAATTCCAAGACAATTCCAAGATGCCAAGTTGGAGGCTCAGAGCTTCTAGAAGGCCCCCTACCCGCCAACTACCACCAATGGCAAAACTAAATGGCAGTGGCTTCGCAATCTTTTGGTACGACATAGCCATTCATAATTACAAACGAACTCTTTATTTCCAGCAATAGCAACCCAGTTTTACGTAGGAGCAAAGATCACGTAGCTAAAATCACGTGTCGGATATGTTATACGAAATGGTGCCTTGCCGAAAGATACCCCCGCTCAGCTAAACAGTAAGCTCGATCGCACATCTTCAATCGGAACTCAGCTGCAAGGTAAGAAGCCAAGTCATCAGATTTATACATAGGCGATCAGCTTCATATTAAATATGAATCAAGGTTGACGGCAACCTTCAGGGCCTCAGTTTCAGGGATCTTATCACCGCTATATCAAGTCCTTATCTCGTTTAAAGCCGCATCTGCCAAAACCCACAGAGACTCTGCTCAGCGCATCGTCAAAAAATAATGCTCATTCACACGATACCTCATTCGTTGGATCTTTGATTGTCCAGGATAGCGCTGGTGGCAGACTCAGCCCGGTGAATCGCTACGGTGTTCCTGGCCCTAAGCTTATACTGGAACGAGAAATGTTGTCGGCACGTTCCAAATCAAACGATAGATGAATCATAATCGCCGAGGATGTGCAAGCTGAAGGAATATTATATCTGGGTCAAACTTTCTATGTTGACCCAATAGCTTTTGAACAATATCTGAACGGAGTTGTTACTTTTCAATCTCAGAGCTCGAAATTCATTGTCTTCGACTACCCGGAGACGTACCAGAGTAATGGGGCTCTTTCCGGGATTCGTGAAGATGAACCCATCGACGCGCCTCAAAATGGCCAGCTTGGTCATTTGTTGCGTTTGTGGATGGATACTTACGCCTACTTTCAGAGAATAGCTTGGATATTAGGGCCTAATGGTTTGTTTGGAAATGGAAACTCTTCAAAACTGTACTGATATTAGAAATAGATTCTCAAATTATTCTGGTGGACACCATACCAACAGTGAAGCGCCGAGCAACCCACCATTTGAGTCGAGAATTTGGCACATTTGAAGACTTCTTAGAGTTTGGTGAAGTTATTAAGCTTCCTGGGTAATCTGGAGATAGCTGTTATCATATCATTCACTCGAACCTTCTAAATAAATATGCCAGTGCCAGTACAAGTGTTCCAAATGTACGCAGGCAAGTCGCTGAAACAATCATCTTTTTCCCGTCTATGAAGTGGAAAGTCATGCTCCAACGCGTCCAAGAAATATTTCCGAGGCAAGAGCACCCATATCAGGAGATCTGGACTTGATTGAAGAAGTTTTGCAGCGAAAACATGATTTCGAGAAATTGCATCGCACGATTACTGTTGTCATAGATTCCGTGAAAAGCATCATACTGGATACAGACGAAGAACTTCCAGCACTCAGCCAAATGCGTGAATATGAGAAACTTCTAGAGGGATGGGCTGAACAACTGGGAAAAGTATCAGAGTCCATGCTTGGTATGCTCGCCATTTCAGAAAGCCGAAGAGCTTCAGGCCAAGCGGTGCAATCGCAGAATCTTCAGATTCTAGCTTTTGTATTCATTCCTATATCTACCGTGGCTTCTGTATTCGGTATGAATACATTGGAAGTGAATGAATCGAAGCCGAAAATGTGGCAATTTGCCGTGGCTGCGATCGGATCTAAAATTCTGGCAGCGCTTATCGCTTGGCTGTATCATTATCACGACTCGATTTCTGTCATCAAGCTTCTTAATGCGATTAAACGCCCGGACTCATCTATTTATCAGTCGAGTGCATCGATGCTATTTCCTATAAATAATCAGACCGAGGAACCCACGCAATATGGTTCTCCCCAGTTTCCGGTGCGCCCTCAGCGAGTTTCACAAGAGCATATAAGCGATTTCTCGCTTGAGAGTGGGCCTGGGAATTTATCGGGAGCTTCTGGTGAGGAAAACTTGCCATTGGACGAGTTCTTCGTCGATCACACGGGACTTCAGAATCAATCGTGTGCGGTGATGTAGGTTGGCTATCGGGTGAAAGATACCTTTCGCACTTCCAAGGTTGAAGGACCATGTTTTTTATGTACTATTGAGCCCTCTGAGATACAGGACAGGCTATACACGATATAAATTCTATCAAGATTCTATTAAACGGATTTCCTATCATAATATATGTTCTGATAATAGCAATTCATTGATCTAGAGTTTTTTGAGAGGGTATAAGTAGGACTTGAAAGAGCACATCTGTAATCTGTAGTTTTTAATATACCCAGGTGGTAGACAAACAAGATATAGTCGTTCGTAAAGTAATCACATGGACTCTAAAGTAGTGACATGGATCCTAAAGTAATAACTTGGACCCAAAAGTAATGACAAGAACCTAAAAGCAATGGCAGTGACACAGTATGGCAATGGGAAATGACGTGGAGTGTCGTTAGCGCTTGTGTTGACACCACGGTCGCCTTAAGGGCCGAGACCAGGGCAACTCTCGGGAACCTGCATTTTAAATACACCCACCTGGATGCGCTAATAGAAACACCGCGTCGCGCTCAATCAACGACTTTCCGTCTAGAAACCAAATTACCTCGTGACTTTTTTTTTCTTTTTATTGTGGGCGATTGGATGCGAGATACCCCTGAACAAAGAACGTTCGGCCCCAGGAGGCTTATGGCCCATGACTCATATCATCAGCCCCAAACAAAGAGGCCTCCACCCCATTGACTCATTCTGCAAGGCTAGAGTCAGAGCCGGACAACCCCACGATGTTTTTACAGAATATCATACGAAAAATGGATCGCTGAGCGCCTAGCCAAGACATTTGTTTCGGAGTCATCTAGGATTGTGAAGATGGTCGGTCGGCAAGGCAAAGCTAGATGCGATGGGCGCAGCTTATAAGCTTGATGGTTCCAGCTAACATGGCATTCAATAATCCAAAAACCCATTCAGACATTTCAATTTCGGATCATGGCTTCTCCTCTTCCCTCCAACGATACCAGCTGCGCTGAGAATGCGCATGAAGGCCTGAATCAGAGTCCTCGATCTCGATCGGGCAGTCCATCGATGCAGCATAGCGAGTTTCAGCGCGAGCAGTCCTATTCACCCCCGCTAGAAGGGAAGTCTGGAGAAAACAGACTACGGCCCGCAGCAGGTATCTTATCTCTCTCTCTCTTTCTCTTTCTCTGATACGCATTTAGACATGGGGAACCGGCATAGTAATTCTTTTTGTGGCAGACGTCATCAACCGCATCATTTGGGACGAGAGCTTCAGTCCGGATGACTATATGATTGTATTCTTGGATAGATTTGAGGGCGAGCTAGAGGTCTCCTTTGATGGCTGGAAGAAAGAATCTACACATGAGGAATTTATTCCACAGCATCGTGTACTTTATATCAAGCATGTGAATGGGGATGTTGTGTGGGATCGGCGCAGGCGGATTGACACGATATTTAGCAGTGGGAATTCGGCATTCAGTGAACTGGCATTTTTGAATTAATGTGTACAAATACATATCTTTCAAGTGTCATAAACCAACAATGATATACCCTTTATGCCCAACTTGAAGTGCCTCTTTATTGTATGCGCCCAGTGGACTTGGGAAACTGAGAGAAACGCGCCTTCCGCATTGAAGAAGCGTGATGCCCCATTTCTTTGTTGATCGCTTTTTCTTTTTTCTTTCTCTTCAATCACCGAGTCACCTTCTTCAATTAGACTTAATTTTGACCTTGCTCTACAATGGAACCTTCCAAGCAGAAGAAGCCTTCGCTGCCTCGGCTGGCCACGAATCTTCCGGCGGAGTCGCAGTCGTCGCCTTCCCTGCCGCTTCAACGGAGACGATCCCAAGAGCTCAACGTGAAGCCCAGGCCTGAGCGACCGATCACTTTACCATCTCCATTCCCAGGGCGAGAGGAAAACATTGTTCCTGCTGTGCGTTATACCCCCGAGACGAAGGGCTTGTATATGGAGGAGGACTTCGGCGACCCGGCGATCATTAAGAAAAAGACACAATACTATCGCGATGCCTTCGCCACACGCAGTTCACATAACTCGCCCCAGGAGAGGGTTACACAGGACTCGGTCGTTGTGGTTGAATTGAAAACAAACTATAAAGTATGTCAACTTCAGGACCAAACGCGTCAGTTGCTAATTCGCGCTGTAGCCAAAAAATCAACAACAGAAACTTGTATCCGATCTGATCCTTCGATTGGCCGAGATCTATCAACGTCCAGAGAGTTGCATCATGCTTACTATTGAACAAGACGCGGGAGTCTTCTTCGGCAGCACTTCTGAACGATCGTATCTAATAAAGGTCTACGCTCTACCGTCATTCGTCGCACCATTAACAAACCTCCGCAATACAAACTTAATCCAGGTGGCTATGGTGGAACTTTTGGATATTCCAATCAGCCGAGGAGTTATCGTCTACATTCCAGTACCGGATGAAAATTTCGCGACAAATGGTGTTACTGCCAGGGGTGAGATCTCTCGACTAGAACAACGTGACGAAGAGGACAGCCCGGGTATCATCGAATCTATCTCCCGCTCGATGTCTCGTCGTTTGAAAACCAGCAGCGGCAATAGTGTGCCAATATCATTGCCATCTACCGTGGGAACTGCGACTACCTCTCCATCGATGAAGACCGAGATTCACCATTCACCCATCAATTTGCCAGGTTTACCAGAATCCCCGGGAGAAGAAAAAGAAAGGGGACGCAGGCTTCGGAAGCGCATGTCTTTGCGCAGTATTGTTCGTCGTCGGCTTAATGAGATCAAGCCGAATCGAGAGAAGGATGAAAAAGAAAAGGCGAAGGAGAGTACGAAGAGTGGAAAGGAGAGAGAAGATGATCAGGGGAAATCCAAGCAGGGGGACACTCAAGTGAAGGCGGAGGAGCAAAACCCTCAGGAGACGAAGGGTCAGTAGATGGGTGGTTTTAGGCTATAACTCAGCCCTTATGGTTTTATCATTCCAGAACATTAGTTTCTATTAGACTCTCAATTCATGTTAAAATCCACGACTCACTGAACATGAGGGATCCCTACTAGAGTATTTAATCCTAAGCTGCACCCTTTCTCTCTCTTCTTCCTTTTACTATTCTCTCCCACCATCTTCCTCCACTCTCATCGTCCACCAACAATCCTCACGCACCAATTATCACTACTCATCGCCTTCACCCTCCATCATTTATCATTTATCATCAACTAGCCCACTAAGCGATGGCCATGTCTCAACCAGCAAACCAAAGCGAACAAGCTGAGCTCGACTCAGCGAAGTTAGAGATATCTTCCAGTGCCCCAATCAAGCGAGAAATAGAAGGCGATCTCTTTGACGCACCCAGCGGATCTGTTCTGATGCGTAAGTAAATAACAAATCCTCTCATCAAAAACACCATCTTGACTAACAGTCTTCCAGATGCCTGCAGCGCCCAGGGCGTATGGGGAAAAGGCATTGCCCTCGAGTTCAAAAGAACCGTGAGTATCTTTCCACCACCACCCACACTTTCACCCACTAACATCATTTCAAGTACCCTGCAGCATTCCAGATATACAAAACCTACTGCATGGAGCAACTGAGCAATCCGGGAACTCACGATATCCCCAACAAAGTTGGCAATCGTCCTCCGCGTTTGTATGCTCGCTATCCTGTTGGTACGACTTTAATCATTCCACCACAAGATGAGGATCAAAATAGAGGTCGCCCAGCACATTGGATTGCCTGCATGTTTACCTCGTATGACTATGGAAGGCGAATCGATAGCCCACAAACCATCAGAATCCATACCGCTGCTGCTTTGGATGATTTGAAGATCCAGCTTGAAATGATGCTGTCCGAGGATCAGAGTCAGAGTCAGGGTGCTGAATGTCCTAAGGAGCTTTACTCGTGTCGATTCAATTCGGGTCTGTTCCACATTCCTTGGGCGATGACAAGGTTCACACTTGAGAGAGCGCGCCTCCCGTTGCCTTTGACTGTGGTCTATCCGCCGAATAATTGAGGGTTGAGGGGTCATTGGGTAAGCATTGGGTAACAAGATGATATTCAATCATATTGCTTTGAAGTTTTGGGAGGTTGAGAGTTTGAGATTTAGGGGATTGCCATTTATGGGTCTGAGATTTGAGGATTTGAGGTATTGAGATGTTGAGGATTTACGGAGAGCTCAGCTACCACGTAGCCTAACCAACCTCTACGCTATTGCGATATACCAATTCCTTTCTATTAACATCCAAAAAAGCCCCAACGAAGCTGTAATAAATGGAGAAACCGCCTCACGAGCTCCAACAGTTCTCCACACAAAGACCTCGCCCCCATATAGAAAGAGGACACCCAAGAAAGTTACAATAGTCAAATCATAGAGTGGACCGTTGTGGATACTATAAGCGGCAAATAGTCGAATGAGAGATGTATACAAGTTCTTCACGGCGTATACATGTGCAGTCAGCGCATGCTTTGGTGGTGCCGATCGGCCCGAAAAAGCTTTTAGGGATGAAATGGGCCATAAGTAGCTCACGATACTGTGGATGATGGCTGCGCTTCCGGCCTGGAATTTGTGTCAGCGATTAATCTGCGGGTAAATGCTTTTTGAGATAGTGGATACTCACGTATAGGAGGAAGTAGGGCAGAAATCCATGTTCTACTGATGGTAATATGGACATTTTTTCTGTCTTTTTTTTTCTTTCTGGAAGGACTTGAGAAACTTGAAGATCTTTCGATGGGGGGAAGTTGAGATCCGGCAAAGATCGGAAGATTACCACTAGCTTACTCGAGTTAGTACGCAGCATCGCAGTTGGTACTTGAAAGGAATAATTGGGGGCGAGATATCTAGTGACATTGTGACAATACTTTGTGTCTTGAAATAATCATGGACTTTGAATGACTTTGCTCATGATTTTCTGGCCCGATTACCCCGCCATAGCGTATGTACGCGATGTTTTAGTGCATTGCGTCTGCGCATGACCCGTTGACGTGACCAAAAGACAGGACGATCGACACGGTTTTGGGTGAAATCATGGCTTTAGTGAGAATTTCTTTGGTATAAATTAATTCCATGTCAATTAAACTGACAACCTCAAGTGCTTAATTGCTATCATCATCTTGCACGGTGAAGAAAACGACATGCACTTACCAGCTGACAAGATTCAAAGAGCCTTGCTCACTACCAGCTCAGTGATAAAAGTTCCTTTGTCGACTACAGCTCCCAGTGACGCCATTCAAGCCCCAGATAACTATGTGGGGTTTGGATTTGAGACAGCATTCATTAACGACTATGCAAACACATTCACCCTGAATCTACTCAACTCAGTAGGCAAGCGACTTGGAACCGTTCCAACTATTCGAATCGGCGGTACCTCTGGGGATAGAGTGACATTTGACGAAAGCCAGGAAGAGATCAAGGTTTGTATTGAAGGAGACTGCCCTATTGGATCAGCTGCGAGTTACATACTCGGTCCGAGCTACTTCGATGGATTCAAATATTTTGAAGATTTCGGGATTACGTTCCAGGCACCTTTGGGTGCCGATCTAAATGTCTCGAATGCTGAAATTTACGTATCACGAGCTTACGAGCAAGTGAAGGATCTGGTGGCGATTGCAATTGGAAACGAGCCAGATTTGTATTCTACTCAATATGGTGTTGACTATAAACTTGGTCAATATGTCAATGACTCGCAAACTATTATTACGCATGTTTCGGAGACTTTGGGATTTGATGAAGGAGATCGTGTGTTTGAGGTTCTTGACTTTGCGTCTAACAAGCCTTCGTTTGATTTGTGAGTATTCCCTGATTCTAAAATACTAATCAATCTTCACGAATCGTCATTCTCTAACAGGTATCTAGAATTAATGTGTTTGAAGACAATTTGTATAACTCGACCAACGTGAAACTTGCAGCCTGGCATTGGTATCAACTCTCAACAGATTATACCACTTCAGAGGAGCTACAGACTTACCTAATGAATCACACTGCAATCACCACACACTTCGAACCTCTGAAATCACAAATTGCTTATTTAAAAAAGAATGATTCCAGTATCTCATTCGTTTTAAGTGAGACTGGATCTGGAACCCAGAGTTCAATCGAAATTCAAGGTGGCTTTGGTGCTGCTTTGTGGTGCATCGATTTCCAACTCTACAGCTTATCCCAGGGTGTATCTCGTGTGGATGCAACGCATCGTCCAGCAGCATTTCATAGCTATTGGGTACCAGATGACTCTGCCGGAACCATAAATCCCGGCCCACAAGTTCGTGCGGTATGGTATGCTTTACCATTCATCGCAGACTTTCTTGGACAAAGTCCTGGCAAGGTCAGTGAGATCGACTTGCAATCGGATACGCTAGCCGCGTATGCAATCTACAATTCATCTTCGAATGATGTTTCGAGGCTCGCTATTATCAATCTCCAGACCTGGGTTAATGGAGATGGGAGTGGATCTTCTCGTGGGTCGGAAAATGTCTCTGTGCCGGTTCCGTCTGGTGTTTCTTCTGTTTATGTGAGGCGTCTTCAATCTGCTGCGGGTGCGTTTGCAATGGGATTTGATTACGCGGGCCCAGCGGAAAATGTTACCTGGGCTGGAGAGCAGTGGAGCTATTCTATTGATCAAGGGAAGGGGCATCGTGTGGAAGGAGTATCTGAGAAGGAGACATATTCAGTTTCGGATGGGGTATTCGAAATTCAGATCCAGGATAGTGAAGCTTTGTCTATTGAGTTTTGAGAAAGTCATGACTGTGTTGCACTGAGGAATACCTACTCAAGCATATTAACCTGATACGGAACTAGATATCGGCCACAATATTGTTAATTACAACCCGAGCCAGCCTTCACCTTAGCACTATCCGTTGCAAGGTTTTTGTTTCTCTTGCTCTTCTTTCCCAGTCAATAAAACGAGCGGCATCGGGAAAGAAGCGGGAGACGCAGGCTCATGTGGGCCATACTTCAGCCTCCGCCACGGAGCGGCCCTTCGTGTGGGGCTAATCGCTGGCATTCAAGATCTTATAGCCGTATGCTATTGAATGTTTATATTTAGCTTGAGTCTATGTCTCCTTTTCGCCTCCAGAATTGAAATGATATGATGGCTTTTCCCAGATCTCTGCGTCGGTTGCGCCCGCACGCTTGCCCTTTCTATTTACCTTTCTTTATCTCTTTAGCTTCATATGCGCCGAGTACAACCTGTCCGACTTCATATTCATACACACTTTTGCATGGATGAATTATAAAACCTTCATGAAAAGAGCTCGGTCGGCTTCATTCCCAGATATTCTCAATTTCAGTAATTGCATGGGTATTACAACGTTGCCATAACCATTTAGACTCCTTGATGGCGAAGTAGAGCCTGTTTTTAGACAATCGCTTCTAGAATATCCTGACATCTAGGTGATATCGTATAGCTCCAATTTAAATGCGACATTGGGAATTAAAGATGCAACGCTGTCAAAAACAACGAAAGTATAGTTCATCACTCACTAGCACCATCATTACGTTGTCTCAATAATTCAAGTTGTTTTCGTGTTGCCACCTATCGCACGAAACCACGGATCTTTCTACTGTAAGTATAATCAGACATTAATTTATCGCACTAGAGCTTGAATCTCTAAAATCCATATATATATATTACACAATAGGTTTTTGGATTTACGGGTCATGTAACTATAGAGTGGTATAGGTAGGCTTGCAGGGAATCTTAAAACTAACTTCAAGGTTTAGAAGTACTACGGAAGTAACCAATTTCGTAGAGGAAAGCTTCAAGGAGCCTTTGAAGTGGTCACTGCGTTTAGAGTATTAACAGTATATAATGACGGCCATAATCCATTATTTTATCACATCAATCAGTGGTATCTGTATTCATCTCAAGCTTCAGGACATCATATATCCTCTCACAGAGGAATTACTACAACTTCAAATTGAAGGGTGTCACACCAGCCCCCATACATATTCTTAGTATGAAACTTACTATTATCTTTTCGGCTATCTGCACCTTTCTAGGTGGAGTATATGCAAGCTTCTTGGATGTTGAAGAATCAAACGTGTATTGCGCCACCATTGCTAAGATTTGTTCTGATCTCGACAATGCCAGCGCTTATTTCAGCCATCTAAAATCTTCGGATAGGGTGGTTAGTATTACCAATAAGTTTGCCTCATAGTACTCAAAAGTTTCTAATAGTTCACACCAGACACCTCCTACTCAGTTGGCTTTGGAGCTAATTGAAGGCTTAGATCATATGCAATTTTTTATGAAGGATGTATCTTCCATGGATCTTACTTCATATCCGCAGTTGAAACCACTTAAATTGATCATTCCTGCAATTCAGAACGGATTGCAGGACCAAGCCGCAACATTGGAGAAACAACTTGCAAGAGGTGAAGTTGATGATGGAATTCGGTCTAGAATCGATTCCATTTCGAAAGGTCTGGCGCAGGCGACCAGTAAGCTCAATGATGGTAATTGGGCAGCGCCCTGTGACTTGAATGAGCATGTGAAGCTTGGTTTTTTGACCAGCTATTTCTGTAGTCTTGCCATTGCTCTTCAGATCTTTATTGGAGTTCTCAACTTATTCAACCTTTTGAGTTCTGTCATAGCTGTTCTTCAACTGATATGCATCCTCCGTCCATAGGGTATTAGAATAGCTCATACCACGGTACTATTCGCGAATGGCCAGATAAATACTCAGTGTGTTATCTATGTGACTTTTGTTCGTTGGTCCATTGGGCTTCACTTATGCTTTTGTCAAGTTTACTACCGATTGTCCTTGTACGCAAGGATATAGGGCCCGGGCGCTATTCTCCAGTACGGGAATACTGTAAGCTCTTGGGGATGGTTTAAAACCACGCTCCTTCTTGAAAGTACCAATGTAGTAGTCGAATAACTTTGTTTCTCTATTTCTTTTTTTTAAAAAAAGAAAAATTGTAAAAGAAGAAAACTTGAAATAAACTCGCATAGCTGAGCCTCGAATATCACCTGACACCGCGTGGCCGGAGCGCGACTCGCGTCGACGATTCCATCTCCACTCTCTTATCGACAATCTGAATTAGACACACCAGATACCCAAACACGCAGAATCATGGCCGGTGAACCCCAACAAAAGCGTCGCAGGTTACCCTTCAAGCCACCGAGCCGCACTTCCAGTGCAGGTCCATCTGCGGGCGCATCAACAACGAGCAAAGGCAAAGGCAAAGCCAGAGAAACCCCCGCTCAATCTACCTCTTCAAAGCCGCCATCAGCACCGGTCGAGACATCAACATCCAAAGCTAAAGGGAAACGTCCCAGTAGTGACTATGCCCATGCTTTACCTGCCACCCCGTCTGACTTTGGATCCGACTCCGAATCCGAGACATCGGACCGCGACGTCGAGCGCCCCATCTCCGAAGAGCCCGATTACATTCTAGCTGAAATTATCAACCGGACACCACAGGAGAACATTGCGTTGGGAACTCCACAAATTAATCCTAAATTAATGACTGCGATTTTTCACCACTTTTTGAAAAATGATAAGACTCGCATTTCGAAAGATGCTGATGCCATGATGGCGAAGTACATGGATCTCTTTGTAAGAGAGGCTATTGCCCGTGGGAAGCTTGAGAGGGATTTGGTCAATGAGAGTAAAGGGAGATCTGGCTCTGGTGATAATTTTATTGAGGTATGTATCCTATATCCTACGGGTCTCTCTCTTTCAAGATTCTTGCTAATCATGTTCCCTCCCAAATAGGTTGAAGACCTTGAGACATTGGCCCCATGGCTTATTATGGATTTCTAAATACGTGCACACGCCGATACAGGACACATTTATGAAACACTCGGAGTTCCATGGCGTTTTGTTCTTCGATTCTCCTTTGTTGATTCGGTCATTTGTCATGATTTGAGATACCGGAATGCCTTCAGCAATAAGATATATCCAACTCATTGAATATACGTGACTCGTAGCATGGTAATGTCCCGGGGGCTGCGGTAAGCCGGTGGTACCCCTGACGAATGATCCTCCACATAAGGTGGAACCGCATCGAATCCGTTGGCATTATGAAGCATTGCTACATCATGGTTGACTCGTCGTGATACCCATGTATTAGCTGGATATGCTGTTTTCTTCTTGCTGAATTGAGCGACGACCACTGGAAGCTGGTTGTGTTCGAGAAGATGGCCAAGCTTCACATTGTAGTCTGTATGTGCAATATCGAACACTATGAAGACGCGTGTTCGCCACTGTTGTACTGCGACCAATCTTGTATCAAGTGGAAGTACTGGGTCGATACTTGAAATTGCTTTCTTCTTCAAAAGCCGGATCGCCGGCAAGAGAAGATCTTGTGGCGATTCTCGGGCTTTGGTGATCAACGAGCTTCGCTCTGAGACGATAACGAGTAACCGAAGTGGTCTCTGGTGTTCCATCATCATGCAAGACTGTTTAAATGGATGTGTTAATACTGGTTTATGAAGATCTTCCAAGGTCGCTCGTGATATAGACGATGTAATGGCAAAGAACATCTATCCATAATGCGATTGCTGTTGTTATATGTTTCTTTAGTATTGGCCTCTAGCCAGCAAATCTCTGGGACCTGCAGATGCCAAGGCACCTCAGCATTTGGACTGGGCGTAAAATTGTCGGTGTATCTGCATATTTCGACATGAGCCATGGCAATCGATCCACTTGTGATCCCAGTTGTTTTAACATCGGACACACGATGTGGATGTTTTGGCTGAGTTGTCAATTGTTCCAAGATACTAAGGCCGCACAGAGCCCAAAGAAAGGAATGAAAGATCCTTGCAAAATGAGGCGAAACATTCGTCTTTAAAACAGTACTGGGTCATCGTGCCAATCCAGACTGCTTTGGTACATGTTGGAGCTCCGATGGAATGTGGCAGTTGGGGTCGCACATAGCCCAACGCGATAAGCCCAAGGCGGTCTGTTGTCTCCGCCGCATCGCGTCTTTTCTTTCTACCAACGCGTCCCTTTCAGAACGAACGAACCCCAGTTTCACCATGAATGATGCGACGACTTCCCTGCTCACGGAGCACTTCAGCTACACCCCGTTGGTGAGTTGCGCAGGTCTTGCATTGCGCCCCCCGCCCTGGTTCCGACCGAGGCGCAAACCCCCTTGCGAAACCCGCCCGCTAACTTGGCCATCTAGTCGCTGATTGATGACATGATCAATTCGATCAACAATCTGATCTACCAGGCAATTTCAAGTCTTGAGTCGGGTTTACTCGCAACTCCGCCTGAGCGCCTGGGTTTTTCGCACGCTGCCAATGGCCCCACCATTGCCGATACAGATGATGATGGCAACATTGTGTACCCGGAGGCAAAGTTGGAGCTTGAGAATGGGTTACACCAGTTAGAGACGCTTCTTGAGGCAAACGTGGATAAGGCATTCGATAAATTTGAGATTTACGTGCTTCGAAATATCCTAACCGTGCCCGAGGACCTACTCTCTTATGTGCGACTGAAGCATTATGAGGTAAGTATTGGTTCATCTTATACCGCGACGAGACTAACAGTTTCGCAACGTAGGGACTCTCGTTCACCCAATCGCCGGATACACCCACTCCTGAATCCATTGCCGCCCAGCGAAAAAAGCTACTCGAGACGAGGAAACTGAACCGGTCGTTGAAAGATGAATGCGCGCGAAACGCAGCTGTGATTTCTCAATTGAACGGAATCCTCTCGACAGTCAAGAAGACTACAGATGATGGTGGAGATGAGAAATCCAAGACAACGCCACCAGTTGATTTATCTTTCTTGACATCAAGCCCTGCTGCGAAACAACTTCGCGTTGGCGTTGATACAGGATCAAACACCAAACACATGCCCCTCACCACCAATACAACCTTCATCCTTACTCAACTACCTGCACTACAGGCAACGCTCCAGAGTCTACGGCCTAAGCTGGCCTCGTTACCAGGCTCTGTCACTGAGATGGAATTCAAGTCCAAGAGAGATGAGCGGAAAGAATACATCGAAAGTCGGATCAGATTACATCTCGAGCGGGCTGGTCAGCTTGCATTAGGTGATGACGGGAACCCCGTTGTTGCTGGTCGCCGCATTGATATATCTGAGGCCCATGCACTAGAAAGTGTGGCCAAGATGCTTGCGCTAAGAAAGTCTACATAAAGTGGAGGTTGATCGGGTTCTGTGATGGAACTTGTTTTGATTTTCTTTTCGTCGCAACCAGGCTGAGGCTACTGGGTTTCTATGAAGACCAGGAAACGGTCCATGTGTCCTGGGTCTTGCGGAATGGGACGACATCAATCTTATCCGACTGCAGAATCTCTACGATCTTCTCACCCTTCTTATCGAGGGTGATGAACTCCTTCTGTTCCTCGCCAATTTCATAGAACGCGCGACCAAACTTGCTCATGAAACCCTCTACGATCTCCGGGGTGATATCCTCATCCTTGAGGACTCCATTCTCAACGGCCTGCTCGAAGGAGTCAAGGACGACTTGAGTGGTGTAAGGCTGAGTGAAAACACCAGCAGCAATCTTCTCGCCGCCACGCTTGGAGGCCGCAGGGTGTGGTGCGCTGTCTGAGCCGAAGAAGAACTTGGGGTTGCCAGAGGCAGCGGCCCGAAGAAGGGCATCCCGATCAGCAGGTGTCTTTGCGACAGGCTTGCAGAAGCAGAATGGATCACCAGCCCAGTTGTCCACGATAATGGACAGATGATGAGCGGTGATAGTACCAGCCACTGTGGGTCCGCACTTCTTGACGGCCTCAATGGCGGCAGCTGTGGTGCAGTGCTCCAGGATAATACGGAGTTTGGGGAACTTGGCGTGTAGATCAAGGAGAGTGGGCAGGAAGCGCTCTTCAGCTGAAAGCACAGTTACATCACCCTTGGAAGGGACTTCTCCGTGCAGGTTCAGAATGAGACCCTGGCGCTCCATTTCAGCGAACACAGGGTAGAATCCCACATAGTCGATCACGCCGGAGCTCGAGTTGGTGGTCACACCGGCGGGGTAACTCTTGACGCCCGTGATTCCACGCTTCTTAGCCTCAATTATGGTCTCGGGTGTGATTGTCTCATGCAGGTATAGGGACATGAGGTAGTTTACATTGGGCTCAATTGCCTGTAAACTCTTCTTATACTCGAGGGCGCGGTCGACGGTTGTGATTGGGGGTACCAAGTTCGGCTTTATAACACTGTTAGATAGACAAGAAACGAGATTGAATTCACTGATTCGTTTTTCTACTCACCATAACAAAGACAGTATTCACACCACCTTGACGGATGGTAGGAGTGACCAATTCCATCATCGGCCCATCGCGCAGGTGGACTAGGGTTATGATCAGCTTTACGCTTTTCCATTTCCCGAAAATTAGTCTGACGTACCATGGAAGTCGGCGGAGGCAGGTAGCCTGATTCCGCGCAGCTTAGACAAAGGCATTATGAGTTTATTTAAGTCTCAATTGAATGTTCAGTAGAGGAAAATTGAATCCACGTCAACTTTGCCCCGCCAAATTTTCTGTGTTTCTGCCGGGCGGTGGATCTCCCCGACCTTCCCCGCGATCCAAACATTGCGATCCATACAAATGAGGCTTATAGTCCTCAGCAGTCATTTGATCTTATATATTGAACAAGCCCGAACACTGTGGGAAACCGGGGCAGAGCCTTTTTCAATTTTGACAGCTTTGAATGATCATCGATATTTCAGGTAGCCGGAGAATAGACAGCCCTTTCCGTCGCGGGTGCGGTTCCGACGTCCCAATTCTCTGCGAATGCAATCCAGCTTACTAGCTGTCAGAGACAATTCTTTATGAAAGATGATCGGCTTATCTAGATTTACAAATTTCTTCAGGAATACCTTTGATTTACGACGTATTCAGGTCTGCAGGAACATCAAGGGCCCCTTAGTGGGTCTGAACACCCATGTAACCGCTGAGGTCCTCAAAACAAACCTGGGCGCTTACCCATCACCCTATCAAATGCCAAGCTCCAACTTCTTACACAAAGGGGTCGCTGGGTCGCAAATAATTGGCTATGGCTCTTAATACCTATACCTAATTTTAACCTTACAACACGCCTCCTGCTAATCTGTTACTGCCAAGTCTGCAGGCGCCCATCCTCAAGCTAGGACCTCCATGAACTACGCTCCGAATCCATAAGCCCCAAGTTTGTGGTACCTGCAGTTAGGGTCCTGGGTGTCTAAGTTTTGTCAGTGCTGAAATTATAGTTCTTGGCGGGCTTATTTGGTTGGATATCCCTGCTGAAGAACCTATCCAGCATAATGGATACGCGCCCGGGTCAACTTTGGCCTTTGTGATGAAATAGCGCTCGCCTAAATGGCATTCAGAAACAGAAGATATTATTATAATCGGTCGGAGTCCTTGTGCTACATATTGAGCGTTAATCCCTCGGTTTTTAGGTTGTTTCGGAGACCTGAGGTACATATTCGTTTTCCTCGCTGCCATTCTTTCCACCGTGATCCCGGTGTTTCATTCTCAACCACTACCTCCGCGAGGTTCTATGTTCTTTCATTATACTGATTAATTGGGATCCTTGCCGGCAAGGTACATGCCTCTAATCACATTACATTAAATCTTATATTCCTTCCTTTTCGATATCAATCCTGCAACATGAGCTCGAGTTCTTCCACTGTTGGCTCTAACGCCTTCTCTTCTGATATGGACGAATCGAATTTTTTGAAAAGAGACCGCGTTTTGCGTTGGACTCAAATCGGTCTTTCAAGCCTGATCGCTGTTACTGCCGTGGTCATCATTCCCTGTGAAGCCGTTCCATTCCATCATTACAAGACAACAGCCAAATGGGCCACTGCAGGCTTAGTCCTATGGCCGCAAAACTTTGACACTCGACCTACTGTTGCTGCTATTTCTTGCGGCGTTGTCATTGCCGTTTTGAATATTTTATACGTTGTTGCCGCTCTTCTGCCTTCGGTAAGTACTCTTTCTTACTTCTCTTTCTAACCATGGATTCGACAAAACTGACAACTATCGTGTCCCAGCCCCATTCCCGTATTAGACTTCTCAATGCCTCGTCTGCGCTCTCCGCATTAGCCGGTTTTATCACTGCTTTAGTGGGCGTTCTGTTCATTATCTACCGCCCATCCTCGAAGTATCCGACCGGCTTCACCAAGAACGAAACCCTATCTAGCTGGACATGCAAATGGGATAAGAGCAGCACAGCTCCAATCCACTTTGGACGCGACTGCCATGCCACCCATGCAGGCTTCGCCCTGCTCTGTCTAGTGCTGGCCTTGGAAATTTGCATGGGTATCGCATCCGCTGTGGGAACCTGGCTTCAAAGAGATGTTGGCCGTAGGCGCGAGGAACAGGCTCAGCTCGAAAAATTGGAGATCGCAACGAAGCAGGTGTACCGAAATTAAGAATCGGGTATTTTTATGTGCACATGCCCGATATGTATTTCAAGGCGTTAGATGTGATGAGTTGTTATTTCGTTTGAGTTGAAGAATTTTGAGTTTCCAGTGTGATTATTAGCGAACTGAGTTGGGGCTAACTGTGCGGTATCATCATGTTTGTGCATAAGCTTTATTGAATGAAACAAATTTAAAACAGGGGCTGGTGCCCGGAGCCAATCTTGCCTCTTCCTTGAGTTTACTTACCGATATGATGACCTATAGACTGGACTCGCTGAAAGTATGGCCACGAAATTGTACAAGCAAACCTCGTGTTATTTTCCCACAGTCCTATTTCTCTCCATTCCCATCAGCATAGCGATAGACATAGAACTTTAGTTAGAAAAGAAAGATTTCTCAACCTTTGACTTCAAACCTAAAGTCTACTATCCATAGCGAGCGATTTGCCTAAGTGGCTTTTGCTAGAGCGACTTGAAAGCCCGGGGCTATCCGTGTCATTGACTGGCACACGGGAGATTAAAATTGCATCCTTGTATGTACGCTGTGGTATAAAAGACAAACCCCGTATGAAATATTTGAATGCTTGTACAGAGACCGAGAAAGTCTATTCACACCAATCACACGCCTGAGTTCGGATGTATCACTCCAGGTGGTATCGGCGATCCCTGATCGCCATGACCCTTTCCCTTCCTTTTACTGCGGGGAATCAGGGGTATCCATATACATTAGGCTATGAAACTGCGCTTGCATAGTTGTGTTTTCCAGATGCCGGGGGATTTGTAGGGTTGACTGATCCGGCTTAATCGCTCGTGGGGGATAAAATACGGATCTCCGCGATGCTAGTCTAAGCTTAGATATAATGAAAGTCCTGGGACTTTCTTTTGTTCTCCCGGTTTAATTCAGTTTCTGGTATCATGAAGATCTGTATATTTTTTTCGTTGCTTACGATTGTTTCGGCTGCGGCTCGAAATGTCCCACCGGATGGGGCCATTGTTGTAGCCAAGTCTGGTGGTGACTATGACACGGTATTGCCCATCAATTTCTGATATGGGATCCACAGCTTCGGTTTACTCATTATTGTCGCTAGATTGGAAAAGCGATGATGGCTTTGGATTCAGGTCGTACAATCAACCAAACCATATTCATCAAGGCAGGGGTCTATGACGAGCAAGTGGAAATTCCCACGCTGCGAGGACGACTCACAATTCTTGGGGAGACGTGGAAGTGAGATTATCCAATGGCTATAGTGATGTTTTGTGATCGAAAATTAACCTGGACAGTACATCTTCTTACTCGGAAAATCGGGTCACCGTCACTCACAACATTAGCGCAGGTAATGGGGATGGTGATGAAACAGGTATCTGCATGATTGTCATCCACTTGGAAAAGACATTGATATTAATTGCAACTTGAATTAGCTACAATACGAAATGCTGCTGCCGCCTCTAGGATCTACAATATCAATGTAGCCAATACCTATGGGCCAGGTTATCAGGGTCTTGCTCTAAGCGCCACGGGCACCCAGCAAGGATATTACGGTTGCCAATTCCAGGGTCACAATCGTAGGTCAAGATTCGTTGTTGCTGTGACAATTTGCATCATTTCTCATCGTCATTCCAGGAACTATACGTACGCAGGTTGGTGGTACGGTGTTATTTGCCAGAGGTTTGATCTCGGGCACCACGTAAGTGCAGTGATAAAAGGATCTTCAGCTCATTCACTTACGGCTCCAGGGATATCATTTTCGGAGATTATGCGCGAGTGTGGCTTGACCACGTTGATATCAAGGTTCGTCAAGTTTCTCAAAAGGAATATGTTACTGCCAACTGCCGCGGTTCGCCCGATGATCCATCGTACTTTGTGATCAATAACTCGACTATTGAGGTGTCTCAAAATTGGATGAGAGCACGCTCAGCCTTCCTCGGTATGTCTTAATCCCTATCTGAGAGACGCCTTCGGGCGAATGAAAAAAACATGCTCTGACGCGTATATTATCAAGGTCGGCCGGAAGGCTCTTACGCTCGGGTTGTGTTCCAAAACACCTATATGAGCAACATTGTCAATGCAGCTGGTTGGGCCCCGTGGTCTTCGGCTTTGCCCAATACAGCGCATGTTATGTTTGGTGAGTATGGGAATACTGGCCCTGGCAGTCAAGGCACGCGAGCAAGCTTTGCGACAGCATTGGAGTCGCCAGTAGCCATTGCCGATCTTTTGGATGATGATTATGAGTCGTGGGTAGATGTGGGGTATTTGAAGATCTGAGCTCAAGCGCAATCTGGATTCAATTTATAGTGGATCCTTTTGATTGTCCTGCTTTTGCTTAAATGTACATGATAGAAAGTCGAATTGCACCACGATAAGCCTGGTCGCGCGATCTTACGTAATCCTTATCAGCACCGCCTTTCGGCAGTTCCAGATCGCGTACAACTGCTTCCTATTCTTTCATGAATTTATTTTTTACTATAAACCTCCACAATGCCCGCCGATACTACACTCGCTGCGGCTGTTGATCTCGATGATGAGCCATATGACTCTGCCGAAGATGAAGATTTTCAACTAGAGGGCGCACAAGATGATTCTGACCTGACCTCTGGCGACGAGGAGGAGGCCGAGCCCGCGAAGAAGAAGCGGAAATCCAATAAGAAAGCCGAAATTCCCCAGGAAGAAGACCTTGACTCCGGCGATGAAGCTACTATTCGAAAAGCTCGCGAAAAGCGAGAGAAGAAGCGAAAAGGAAAGAAGTCGAAGGGCAAACAAGCGGATGATGATGATGATATGGAGTGGGATGATGAGGAAGGGGGCACGGGGGGATTCGTGCGAACGCGTGCTATGAAGCAACATATGTAGGTTGTTTTGATTTTTTACGATGTTGTTGCTTCTATTAATCTCTCATTCTGACCAATCTCCTCTGAAACAGACAGGAAGAGCAAGAGCGAAAACCTTTGGCCAAAATCGACGGTGCGACGGTTGACGTGAATGCTCTGTGGGAGCAGATGAACACGCCTCAAAACGAGCTGGGAATCCGGCAAGACGAGATTAAAGATGGCAGTGAACCGGCTCCAGAACCCGACCGACCGGCTGAAAATGCGGACGCGAAGGGCCATGCTACCCAAGAACCGGAGAATGACTCGCATAATGCCCACGATCAGATGATCAAAATCAAGCGCACCTACAAGTTCGCCGGCGAAATGATCACTGAGGAGAAGACTGTGCTTAAGAACTCGGCAGAGGCTAAGGCCTTCTTATCTAGTGGGGAGAACGTGGAGTTCGCGGAGGTGGAGGATGCCGATGCAAACCGCGACTTGCGTCGCCCGCTGCGCAAGATTTCACGATTCGACCCCAATCCAACTGGAACGATCAAGAAAAGCTGGGAGAGGCAGCCTCTGGAGGCTGGTGGGGATGCTGCTGGACCTAAGATCAATACTGTGGAGAAGTCCCGTCTCGACTGGGCACAATATGTGGATCAGGCTGGAATCCAAGACGAACTGCGGGTTGCCAGCAAGGCTAAAGAGGGTTATATGGGCCGTATGGACTTCTTGGATCGTATGGGAGCCAAACGAGATGAAGAGGCACGCCAAGCCCGCCTCAAGGGTATGTGAAGGCTTATCTCTTCTTCTGGTCTGTCGTTCTCTATCTGCGACCTGAGAAAGAACAAAATCACCGCCACTCTCTTTCTGGCTTGGCACTCCATTAGCCAGGCTCGCTTTATCGCCTCCTAGAGAGACATGCATTTCAGGGTCGTATCGTAGGAGCCATGTGCCCGAGCCGCCTCTGATACTTCGTCTAGAAGAATTGGGGCCTGTGTGGGTGCATTCTTCTTTGAGCAAACTGGAAGCCGATCCCGATCCTAACGGGGCATTCATGGTTGCGCATCTGCGCCTTGGTTTTCGGTCGGTGCATTCCTTCTGATCCCGCGTCTTTCTAACTTGATTAGGAGAGTCTGCCCCATTGCCGATCGACAGCAGTGATCCTTATGGATCTGATGTGCCGAATCAATGCACAAGACTAGGTGGTTATACATGTCTCCTCTGCAAGGTCAAGTCTTGTCTGGACCCTTATTCATCATAAGACATCATCGTTTCAAAGTTGTCATTTTATCACATTCGCTCTAGCCTTGTGGCAGACAACAATGTACTTTATGTAATTTTATCAACTACCAGAACACAGTCAATCAAGATACCCCATTTCCACGGCATGCAATTTCACTATTCTATATACACCGTTCCTTGGATAAGATCATATATGTACGTTATTCATCCAATGATAAATCCAGAAATCCAACGAGTGTCTTGGAAATCTCCCACTTAACTGCTGCTCTTGGGCAAGTACTTGATGCCGCTGCTGGGGCAGCTTGTCTTGGAAACTAGAATTCTGTCAGTCCTGGTCCAAAACAGGATATTTTAATCACTTACGAGTATCAGTTGCCTTGTATTGGCCATCAATGGCATTGCCAGCCACGTTGAAGAAGTACCACACCTCGCTCAGCGAGTCGGAATCACAGCCAAGGTAAGGTGTTGCGTTTCCGTGGATCTTAGCCAGGGCTGACTGGATATCGCTGAGCTCGTAGGTCTTAGAGTCATCAGGGGTGATACCAGCAGATTCAAGAGCCTGTTAGAGCACATCGTTAAATTCTGTACTTTCAAGGTATGTAAAGAGGAGAAGAAAAAAACATAATCATGTACCTTGTATGTGTCCAGGGTCTTGAAGAGGTCCACGACCTTCTGGAAGAAGTCACCAACTTCTTCCTGGGGCGAGTAGTCGCTGTAGCAGCTTGGTTTGATAGTGTTGATGCAAGTACCATGCTTGCCCCATTCGTGCTCCCAGAAACTCTCGGCACTACCAGAGTTACTGACCCAGTACTTATCCATGTATGTCACCAAATCGGAACGGTCTTGAGACTTCAGGATCTCAGTGATGTTGGTGTATTCGCGCGAGGAGTCGCAGCTGGACTGATAGGTACCATCGCAGTTGTCAGGCCTGTGCGAAGGATAATTAGTTCACTTGTTCAGTATTCTAGATATGATTTATCTAATGTAGTAGCCAGTGTACACATACCACAGACCGTGGATGGTCCACGAATCATCCGGGCCAGTGGCAGGGTCAGTATCCCAGAACTGAGTCTGCAGAAGAGCACCACCGGGGTAGTTGAAGCAGCAGGTTGGTGACTTGGATGAGCTCTGGCAGCTGAAAGTGCCATTGTTGGAGCAGGTCTTCAGTTGAGCCACGGCACCAGTGGCAATAGCAGCCATGGTAAGCATCTGTGAGATCGCCATATTGAAAGAGTGATTCAATTGAATGTTCTTTGACTATTGCAAAATCCCTAGTCTCTTTCTCTTTTCATTTATTAAGGGGGAGAGCGACTGCCGGCATTTATGTACTGTGCAGTATGCAGGACATAGCGAAACACAGGACATTGCCAGGGACACAAGTGTCGATCAACCGATAAGAGCACATGCTTCGATAAAGGCACTCTGATTCGTGATTGCAGTGCATCGGGTATCGCCGTGCCACTTAGCAAACTTCTTCTTGTAAGTACATAAGTCCTCCCGCGAGCGGGGAGAGACACGGGGCCAAGTCGTTTCAACCAATAATCTCACTTTTCTCGTCAGGGACTGCTCCATCTCAAACTTACCGTCGGACATCCCTTGAGCTAATCAATTCGATGTTGCATCTCCCGACTTCTCCTGCGGATCTCCGGTGCTGATTGAATCCTCGTGAGATGAGTCCCCGCTGCCGATCGGCTGTGCTCTAGCGAACCAGATCCCGTAGATCAAGTTGTGCCCTGAGGGATCGACATTTTAGTGTCCTTTTTTGGGCGCGATTCCTTCACGATTAGCCTCATAGGGTATTGCTCCGGGAAACTGGACCCTTGACCCTTGGCCCTGCGATCGTCACCTCTTCGCTCATTTTCGGTTTCTTTACGAAGTACGTGCAGGGAATGGTCTAAACTGGCGAATCTGCCGTGGTGTTCTCATAAATGCGAAATCTTAAGAAAGGAAAAAAGAAGAAGAAGAATGTGTGTGATCAACTTCGATGATGGAAGAAAACTAGCTACCTACAGAAGGAAGATTCGGAGTGCTAAATGAGATGTGCCTTACTAGACACCTCTTCAGCAGAAACCCTGGAAGCAGAACGTTTACCAGTACTATAAATACTCTACAGATATATGTAATAAAGGTGACGGTAACTGTCTGTTTCCAGCGCTTGCTCACTCGAATTATCGCTTAATGACCAGAGTTTGCCATATGTCCTACGAACACGTTTTCTACAGTCTCCTGTTATTAATCGTAGATACATATATTCTTTGACGAATGTTAAGGAGGGAAATTTGGTCGCTGTCTCTGGCTCTATGCTCTGGATTAGTTCAGTCCCAGAACTATTATTTATTAACTACAGCCTGACACAAGCGCCATGGCCTATCGGCCGTGAAGTCACATAAGAAGCTGAGAAGGCGCTAATAGCCTATCAAATTCTCAATGTCTATTCGGGGATTGTGTGTCTATCTCAGAGGTAAGTTCCTAGGAGCAATCCCTTTTGCTGGCATAGCCCAGGTAAGCGCGGCCCTTAATTGGCTACCACAACTTGCAGTGGAATAAATCTGAGGTTCAGGGGGTGGATTTTCGATCTCAGCTATAGCCATTTGCAGCTCGAGCAGCTGCTGATTCTTTGATTTCATCTCCCCTTTAGTGTTGGGAACCTGACAAGGACGATGAACAAACAGTTATAAAACGCCAGGGATATCCCTCATTCACGACTTTTTAGATATATCTTTCTATTACCTATATCCTCGCGGACGTGGCTCGGCAGCTCCCCGATTAAATTACTTCAATCTCCTGTCGCTATGGTGACGCTAAATTATCAAAAATTTTGGCAACCGACCTCAGAACTTTCCAAAGATTGCTCAGATAATGGTCCTGAAAATGAAATATCTGGGATATCGGAGTAATCCCTCACTTTTGTGGAAAGATGAGAGAAAAATGGTTACCTATGGAAACGCAGACCACATGACGGAAATGTGGCGGAGGATTTTGGTACGTATCATTATCTATGCATTTGATTTCACTTGATTTGATCTAATAGAGCTATAGTTTCACAAAATGGCCAATCTACGCAATATGCTTAACCAGAAGCACATGCTTGCGATATACATATCAACCGTTGATATCTACCCTGATCATCCCGATTACCCAGAGGAGGTCGCACTTTTTTCTTCCTCACGAGCTAGCAGCAGCCCTTCCGTGACTAGTGTAGATAGGCCTGGTATATTAAGGATCTTTGATGTATTTCAAGATGATCCAACTGAGCCAGAACGCGAGTATATACACCTACATGCACGGCCTATTTGAAGAAGCAGAAAGCGAGCCTTGGCGGAATCGTATTCTCCCCGGAAACGAACTTAGACCCTCTATCCTACCGCTGTAAATACGAATATGTCTTCGAGAAGATGAGGCAGTCTGAACGATGGAGTTCTATCCCAGAATAAGAACGGCTATCTATATGGACTCACCAGTATTGTAAACTCAATACGAGACCTGAAATATTTCTATCGTTTGGCTAGCGCAGAAGCACATTTTTTAGATGATTTGACCGACGGAGGGATTTGGGACGAAAATCTCGCTGTGATTCGGAGTATAATCAAAGATCTCCAGCACTTATACGGTATTATTGCTACAAGAAATATGGTAATCGATGGGCCTAATGCAGACGTATCGGATATAAAGCGATATTCAGGGACCACGAGAATTAAGTAGATAGCGGAAGATAACCGTCAACTATTAGAACTGAGAGACTCCAAAAATCTTATATGGAGTCGTATCGCAACCTACTTTCCAGGGAGGTCTGAGAGTGTGATCTAGTAATATTATGCGTTATTACACTCCGGAAAGAGCGATAGATCTTTAAGTAAAGAAAATAATCCGAACAACTCTTATTAAATTCCTAAGTCCTTATTAAAACCTTACAAAAGCCAAAGGTTGAGTCGATCCTATCAAACCGGGAAGAAAGAAAGCACTATCAAACAACATCGAAGATATTCTACTCGTTCGGCGAGAGATTCTTTAACTAAAAGCTAAAAACCTTAATTGCTGTTGATCCCCGACTTTGTATTGATGAATCTTGACTGCTCCGGGGGCTGTTCGCTATAAAGTCGGTCCCCCACAGGCAACTTCCCTCTCAATTAATATAGTCTCTGCAGGCCTCTCTCCTTCCTCGTGGAACGTATGGCAATTTCCTTCATACAAAGCGCAAAGTATATTGTTTTATAGCCTACCAAACCGGATCTTCCATTCTATTACAACAAAAAACTGTGTACTCCTACACTCTTACGATTTTTCCCGAACAATTATCTAAGATATAATAGTACAACCCAGGGCTACCGATTTCTGATTTTGGTAGACTGCTGACTATAATAAATATAACCAGCTGTAAACACTAGATAGAATTCTCCTACAATCTTAAGCGAAAAAGGGAATTTGGATAGCCTCGAGACTTTTGTGGCGCCATCGGCAAATGCTGATTCGGTCACTGAATGGTTGCTTTGCTCCACTCCTTTTTTGAACGCTCCACGACTAGAAATAAATAATTGTCTTGCTTTTATTGGCTTCCTTGGCATAATCTGGCAAGGTTTTCATATGATACAACCTTGGGAGTGCCGCATGAAGACAGGAACATTAAGTCTCTACTCCGGAGTACTCCGTCAATGGTCCTAATTTGAATGCGAACATGCCAGGATAATATGGGAATGATGCCAAGGAACTAACGGTAATTTATGCTGGAGACACTAGATTGACCAGGGTCCAGTACAAGTAGGGTATTGTAAGGGGGCCGGAAAGTTTGATATAAACCTGCTCACAGCCCTGAGGACTATAAAGCGGTTTTTTCAAGGTTCCGATAAGGCTGGACTTTTCTCCGTCCTCAACTCCCCTCTAAACCACCGCAACATCCAAAGTCGACCCATCATGTCGCTATTTCGAAAGCCGATGAAGCAATACAACTGGCTTCCAGATTACATGCAAAACATCTATCAATGGCTCCATTACTGTGAGCCTACCTGGGGCTACACCATCTACCGGACGACCTACACTCCCCAATCCAATGCCGCTTTCCCGCGTATGGTCGACCTCACTACTAAGTACATGAAGAACGCATTCTACAAGGATTACGAAATTTCCCTTCGCGAAAGATCCAGGGCAAATGAGTTCAACATCACTCCCTGGGATGAAATCTGGCCCAATTACCAGCCACGGGTAATTGAAAATACTTCCCGGTTCGACGGAGCATCGATAGACCAGCTCCGCGAGCATTTCAGGGCCGATGCAATTGAGCGTAATGTGTTCGATGTTTTCCCTGGCTATCGCATGTTTATTGTCATTGACGAAGAAAGCTTTCAAACCTTACAAAACGCTCCCTTTCCAGAGAACTCGAAATACGAAGAGAGGAGACATCATTATGTAAAACTCGTCGAGGCGTTGGAGGTAGATCCATCTGAGGATTTCCAAGGGTGGATGAAGTGCTCCCTGCCCTCGTTGTGGGAGGTTTGGTCGGATATGCAGGACACGGCTTATATGAAGGACACTTCTTCGATGATACCCGACGATACTGATGTTTTGTGAATTCTTTATGTCATGTGGGATTGAATACTACAGTGATTAGACCCAAGATTCAATAGCTGCATATTGTCGGCTCTGCGACCGAATTTGTTTATTGCATTGAACTGCCTAGTCAATCAACGATCCAAGACACGGTTGACGTAATGTCAAAAAAGTCACCATCGTCATCCTCTATGTCTTCTTTAGCAGCATGAATTATTGTGTCGTCAAAGCTCATTGCCCTAGAGCATTCAAACATGATTGAAGAGACATCTTGTATGAACTATATACATGTATCTATCAATTCACACGGTTGCTCAGCTTCAATCCAGATCATCCATGTCAATCTTCATATCCGTCGCATCCGCCTTCAACTTATCCAGAGTCTCGATAGTAGTTGTGACATCGGATCCCGTCCTCACTGCCCACAGCCGTCTCATGTCAGCTATATGGCTAAGGGCCCAATTGGTATTCGTTGTTCCAATATGCCGAAGCCGGTCTTGGAACCATTGATCCCACCAATCCTGGACATAGACTGCCTCGTTTCCATCGGCGACCCACTGCTGGTCTACTAGGCTCCACTCCCTGCGGATTTCATTTGAGGTGTCAACCATAGGAGGACGTACTCGAGGATCATTCAGATTATTCATGACAGTGATGACAGATCTGATGCTTTGTAGGGCTTCATTCGGATTATCGGCCCCCATCGCAGTGTCAAATTGGGTCCACTGTTCTCCACTGCCGTTGAGTATCAATTCAATATTGTTGGACGTTGGATCGATACTCCACGGCGGGTGAGGAACAGTGGACGCAATCTAAAGATCTTTAGGATGAAAGATGAGAAATACGAGAAACACAAGGAAGACAATATTGAAAGAAAGATAATAAATTGCAAAGAATGTGGGAGGGACGTTAAATAAGGGGGAGGATGAAGGAGTGGTCATAACTTACAGGGGTATGGTGACAAGGTAGGAAGCAAATGTGATTGGTGTTTTTTTGCTTGTTGTGCCCATCATTTTTAGTATGTTCCCTGATTGGGTGTTGTAGCCAGCTCGTATGTAGGGTACCGTCCACGGAGATCACTAGTCTGATCGGTCGAAATGACCAGACTACGATGCGTCTCGTTGTAAGACAGTCTCTACATTTTACGGTGAAGGCGCATCTGTTTGAAAAAAAAATCTTGAAATAAAGCCGAAATAGTGGGCATAATAACACGAAAGGAAAAGGAAAAGAGACATCGCAATTAAGACATCAGGGGCACGCGTTCCTCTGCGCTTACTTGTCTCATGCCTGGGAGTTCCCGGTTGACTTTGATTCGCCAGAGAGCTGCTGTGGCGATTAAAAAGAACACACTTGCCTGCAGGAACGGTAGACCCAGCCAGAATCCACCAAAATGCATTCCGATTCGGAACAGGTAAGCGAACAGGGGACCGGCAACGAAGGTCCCCATTGATTGGGAGATCGCAATGGCTGAATACAATGTGCCGACGTGGTCGGGCATCACGAGCAACGTGGCCAGGCTGCGGGTGTTGATCGCGAAAGCAGAGCCCAGTGACGCAATGGTCAATCCGCCAATTAAAATTTCAGGGTTGGGAGCCAGCCCAACTACTAGGAAGCCGATAATGCATAGTATTCCTGTACCCTGGCTGAAGAGGAGGTCTCGGCGTTTGCCGTGGAGGTTGAAGTATTTGCCCACCATCCAGGTTAGGACAGGCATCATTACTAGGAAACTGAAAAGACAGACACTTCCACGGAGTGAGATTAAAAGACTGGCCTATGTGAAGATTAGTTGTCAGGCTCGGGCAGGGTAAGGGTTGGACTGCACTAGGCAGGTCATTTATTGCGTACCTTTGCGAGGCTCCAATTAAATCTCTTAGACGCGTATTGTAGGAGGATATTTGTGCTTTGTCTACTGATCATGGCGACAAATGCAATGAGAATCATCCACATAGTATTGCTTTCCTTCCACATGAATTGTGTCGCTTCTTTGAATTCATGAATGTGGCGTGCAAAAAGCTGGGATGTTGACATTTTAATGGAAGGCTCATTCAGCTCTACTGATGTATCGCTTCTTCTTCTTTGAGCATCAGCCTTCTTTGCTTGAGCGTCTTCAAGCGTTTCCGGGAGAAATAGAATTGCAAGGCATCCGATCAACAGTATGATAAACCCCAGTATATAGGGGATCCAAGGATCATATGTCATTAGGTATGCACTGGTTGGAGAGGCCAGAATATCGGCAACAAGCGCCCATGACATGAGACTGAAAAGCGCCGTCGACCTACGAGCTCAGTTAGAGTTTGCGTGGTAAAGTAAATCGCTGGTAGGTTTCATATTTCGTACATCTCTTCTTCGGGGAAAATATCTGCAACCGTCACACAAGCGACCGATGCCATTACTTGATCGCCTCCGCCGATGATTTTCCATATTGAACTTAACCAGACTAGGCGCAGGGGCAACACAGCTGACCATATGCCTAGACGATAGTTAGAGATCAGTCCGAGACTTCCATTTGAAACGATGGTTCAGCTCACAAACTAGTCGGGTCCAGAGTTCAGCTAGAATGAGCCCGGTAATTCCAAAGTATATAACCGATTTGCGGCCCCAGTGGTCTGATAGGACTCCATAGGGAATGGAAAGAAAAATGGCTGTGAGAGACCCCGCCTAGTTAGCATCAAGAAGACAGAGCACCAACCCCTGAGTCTGTAGGATTTGGGAAACTGCATACTCGGCAAGACATCCAATCCATCTTTGTAGCCCAGGATCAGCGCGAGTTCGCCTTGCACTGTCTCCGATTTGCACGGATTTACCGCATCGGATGCGATGTGGGTCGTGTTCAGTGGGCCACTAAGTTCGGAGTATTTTTGGCAGATAATTTGTTCAAAGATCGCAGTCTGAGGAGCCACAGAGAGATTTGATCCAAAATCGGCAGCTAAGATGAAGATGGCGCTCACAAGCAGAACAATGAATCTTTTCCGGCTTTTCCGGTTTTTCGAAGTTGTAGTGTTGTGAATACTGGCGTTCTCAGACAATAGCGGGCGCGCCTCACTGTCTTCGAGCGCATCCATTTTGTCTTGCAGTGATGGTGGGGTGATTGATGGGTTGAAGATGGTGAAATGAGAAATCAATCATGAGGGGAAAGGAAAGGAAATTCGTCTCTCTTTCAGCGACCTTTCCAAGGCTGGAATGCTGGCACCTCCTATGTCACGTCAACGAAGCACCTGGGCACCCTTGAACGCGCCTTAGCCCGATCAGCCGTTTTCTTATCAACCACAGACCGTTAGATTGCATTGGATCCATCGCGTGCTACGATGTGATTCCATCCAATACCAACCTTGCACATTCTCCACTTCGAACCGTTCAATTAACCCGTCTGGTACCGTTCGGCCATTTTCCCCGCCAGCTTTGGGCGAGTGGCCCCCGCTATGACCCGATCGTGTTTGCCCAGACTCAACGGTGGTTTCGGAGATCGTTTAGCTGAACTCCGAGGGTCGCGCAACCAGTGTTTCAGGTTTTGGCGAACTTGATACGGTGAAGAGGGGGACAACTGGCATGCATGAAGACATGTGGACCCTCTTGTGATCGTTGAGGGGAGTTGTCATTTGGTTGGAGAGAAACAACAATGTCGAGCCAAGCATCATCGTTAAAAGGCGTTTTCATGATCGCCATACCAAATATTTCATAGGCTCTGGCTTTTTATAGAATAAATCGCAGCCTTGCCATTTTCCAACTCCGATCGGGGGGGGGGGGAGGAGATAAAGAGCGATCGAGCCCCTTATTAGTGGGCGGGGCTGCATCAATCACGTTTCCCGGTTTTTTACATGCAGACAAGCTGGGTAATCCCCGCCAACTTCAAGTTCAGGTCCACAACTATTACATTCGTCTTTTGATAAAATATAGATCTAATTCGGCTTTTTCTATATAAGGAATCAAAGTTAAATATATTAAACCATAAATTATAGATATATGTAAGCCTCTTATTCAAGTTCTTGGAAGGTTTGATGCTCAGCTCCACGGCTGCAGCCGTGGACCTTATGTCTATCATGATCACCAGGGCTGTCGCATGATGTCAGTGCCTGAACCTTCGAGTTACTTAGGTACTACTAGTAGCAAATGTCCAGGTGACAACCTCAAGTGTAAATAATATATGCACGATTATAAGTATTAGTGACCTCGAGCCCCCAAACAGGTTAACCCTCTCCCACATGGCTTATTCAAAAAATAGCAGGCCGTGAACCACAAAATTCCTCGTACAATCTTACATTTATTGGATAACTGATATTACCCTCAGTAAGACACGATGGCGGCCATTGCGCTTTATACTTGGGTCTGATTTACATGACTTGTGAATAAAGACCAAAGCTCTCCAAAGGATAAATTGGGCCCATATTTCAATCAACAGTAATTGCCGCCTAGCATATCCCCCACTTGGTCTATATGGAATCCGTTGAGGGTATCACACCGAAATTCTGATTCCCGTGGGCCTCAAAATAGTGACCTTGCGTAATTTTCTGAGTACCTGCACCGAACAGGTTATATTGATGACTGTTAGCCCCGTACTGGCTAGCAGGTGTAGACCGGCCGGCCAGATCGGACTCGGCTAGTGAGGATGAGACTTGCACCAGTTCTTCGCGAGCCTTTGACAACGGCTCGATCTGTCTCTGCATCTCCCCCAGAAACACCCTGTCTGCGACCAATGTTCCCAGATCTTCCAATAAACCGACCATCAACATCTCGACGCGCTGCCTTCCCTGTCTCATCATTATTTCTCGATACACAGAAAAATCGTATTCACATTTTGAGTATTCGCCAATGTTTTCCACGATCTCTAGCAGCTTCGTCGCCTTGTCGTGGAAGCTATATAGGACAATCTCTGGTACCCGGGCATCTTCGGCAGACCTCACTTTCTTCGCTGGGCTCTTTGCTTCTTGCAAAAATTTTTCAACCAGAGGGAGCCATTGTTGGGTTTCCTGGAAGGCTTCTGGCAGGCTAGGGAGGTTTTCGATAGAACCGAATGCCCCCATTATGTTTTTCTGTGACCTCAATGAGACTGACAATCTGGCCAAGGAGATGGAGTACATGAGAACAATATGCAGGATAAGCTATCACTATGTCTACCAGAAACTACCACGCTTGCGAGGGACAAGGATCCGATGGTGCAATATTCAGTGATACTGCAACAAAGCAAGATATTGGGGTAGAGTCTGGGTTTTGCGGATAATTAACACTATCCAGGTGGCACAAGGAGAATAACTCCGCACTAGCCGTAAGCCCTTGGCAGGTTCATCATCACAACATGCCCATGGCTACCCAAGACAGGTGCCTGTGTCGTTCGTAATCAAGAATTAGTTATTCAGTATATCTTGACAGTTTCTAACTATGAGTACATTCTTGCTTTTGTCTTTAACCAGGCAGGTCAGATTGATTACCAGGTTTGAGCAACAGGAATCCTGTCAACTTGCGCCATCGACCCTGATACTCAGGTAGACTTTGGTACTATAGAACATCCCGGCGTTTTGGCACATCATCAGCATATACTTTCACTGAGAATTGACCCGGCCATTGGGGGTTACACCTCTGGTAACACTCTAGCTTACACTGAAACATACCCTCTTCCTCACGAACCTTCCCTCAATCCCCATGGGAATGGTTATATCTCAAACACCCAGATTGTCGAGAAGTCTGGCGATCTTGATATTGAGACGCAAGCCGGTCGGACTTTCTCGATACAAAATCCTAACATCCTGAACCGCGTCGATGGTAAACCGTTTTCATACAAGATCAATGCCCCACCCATGCAGAAGTTGCTGGCTTCGCCAGATAGTTATCATTTCAAACGGGCAGAATTTGCCGACCATGAAATTTACGTGACAAAGTATAAGGAGGACGAACTTTTCTCTGGCGTCAAATTCACTAATCAAAGTCGGGGTAGACACGGCATCAAGAGATAGGCAGGACGCAAAGACGATATTGTGAATAAAGATATTATCCTTTGGGTCCAACTCGGATTGAATCATATTCCACGAGTTGAAGACTTTCCAGTCATGTAAGGATGCAGATAACCTTGTTACTTTATACTAGCTTAAGATTGCTGATAAATCCAGGCCTGTGGAGATAATCACCGTATCTCTCAAGCCAGTCAATTTCTCCTCTCGGAATCCTGCTATCGATGCACCGCCTTCTTTGCAAGATAATAATCAGTCTGTGCAGTTAGGGGGTTGTTGCACTAGCCGGCTTTGAGGATCCAGCTTGCTAGCTATAACTTTAATATTGTCAACTTGTTGGATCATGATTTCGCCTGTCTTATACTGTATAGTATCCAGTAGAATGTTTGTGAGTAAAGTCTTTGGGTTGCTGCCATGTCCCTTACTGTATTCAAATATGCCCTATCCTATCCCATGGTACTGACGGCATTGGGGCCCAGATCGGACTTTTTGTATAGGAGAAAAATGTATCCACTACTCCTAGCCCTATGGTTTCTTTAGATCCCAGCCCTTTGGACTTCCTATCTGAAAATCAAGTTCAAAATTTCAGAAGTTCTAAGTTGGCTATTGTCAATAATGCCGGTCATTCAATGTTCCCGTCAAATCCCTGTACGGTTTGTGTGACCAATTGTTTCTGGTTGTGATACAAGCTCGTATTAAGCGCCGCTCATTCCCCTTTAATCTGTTGTTTGCGCAATTTATTTCACTGCTTGTTCAGGGTTTTCCACTTATCTCTCAGTTAGTTATACAGCAGCTTATCCTCTATTAGAGGGGACAAGTTGGTCAATCAGAGATCAGATTTGAATTAGATTTGGCTCTCTTTAAAACTTTTTCTTTCCCCTATAACAATCTTAAGGTTTACAGATACCTTGGCTTGTATAAGATCAGAAATTCTGATAATTTAAATAGTCCTTGCTTTATATCTCTCTAGATTATACTCTGCTTATTGTAGGGGGAGCCTTCGGCGTCCGCCCTACTATCTGAATTACGGCCCGAGGTTTCTTCCGGAGTAGACCCCTTAAGAGGCCTTCATTATTGTAGCTAGACATCTATCATCGAACACACAATCGAGTACATTCATTCGACGTTTCTCTGCTACGTACGGTCCTCGCCGCCCTCCTGGCATAGTCTGGTGGTGGTGCGCTGCTCCGTGTCGTACCGCCTACTATAGGCTGCCTCGAGCGTTCCCCTCTTCACTATATATTATACAATTCCACAAAAATATCCTTGTATCAGATAATACTCAAGGCCAGAAGAACTATTACAATAAGATTAAGTACATAGTTTTTCACACTGCCCTTGGTATATTGTTTGTTTGTTTTTTGTCCACGATGAGCAGTCCATGAGCCTAATGGCCAATTTGGTGCGGAATCACCTATCCTCAAGCCCGTATATCCCAAAGCATCTTCCATAAGTTTCCTGATAAGGGCTTCCAATAGAACTATTGGATCTTCAGGACGAGCTTTCGTGAACCTCTAGCTAGCTTCAATCCCATCCAGAATTTGACACCTAACAGTAGAGTTTATATTCTCGTATTTCCATTCTATCTAGCTTTGTGAAAGTATAATTCCATAGGTGGGCCGGGCCACATTGTAAAATAAACTAAATTTAAACAATTATCAAAACAGAAGATAAAAAAGCCGAAATGGCCCTTAAGATGCCGCCTCCACAGTACTGTTCCGATTCGAAGTCAGTCTCACAGTGATGCAGTCAGTGGCTGCAGCCACTCCGTACTTCTCACGTTCCTCACGGTAGTCTCGTTGCCAGGATGTCGGTGCAAAGTTTTGGAATTGTCGATCTAGGGCAATACCTTTTCGATCCACTAGGTAATAGGTTGCGAAAAGCCGAAGACCCTGATTTGGAAACTTGCACACGGTAGGAAGCCAGAACTCGTCTCGCTCGTCATGTATGCTGCGCTTCAAAGAGATGCCATAAATCTCGATGCCGTCATTTTGAAGGACTGTAAATGATCTATTCCAATCAAGATTGATTAACGTAAATCACCGGAAGGTGTTGCGGATGTGCCAATCAAAACCATTGCGACTTACGCTGCTCGTACGTTCCTGCTCATGTTTTGAGCGGGAGACACTCCCATCTCCACCATCTTTGAATGCTTGTCAAGCATTGCAGCATCAAACCAGATAAGGCGGCCAAATACATCATAGTTGAATATCTTTTTGTCAACTTCCATACTGCCCCAGGGTGCACTAATGTCATATCCAGGCTTGTTCTCGACCAAGTAAATCCGACCATCTTTTCCGGAGACGAGGGTTGAGTTTTGACTAGCATCCTGAATCAAATGGAAACCATTGGTCTTCGGCAACTTTATCAACTTATTGCCACTTTCTGCATCCTTTGCAATTTCCTGATCCTCATGAATGATCGGGCCGGGCTTGTCAAGGCTGATAGTTTTGTTAGTAGCAAGTTTCTGTTCACCACCGAACGTATCGGCAACCTGATTGAAAAGAGCGCCTGGTTCCACCTGTGTGGGGTCCCACCCTTTGGTTCTGTGCAAATGTTAGTTCTTTTTTTCGGTCTCAATAGAGGGACAAGAGGCACTGACGAAATACAGCCAAGGCCAGTCTCATAGAATGTAGTTCCGAGGTCCTTAAATTCATATTCCCAAATTCCCAAAGCTGAGCTATACACGCGATTCTTGGCTCCAACGCGGAACTCGACTCCATTATCACACTTGTGGCCCTCGCCCGACGAGAGCCCTGCAGTGAAGAAGAGAGAAGGAGCGGTATATACCCCAATAGATTTCTTCCAGGTGCCCCCAAGAACATCTAGAGCGACCTCAACTCCAACTGGGATTGAAAGGTCCGCGGTTGCAACTATGTTCCCCTTTTTCAATTCAAAAATAGGTTCTAGGGATGGTTTGAATCCCGAAGCTTTGTTATTCGCAGGGGTAGCCGCGTCCAGAACAACCTCTCCTTCCGAAACAGAGAATCTTGCGCCGGCCCTAAACTCTCCATGGGCATCAACGTAAATGCTAGCGGCCGAGTTAATGACAACTTGGGGACCAATAGTGATGATCTTTGGGATTTTGATGGCAGCAAAGGGCAAACTACCAATTTCCTTTTCAATTGTCGTTTTGAGGCCTTTGGCTCCTTTTTTGGCGCTCTCCTGAATTGCCTTGGCATCTACAGTGACACCATATATAGCATCGAAGACAAATGGCTCGTGGTTGATGAAGGACACCTTTGCCTTGGAAATGCCCTTGTCGATGCTGAACGCCAGTTCACCCTCGAAGCTGAAATTAGCCTTGGCTCCACAGCTTTCACATTCGACTGCCACAGCTGCGCCCGTTTTAGAGAGGACCAAGCCCTTGTCTGTTCCCCCCAGTGTGCTGCCAATATCTGTTCCAATCTTCCCACCGCCAACTCGATGATCAAAAGCGATGTCTGCATCGTAACTTTGGTTGAAGGGGACCCCGAAAGGAACCATCAATAGATTCACGGTCACAGCAGCAAGCTTTATCACAACCACTACAGTAACCTTGACTAGTTCAACAGAAGTCCTGACCACTTGGTCAACGACCTATCAGATTTATTTGATTAGCGAGCTTCCAAGCAGAGTTTGCGGAGCCCGGCCACGGGTTATTTAATACCTTGATGAGAGATTGTATTCCTTCCACAATCCAAGAAAACAGGCCTCGCTTAGAGAGCCCATTATCTTCATCGGAGATAAAGTCAAGACCTGTCTCGTATTGATCCGGGACATCCGTATTGATTGAATCAGTCCCGAAGAAAAGCTTGACTGCTTTCGCTTCCTTTGTGAGATCGGCCTTGTGCGGCCTGCTGAGATTATTGGAAAGATCGGAAAATAACGGCATTTCCATTGCGGGGTGCGCCTGGTCTACTTTAACATGGCCTTTCACTGGTGTACGTTTGGCATGCGGGCTTTGGTATGTCCCCCAGTTCAACTTCCCGTCCCGAATCTCGTCCTTTTCATCAGAGAGCTCAGCATTCACTGTCACACAATCATCGTGGAAGATTGGATGGGAGGCGACGAAGATAGACCGATATTCTCCTGTTCGATGACCACAACCAATATGATAGGTGATCACATTGAATGATTCCGAGTCACTGTACTCTTTCCAAGATTTTTCCACAGTTTCAAGTGATTCAGGAGACTTGAAGCACACTTCAATATATCCATCATCACAATTGACTTCTTTGACATGATTGGAATGTTCTAGGACAATGGTGGGACGGGAGAAGTTGGCTTGCAACTGACCGTGCTTTGCACCGTGTAGAGCCGCTTGGAAGAATTAGTATCACGATAAAACATCCAAATTGAAGATATACTTACGCCGGTGTCCTTCTTGGCTGAAGTATAAGTCCTTGGTGCCATGGGGTATTAGGTGACCAATATCGCTGGCATTATGCTCTGGATGGAGCGCGGGGTACATGTTGACCCCATCATAGGAAAATGAGGGGGGAATCTGCAGAAGACCTTCATGTGCTGAGTGTCGACCACTGAAAGCAGATACAGTAACGAACCAGGCCAAAAGGGCCACGGCTTCCGTGACTCTCATTATCGGTAAAATGGCCAAGGTTCAGGATTTAAGGAACGACGAACAATAGCTGGCGGAAGTTGCACCCTTTTAATATATCTCCTTTCTCAAGAAAGTTCTCAAGAAAGGGGTATAAGATTGAGCGTGGAATATGCGAGACACTCCCAATCGGCATGTCCGAGACCTGAAATCGCAAGGATCTTCTCTGAATTTCTTGTCTGCTGTTCCAATATCCATGCGGGACTTGAAGATCCCACATACCAATAGTTAGTTAACTATTCCTTGCCAATGCCCTAGCTACTCCAAAAATCAGGCCCGAGACCCGCCAGGCATAATTACATTTTCTCTGTTTTTCTTTTTAATAGTAAGTAATCAGATATTGTAGCAGGCCTGAAACCCAATACTGCGGACCATTTTGCCTTTACGAGCTAGATTTTGACAGGTCTACATGGCAACAAGTCCTCTTCCAAGTACGATCTGGCCTTGGCTAGGATGGAAACCCAGGATGTTAGGATAGAACATTTCTGTCATTAGAGGGTTAGGAGGGGATGGTAGACTAATGCTAATCCTTCGGTGGCTGGCTGAATACCTTCAGCCCTAGGATTAACTAGGCTATGGTGATTGAAGATCTATCACAAGGTGATCTTCAGTGGGGCGATAAAATCATTAGTAGAATCCTGTCGGATAGAAGATCTCGGATCTGCACAGATTAGAGAACCCCTATTATACCCTAGTTGCGGTTCCCGGTTCTGATTGGCCTGCTGGGCGTGTCCCCGGGCTGGGATAGGGTAGACCGCGGCATTTCCCGTGGGAGTGAATAATTTGTCCCATTTCCTATAACTATGTTACGGACCCACAGGGGGCGGTCGAAAATTAGGCATGGAGAGCCAACTGTTTCTGCAAGGTCCAAATTGGCCCAAGATTGTGTGCATCCTGGGAAAGAAACAATCCTATAATAAGATGTAATTGTCACACGCTTTGACCCCTCGGGTGTGCTGACTAAGCCTACGTCTTGGTCAGCCACCCTTTTTGTCAAACCCCGGTTCTAACGTGAACCACGGTCGGCCGAGCGGCCCCATCAAAATTCAAAAAACTATCAATTTTCAATAACTATTAAAACAACAAAAACAATAAAATATTGACTATTTAACACGTGTAGGGCATTTATTATAAGTATGGCCTTTAATTCCACATCCAGAACATATTATCTACCGACGTATTGTAAGTATAGAAGGTAAAGCTAGCTTAGCTTCTGTTTCTGTAGGCATCTCTAGTAAAGATATATCTTTGTATTTAGTCTTATCTACAACTACAATATTATCTTTACTACCTTCTAAACCTCTAAATAAGCCTTTTTTATCAATAAATTGATGTTTAATAGCCTTCTTTTTTAGTTGTTTTTTGTTAGTAGCTTCCAATTAGCTACAACGATCTTGGAGAAAAAGATAGTAATAGACAATTTTAATAGTTATATTATATATCTTCTTAATCTTTTGTTTAACCGGTGAAGATATAATTAAAGATAATGTGTAATGGTTACTAAGTTGTTAGGCTAGAGACCTATAACTAGGTAAGATTATCGGATAGTAGAGACCAAATAGGACAGTTGATACATAGACTGATTCTTGTTGAATAAGAATTGTAGCTATTGTTTATATATTTTTATATTACTAGGGCTTAGGGCTATTATATATAAATAGATATATTAAGATAGATTTATCTATAAAGTAGCTATAAATTATATCTAAGTTGTATCTAAGAGGATTTAGGAATCCTATAATAATTTATCCTTCCCTTTTAATAATAGTTAACTTAATTATCTATATAGCTTATATTTAATTAGATAATCTATATAAAGTAGTATTGTATTGAATAAAGCTTCTAGGACTAATACTATTTTAGATATCTTTATATATAGATATAAATAAAGTATATAAGAGGCTAAAGCAGAATTTATATTTAATTAAGCTAGGCTATATACTATATATAAAAAGCTTAAAGAGAGAATTACTAAGTAGGTATTCTATATATTAGGTTATTATAATTATATATACTATATAATCTTATACTAAATATTAATCTATAATAGTATTCTTCTTTAGGGTAGTCCTTCTTATATATATTATAGTTATATTTAGTTATCTTTAGACCTATAATAGAGTCGAAATAGGGTTAAATTATCTTTTAAAGGTATCTAATATAAAGTAATCTTAAATATTACTAAGACTTTATTAGGTCTATTCTATCTAATCTATCTATTTTACTAGGGTTTTATTATAATATCCTTAATTAATTTTCTTATATTTTATATTTATTATCTCTTCTACTTTATATTTAAGTTTTTTATTAATTAGTATTGATAAGAAATATAAATTATCTATAATCTATAATAGAAATAGATCTAAAGTAATAGATCTAATTAGCTTTATATAGAATATTAGATAAATATTAGTAGATATCTCTAATTATATTATATAAGATATAGAGATATCTAAAACTTAATATTAAATATATAGCTAATTTAGCTTCTTTAATTATTATTATATATATATATTCTATAAATTTAACTATATCTAGTTATCTTTTTTATAGACTAGTATAACCTATTATTATTTATTTAATTACTCTTCCTATAGAGTTTATATAAAAGTAATTATAACTTAGGCCTAATTAGTAGTTTCTTATAATTAATTTATAAATATTTTATCTATAATTCCTAATTATATATAGGTTTTATAGGGTTCCTTTATCTTTTTTATTTTAATAGGATTAATATAGTAATTATATATAAAGAAGAAGAGGGATAATCCTATTATATTAGTATTATAATTATTAATTACTATAATAATAATAGGGAGTAATATATCCTAATTACTCTATATATAGATTATAAATATATATAAGATCTATTTAACTTCTTGGTTTATATACTTTATAGTACTATTAGATTATAGATATAATGTAGTAAATAGTATAAAGGGAGAGACTATGATTATAGGTTATATAGTATTTACTGAATAGTATTATAATTACTACTTCCAGCATTATAAACGTCTATATTAGCCTAAGGCCTCTTATTTAGTCTTATAGAGCTTCCTATCTATAGGGGCCTATATAAAGTATTAACCCCCCTCAGCTATAAGCTTTCTTTCTTTTTAACTTTCTATTAGTTTGATAGTTAATATTATCTTATCATTACATTACCTTTTTTCAGTGGTATAATTCTGTTTGTATTCAAAAAAAAAGCCTACTAATACTATCTTTCGGCTTGTTTGCTATCCTTCTTATATATTGTTGTTTTTTATACTCTCTTCCTTTATATAGTTCTCTTCTTATATTTCTCTTCCTATATATCTTATTATATCTCTTCTTTTCTAATAGGTATAATTCTAGATTCTTATAGTATTACTTAAGCTAAATATAAGTTAATGTCTTATTTCTTATAGAAATGTTAGATATTCTATCCTCTAATATAGATATAATTATGCCTTAGAACTTTAATATTAGATCTTAATTTATAAAAGTTATTATATATAGTAAAGGTATTAATATATTTAGTAATATCTTTCTTCTTAACTTCTAATCTATTTCTGATCTTATACTTATTGTTATACTAGTTGTGTGTAATATGGATTAGTGTAATATTAATAATATTAAAGTTAATTCGAAAGGATAAAGATATATATATATTACTTAATAAATCAGGATAGCTATCTTTCTATTATATATATACTGTTTAGTAGGTTATAGGTCTTTTTTTTATATATATAGTTATAGTTCTTAATAGTAGAGATATTATATTTAGTAGTTCTTATATTTTATATATATATAGGAATATTATAAGTAGATACTCTTTCTATTAGAATCCTTCTAAGAATCTTATTTATTTTATATAGGATACTTATCTAATCTCCTATTATTATATCTTTTACTATTTAATTAAAGATCTAGCTGTAGAAGAGGATAATTATAATATAGAGAAAGCTTCTTCTTCTATAATTATATTATAAAAGTATTATATTACTATCTCTATATCTTCTTCTAAAAAGATTATATCTCCTATCTCTAAGAAACTATATATAATTATTCCTATTTTAGTAACTTTAGAGACTTTAGTTTATACTAAGTTAGTTCTTTCTCTTATATAAAAGACTTAGAAGATCTAATCTCCTTTTCTTATAGCTTCCTTTTCTTTTTCTAGTCTAAAAGAATCTATTTATACTATTAATATTAAGTATTCTAGTAGTTTAGTTTATTTAGTAAACTAGTATTTTTCTCTATTAGATAACTATAATATCTACTATTATCTTAAAACTAGTAAGTTTAAGCTAATACTAGTAGTATATAATTAACTATCTTTAGTAAAGTTTTATTTAGTCTATAATTATATATAAATCGAGATAGTTCTAAAAGAGAATAATATTATTAAGTATAATAAGAGTAAAGCTAAGTCGGAAAAAAATCTTTTTATACTTAATATAGTTAAGGCTATATCTTAAGTAATTATCTTATCTATAAAGAAGAATAATTATTATAAGAGGAAGTTAGTTTTTAAGGAAGAACTTAGAGAGTTTATAAATATTATTTATAAAGAGTCTAATCCTTTTATTTATAATGATTCTGAACTTTCTACTTATAATACTTCTAATAATAAGCTTTTATTTAGTATCTTATCTAAATCTTCTATAACTTCTTTAAAAAAGACTATTACTAAATAATCTACTTATTATAGTTAGTTTTATAAAGATACCTCTATATAATTTATATTATTTTATACTATTTTATAATACTTTATAATATTCTTAGGAATGATTTTTAGTATTTTCTATTTATAATTTAATTATATTTTTCTTCTATATTTTTAGCTAGTATTTAATAAGTCTTATATATTTAATATAAATCTTTACTTTATCTCTCCTTCTCTTTTTATAGATTTTATAACTTAGTCTTTAGGATTATAATAGTAAAGGGACTATCTTTTATTAGTATCTTTTTATATACTATTATAGTATATAGAATAC